TTATCGGAATTAACCAGACAAATCACTCCACCAACTAAGAACGGCCATGCACCACCAACCACAAGATCAAGAAAGAGCTATCAATCTGTCAATCCTTTTTGTGTCTGGACCTGGTGAGTTTCCCCGTGTTGAGTCAAATTAAGCCGCAGGCTCCACACCTTGTGGTGCCCTTCCGTCAATTCCTTTAAGTTTCAACCTTGCGATCGTACTCCCCCCCGAACCTAGACTTAAAGATTTCTCTTTGGGTGCCAATGCAGTCATATCAATAAAACCTGCACTGATCCCCAGTCGGCATCGTTTACTGTCGAGACTACAACGGTATCTAATCGTTTTCGATCCCCCGACCTTCGTTCTTGATCAATGAGAGCATCCTTGGCAGATGCTTTCGCAGTAGTCCGTCTTCCGTCAATCCAAGAATTTCACCTCTAGCAACGGAATACGAATGCCCCCAACTGCCCCTATTCATCATTACGGCATCTCCAAGGCAACCAACAAAACAGAGACGCTGTCCTATTCTATTATTCCATGCTAATGTATTCGGGCACTAAATCGGCCTGCTTTGAACACTCTGATTTTTTCAAAGTAAACGTCTGAGCGGAGCAAACCGACAAGACGCACTGAAGCGACATCGGCGCCCACCAAGAGGTAAACCCGGACGAGTGACCAGTACACACGTACAAAAGACGCGGACCGGCTCGTCCGAGTCGAAGTTCGACTACGAGCTTTTTAACGGCAACAACTTTAATATACGCTATTGGAGCTGGAATTACCGCGGCTGCTGGCACCAGACTTGCCCTCCAATTGATCCTCGTTAAGGGATTTAAATTGTACTCATTCCAATTGCAAGACCCAAAAGAGCCCTACATTGTTATTTATTGTCACTATCTCCCCGAATCGGGATGGGATAATTTGCGCGCCTGCTGCACTCCTTAGATCTGAGGGCCGTTTCTCAGGCCCTCTCTCCGGAACCAAACCCTTATTTCCCGTTACCCGTCGTCACCATGGTAAGCCACTACCTTACCATCGAAAGTTGATAGGGCAGATATTTGAATGAAGCATCGCCAGCTCGAGGCCGTGCGATTCGACAAGTTATCATGATTCACCAAGCGCTGCTAAAAGAAGCGTTGATTTTGTATCTAATAAATACACCCCTTCCGTTGCCAGTCGGGGCTTTTCAGCATGTATTAGCTCTAGAATTACCACAGTTATCCATGTAGCAAGGAACCATCAAATAAACTATAACTGATTTAATGAGCCATTCGCAGTTTCACTGTATAAATTTGTTTACACTTAGACATGCATGGCTTAATCTTTGAGACAAGCATATGACTACTGGCAGGATCAACCAGGTATCTATCACTCCACCTCGTGCAAGCACGAGTGCCGCCAGTACCCNATCGTACTCGCGGGCGTGATTCACCTTATCTCGCTTGACGTTTGCNTTNGCATCCGTCAGCTCAGTTGGTCTCCGTCCTAGCATCTCCAACGACCCAGCCTGGATTCCAAGGAATACCAGACCGAGCCATCGTCGGTGAAGACAAACCTGTGAGCAGCTGCTCTGATCATCGATCAGCGCCGCTCACAGTCGGTTCTCCCATTCGGTGGTTTCTTGCACTTATAGTCTGGCCATAGGCAATCCAATCCACCTCTACATCCCCGTCACGCTTTCGCAAACGTAAACTAGGCCTTCAGCTTGTTGCGAAATCGCAACACACGCTGGAAGAATCCAGCTCGATTGACTAGCCGCGACCGTACTCGGCCACAGACGCTGCTCAATCCAAGCATTCGATTCCTTCGGTCCCTCTGGTAAGTCTGATCAGACGATTCGATTCGCATCTCTCTCGTCTCTTCATGAGTTGTCCAATATTTTTGGTCAGTCAGACTACACCAGATAATCTGTCGTGACTTTTCTTCGACATCTCTGTCTGCTCGCGAATTTAGTTGAGATCACCTTGGTTCGCGTCGATTTGTACACACGACCTAGCGCGACCGTCCGTCCGTCGAACAGCAAGAATGTCGGTGACAAAGCGCAGGCAGAATGGCCATGCGCCAGTGCCACGCAAGCTTCGCAAGGTCACACAATCGCTAAGAGAGGGGAAAGAGCCCGTCAGTGACGACGGCGAGGATCTTCTGGCCCGAGCTCTTGCGACGCAGCACGACTCTGAAGACAGCAGCAGCAGCGAGATGGATGATGGCCATGACCGGTCAAACCTGCAGAATACTGAGACACCGTCAGCTGCAGATCCTAGCAGCCTTTCCTCGACCAGGGATCCTCACTTTCTGCAGCAAGAGCCTCTGCAGCATCAAATTGAAGCCTTGCTGGCGTCTGTCCGAACGCCTGCTGCATCGTCATCCCGAGCAAGACCGCTCATGCTTGCACTTGAAGAGATAAAAGCGACTCTCGCGAGCTTGCCGACTGTTGCACCTCTCGGCATCGCAGAAGCGATCGCACGATTGAGCAAGCACAATGTGACCATACCTTTTCCAGAACCTGGCCCAAGTCCCTTGCAAACGCAATGGCAGCTAGCGTTCGAAGCCCCTGCCAGCATAGAGCTTGTCGGAAGTTGGCCGGTGGGAACCGCATGCCGTTGGAAAGGTGTACAGGGGTGGGGCGTCGATATGGCTCTTCAGCTACCCGCCTCTTTACTTCAAGAGAACGACTACAAGCAAGGGCGATATCTACACAAGAGAGCATACTACGTAGCCTGCCTTGCAGCAGCCTTGCCGGCCAGGCTCAGTCAGCTGCATGTCTCCATAGACCTTCTTCATGGCGATCCGCGCAGACCGATGATAGCACTCGTGCCCAAGCAAGGTGGGTTGCACTGTATGGCAAGTAGGCCAGCCTGACTCGTGACGCAGGGTCCCTGCTGGCAAAGCTGCGAGTAGTCATCAGGCTTTTGCCTTGCGCAGGCGCGGAGTCGCCCATGCCTCTTTCCAAGCTCAATCCCGGGCGCAGCAATACCAAATCCGCCGCGGGTACAACAGAGCCCACACCACTTTACAACAGCGCTCTACTACACGATGCTTTCTTGCTTGCCGATCGGTCGTACCTGGAGGATGTCACAGAGAGCTGTCCTGCCTTCAAAGATGCTTGCTTGCTTCTCAAAGTCTGGGCGCACCAGCGTGGGTTCGCCGGACATGCAGACGAGCATCACTTGATAGGCATGGAGAGCATGTCACTTACGCTCACAATGATCCTTGCCCATCTGCTTGTTGGAGGACGGCCGAAAGACAAGGATACAAAAAAACTGCCAAAGACTGCTTCAAGCTGGCAGCTCTTCTCTGCCGTCATCGATTTCCTTGCTGAGACGTCTCTCGCTCGTCGACTTGTCTTTGCAAAGTCTGATACCCCGCTCTTCAGCCCGGATGAGCTGTCTGCGGCTTACATGAACGGCTTCATTGATCACACGGGCTCGCGCAATTTGCTGGCAGGCATTCCCAGTGCAAATCTTGACGCTCTACAATTCGCGTCACGTATGTCGGCAATAGCTATCGCAATGGATCCATCTGCAGCCTTCAGTAGCGTCTTGCTCCGCTCGAGCTTCGATCCTGCCGTCGCGTTCGATGTCACAGTAGTGTACGGCTCCTGTCCTATAGATGTGCATCTGGCTGACTATACTTGATCGGCAGACTAGATGTCGGCCACTCCGTCACCATACCTCAAGACCCACTGTACGAGCATCGTGCACAGCATACTTTGGCGGTACTCGTATCGGACACGCTCGTTCGTGGTCTATCTGACCGTATCACTTGCTTGTCAATTAGTACACGATCGCATGCGAGCAGTGGCTCAAGTGCGGCAGGAACTCCAAGTCAGCTTACCGTTGGCTTGTCCTTGAATCCAGCGCAAGCGCAACGACTTATCGACTCTGGGCCGAGCGCCGAGGATGCGACAGCAGCTAGCAAGTTTCGTTCTTTCTGGGGCGAAAGGTCAGAGCTCCGTCGATTTCAGGACGGTAGCATTACAGAAAGCGTAGTATGGACCGCGGACAGCGTGCTTGCACGCTCGCGCATCATCCCTCAGATCATAAACTATTTGATGTCGAAGCATCTCAAGCTATCGCCAGCGGCTATCAGCGTGATCGCAGGCCCTTACGATGCTTTACTCATGCAACCAGACTGCGTATTCGAAGCTTCTGCATCTGATAACCCCAAAACCAGAGGCTTTGGCGCGGTCATGGGCGCATTTGACGAATTGGCAAAGTACCTCCGTCAAATCGAGAAGCTGCCGCTCTCGGTAACAAGCGTAACTCCTGCCAGCGAGGCACTGCGGTACTCTTCGGTTTTTCTGCCTTCACCTCGCGATCGAGCGACCTATGCTGCAAAAGCCTTGCCGACTTCGGCTCACACAGCATTGCATGATATTGCCATTACCCTAGAGAGCTCTGGCCATTGGCCATCAGACCTCCATGCGGTGCAGAAGATCAAAGCTGCTTTCCTACTCTCCCTGGCAGAAACCTTGTTACGAACAGGACAGTATGAATGCCAGATCGTCTTCGATGCAGATGCGCTGCCGCTCGTTGATCATTGCGCTCTCGACATCCTTGCACCGACTGGCTACGCTTTTCGAGCACGTATCCATCACGATGGCGACAAAACGCTGCTCGAGCGAACTCTGCTTGACACAAAATCGCCGCCTACGCCCGACGAACGCAAGATCTTGCTTGCTGCCTTGACGCATCATCACCGACGATATGTAGTCAATCCTCGTCATCATGCAGCCATAGCTGCTCTGCAACTTCGCTTTCCTACCCTTTCGACAAGCGTCCGCATCCTCAAACGATGGCTGGCAGCGCACATGCTGTCGCCTCATGTCGCACCTGAGCTGGCAGAATTGCTGACTGCATATGTCTATCTTGATCCTACATCAAGTCTTGCTCGGCCCGGCAGCCCTGCCACAGCTTTCGCAAGGGCGATCGACCTGCTATCTGCCTGGCAATGGCTTGACACGCCCCTGCTGATACCGCTCTATACCTCTATTGGCCTCGCGCCCGAAGTGAGAGCAGTCCTGCCGATCAAGAAAGAGCAGCTGGCACGCGATGCTTTCGTACGCATGCGCAAGATGGATCCTGCCGTTCAACGCAGTGCGATGGTGCTCGTGACGGAGGAAGATCTCGAAGGCAACCTCTACACAAAGGACAAGCCCACGCGACTTGTCGCTGCAAGGATTGTTCAGCTTGCCCAAGCGACATTGCAGACCATTCGAGCTGAGACGCAGATAGGCAAGCTTGACGTCAAGGTAACGTGATCTGTCGAGCCCTGTGGAGTCATGCTTAGCTTTCGCACAGAGTATGTTCAAGACGCCGCTGGCGCATTATGATCTCCTCATCCATCTGGATGCTTCGCAATTACCCCGCTATGCAGAGAGTATCTCGCCACGACAACATCTCCTCACCGCTCGACAGCCCCGATGGGCACTTGCCAATCAAGCGGATGGAGCTCGCTCTGTACCGCTAGGCTTTGACCCTGCTCAGAATCTGGTGAGGACTCTCGAGCACTTCTATGGCGACGCAGTCGTCTTCTTCCACGATGTCCATGGGGGCGACGTCATCGGCGCACTCGTCAATCCGGCCATTTTGAAAGAGCGCGATTTCAGACTCGGTCTTGGCTATCCTTGTCAACCTGCTGACGCATCGGAAAGCGCCGGGAAAGTCAAGATCATTGCCAGTCTTGCTAGCATGATTGGCGAGATCAGAAGGCTCGGCGGAAAGCTTGTGACCGGCGTATCGACGAACAAGCATGATCAGCTGGTCTGGCAGGCTGCCTAGTTGACCTCCTCGAGCAGGCCCTGGACGAGCAAGCGCGCTACGTCTGACCGTTTGACAAAGAAGAGGTTGTTCTTGCCGAAATGGATGGTGCCCGCCTCCGTTTCAACGTTGCCAATGTCTTTGAGGACGCGGACTTGCACATAGAGATCTTGCGGCGGTCTAGGATCGAGTGGGGTAGTGATGTCGACAACATCAATGAAAGCAGACTTGTACTGACGCACGAGAGCAGCGTAGTCCTTGATGAACTCTACCTCTGCCGGGGATAGCTCCTTCCTGAGGCCTTCCTCCTGGCCTAAGAGCTGTGAAGTCGTCGCTCCCTCGTCCCAGAAGAGCTGCTTGATCTTGTTGAGGCGAGAGCGATGATAGGCGAAGAGACAGCGCTTGTTGCGTTGCATGGCGAGCGCAGACACGACGATGGAAGCCATCTGGCCCTCATCTCTCTCTATCTGGGAGAAGACCTCCTCGCCTGCAGTGATCTGCTCGCCCAGCTGTCGAGCCTCTCGCTGAATGAGTCGAACGAGCTCGGAATTGTAGGTGCGCAGGAGATCTGTTTGCTGAGCTCTTTTGGCCTGCCAGCGCCGCATCAGCATGCCGAACACACGCAGACGGGTTGGACCGACCTCGGCCACGAGCTTGTGAGCATCATCGCAGAGCATCTCTCTGAAGATCTCAAGCCGTCCAGAGAGCCCAAAGTGCGCGCGACGCGACACGCGCGACATGCTCGCTGTGTGCGCGGCTGATCAGAGCTGATGGATCCTTGCTCATACAATCAGATCGAAAGCCTCACGGAGAGTAACAAGAATGCGAGCATGATGCAACGGGGTCAGGATAGCGCAACGCGGCCGCATTGCTACAGAAAGAGAGACCCTTTGGGCGAGATGTGCCACGATCATGTGATCGGCTTGCTCGCTTTGACAGCAAGCGCGTGGCCAAACGCTCGGCGAGATGATGTCTGAGCATATGGTAGGATCGTGCTTGCGGTCGGCAGTCGCTGCTGCGACCTTATCGTGCGTTGGAGCGCTTGTCGCCTTGGCATCGTGCGCGGTATCGCTATTGCCGATGGCTCGAGCCGCGGTGTCCTGTGTGGTGGCTTTGTGTAATGCAGTACGAGTGCGCACGCTAGGTGCCGCTACGCAAGTCGTGCGAGATCGGGAAAATGTCCTTTGCCAGCTTGGCGACTGTAGTGTCCTCTACGCTCTGTAGAGCCTTGATGATCTTGTCCATGCGCTCCGAATCGACAGGTGGACTTCCTGTACGTGCGTATATGTCGAGACCGGCGGGCGAGAAGAGCGTTGCCTGGAAGTAGCTCACAATCCACTCGTCCCGGTCTGGTGGCAAAGGGTGCTCCTTTGCCAGGTGTAAGCCTAAGATCTGCCAGTCTGATGTGATGGGCATCAGGAACCCTTTGCCTCTCCACCTCCAATGCACGCCATTGACCGTGGAGAGATCCTTGATACCCGAAGGCAGTTCTCGTCTGTCGATACCTCTTATGGCCCGCCTTGGCGTCTTGCGAGAGTCGACGTAGACCGAGGCATGGTACTCCACGAGGTCGTCCAGTCTATCGCTTGCAGGAAAGCCAGGGACGAGTGCATAGGTGATGCAGACGTTCTTCTTGTTCCGCCAAAGGGGCAGGGTCGAGTAGACGATGTCCCAGCTGCCCAGCAGAGCATCGTAGTCCACTCGCCCCACAGAAAGTACAGGGGCGTTCGTGTCCGGTGAGAACACTCTGATGTGATCTGTCTCTTCGCTCTCCGAGGATCTACTCGGCGGCCTTGGCACGACGGACATGCTGACTAGCTTGGTCTCCTTCGTCCTTCAGGCGTCCTCGTGAGCTCGGACTGGCCTTGGAGGATAGCTGTCGATCAACACATCTCGATGGCCGACTTTACCTGCATCTTCTCTCGTCTAGGCCGCACTCCGACGGTCGGCAAGTCCGTTCAAAATCGACTTGGACAGAAGAAAAACGGCGCGCGTCTGCGATCGCCTCGCTCGACGCCCGATGATGTCTCGTTGCGCCGCGCTTTGTTTGCGCAAGAGCTCATCGGAAGTGCCTGCTTGCTAGCTTCAGACCCGCCAAGGATCTCAGTGGGCATCAAGGGGGCACTTGTAGACCTCTGCTCGCTCTTGTGAGCCTGTCGGCGAAGTATCGTCAGAGCTACAGCCTCATCAGCCGCCTGTCTCTCGAAAACTCGGCCAAGCACTGCCAAACATTAGCCCGGACGAGCTCTCGATCCATATTCTACTCGTCAGCTTCACGTCGGGATCGCGACAGGCTCCTGGCTGGGCTTAGCACCGTGCACACCTCAGAGGTGCCTTTGACGCGAGCGCTCACATCCGCCTGCCTGACGACGCCACGTCCGCAAGGCTGACCCTACCGCTTCTTACGCTCCATCACGATAGCACGGACAGTCGAATCGCCGCAGAGACCTTCGCCAGAGCTCGTCTGCGCCATAGACGATGCCGCTCCTCAAGCGCAAGCCGATAGTATTGCTGCCTCTACCCACAGGCGCCACAGATGGCTCGATATCACAGCAGGAGCATGTCTTCTACATCGACGAGACCGGCGAAGTCTTTCTCGACTACGAGTGAGTTGACCTGCTGAGCTGCCAACGCGCACGGCTCATCCTGTCTGCCGTGCAGCTCCTATGCCCAGAGAGTAGCTTATCTCCAGCAGCGCATCTTCACATGCGAGCACACGGGCAAGGCCGGTCTCGACTACTTCCAAGCAGTTGCATCCGAGCGTGCCGAGTCCAAGCTCGTCAACGACCGCTTTCCAGACCAACTCAAGCATCGCGTCCTCGCAGCATGCAATTTCTGTCAGTCGCTCACCTAGCTCAGCCGGAGTCAGGTGAAATCTGACATGCGCTTGCTTGCAGTCGTCTGCGGTCGCATAGACAACCTCGTTGACATGGTCTTCGATAGACTGAAGGACCGATATTTCGCCGGCGAGCGCGTCGTTGTCGACCTTCATGGTGACAAGTGAGCACCGCCCATCATTGACGGTTGTCGCTCATACGTCTGCAGACTGTACGGCAAGATCATCAAGGTCTACCCGCCCAGATTCATACGCGACCATTATGGACGTAGCGATCCTCTTCACGCCGACAGTAAGAAGCGCGCTTTCGACGACATGACGACCAATGGCACCGCTTCCACGTCTGAGCTGCCAGCCTCAGATCGGTACGAAGCCATCGCTCACTCTTTAGGAACAGACCTTTGGGCGTCCGCGCACGAGTTGATCGAACACGATCCTTCGTCAGAATACCTCTACACCGTGCAGCTCATGTCAAACGATGGCGCTTTCAACGAATCGCTCACAGAAGCACAAGCTTCCCAACTCGCAAGAGACCGTAACAACTTTTCCAAAGTCATGCTCAAACGCTTCCTACGCGACTCATTGCAGCGAGATCCCGCTCTGGCCTCGCCCTGGCAAGTCAAACCTTCTCTCTGCTCTGCTTTCGGTCTGCCCCTCGCTCCTGACGACGAGATCAAGCGCAAGAACGAAGCTGCGAGGGAAGCTAGTCTGGCGAAGAGGAAGAAACTTGACCCGGACGATTTGATCGATGGCAAAGGGAAAGGGAAATCACAGGGAGAAGCAGGCGCGAAGAAGCAGATCAAATACCCAATAGAGGATCTCGAGCTTGAGATGGGACCCGCATCAGACAGTAGAGAGCGCAACGGCCTGGCAGACACGCACGAGCCGGCGACAAAACCTGTGCCCCGTAGAGACATGCCGGTCCCTCAGGAGCACATGAGTGCGCTACTTATGCAATGGAGCATGCTTCAAATCTTCAGGTCGGTCACAAACTTCTGCATCAGGACTGTGTGCTGACATCAGAACCTGGCCCAGCGAGCCACTGCGATTATCGCCTTTCAGCTTAGATGACTTCGGCGCCGCACTGCGGCACGATGCCATAGATGTACACTGCGCGCTCACATCGGAAATCCATGGCTGTCTACTCAATGCGCTCTCTGTCGAGCCAGCGCTGGCTGTCTATGGTACAGTCAGCTATACTGCCGCAAGCCAGATGCTGCCAGAGCTTTCAGCGGAAGCTTTGGGTGGTCTTCCGCCAGATATCGCGGAGGTCTACCTCAGGGCGGCAGTCTCACTTGGCAATGTTTGGCCAAGAGCAGCCCAATTAGATCCTGAGAAGGATCGCAAAGGCTGGGAGCACCATCTCATTGGCGCGATCTGTCAGCGCGGAGGAATAGAGACCCTGCCTCGGATTGCCTCGATCGTCCGACATCTGCTCAGCTCGCTCGACGACGACCCAGAAGATATACCAGATAATGCAGAGGACTGCTATATCGAACGCAAACCGCAAGACCGATATCCGACTTTGCCTCTGGCAGACAAGCTATTGCTGCTCGGCTTTCTCATCGACCTCGCATTGCCTTCGCGAGCTATCGTCAACTTCATGAACGAGACCGAGAGCTACCTGTCAGAATTGCGCAAGGAACGAATTGAGATCAACAAAGAAAAGAGACAGCTCATTGCTGAGCGCAATGCCATGGATGGCAAGAAGACGACGAAACCTAAAGATTTGCCGGACGACGCGGATGATGATGCAGTGGCCACGCTTTGGCCAAGTCAAGCCGAAGGTTTGGATCTGGACGAGGCAAACGGCCTCGACTCTTCCATCAGTCATGACGCCCGCGACGAAAGTTTCGAGCCAGAACGATCCAGTGAGCGCGAGCTTACGCCTCTGTCGATGCTGGCTACGCCCGATCCTTCGCCAGCTAGCGCCAAATCTCGTGCGCAAGTATTGAAAGATAAGCAAAGAGCGAGAGAAGCGGAGGATAAGATCAAGCGGAAAGAAATTGCTGCACAAAAGGCGGCAAACAAGGAGAAGCTGCTCAGCAAGAAGGGCAGCGAAGCTGCTCGCAGGCAACTCAAAGAATCCTTTGAGGCTCTGTATAGCCGGGAAGAATCGCTCGAGTACGAATGGCGACGCAACCGAGGTGTACGTGCCGTGATTCCACTCGGCAAAGATCGCTTTTACAACTCATACTGGTGGTTCGACGGCATCGGTGGACAAGCATTGCGGAGCAGTCAAGGGGGACATCTCTATGGAACAGGACGACTATTCGTCTTGGGCCCAAGTGGGATCGACTGTGACTTGCTCAGCGATCGCGGACCTTTGAAGATCAAGTCAAGACGACAACGTGAAGAGGGCGAAGCTTTGCTCGAGACTGGCATCTGGGGCTACTATCAGCAAGAGGACGAGGTAGGCAGCCTACTTTGTTTGTCCGGCAGAGACTCACGCTTTGCCCTGCTGCACAGTTTGATGCATTGCTTTCCTGGCTAAACAGCAAAGGCAATCGCGAGCTCTACCTCAAGCAGCAGCTCACAAAGTGGAAGCACTGTATTCTCGGCGGAGCAGAGAAGCGACTCAATGTTCGTCGTCGCGCCTATGTTGCTTCTGATGCTGATGCCTTTGACACTAGGATTTGATGGATGCTCAGAAGCCCCTTGAAGCGCGGCGAAGTGGCAGAACAAAACACTCGGGGCCGGAACAACGGTATCTGGCTTGGCGCAACAAGCTAGCCTAGAGGCTCCACGATCCGCTTGATCGCTAAAGTGCTCACTTCGAGGGTGCCGACTCCGTTGTGGCCCCCAGAGTCGATCTCTAGATGCACTACTGGGCTGCCATTGGACCTCGTAAAGTGTCGGAGCAATCCGTGACCGTACATTGTTTGCTGAGCGATCGAGGTCGCGCCGATTGTTGAATTTAAGAAGACATTGTCGAAGAGTTCTCGAGAATGCGTGTAGACAATATCGTGGTCGTTTGTGGAGTGAATCAGCAGCAATGGGCATTGTGCAAGCGACAGGATAGTATCGGTTTCGAAACGTGTTGTCAAGAAGGTGCGTACGAGCGCTTCTACATGTCTAGATTTGCGCAAGGGCCCCATTATCGGGATCAGGCCGAACAAGCGATACGTCGTGAGCAGAGACGGTATACTTTTGAATGGCGCTATCAGTATCAACGCCCTCAGATGGATGTCTACTCCTGTATGAGCACGAGGCTCGACAGATGGCAGAAATATTACCTTGGGGCGCCAGTTGCCTCGCTACGAGGTCAGCACAAATTCCAGTCCCTAGCGAATGACCGTAGCAAACGATGTCGTGGGCATGCACGCCGATCTCTGCATGTAGCAGTCAGTCTACGCTGCTCCGCGAAGGGAGGGCACACCTCGGTTGAGCCATTCGAACAGCCTGCCGGCATCTTGCACCGCTGTAGCTTGCGATGGTCGTATCGAGGACGAGTCGCCAAAGCCTCTATCCGCCTTGCATCAGTCTGTCTGCAGCTGCAAGGTTTGAACTGACCTATAGTCAAGCATCACGACGTTAAAGTCGAGCTCGTTTGCCAGAATCCTGGCGGCACGCATACGGAAGCCGACAGCACGCGTAGCAGCATTACCGTGCATGTACATGACTGCTCTATGTTTGAGCCTGCCCGGCCTCGTAGTCTAAGAGACCGTACGTGTCGGTCGATTGGAAGTACTACGCTCAGGTGAGCAAACGCCACTCTGATATGTCTAGACTTACCGAAGGATGTCAGCATAGACTGCTTGCGACGGACGCATAGGTAGAGACTCTATCCGGGTGGAATATGAGCTAAGCGCAGGCAGAAGCCAAGCACCAAGGTGCTGATCTTTGCCAATGGGAATTCGCAGATTATGGACGCGGTAGGCTAGACACTTGTCTCAAAACACAAGTCGTGCTCTGCAACGAAGACGTACGAGCGAAGCCGTAGCTCTCTGGAGCGTCGAAGTTACTCTGGAAGTCAGAGCAGATGAGATCAATCATATGAGTCACAGTTCGCGATTGACCTGGCCTGAAAGTCGCACGCGATGGAGGAAGATGAGATGCTGCTGTATTTGTTCGAAGCAAAGCAAGGCGAGGAAGGTTGCATACAGCGCGAATGGCGCAAGGGCGAGTACTGCCAAATAAGAGGCTGCCATTGCGGCAAACGCCCGGGCATCGATGGATGGATGTATCGACGCGCTTCGTAGAATCGATAGGGCAGCAGCAGCTTGCCGTGTCCTGAGCAACAGCATCGGCCAATGACGGCTGAAGCATGGACTGCGTCGACAACCCTCGTCATCCGGTGACGAGAGCGCTCGGGGCATTCCCGCTCGTGTTTGTCGGTTCGGTGTTGGTGTGGGCGTTGTGAGTGACGCAGGCGATCCGCCCTTGCCCGTCTGACTCATGACAATGACAGCTATTCCTTCGCCTGCTCCATCAGTATCGGCTATGTCCTTCTGCACAGACAGTCTGGCCAGCCCTCGTTCAGATGGACAGCTGAGATCATCATATTCTGTACGCTTTGGTTTCTCGCCGTCTTCAGTCTCGTCAAGGTCTGCAAACTCGGGCCTGGCTTTGTGCGAGAGTCAGATCACTCGAGCACGGTCGCAGACGAGGAGAGCTACTCGCTCGTGCCCAAAGACGCGCTCGAAGACAGGGAAACGCAGCGAATGGCCAAAGCGGATGGCTCAAGGAGATATTGCCGCAAGTGTCGGCTACACAAGCCAGACAGAGCGCATCACTGTCGCATCACCGGTGCATGCATCCTCAAGATGGATCACTACTGCCCCTTTGTCTTTTGCACGATCGGTCATCGTAATTACAAAGCTTTCATTCTCTTTCTTGGCTACACTTCATTCCTCGGCATCACGACTGCCATCTCGACCGGTCTGCGATTGTTGCAGTACGCCGAGGACGCGACTGCGCTCGACTACGAGCTTACCTCTGTCAATTGGGCCTTGCTACTCTTGATCGCAGCAATGTTCAGCTTGATCATCGTCGCTTTCACAGCACATCACCTCTACATGATCAGCAAGAATCGCACGACGATAGAAAACGTCGAGCGGACCAACAGACTGCGACTGGACGAGTCATCGAGCGAGGCGCGCAGATGGCGAGATGATAACATGCTCACGCGCGACGAGCGACGTAAGCTAAGAAAGGCAGCTGCGAAGGCCAACATATACGATCTTGGCGCGAAAGAGAACTTCAAGCAAGTCTTTGGGCCTTGGTCGTGGCGATGCTTTGATCCTCGTGTGCCTACACCCGGCGACGGCTTACATTTCCCGGTCAACCATGAGCACCATGCTCGGCTTCAGAGCCTGACAGAGGCAATACGACTAAGGGTCGATGAGAATCATGTATAACAATCTAGCTGCATTGATCTGTTGTTGTCTAGCGTACCTTGCTGAACGGATTCAGCAACGAAGCGTCATTCTTCTTCTCCGTCTTGCTCTTTGGGAACCTGTGCGACCGGCTTTTTTTTTCATTCTCTGATCGTATTGATGTAGATTTGAGACTCACGCGTTCCAGAACCGGAGGGTCTCATCGCCTGCGCCGGTGACGATGGTCTGACCGTCGGGCGACATGGCAAGGTACAGCACCCGCAAGCTGTGACCGGTCAGAGTCGCGACTTGAGTCATCGAAGGATACTTCCAGACGCAGACTTGGTTCTGCACTTTACCAGACGAGAAACCGTGGGTCGAAACCAGCTCTTGATTGTTGCGCGAGAACATCTGCCACCCCAGATCAGCCTTCGTCTGGGTTGTGAGGGACGGTCTTACCAAATTGCACACTTGGGAGCCCGTGTCGACTTCGTTCACGAGCGATCCGGTCAGAGTGTTCCAGAACCTGATTTTCTTGTCTGCTGTCCCTCCGCCGGATGCCAAGATGCCATGTTGATGAGGATTCCAGGCGATCGCCTTCACCGCAGCAGTGTGTTCGGCAAAGCGATGCAGCGGAGTCGTGTTGAGAGCGTCCCAGACGAAGAGCTTGTTATCATTGCCGCCACTTGCGAGCTGATTCTCTGCCGTGTTCCATTTTAAACCACAAACCTCTTGCTTGTGGTCTGAAAGGATGGAGTTCCAGTGCGCAGGTGACCGAACATCTCTATGTAGGATGTTGCGATCTCTAGAACCGGACGAGAGTATATGGTTATTCCACGCGAGCGCGCCCACTCGACCCGTGTGACCAGACATTGTACGGATAGGTTGCTTGCCCGTCTCTGCATCCCAGATCTGCACTGTGCCTAGATAAGTTCCTATCGCGATCTGGCTACCCTGCAGCGGCGTAGGATGGATGAGCTTTCTTTCCAGCTCTCAGCAGCATGCGATTGGCGCACCTTGCCAATCCAGTTGATAGACGTGACATGATCGCCTTGCTCGCTCAGATCGCACAATCGCTCAACCTTGCTCGTATGCGCTTGCCAGAGGTAGACGCAAGATCCGAGTCCGACGCCGAGGATGTTGGTGCTCGACCAGTCGACCAGGTTCAGGTAAAAGTCGTCCTGTGAATCGTTGAGCTACAAGCCAGCGGACGAACCGAGCGGTACTGACTGCTAATTCGGGCGCATCCAAGACTTTGAAGGGGACCTTGCTGAGGCTTCTGGCTACTTTTTTCGGACTGAGCAGAAGCTTCTGTGACTCGTATTTGATGGGCGATGTGGAATAGCGATCGTGGGTCGGGCTGTCGAGCCCTTGCAGGCCAGCGTACTGGCTGGCAGATCTCTTCTTGCTAGGACTAGTGAAGCTGAACAGATTGCGGCTAGGTGATACGTTCGTCGTGCCAGAGGGCGCCAAAGGCGAATTCGTCAGGGAGGCCAGCGAGTGAGCTGACGAGTGCGAGGCGAGAGAATAGCGCGACGCGGTGGGCGAGCCGGGCTGAGAGATGAAATTGAGGGAAGTCTGACTCGTCGAGGAAGTCACCCTTCGATGAGGGGAAGCATCGAAGAGCTCAGACTTGAGCAATGCATCGAATGTCCGGTCGGCCTCGTCTGCTTTGACAATCATTCAGATGTGCTGGATCACCAAACGGATACGGGCGTACCTTTCTGTACATCTGACTCTGCGCCGGCTCGGTCAATCGTACGCTTTCCTCTGCGTGTTGGCGTGGTGGGACCAGAGCGAATCTCATCTGGATCGAGCAGCTGATAACTCGTCGCGAGATCAACGCCGTCTCGTGTAGGAATAAATCTGGTCGAGCGAGTCTGAGCATTGCCATACGAACAAGTTAGCGCAGGACTGACCTGTCGCCGTAGGTACGTTCTCTGTCTTTGCCCTTTCGCGGGGAAGAAGGAGAAGGTTGTCTGCTCGAGGCAGCAGATCCGTTCGTCTGGCCAAAGAAAGTCGACTTTGGCTCTGCAGATCGACTGATATGGCCTGTAGATGCGCTATGATACAACGATGGCATAGCCGGACTCAGTGAAGGGGCTAGATGGGCTGTCGAAGTGGAAGCGAGCGGCAAGGAAGTCGTCGAATTATTGCGCGACTGAGCTGTCCGTTGCCAATCTGACAAGCTGGCCTGTGAGCCCGAGCGAGGGAGAGCCATGTCTGGCCTTTCAGCGCTGTGGCTACGTCAGGCCAGCCTGGTGAAGTCGAGTCGGTGCTGGCTGTTTGCGCCAGCCAGTCGACGCGTTTTGTCGTCGTGCACGAGCGAGTTGCTTCGTCCTCGTCACTCGCATAAAGTGGCGGCTACTCGTCGCAGATGAAGTCAGGCGTCACACGATGAGTGCACTAGCATGGATCGACACGGCCTTCAGACGCTTGCGTGCTCGCGCGGAGCAGTACACCACTCTGCCCTCATACAGCAACGGCAGTGGCGTCACTGCCTCTTTCCTGCCGACGTCGTTCCTTGAGCAGTGTCCCTGCGTCACCAGATCGCAGCTCACGACATCAGCATGCGCGCTCCTCCTCTTCATCATCCTCTTCGCTTCCAGCCTCAGTCAGCGGCCTCCACCGGCGTACGAGTACAGAGGACTGCCCGTTCTCGCTCGGCATATGAATCAGTCGACATGCCATGGCGAGTTCCCAGATCTGTACCGGTCAGTCGATGCTGTATGGTATGACGCCGTCTGAAACAGGCCAGAACAGAGAAGCCGAAAGAGCTGCACAATATTGGCGACACCGAGGCGGCATCACTCGCGCTGCACTCGATGCAGCAGACGCCCAAGCACACGCTCGCGTTCTCATCAAGGACAACCAGGCTAGTGCAGTCGCTCATGTTCGTGCTCATACTTATGCCGATGGCCATGTCAATAGGTCTATTTGACCAATTATCGCGGCGGTATCAACTCGCGCACGCTAGCAGCTCTGGCAAGTCTGAACGAAGCTGTCCTCACAGCAGTCGAAGAACTACCCGCGGTCGAATTCGTTATTCAGACAGATGATTCGGCTCCCATTGCAGGCGCAGCACCTCGCTGGGTCTTTGCTAGAACAGACGAAGAGGACGAATTGGCATTGTGGCTCATGCCCGATTTTGGTCACTATGCTTGGCCGGAACCGGGTGTGGGGAGCATGGCAGAAGTCCAAGCCAAGGCTTCTGCCTTCGAGGCCGCTCAGACTTGGTCGAGCAAGATTCCAAAGCTATTCTGGCGCGGAGCGCTTGTCAACCCATTACGAGACGAGCTCATTCGTCTGAGCGATGAGAACCGCGGATCGTGGGGCGACGCCAAAGCTCTCGATTGGGGTAGACTCGAAGGCGAGTTGAGATCGCCCGCGCAACACTGTGCGTACAAGTACTTGGCACACGCTGAAGGGTTCGCATATTCGGGTCGACTCAAGTACATACTCCAATGTCGTTCAGTCGTCGTCATGCACAAGCTGCGGTATACCCAGCATTTCCACCACCTGCTCAATTACACAGGACCGCAGCAGAATGCAGTCCTGGTCGAAGGTCCGGGCTGGCAAGGTCTCGAACTCGTCATGCGCGATCTTATGGAGCACGACGATCATACACGTCATCTCGCCCAACACTCCTTCGAGTACTGGCACAAGTGGCTCAGTCCGCCTAGCATAGATTGTTACTGGCGACAACTCTTCTGGGAGTGGTCAGCGCTGCAACGTTTTACACCAGAGCTGACGGATGAATTTGTGCCCTATGCTTCCTTCGAGTGCGTGCTTCGTCAGTTTCCTTAGATCCTGCTCACAGTAGACCGCAGTCTGATGAGGGCCACCAAATGGGATATACATTAGCAGTAGCAACCACATGAGCAGGAACAGAGAGTCAGTGCAGAAACAAGGAACTCGTGCAATTTGCGTGTTGTTGACAACAAAAATGTGCAAAAGATCTATTGATCGTCCTTCTCGAAGCATCTGCTGGGTATCATGACCTCGCCTCGCATAATCTCTCTAGCCGTCCGTGTCATGAGTACCGCCGTTGCTGCTCCTTCTCCGCTCACCACTACTGCAGACTCTGCCACGCCGGCTGGGTGACCGACACGTATTCTCTGGACTGCTTGGTCGTTTGCCAGGCAGAGACTTTCGACCAGTGAGCCCTTTATGCTGCGTGCAACCGATAGAGCGGTCAGAGTTGTCCCAGGCACAGATCGATGGGCATCGCCTGTAGAGAAGGCGCGAACGATGATATCGAAATCGTTCGATTTGAGAGTCTCACCGCCTGTGGTCGTGTAGTCTCGAGCACCTCCGATTAGACAGACTTTAGGCGATGCAGCGCTATACTGTAGCTTCGTAAGGTCGTGGATCTGAGCTGCAGCGTGCCTGAAGTTTTCGATAATGGCACGTAGCTGATCATCGCTGTCCAGATCGGCAGGCGAGCGCGTGAGAGTATCAAGAGGTAATCCAAGGTCTTCAGGCCGTACGAAGAGATTTGGCAGCCCGGCGGTGATCATCGAACAAGGCACGTCTCTGCCGGCGAGTGGGACTGTATCGACGGTTCGGCCAGTGAACGCTCCCGTGCTCGCAGGGTCCAGAGGAAATTCGAGCTCTACAGGCAAGCCTAAGCCGGGCACGCCCGCAAGAGCATAGCCTGTCGCATCCTCTGTCTCTGGCACACGCAAAGTGTCTGCATTGACAGGCACATGTGCAGTGAATATCGTGCCTGTATTCGCAAGTATCCTGAGCGAGACTTTTGATTCATTCAGCCGGTTCCGTAGCGTAGACTCGGGCACAAGACGATCATCAATTGCAGAGACTGCTACCGCGCTGAGCATGTTGCCGCACGTAGCTGCCCAGTCAAGCTTTGGCTCACGAACGCCAACCTGAGCAAACCGGTAGACCACATCGTACGCGTTCGTCCTGTCTGCATCATCTGCCCAGTCGGGGCCTGGCAATCGACCATGAGCTCGCTGTTGATCCAGACCTTCGCCAGGCTGAGAGATGACAACAGTCTTGGAAACAGAGGAGTAGCCGCCGCCGAGACCGTCTATCTGACGCCCGTCGGGGTCCGGAGACCCCATGGCGGCTAGGATGATCTTGTCTCGTATCGCTGGACTGTAAGAGGCAATAGCATTGGCTCTGAGCATGAGCGCTCGACTGGTGCCGCCACGCCAGAAGCTCGCGGGTATAGGTATCGCCATGATGATGCGAGGAGGATGGAGGGCGTGACGCGTGGCATGTGACAGCCGGCTAGCAAGACGCGTCAAGAAGTGCTTCGCCACAGGCTGCCACAGCGCATATCAGCACTGGACAATCACAGAGCCAGGGCGGAGAAGCTCTCAGTTTATGGTAGTCGCGGACTGTACATGCACTCAAAATACAACCAACACTATGCTCTTATGTCTTACTTCGACTCGCTAGCGCTCAATGCGCCACATCTTCCCAATTGGTCGGCTCCCCTGCAAAGTATGCTGATCAGTGACGCCTGTGACACGACGAAGATGAAGACGTACACGATCGACCAACCGTCTTGCTCAGATCTTCGCTCGTCACTTTCTTGCCAGCAGAAAAGTAACCGGCCGCAATCTTTGCATCGATCTCGACGTGTGCATCCGGTCCAATGAGATGGTCAGGCAGATCGTGTCGGTTGAGAACAGCTGTGGCGACGATATATCAGTGCTCTGAGAATGGCAGGATGGATCGAGAACGCACAAATCCCGCTCGACGTGATAGCATTGTATCTGTTTGTGACTATGAGCACATTGCGAAGGCGTCAAAAGGAGCCTTACTTCATGTCCGACATCGACCAGAGATGGTCAATCTTTGTGACACCTAGCCAGTGTAGTGGATCGGGCATGAGCTCTTGGAATCTCATATCCTTCACGCCTGCAATGTCTTCCGTCCTCTTGAAGTAGTCTTTCGCCGAATCTTCTGCATACTTGCGCGCGCAATAGACGAGATACTTGACGACCTATACCGTCATCATTCAGCATAGCACGACACACCCGGTCAAGCGAGCCTACCTCGCCGAGTGCGCGTCCTTCCTTGCGATAGTAGATCACCAAGCCGACGCCGCCTTCCTGAGCAGTCTTGACGGCGTGCTCGATGCCGTAGATCAGATATGGTCGACACGTGCAGACGTCCGAGCCAAAGACGTCCGAACCTGAGCACTCGTCATGCACACGGAGTGAGAGCACTTTGCTCGGATCGGAGAGATAGGCCGGATTGCCAATGATATAGGCCGTAGCTCCGCTAATGGGCGGTAGAAACGTCTGCAGACGTGTCGTGAGCATCCCGCGTGCAGACTTTGCTTTGCACGTACTTTCAGATCGGGACGAGTGAGCAGCTCGGGGTACATCCCGCCGGTCTCCTCAAACAATGCACGGCGAAGGATGTTCTCGGAGATGCCAAATCGATGAGCGATGCCGGGCAACCACCAGACATTATCAATCGCTGCCTTGCCGCAAACGATATCGACACCTGCCTCCTTGATCTTCAGATCCATCTCTGCCCTTGCCTCTTCTGTCAATATCGAGCCTGCTTGCTTTGCTTGCTTCGCTGCATCCGACCATGCTGACGGCGTGGGAACGATAATCTTGCCGTCGACTTTGATGCGACCTTTGAGCACGGCTTCGTCTATCTCGGCCAGCTTGAGATGAGCTCGCGTGACCGAGATAGTCGGCCTGACGTCAATTCCCTTGTCGAGGTGGGACTGCTTGTAGACTATCATGGACATGTGTGACCATGGATCGAGCGAGACGATCTTGTAAGGGTCGAACCAGGCCGGCTGAGGAGGCAGGTCGAATGGTGGCTCTGTATGAGTGTAATCGGGCCGATGGAGCGGATCGAGATTGCCGGTAGCCATTGCCAAGGCGCGATAGACGCAATAGGGCCCAGCGTACGCGCCGATCGCATTTCTAATCTTGAGCGAGTCAGGCTGTCGAGAGGCGACGACTGGCCCTCTCTCGAGGGCAGTCCTGGCGCCCCAGTTGAGCGGAATAGGGTCGATGCCGACTTGAGTAGGATATGTAGTGAGGACGACGCGTGTCGAGAAGGCAGGCTCCTTCTTGCCCGTCGGCGCGACGGCCGAAGTGGGCGATTGCGAATGTGACCAGGCGAGAAAGCGCTCTTTCTCCCTGAGCGAGTCTTCCATTCCTCTGCTTGCAGCACGAGCATGGAAGCTGGACGAAGTTGCGCCTGGTGAGCCGACCCTGAACCCGGCAGACTTGACAGCGACGGGCAAAGTCAAAGGTGTCGACGCTTGGCTCGCGGGCAGCGATACAGCTGGGATATCGCGAGGCGAGCCGGCAAGCGCGGTCGACAGGGCGGAGAGAGAAGGCACACGCTGGGGCAGCAGAGTAGAAGGTGATCCAAAGGCATTGGGATGATCGGGTGAGAGAGTGTCACCTGTTTCGCTGCCTAAGCGGCTCGTTCGTTGCTGGCTGATCGAATCCACCTGAGTCTTGAGAGCGGCTTGCTGCGTCTTGAGATCTTTGACTTCGAACAAGATGGACTGCAGGACATCGAGCATGCTGGCGTCGCCCATAGCGTCAATGTCGCCCTATCTGTCAACACGTGTCACTTGGGTCAGTGACTGCAGAACAGGCTGAGCTTGTATCGCGCACTCTGGCTGTGACGTTGAACCTGAGCTAGGGGGGGAGGGGCGAATGGAGGGAGTCACGATGACACGAGTGAGGAGCGCTGCCTTGTATCGATGCCGTCACCAGCGGACAAGCACAAGCCCGATAGCACAACGCGCGCCGCGCCTGCCTGTCAGCCAGACAGCGCGCTCACGTGCACGGTCGGGTCCCATCGCAAGTCGCTATGCAGTCATCCTACAGCTTCAATCAGTCTCCCTTTGGCGGTCAGACGAACCAGCAGCATCATCAGCAGGCTAGTGGCTCAGCTTCTTGGCAGCAGCCGTCTTTTCAGCAGTCACCGCAAAGACCGTCAGGCGGCCAGAATGGCTTCACACCCGGTCTGTACAACAGCAACGCGGCAGCAGGAGGCGCAAGCATGCCCTCTTCCTCGTCAGTGTACATGCAGCAACAGTCTCAGCAGCCCGGTCAGCCTGCCCAGCAAGAGGGCGCGAGGAAATACATGCCTGGCTACTTGACTTCAAACTATGCCATGTCTTCTCCTACTGTAGGATCGTCTCCTCTCAGCAAGCACGCTCAGTAGACTGATCGGAGGCTCTCTCCCTCCCTCGTTCTCAGAGATTGAGACCAGAAGAGTACGAGTATGGCTCCTCTCCCGCGCACGTCTCGCCCGTCATGACGCAACGATCGAGCGTCTTTGGGCCCCAAGCATCCACTTCGCGCGACACGCCGTCTAGGATACGACGCTCGACTGCAGACACATCCTTTGGCGCCTCGACGTACGGTTCGCACGCCAGTCCGCAGAGAAATGCGGCCAATGCACTTTTTGAGGACGCGCCGCCTATCTCATCCTTGGATGACACCGACGATCTCCCCGTTTCCTACGCCAAAGTCAGTAGTCTCTTGAATACCACGGTATCGTGCTAATGTCGATACGCAGGACACGTCCATGACATTGTCAACCTCACCAGCAAAGAATGGCGCAGAGGCAGAAGGCACAGAGAGCTATCGCGTCCATGTCTTTGGCTTCACCGTGGCCTCACTAGACGCTGTACTCGATCACTTTGGCTCAATCGGCGACATGGAACTCGTAGAGTCTTGTCCCGAAGGCGGCAACTGGATCACGCTGGCCTACAAGGAGGCATGGGCCGCCGCACGTGCTGTTCGAAGAAATGGAGAGATCATCGGGGGTCTCATCATGATCGGTGCCAAATGGGCCGACTCTGAGCCCAAATTAGCTCCCGCTGTCAGCGCGACGAATGGGACAGTTCAAGATGCTGCTGTCAAGCCTGTCGACAAAGGTCCGATCTCAAGCATCGGCCAGCCGATACCGCTGGCCACAGGCTCGCCTTTCAGAACCTCAGTCACAAGTCAAGCCAGCAAACAGAGCAGCTTGCTGCAGACGCTCAATTCGGCAGGCACGCCAACGGCAAAGATGTTTGCGGACCGGGAGAAAGCGCTCACTGCCGGCGCGACGAAGCAACAGACACTGCTGAGCAGGGTCAGCGATCTCGTCTTTGGGTACTGAAACATTGCATACTTGCGCTATAGGTACTGACAACCGAATCGCGTTCATCTAGACGCCTCTGAGACGCTTGCGGGACTGGACGATCTGAACTACCTCGTCGCTCCCGTCGTCTACGTCTTCTCCTTCGTCTTCTAGCTCTGCAGATTTGCGCTTCGTCTTTGCTCTGCCCTTGCTAGCTCTGCTCGCCCTCGTACGAGTGGACATGTGCAGCGTGATGGGCGAGCAGGCCTTTTCGCACTCGGCCCAACTATCGAATCGTGTCAAGCGCAGGGCTGACGCGTTCGGTTTGAGATATTGTATGTAGCTATACGCAGTCGTCTTCCAGATGTCACCGATCATGCCATCTAGCCAAAGTTTGATGATGACGCTCTCCGTGTCATCCTTTGACAGCAGTACTTTGCCCTCGGCAATGCTGGCTAGATCGATCTTTCCTCTGCCAGTACCAGCCTTGCCACCGCGCGACTCTGTGTTGTAAAGACCACTGCCAAGACCACGGACGAGATCGCAGAGCTGACCCGTCGTCAGTCGACCATCGTTACGCACAGCTTCCGCGAGCACGCGCAGGATCTTCCATGCATGTTCTCTGATATCGACGGTCGAAACATCTCCCGGCGACCGCAAACAGTTGTCACAATGCCCACAGGCCTCTGCTTCCGCAATGCCAGTGCGACTATTGGCAGCAAAACCCATGGCAGAGCCGTGTGTGTCGGCAAAGTATCTCGCAAAGATGAGTTTCCTGCAGGTCTTCAGATCTGAGGCATAGGAGATCATCGTGCCCAGCTTCCTGCTGCCGTCCCGATCTGTAGCGACCAGACTCGCCATACGTGGAATATCCTGAGACCTGTACCAGAGTACGCAGGAAGCATCTCTGCCATCGCGTCCGCTCCGGCCGGATTCTTGCAAATAGGCATCCAGATTCTTCGACAGCGAGTGATGGAAGACGAAGCGACAGTCAGGCGAGTCTACGCCGAGCCCAAAGGCTATCCTGTTGGCGCTAATCAGCTCGTGCAGGGACTGCAGTCTCGTACTGACGTGGCACAGATGACTTGAATGGATTTATTACGCCATTTTCGATGGCAGCGTTCCTTCTCTGCATCCTCGAGGCCAGCATGGAACGCTCGAGCAACAATGCCGCCTTTGCTAGCTTCCTCTATAGCTTGCGCAGTCGTCTCGGTATCCTTCTGACTGAGGCAGTAAACGATGCCAGACTGACCACGATGGTATTCTTGTATGAAATCTACCATCTCTTCGACAAGGGCGGGTGGGGAAGCTGGCTTTGCTTTGACGGTGTAATGCAGATTCGCTCGATATAGCGGCGCTCGGAAGAGTACAGTCCCGTATGCGTTGGCTGCGGACGGCTCGGTAACCGGGGGCAGCTCAAGGATGCTCAGCAAATCCTTGAGTACTGTCGGGCTACACGTAGCAGTGACGAGGGTAAAGGGCACCTCGGGAAAGAGTTTCCTGAGCATAACGAGCTGGCGATAATCAGGTCTGAAGTCGTGACCCTGCTGCGATGCGCAATGCGCCTCGTCAATGACAATCCGCGCAAGATTACCGGCAGTTTCCAGTTTTGTGAGAACATTGACGAGTCGTCTGGACTTGACAACTTTCTCTGGAGTGACGTATAACAGCTGTAGAACTGTCAGAGGCGCACTACAGTAGCACATAGCCACTCACTTTGATATCATCGCCTCTCTGCAGACGCGCCATGATACCGTTCGTCTGCTCTTTCGTCGTCGTGCCAATGAGTGCCTCGGCCTCGACGCCCACTTCACGGAGTGAATACAGTTGGTCATGTATGAGGGATAACAGCGGACTAATGATGACGGTCGTGCCTTCTTGAAGCAAAGCGGGCAATTGATAGCATAAGCTCTTGCCAGAGCCAGTTGCCATGATGGCCATGAGCGTGCGACCGTCCATGACGGCGTTACATACCGCTTCTTGCAGCGGACGGAACGTGTCGATATGCCAGACAGACTTGAGATGCTTTCTCAGATCCGCCGACCATGCAAAGCTATGGCTCTTATAATCGGTCGCACTCGTTGATCTCTGCACTGGCTTCGCTGCGGGCGCTACAGGTCGCACAAAAGCTTGGATCTCAATCTTCAGCGCCCTGTGCCGCACGAGTAGCTGGGTCTTGAGGGCTTGCAGCTCTACGATTTGCTGATCTATGGAATCAATCTCGGCGTCCAATTGGTGGAGATCTTCTGTGAGGCCTTCATCTGGCTCGGCAGGCGCAGGCGCAGGCTCTTCGGGAGGATTTCGTACGATTCGGCGATCTTCCTCGGCCGCCAACTCATCTTCATCTTCATCGATGACGACTGGAGCGCTGCGTGCCCCGGTCGACGTGCTTGGCCTGGCCGTACGTACAAGTTGCGCTGTCCGATTGGCTTGTACGATGACGTCCCAGCCATCATCGGAAGCGTCACCGTCGGGATCGTAGCTCATAGCGCAGGGACATACGCTGATCGCAAAGATGTCAAGCAGGCGACGCGACAAAGTTAGCGAGCGCTTCAGCATGTCGTCATCGCGTCGTAGGCCCTTAGCGGCAAGCGAAGTAGATTTCAACAACAAGTCTAATCTTCTACAATGATGGCTTCTGGCACATTTTCCTCGTGACTGGCCATCGATTGCCTTGGCGTGTGCAGGGCTTGTGCTGGGCCAGTCGTCTGCAATGGCCTGGATCGCGTGCTCCTCTTGCCGTTGTACTCAGCATGGAGCTGAACGGCGTATTCGTGGTCGGCATCGAGACTCTGCGGCCCAGCAGGTGGCTGTGTCACGTCAGGCGAGGGCAGAGTCGATTCGAAGCTGCTCATGCTCTTGAGTCCACCCGCCTCGAGACGGCCGGCTAGAGGTGGAGGACGCAGCGCGGGACCCAGGACTTCGAGCGGCGGCAAGGCGGCGTGCGCGGTGATGCCCTCTACCTCCGGGTTGCCATTGGTTCGAGACGGGATTGATGGCATGTCCGGACGCTCGGTCACATCAGTTACAAGTGGCCATCGTGTGTGGTATCCTGCGCCGGCCGTTCGTGTTGTCGACGGCTGGCCGATGATCTCGAGCTCATCGTCGCTCTGGATAATCTTTTCGGGTTGCACGTGACCAGTAGGTGCGTGCACCGGCGTCACACTATCGACCTCCATCGCATCATCGTCCAAGGTCAGTTCTGAGCCGAAGAGGTCTTTCCCGCTGATGTCATTGGCATCCGGTTGTAGACCGTGCGTTTCAGCACGTACAGGGACTTCGTGAGCCTGTTCTCCCTTTGCTTCTGCTGCTGCTAGCATGGTCGAGTCGAGCGCGACTGCCTTGTCAAGCGCTAGAGATGCTGTCGTTGTGACCGATGAATCTTTCTCGCCAGGACTTGGGACTTCTGTGACTGACGCTGATGCTTTAAGCTTGACGTTCTCGTCGCTCGTTTGTGGCTTCTCCTTGTCTGTACGATCCTCGTCGGTATCTTGATCCGCCTTCCAGCTTGACCACGTCTTTGACAGATCCGTGATGGTGGCCTGCATCGTCTTACGCCGAGCCAGGCACTCCTCGCCACGCCAGCTAGCGAGAGTACTGCGGTCCATAGATCTGTGCTGCATGTCACGAATCGGCATAAGCTTGCGTCAGGCGTAATCGTCACACAACGTACCAGTAAATTGTCGAGCATCGCATGCGGGTCACGAAAGAAAACGTCGACGAAGTGCAGCAGGTAGACGCCGCAATCATGGTAATTCTGCTGCTCTGGACATCTTGCTGCGATGCCTGACACCTCTTCGACTGACAACTCTGAGGACAGTTTGCCTCTTTTGTCTTTCGCTTCGAGTACGAGATAGGACCGAAGATCTTTGTGGACTTTGCCATGCCTGCCGCCCATCGAGTCGAAGCTGATAGATTTGACTCTGCGATGAATGATCAGCTGAGCGAGAGTGTTCATCCTAGTAGCTCACTTTGATGATGTGTTGTCCTTCATGAGCTCAATCCTATGCAAAGCTAGCAGATCGTGCGCGAACGGAGCTCTGGCTACGAGCTGGTGCGGACTGCTCGGGAGATCCGTAGCACCGCTTGACCTAGTGGAGATGGACATGTCGGCATCCGACTGCTCATCATCGCTTGTCCGAAGTTTCGACAGCCGTTTTGTCGTCCGTCGTGGTGGCCGCTCTGGAGGCGAGGGTGTTTCGAGAATACCGCCCGGGTTGACAACAATGACTAGGTACCAATGAAAGCTGCACCAACGTGTCAGCCCCACTCGTAGTACTTTGCAAGTCGCTTACTGTTCGTTGACAGGTATGATGATGTAGTCTTTGTCGAACAAGTCAAATTTGGCTGTCCACTTCTTGACAGAGTCGTAAGCATCCTGCTCAGTGAAGCTACGCAGATGTCAGCTGCGGCGAAGCGGGAAGCTATTGGACAAACCCTTTGCTTCGCTGCGAAAGCTTCTTGTAGAAGAACGAGTTGAAGATGTGAATCTTGTCTGCTAATGCAGCGTCGCGCTTTCGTATATCATCAAGGATGAGTCTGCGGCGGATTTCAGCCAGATCAGTTGATAACGTTCTGAAGCTTACTTGAGACCAAATTCGATGAGGGTATCGTTGAGGTACTCGCCTTCGTCGAGGCGGTTGAAATCGCCCTTTGTAATTGATACCGCGCCAGGCGCATCAAAAGGATAGACCAGCATCCTATCCGGACCATTCAGCGACCGGAGCCCAGCTGAGGAACTGATCAACATACACTTCGCCATCGTCTAGCGGCCTGTCTTTGTTAAGTGCTTCCTCATTAGCACGAGTGCGAGCAGATTGCCGCGTGGGCCGTGCAGGCTCATCGAGAGCTGTCAGGCTGGGACGCGGTCTTGGCCTAGGTTTAGGCGGGTTGTCGTATGCGGCTAGCTTGTCTTGTTTGACCTTTTCGGCTACGCCTCTGATGCTCAGAGACTTAGGCGGAACTTTCTCGGGCGAGTCTTCGATACTGATTGGCCCTCGAGCACGAGGCGGCGTTCTCTGGTTCACCGGCTCGTGCGCCGGATCGCCTCTGATCGTCAGATCGGGTCCGAAAGCAGGATCGGTCTCAAACCACTGCTGTATGACCGCAGCAGTCGCATGCGCTCTGTCGAGACAGTGCTCAGCATCTGCACAGGCCAGCTTAGGAGCAGAACTGACTTGTGCTTGGAGAGACTCGTCCCAGGGCTTGCTGCAGGTATGGCTATGTTGAGCTGTTGAACGAAGCTATCATAATCGGTCAATGCAGTAGATCTGAATGACCGTATGTCCATCTCAGGTGCTGCGTCGATGATGAAAGAGAGTGTCGCCGGCCCCTGTCTGAGCTCTGGAAAAGAGCGACCATCTGGCCGAAGCTCGAGAAGATCGTCCGGCTTGCTGCTGAACGTGAAGGACAGCAGGCGGGAACGCTGAATGGCGCCCTGATCGACAGTCGCTTGCGCCTGTGTAACCTGCTTGAGGTCTAATTGCGTCGTATTCCATCTAGTGCCATCCGCGCTTTCTTTGCGGATGTCGAGGGTCTCGCCAGGCCGCTTGGCAGAATTGATCTCCAATTGCCAGCAGCAGTCTTCCATCGAGCCAGAAAACTTGTTGTCATCTCCGAAGCAGTCGATAGAGTAGTGCCAAGCCTTGATGCTGACTTTCTTGCCCGCTTTCTTTGAAAAGCTCGGGAGAGACGGCTTTTGCGACCGACCGGTGACCTTATCCTCATCTTCATACTGCTGCTCCAGCGACTTTGATGTGCTTGCTTTCGACGTCTGGGGATAGTACGGAGTGGCAACAGACCGCGCCTTGCCTCTGACAAGGTTGAGCTCGTCCGGTTGCAACTCGTCGTCTGACTTTTTCTTCTCGCTTCTGGGCTGCATCTTACTCGTTTGCTTGCTACCGGCTATCGAAGTGACCGGCAGCTGCTTCTTGAATTTCAGTGGGACGCCAGCATTCGCATCGATCTTTCGCTTCTTTGCAAGATGATCGGCAAAAAGCCCAGTCGGAAGTCGGGAAGACTGTTCTGGATCTTTAGGTGGTCCGATCGGGGTGGGCTTCGGTTTGTTTGCTATCTTGGCGCCGTTCTGTGCGTCATAAAAGCTCTTGGCAGGCGTTTCGAGGACCTGAGTGGCCAAATTCTTGCGCACTGTCTCTCTGAGCTGTCGCTCCTGTGCCGCCATACCGGCATACTGCATCTCTGTAGATCTGTTCGGCGCAGAACCGCGCCTCTCTCTGATGCCAGGGTGATAAGACGGGGCAGGCTTGTTCGAGTAAGTCGATATCGAATCAAAAGGTGGCGCTGGTCGCTCGTCTTCGTCGCTGCTCGAGACACTGATGATGGGCGGGGGCGTCAGTCCGGTCTCACTAGTACGCGGCGAGACTGCCGGTAGAGCTCGCTGTTTGCCTTTCTTGCTCGAAATGGCAATGGGCTCGCTATCTTCGAAATCCGATAAGCCTTGCTCATAGACCGTCTTCTTGACTTTCCGCGCCGACGTAGTCGTCTTGACGGGACTACTCGGAGGGAATCTCAGAGGAGTCTGCTTGAACGAACGAGGTAGCGAGACGGAGGGTGAAGGCGCGTGATCACCGTCGTCCTCGTCGTCGCCGTCAGAGACTTCGAGCGTGACGTTCCCCTGGGCAGTATGCTGATCGAGCAAGCTGAGACCGCGTCGCTCTCTGCTATGACTGGCAACGTGCAGATCCTCAGCCCTTCGACTGTAACGGGATGTCGGTTCCTGTCTGCGCTGTGACTGGCGCGGCTGCAATCCCTGAATGGCAGAATCGAAGATGGCACGCGAAACTGTCTCGTGACCACGAATAGCTACGTCTGAGGTGGACCGGCTGTACGAGTCAGAGTGGCGTCGAGTGTAGGAGGAGAGCGATCCAGAAGCAGTTGGATGAAAATGGCGAGACCGGTTGGGTTCAGTGTGGTTGCTGCGATCGTAGTGCGCTCTCTCGTTGTCGATGTATGACATGCCTCGGGGCGGAAGCAAGCACTGGCTTGGTCCTCGAGCCACGCCCTTAGCGGGTGTAGCTCGTCTGATCGCTCGAAACAGGCGCAGTCAGCATGCCTTGACGGGTATTCCTGCTCGCTCGCTCGCAACGATATGCCCCACTCGATCTTTCCTGATCTATGCCGAGCTGAGGCTGTCGTCAGACCTCAAGCGGCACTGGGCGTGGCGAGAGACCGAACAGACAGGAGGCGGCGGCGGCGGCGGCGCGTCAATGTCAACGCAGTCGAGTGACATAAACCAGTCAGTCCAGCCAGCTTCGGGTCAGTCATCATGTGGCTGCAGACCCTCGCCAGCGTAGGCATGGCCGTAGGTAGAGTCTCTCGTTGCCCACAGCTCCATCTCAGCCGCTGATGATGATCCACATGGAGGGCCGCCGCTCGTCTATGCCGATCAATTCGTGAGCATCTTGCGACGAAAGGACTCGAGCGGCTTCAGCATCGACGTCTGCGGTGTCCTCATCATCGCCAACATCACTCGCATGTTCTTCTGGCTCGGGGAGCGCTTCGAACTGGCGCTGCTCATCCAATCTGTGCTCATGACTCTCGCACAACTCGCCCTGCTCTACGTCTGTCTGCGCTTCAAGCACGATGATCCTCACGCGCCTCTGTCGGAGACATCACTCACGCTCAAGGTAGCCAGATCGACCATGCTCAATCGACCCCTGCAATTTTGGCAGTGGCCCGCGTACGGCGCCTACATCGAGTTTATCGCGGCCTACATCATCTTCCTTGCCGTTCTCTTTCTGGCGCTCGGCCGCTTCGAGACATTTGTCGCCATATTGGGCTTCGTCGCTCTGGGGTTGGAGTCAACGCTACCACTACCGCAGCTATACATCAATTGGCAACGCAAGTCGCTAGCGGGATTCAGAACGACTGTCCTCCTCGGCTGGATCTTCGGCGACGCTGTGTGTGCGCCTTCTCTCTGACCTTATCTGGCTCATTCCATACGCGGTGGACAGTTCAAGACGCTTTACTTCTTTCTGCAGAAAGGTACGGCCATCTCGCGCGCACAGGCTCGACTCTGAGCGTGCAAGCAAACAGGTCCAATCTCGATTCAGTTCAAGATCTGCGGCATTTTCCAGGTGAGTCGAAAGCCTCCAGCAGCTTGATAGTCGTTTGATGCGAAGGTTGTCACAGCTCTCTGTGGACTGTCTGATAGCTTATCAGGCGTGGCTCTACCGAGAGAACACAAGGCGTGAATATGCGGACGGGCAAGACGAGGGCCTCTTGCGCGATCCGCTAGGTTCGACAGCATAGCAATCTGCATCACACGGGCAATATGTACAAGCAACTGGGTGTTGTATTTCTGCAATCAAGCGGCAAGGATTTTTCGGATCAACTTTACACATGGCCGTCGCAGTATTTGGCGGCAATTCGTAGGATAGCAGACCTTGCCCCAAGCGCTGAGACCGTGCAGGAGATGACGAAGACTAGACACGCGAGACCGAGCAAAAAGTTTAAAGGTATAATGTACAGCTCCAAGACTTGAGAGCAAGTATTCCAAGAAGTCAGACCAGGCCAGGCAACTAAATTCTATGGTCTGTCAGACAACGGTTGCGTATGGCAACCGCAGACATCGTGTCGGACTCGCACCGACATAAGCAGGGCATAACGTTGCCTTCGCCTGCTTAATCAGATAGTAATTAGTTACAGTCATACTACTAGCTACGTGTCATTGCTTTATCTGATCTGATCTGATTTGATCGCGATCGGATCAGAACAAAGAGCGATGTTCGACTTTGTCGACGAAATGCTCGTAGTATGTCTGCACTCTGTGCGAGATGATTGTCCTCCTACTCGCTCTGGCAGCAGTACTATACCTCGTCTCATGGAGCTGGTCTCAATGGACCGAATTCCAGCGCAATGTCGCTATGCTTTCGTCAGTCATACCGCTCCCACATAAGATCCAGGCTAATGGTACGCACAAGCAGACACCTACCAACTTACAAGCTGCTCATCCATCCCCATCATCTCTTCTCCATGCTCGTTCCGCGAATGTCCTACATCAATCTCGGTGAACAATATACCTGGCGCTACAAAATGGACTGCAAGTCTGTCCGCTTGCCATCAGCTGTGATCTGACATGGCAGCGCCAGTGTACTGGAAAGACAAGCCAGCCATAGCAGCAATCTCGTCAGCAATGCCGATGCGACGCAGCATAGTCATCTCAGATGCACAGGCGGTCAAGGCTATCGCTAATGACCGCATTTCTTTCGTCAAGCCAGTTTCGCTCTATGCTGCTCTCGCGCTCTTTGGCCCCAATGTCGGCGTTGTCGAGGGAGCTGAATGGCGAAGGCATCGCAAGATCGTTGTTGGTCCCAACTTCCAGGAAGTGCGCGAGGTGTCTTGTCCTGCAAAGCTTGGCTAATGCGTCTGGCAGACGACGGGCTTGACTGCGTGGACAGAGTCTATCAGAACTGTCAACATGTGCATCGAAGACTGGAGGGCGAAGCAGACTTCGGGCGAGGTTGTCGTGCAAAGCGCAGTAAAGCTCACACTCAAGGTGAACTTATTGCTCTTTCAACATCGTCGCTCTGACTCAACAACGAGGACGTCCAGATTGCGCTCTTTGTGATCTGTGCTGCCGGCTTCAGCCAGAGACCTCCATGGCGCGACGATGCGCCCGAAGCACTGCCGAAAGATCACAAGATGCCCTTTCGGACTGCCTTACACGGCGTTCTCGAGAATGTCTTTACCAAATTCATACTGCCAAACGTGCGTACTTATGCGTAACGCGTGATCCCGCCTAACGTGCCTGAAGTGGGCTCTACGCTTGCCAATTCAAAAGTGGCGGCATACGGGTCAAGCTTTCGACGAATTTGAACGATATTTGCGCGAGATGGTCGCGCATCGGCGCGCTACTTCGACCAACGTACGCGAAGGCGAGGATGGGCGCGAGGATCTACTTGGCAGTCTCACTCACGCCAACGCGAGCACCGATGCTAGCGAACCGTCGAAGAAACTTGCTCTGACTGATCAGGAAGTCATGGGCAATATTTACATCTTCTTGCTCGCCGGTCATGGTCAGCTTGCTCGCATGCTGCCCTGACTCAGCTAATACAGGCAGGATCGTAGACACGACGGCACATACGCTTGCTTTCACGCTTGCTCTTCTCGCGCTCTATCCCGAAGAGCAGAAGCGACTGTACGAGCACATTGCCAGTGTTGTGCCTGCCGATGGTACAATGGTACGTACTTCTCTGGGCCAAAGTGCATCTGCTGACCTCGCAACACGGCGGACCAGGATTTTGAGCTGTTTCCCAGGCTGGTACGTTCGAAGATGCTTGGTTGCGGAATCGCGCTGATGGCGAAGCACAGACGCGCTCTCTCGCGGTCTTCATGGAGACTTTGCGACTGTATCCTTCTGTCGTCATCATACCCAAGTACAGCGTCGTCGATGCGGTCGTGCCTATCACTGGCGATGACGGGAAGCCGGCCACTGTCTTTCTGCCCAAGGGAGGCGAAGTCATGATCAATACTGTCGGCTTGCACTACAGTCGTAAGTGCATCGCCAAAGCGCCCTGATCAAGCTGACCGCCCCGCGCGTTTGAAGAACGCTACTGGGGACCAGATGCTTCCGCTTTCCGACCGGACCGGTTTATTGACGCGCCAGATGGATCATACTCTTGGCCCCGTGAAGCATTCCTCGGATTCTCTGCTGGCCCTCGCTCTTGTCTCGGTCAAAAGTTCGCACAAGTGGAAGCAGTTGCGATCTTGTCAGCGCTCTTGTTCAAGTATGAGGTCTTGCTCAAGGAAGATGTTGATGGAACTGCGCCCAAAGGCGAAACGCTCGATCAGAAGAGAGCAAGGATCACACAAGCAAAGACGGTCATTACGCTCACCCCTTCTGCAGTACCCATCATCTTCCGCGAAAGAGAGATAGCACACTGATTCAAGCATGGTATTTGGAGTGCACACTAGTACGTCAGTGGATATATACAGCAGCATTGCAATGTCAACAGCAAGGTTTCATACAGTGTCGTCCTCTGATTGCTCCTGAATTGGTATGATGACTGAGCTCCGCCTGGTATCCGATGTGGAAGACGAAGGCGATTTGGGTGGCAAAGGTAAGCTCACGCCGGGCGAGAGCACTCTCTTGCTTGGCGAGAGCGCCCTTCTGTCAGGTATGACTGACCTCGATGGCGTAGACGGCTGAGAGCTGGATGGAAGCACTTGGACGCCAGTACTGCTCAGGATGCCATGAGAGTGTTGCTCCTCTTCGTCTGGGTATGTTTCGGCACGCTGATGTGTTTGTGAGTACGTATGCCCATTCAAGGGCCGAGGTGGCCGTTCTTGTGGCCGCGGTATTCGGTGCAGCAGACCGTATCCGATGCCGCAGCCTAGTAGACCATCGCCGTTGCCCCAAGATTTATTGGGTACGAGTACAACCTCGCGAGTGATGTCAAAGTCAGAATTATAGACAAACAAGCGCAGTGGCCTTTCGTCGTGCTAACCGCTCATCTTAGCGGCATTCAAGTCTGTCACGAGGGCTTACGTTTTCTACAAGCTCGTAGAAGTCGCCCTCTCCGCGTAGTACGCCGCCTGCGTAGCCTATGATGTAGTCGCCATAGGGGACCAGGCCTGCGCTTTCAGCTGGACTGCCTTCCATGATCTCCAATACATGCCAGACCTGAAGTGTCATTCCATGCTCAGATCCGAAGAGCCGCACGGCTGAAAAGACGCACTTGTTCCAGCGCACCCTCTGGGTTGCACAGGCGCATCGATAGGCCCAGCAAAGACGGTTCGGCGTCGTCATGAGCTATTTGACCTTTCCTAGGTTGCATCGACCAAGACCGACTGGGAACAAGCTCGACATCTACCCATCGCGTGAGCAGTGGATTAGCATAGCGACGGCAAGCTTACCCCGTAGCTCTTGACGTTTTGATGACCAGACTTGGAGCAGAATCTCTTGCCCCTCTGAGCGCTCGATTTGTTCGGTGAACGCATCGACATCCTCAGTCTGTGAGCCCGTCGTTCCCTTCAGGCGTTGCCACCGAAAGATGCAAGATCATACTGACCAGCGCGAAGCCTGAGATGCCCATGAGAAAGTCAAAGAAGGGCTGTAGCCACAGCACAATCACATCAGCCGTGTCATAGCGACGAAGCAGGCTTGACGGGACCTCTATGCCTGCGTGAGCTGCCGGCGAATTCTCTGCCACGCGCAAGACGTGCAAAGCGATCTTCTTGCGGGCTCCATCGCCGGGCTTGGACTCTGATGCGCCCATTGGTCTGCTTCGAGTCCGGTATCTTCGACGGGTTTGACGCGACGCGTTGCTCCTTCGTCGACTTGTCGGCCCCCAAGCCGATGCCGGGGCACTCCCTGACGTGGACAGAACAGCATGTCGCTTGCTCTTGAGCCTCCCGACGACTTCAATCATCCCTACAAGCCATGTGGGCCGCCTATCCAAACACCTGATCGTCACTGAGCCAGACCGCAGATGACATCCAATCTGATCTCATGCGACATGTCTACAAGGCCATCGAATGCAGCCGTCCTGCCATTGTGGAGTCGCCTACAGGCACTGCGAGTGCTCCAGTGTTCACCAGCTCATCAGGTCTCTGAAGAGCGCAGCGCAGGGCAAATCTCTTAGCCTGATCTGCTCAACGCTGTCCTGGCTTCGAGACAATACAGCAAGGGCGCAGACGGTCGTGAGGGCGGACTTGCAAGCCCAATTAGCGCATACCCTGTCAGATGGTGAGCTGCTTGACACGCTCCGTCGCAAGCGAGATTGATTGCATAACGCGACAGAGCCGGCGTGGGTCATTGAGCAAGAAATTGCACGGCGGCTACGCGAGCTTACACAAGCTGAACAAGACCTGACTGATCGCTTGACTGCACTGCGCGAGAAGGAAGCCAACATCAAGAGGGCGAAGGCAAGAGCGAACCACACGAACAAGCGTCAAGTCAGTACGAGCCGCGTCTGTCGTCACCGGGCTCACTTGTAGACCATCAGAAAGTTTCGCATGAAAGCGAAACGTCCCCTGTTGGCGATGCAGACGAAGAGAAATTCGCACCCGATGAGCAGGACGGAGAAGGCGAAGATGACGGTCTGACGCCGGAAGTACGGCAGATGATGCATAGGTGGGACCTGATACATGATTTGCATACTATGCTGCTTATCCAGGCAGCCCTGCGCAGCTATCACAATCGCGGCAACAGACACTCCTCTGATGCAGACGATGAGCCTGATGTCACAAAGGTGCGACATCACCCTGCGTCCACTACCCTACTGATGTCTGGGGCAGGTGTATTATGCGTCTCGCACACATTCGCAGCTCGCTCAGTTCGTCCAAGAGATTCGCAAGACTAGCTTCGCAGACACGACGCGTATTGTGCCGCTTGGGTCGAGAGCCAGTCTCTGCATCAACGACAAGCTAAAGAAGGCATGCGGAGGCAATACGGAGACTCTCAACGAACGGTGTCTCGAGTTACAAAAGGCAGGCGAGTGTACTTGCCTTCTGTTATTGTAGTAGTGACTGATATGCGCTTGCGTTCGAAGAGAAAGGCAGTCGATGCGAGTTCTTACCTTCGCAAGAGGAAGAGGACAAGATGATCGGTTTCCGAGATCGTATCCTGGTGAGCCATGTCCCTGGCAGTATCATGCCTTGATTTACTAGCATCCGCAGGCTACCACCTTGGATCTCGAGGACCTTGAGGACTTGGGCAGAGCAACGCACGTATGCCCCTATTACGGCTCTCGGCGAGCGATCAGACAAGCCCACGTAAGCTCAAGCTTTACTTTTCGCAAAGCGCTCACTTCTTGCAGGTCGTGACCTTGCCGTACAACATGCTCTTACAGCATGCTGCGCGCGAGTCTCTCGGGATCTCGCTAAAAGGGTCTGCTGCACCTTCGTTCTGCCACAACTGACGACTGATGGATCTTGCAGTCATATTGTTATCATCGACGAGGCCCACAACCTGATCGACACTGTGCTCTCGATCAACACCGTATCCATCGCATCCACATCTATCAGTAACGCCTTGTCAGGCGTGCAGCTATATCTGCAGCGATTCAAGACCCGCCTGAAAGGCAGCAACACCGTCTACCTCAAGCAACTGCTTGCCATCTTTCGCAGACTGGAAGCATATTGTATTACGTGGTCTGAAAGTCGTCAGAACGCAAAGGCAATCGAAGAACTCATGCTACCGAAAGCACTTATGGAGGACTTGCAAGGCTCGATAGATCAAGTCGATTTGCACAAGCTCGCCGCGTATATGAAGACGTCGAAGATTGCCCACAAGGTGAGCCGCGTGCTGACGTGTCCGTTCAGACGCTGAGGTTGGTGGCGTAGATCAGCGGCTACGCAAACATGCAGGCCGAAAAGCAAGCACGTGCACAGCAGAAGCCGAACAAGCACAAGGTCCTCCTCGTCAATGCAGTCTACCAGATTCAGTCGTTTCTACTTGCGCTCACGAATCCATCGCGCGACGGTCGGATTATTGTCAGTAGAGCAGCCGACTCATCGAACGTCTCCCTGCGCTACCTTCTGCTCAACCCGGCAGATTCCTTCCGCAGCATCGTCGATGATGCCCGGTCTGTCATACTTGCGGGCGGAACGATGTCACCACTCAGCGACTTCGATAACCAGCTCTTCGGTCATCTTGCAGCAGATCAGAAGCCAATGGCGCTCTCGTGCGGCCATGTCGTGCCTCGCCAGAACATCTCTGTCTCGGTCATTCGCAGCGGACCGACGAAGCAAGACTTTCGCTTCACATACGAGAACCGGGACAACTTAGCAATGGTCCGTGTTATTGCTGAAGCGCGAACAAGTGCTAAGCGGTAGAGTGCCGACAGCTGCAAGATCTTGGCAGCGCGATCGCGACCCTTGCGCGTGTCTGTCCTGCAGGCATTGTCTGCTTCGTCCCTTCGTATGCTTTTCTTGACAAGCTACAGGCTGTTTGGAAATCGTCGGGCATGATCGAGAGGATACGGAAGAACAAGCTAGTACGCAGGGCGATCCTTTGGTTTCATGGCGCTGATCATTGTCGCAGATCTTCATGGAGCCCAAGACCGCAGGCGAAGTCGACGCAGTACTCAAAGGTTACTCGACAGCCAACAGCTCAGGCAACAAGGGCGCCATCCTGTTTGCAGTCGTTGGCGCCAAGCTATCAGAAGGCATCAACTTTGCAGATGACATGGCGCGAGCAGTCATCATTGTCGGCATCCCTTACCCCAACGCTGCTTCAACTGAACTCAAAGAGCGTATGCATCATCTCAGCGCAGAGTCTAAGAAGCGCAAAGAGATAACAGACGGGGGCGATCAACTCTATTCAAATCTTGCCTTTCGCGCAGTCAATCAGTCCATCGGACGAGCGATCCGGCACGCAAATGACTGGGCGTCCATTTTGCTCATCGACACTCGGTATGCAACGCCCGCGCTACAAGCAAAACTGCCACAATGGATCGCTAGCGAAGTGCAAGTGCCAGAAAGCTTCGGCCTCGTGTTGCAGAAGACGGCGCGCTTTCGATCGAGCCATGTCGTTACATGATGATGCAATCATCCTTTTTGAGTTGCGTCTCTGCTACTCCCATCGAGGCGAAAGTGTCGAAGCGATGACTTGGGGCGGTGGCGGGCGGCGTCGGACGGACTGTGCTCTCGCGCTCACGTAGCTTCTCACTCGTGTCGGAGCGGCCCCCAAGAGAGGGGCTAGGCGAATGTGACTGGTAGTGCTGCTGGACGGGCTCGGCTCTCAAGCTTGTGTCCGAATTGCTGCGGCTACCGGCGATGCGCGAAGTCGGTCTCGGAGCTGGCGAATGCTCGTACACACGCGAACGAGGTCGAGCACGCTCACGCTCGCCGGTGCCTGCAGCCTGTCCGACGCGCTTGATGGTAGCACGACGACGAGCTTCGCTGACGACTGGTTGCTGCTGTTCTACCTCCTGTTGGCGCGACTTTTGCTGGGCGATTGTGTGCTTCCTGACGAGCTTGGTCGAGATGTGGTCTTGATGCTCATTGCGCGTGATCGATCTCTCGGCTCCTCGTCTGAGAGCTTGCAGACGTTCACGCGCATCCTCATTATCCGGCTCGAGTTGCAGAACCTGCAGGCGAGTACAGTCAGTAAGGTGTCTGACACGATACAGCATTGCACTTGCCTTTTCGTAGAAACGCTTGGCGACTTCCAGTTGAGGCTCTCCTTGGAGTCCAACTTCGTTGTAGTAAGCGAGCGCAAAGATTGCACTCGGCAGGCCTTTGTCTGCCGCTTTCTCGGCAAACGTGTACGCAAGCTCTTCATCTGGCGAGAAGACGCCTTCTGCGCCACACAGAAACCTGATCTGCGTGTCAGCTTGGGTCATGAGAATGAGAAGGTAAGCTGACCATTTGCTGAGAGCCATATCGGCTTCCTCGCTACCGCCTTGACTTGCAAGCGAGTAGTATTGCACACTCATAAGAGGATCGTATGGCAGGCCGAGCTGAGCATATTCGTATGCAGTACCCATACGGCATTGCGCCTTTGTTTCGTGAAGGTATGCAGACTTCTTGATCCATCGCCCAGCATCAACAGGATCGAGTCGGGGCAAGACAGAGAAAGGCAGAGGAACTGAGGGGCCAAGGTCGAACTCGTGATTGATGAGCATGCCCCATACCCACAGCGGCGTGGCCGTGTCTGGGTCGGCAAGCTGATCTGCGATCTGAGCAGAAGTCCTCAACAGCTGGACGCCTCTTGCAGAGTCACGCGCTAATCCGAGCTGGCCTTGTAGGTATGCCATGCCAAGTCGCTGTAGGCAAAGGTGCGGCATCAGTTCACCCAAAGCATATAGAGCATGAGCACGTACAAAGGTGGAGGTCACATCGCCGAGCTGGAGACCTCGCTCGTAAGCATCACGCGCGCGATCCTCTTCTGTAGCCTTGCGGCGATCACTGAAGGTCTGAGCGGTGATCTCGTACTCTCTTCCGATCTTGTACCATGCCGGCGCATACTCTGAATTGCCTGCAGCCTCGAGGCCTCGAAAGCCTGCAGCCTTTGAGGGCGGGAAATCTTTGGGGAAAGTGCCGGAGAGTGTGAACTCGGCACAGAGGTAGATGGCTTCCGGTACAGGCGGCAAAGTCTTGCTGTATTGCTTGATGACGGCGATAGCCTCGACGATGAGAGGCACGAGCGTGCGGTCTTCGATGCGGGAAGTCAGTGCGGGTGCGGCGACTGCAGCATGCTGGCGCGCGACAAAGCTGAAGACGACTTTGGCCCACATCACCCTACTCTGCGGATCCACGGGACTGACCCGCAAGGTCTGATCACGCATGGTGGCAATATCGTCGAGTGTGGGCAAGGGCAGAACGAGGGTCTGATCGGCATCGTCCAGCATCTGCTCGCTTTGAGATCTGACGAGGCTTGAAGCTCGATGGTGCAGTGTGGGTGTCGAAGCCGCCGCAGGCAGTCTAGCCGTGGGAAAGGGGACAATGTTGGTGTCTTGTGAGTCAGGCGAATCGGGTGCAGGTCCACTGTTGTGTAGAGGCCGGTCGGGTGAGCGGAGCATGCTCTCTCTCGATCTTGAATCATAGCTTGATGCGGCGATGGGTCGAGGCAGCATTGGTCCTTGATTCGCAGAGGAAGGGTGAGGCTGATCGCTCACTTTGAGTCCGCCAAATGAGCTAGCTAGGCCAGACGAGGCGACAAAAGACGATCTGCTGGATGGCATGCTGTCGAGTCGGTTGCCAATCGAGCCAAGGTGGCTCCTGCTCTGTCTATGAGCCGGTTCAGGCTCCCTCTGTGACTGTGCGCATGAGCGTCGGGGTCTTGGCAGGCTGTGACGGTGAAGGTAGCTCTGACCTTGTGAGCTGTATCTGAGCTGGGCACGAAAGCAGTGACCCTTTCGAGATGATCAGTCAGTGCAGCTTGCCGCCACCCTTGCTCGCTCGGCTGCACTCTTGCAGCGAGAGCTGTGCTGTCTGTAGTCGCTTGCAGATAGGACAGTGCGGGCTCAGTGCCTGCACTCGAGGCCGGCGAGGAGCTCGTCTGGGCAGTCAGTCTCAAGAGCTTGGCAAGTTCAGTATCGCACTGCAAGGAGTCGTGACTCTTGAGCGATGGCAATGCTCTCACTGCTCGTTGTGTCGTTGGCAAGTCGGGCAGTGGACGCCGTCGCGAGGAGGCCGTTGCACTGCCAGTGTTGTTGGCCATCCCTGACGACGTCAGCTCTAGTAGGGATGGACTCGTCAGGCCAGATGAGCTCGTGCATCTGCACCGCACAGCACCGAGGACAAAAGTATCCTCGGCCGTCGTACAGCTGTCTCACTCTGCACCGGCTCCCCTCTCTGACGTAGCTGAATCAGGTGTGCAAAAGGGTGCATTTGGCTATCGAAGCAGTGATGTCTCTCTTTGACAGATGTAGGGTGCTAGCACAGGTTTTTTAATTCGATGTGTACTGTAGACGGAACGGATCGCCCTTTGCATGATGGTAGCATGCTTTACAGCTGATCAGGCTGAGCCTAGTTGATCTTCAGTAGCTCGACTTCGAAGATAAGTGTCGAGTTGGCTGCAAGGGAGCGCCAAGACATCAGCAATTTTGAGCGCCCGGACAAATTGAGCATGCTTGCCTGGAATAACAGGAGGGTATCCTCGAGCGCTGGATCTCTCGTCAGATTTGTCCGGTTGGTGTGAGCCAGGAACGTACCCATAGGCATAGTCAGGAGTGCAAATCAGTTTGGCCTGCTCCGTTTCGTCAGTCGGCTTCAAGGGCTCATCCGACCAAGTCCGCACCTTCTCGCCAAGCGAAAGCTGGGGTACGCCTTCATCCCAGCCTACATGAGCAAGCAGACATGTCAGAGCATACAGAGTACGAGCATTTGAGCCCCATACCCTTGATCACTTGTCCGACGCCGATCTTGGTCTGGAAAGGTGTGCCTCGGTCTGGTATCGAAGGTATCAGCCGCATAGCCGGTCGCATGGCATTGATCGTACCTCTGGAGGAATCAAATTTGTTGCCGTTGCTCTGCAGTGTGCCGACATAGTGCATAGAGACTGCGTTGCACGGGCGAGACCAGTCAGGTTGCGTCATAGCGTCGTCAACGGGCGCAAGCTACCATTNTCGCCCTGTGGACTTGCATCAGCATACTCAGCACGCTGCAATGTGCATCATCGCTCACGGCTTTGGGATAGCTCTTGCCGTCACCGGGCTGTGGTCAGAAGGGACAGTCAGCGGCTGCAGTAGCGGCAGGGTGTGCTGCCTCGCAAGGGCGCTCACGCTGATACGTTCGACTGTGACACCCATCCTTGATGCTGTTGAACTGAAGCTGCGTGTATGAGCTTTGCTGAGAGAGGCGAACAGGAGCTGCCTCTGCATGCGATTCTTCAATGATGCCTGCTCGAGACCTCTTTCGCGACAAATCGACAAAATCCCTGCTTCGCCACAGAAATTGACAACTTTCGATCGCGACTGTAGATCAGGACCCTTCGGCCTTTGTCTTGCCGCCCCGTCCGCTCGCGTGTCGTCGAATGGGCAGCTGTGGCGGACGCATGCTGATTGAGTGATCTTGAGCAGGCCCATGCTAAGTGGAAAGCCGCAGTATTATGACGGCACGCAATGCGACCCCGCAGGCACAGCAGGCGCTGTTTGAGGTGTCCATGCTCGCTCAGATCGTAGACGACGTAATCTATAGCAAGACTTGCAACCGTCTCGAATTGCATGCTCGGTCCAGCTGGTCGGAGACCCTGGACGAACAGATTTGGCTGTCTTTGACGGATGCCCGATCTCGTGCTGATCGACTCTGCTTCGGGCAGAGAGCGCTCGCGGGAGAGAAGCCAAGCGATTGGACAATGACGCTCCTGCGACCCAACATACAGCAGGCCGATGCTTCCTTCCAAGCCGACCTCTCTTCGCGCGAACTGCTGCCTTGCCGCTTGCAAGGCGAGCCAGAACAAGCCGGCGCCGCACTGGGCTTCGGGCCTGGCCACACCCTTCGAAAGTCAGGCCGCTGCTTTGAGCTCTTCGGCATACTCGTGCGCGTGTTTCAGCTCCACGACGTTTGCTCCCCTCTTCCGCATCTGAACATGTCTCATCCGAATGCGCAGGCCGATGACAAGCTGCTGTCGCCTTCAGGAACGTATCTCATCGAAGCAGTCGGACAAGGCACACGACAGCAAGGACAGCAGAAATCTTTACTCGAAGTCAGCGCACGCTTGCGCGAAGTACGAGACTTGCTGCAGGGCTTGGTCGACTTGCGAAGAGTGGACTGATGGTCCGGTCCTGATCAGTATTGCATAATAGTGGCAACAACAAACTTTTGCGTCTACTTGCGAGCTTTCTTCTTGATCGGCAGTGCTGAGCCGGCCTGCGAAATGCGCTTCCCTGCTGGTCCTGGCCGCTGAGGGGCTTCGATGAAGTCGCCTGTCGCCGGGAGATTCTTGAACGCGATGAGGGCAGCTTTGGAGCTCTGCTCAAATGCAGACAGGTTGGCAGGCTTGGCAGCCTGACCGCCGAAGAGCAGGGGCTCGCCCAATTGTGACATTCGCGTCTCTTGCATCTTCATGGGCGCCCGATTGGCATTTTGCATAATTTGAGCTGCTGTTGTCTTGATGCCGAACGGATCGGTCAAAGATGGCTTTGTGTCTTGCATGAAAGCCCGAGCTGATCTGAATCCATTGGCAGCTCCTTCTGGCACTTCCTGCTTGGTTCGAGGCGGACAGTTGGTTGCAATAGCAGACTGAGCAGACGTGTGCAGATCCTCGCGCTTGCCGTCGAAATCTATGAGATCGCGAGAAGAGGCATAATTGGCGCGAAAGGTGCCCGCAGAGAAGCCGCCACTGTGGTCATAGGATGATTTGCCCCGATAGCCACCACCTGCCGGGCCTTGGGAAATTGTCACTCGAGGCGCGGGCGGACTGCTGACATCATGAGCAATGAGACAGTATAGAGCAACCAGCTCACAAAGCAATGAGGCCCTCTGCGAGCTTGTCCGCTGCAGGCACTGGTCGCGAGATCAGGCTAGCAACGAGAGCCACATCGTCTGGTTTGGGCGCCTCTTGATACTGTCGGAACAGCTGCAGCTTCTGGTCGGCAGGAAGGACCCTGAGGAAAGGACACTCGGCAGTCTCGCGGGACTCTCCGCCTGCCCAGCGTTCGTGCGTCCAGGTGAGATAGAGAAAACCTTGAGCGCGAGTCATTGCGACGTAGAGGAGCCGCCGTTCTTCGTCCACTTCTGCCTCGGTCTTTGAGAAGAATGACGGGAACTTGCCATCCTCGACTGCAGCGATGAAGACACAGGGCCACTCGAGTCCCTTAGCGGCATGCACAGTTGACACTGTCACCATTGGCACCGGCTTCTTTCCCTCTTGATCGTTCTTGTCCGTATCTGTCGCGAGCATACAGCCGGCAATAAAGTCAGCAAGAGCTGAGCTGCCTGTTTCCATACTATCTGCCACTTCTCCTACCTCCTCGTGTACTCCTGTGAGACCCTGGTCTCCCTCTGGCGCCTTGAAAGTGGCAGCAAAGGCTTTCAACTCTTCTATGTTGGCTTTTCGATTCTCCACGTCCTCTGATTTCACCCCCGCCTTGGCATCCTTTTGGCCGTGTTGCTTCTCGAGATAGTCAAGATAACGCGTTTTGTCTACTATAGCATCGATGAGATCGGCAACACTGGTGCCTTCGGCAGCAAGGAGCTCGAGGTCTTGAATGAGCTCGACAAACGACTGAAAAGCCTTGAGCTTCTCGCCTTTGATAGGATTGCCTTCATTGACCTTGCCTAGCTTGACCGATTTGGTCACGGCGAGTCGCGTCAGCTCGAAGGGCGATATCTTTCGGGCCGAAGCGTGTTCTTCAATCCACTGTGCCGACTTGAGACCGATGCCCCGCGATGGCGTATTGATGACACGGCTGAAGGCTGAAGCGTTGTTGGCGTTGTTTGCAAGCAGCAAGTAAGCGAGGATGTCTTTGACTTCTTGACGGTCGAAAAACTTTGGGCCGCCGACCATGCGATAAGGCACTCGCTGTGCCTTGAGCTCCATTTCGAGCTGACGAGACAAGCTGTTCATGCGCAGCAAAATCGCAAAGTCATCATAGTCGAGTAGGCCACCCGTCCATGCGACGAGCTTGCGGATCTCCTTGACGATGTATTCCGCCTCTGCATTCGCGTCCGGCAGGCGAGTATATACATTGCTTGGCCCCGCATCGCGATCGGTATAAAGATGCTTCGGCTCTCGTGCAGTATCTGCAAGCAGCAAACGAGTGTCAGCCCAGATCGGTCGAGACCCATCTGACGCGCCTTGAGAGATGACAGCCATCGCGCTGGCTAAAATGGCCGAGGTCGAACGATAGTTCTGCTCGAGAAAGATCTTGGCCGTGCTCTCAAAGTCGCCTTGCATGAGCCTCAAGTTCTTGATCTCAGCTGCTCGCCAGCCATAGATGGACTGATCAGGATCGCCGACAATCGTGAGCACACGAGCTTTTCGAGCCATATGCTTGACGAGCTGATATTGTACAGTGTTGGTGTCTTGGAACTCATCGACCAAGGTATGCCGAATGCCTTCGGTGACTGCAGGATATCTGAGAAAGAGATGCAAGCAGAAATTGAGCAGATCGTCAAAGTCGAGCGCGCCAACCTCCTGGAGCTTTGTCTCGTAATCGGCAAAGACTCTTGCGACGAGCAGAAGATCCTCTTGCAGAGGTTTCTTTGCTCTCACTTCCGCTTCGTATCGTTCTGCATCGAGGCAACGTGTCTTGGCCTTACTGATCAGTGAGCGTACCGTACCGGGCTTGAGATTAGCGCTCATCGAATGCCTGTCGACGTCCTTTGTGTGCAATTTGAGGGAGGCTCGGATGTACCTCATGCAATCGTCCTCGTCGGCGATCGAAAAGTCTTTCGCCAGGCCGATCCTCTGGCCGAATCGACGAAGAAAGCGAACTGCGACTGAGTGGAAAGTGCCCATGACGAGTTTATCCGTCACCGCCTTGCCCACAAGCCTGGTGAGACGGTCCCGCATCTCTCTAGCGGCCTTGTTCGTGACTGAACACTCGCACTCAGATCAGCGACACCAAAGCCGCGAATCCGAAGCCAGACTGACATGTGACGACGACGATCCGATCAGGAGGCAGCCGATAATGCCTGAGCAAGTGTGCGACGCGGCACGTCAGCACGCGCGTCTTGCCTGTCAGCGAGAATGGAGATGAGTTCGCAAAGAGTGCTGGTCTGGTTTGCTCTACCTGAGCCTGGCCCTGCAAGGATCTGAAGGGGAACGAGATCATGGGTGACGGCGCGCAATTGCATGTCGTTGAGGTTGGCCCGGTAGTCGCTCAAGGCGGGCAGAGGCGCAGCACGAGCGTCCGCATGATCCTCATTAGCTTCGGACGAGACAGAAGCAGCGATGGAGGCTGTGATGCTTGTTTGTCCCTTGCCTTTGCTGTCGATCGATGTTGATGCGACAGGCGTGTAGAGGGCTGCGGCAGTCTGTGGCTTGACCCTGATAGCCGAGGAATGACGAGCTGGGCTGGAGGTAAGATCAATAGGCTCCATATTGCGACGAGACCGACGTGGGAGGCGTGCCAGCGCACTTCGTCTCATCCAAAACGCGCGCGCGACCTGGCAAGCGACGACAAAACAGGAGCAACCCCGCTGTCAGCCATGCTCAACGTCATCGTCGCTGCACCTGCGCCCTTTGGCACGCTGTGTCTCCCTATCGATGATGATGTGACGAGCGGCGAGTTGGCAGTCCAACTGTCTGCTCTCTGTCCAATCGATCAGCAATATCTCTCTACCGTCAGCGGACAAAGTCTGGCTCAGGCCAACATTTCTCTGTCTGCATGCGCCAACGGATCCTCTTCATTGCGAGTCCGACTGGCAGTGAGGCTACCGGGAGGCAAGGGAGGGTTCGGCAGCCAGCTTCGTGCTGCTGGCGGTCGCATGAACTCGGGCAAAAAGTCCTCCAATGATGCCTGCCGTGATCTCAATGGACGCCGGTTGAGCACCATCAAGGAAGCCAAAAAGTCTGCCTTCTCTCATCATGATTCGTCTACAAGTCCACTGACATGGACAGACAGGCTACAGACATACTTGCAAGAGGCGCCTCAGAGAGAAGCCGCGCAAGCTGAGCAAGCCCGTAAGAAGCTCGAGGAACTCCAGAAGGAGATCGAGAGGCTCGAATCTGATGTTGACGGCTCGAGCAAGAAGCGCCGGTTTGACGACTCTGAGTATACCGAAAAGAGTCGCGAGATTGTGGACAACGTGAGAGGCGCAGTCGCGGCAGGTGAGGAATTGGCAGCAATAATTGCATCGCACCGCTAACTTTGCATGTTCACGACAGCTATGCTGAAGCGCAAGAAGCACAAGAAGACAGAAAGCGTCACCGCTCAAGCGGGTCCCATCGCTTCAAGCTCAAAGACGCCCGTCGCCGTTTAGCTCAATACTTGTCATTTGTCCGATACTTGTCTCGCGTGTATGATGTACAAGTGCGCTAAGCGTTGCGACGCTGCCGCTTCTGAGCAGCCCATTCTTCAGCGGCGATGCCCGTGAACAGGAGCAGATCGCGATGATGCATAGCTGCCTGCCACCGTTGGTCAGTCTCGAGCTGCGCTATCCTTTGCATTTGAACGCTTACTCGTCCAATCCTGAGCTCGCCGTCCTTGGTGAGAGCCAAGACGCTCTGTCTGAAGGTAGCAACGAGATCCTTCGAGGCTTTCGCGATGCACTATGCAGCGACCGCTCGTTTAGCAGATTATCAGATCTGGAGAAGGTGAGCGCACCTCGAGATCGCACGAAAAGACGCCGACTGACTGCCAAACGTAAAGCTTTCCATCTGGCCCGGCGAATTCGAGCTTGAGACCTCTGAAGGACCAGATCTCAGTCAAAACGGTTCGATAGCCTTGGATATCGATCTGCACAAGCTCATGAAGCCTCATCATGAACAGTCTCAAAAGTCAATCGACACGCACTGTGAAGCTTGCGAGCTTGAAGAATTTGAGAGGTCTCGTGATCGTGCCGACGAGTGGCCCCTGCTTGTTATGGGCATGTACAGAGATCTGCCAGTCGCCCCAGAAAGTTCTCGGGAAGTAGATCCAGAAGAGAATGGTCTGCGTCGTATCAATCTCACATTAATGCATGCTACCGGTCTCGATACAAGGTGGTCCACCTTTTTGTCGGCAAAGGTGACGACATCATCCTTTGACCAAGACAGAGCGCCCCTGCCTCGATAGACATGAAACGATTCGTACTCGCCTACGTCTTCTGCATGTCTTGTCGAGGATGAGACTGGTGCAGATATACTCGCTCTGGGAGTGGATGTGCTTGCGGATGGCTCATAGGCGGGTGCTGCCGAGACTGTACTCGCCCCATCGTCGGCCGTGCCTTCTTTCTTCGAGCTGAGATCGAGCGTTCCGCGCAAGCCCATGTCGACTCGTCCTGGTCACAGCATGATCATGAAGGAACTTGCCCCGCGGAGTCAGCGCACGAGGTTGGCCACCACATGATGCATGGCCGGCCGAGGAGGAGGGCGCGACGTCGCGGGTAAGCCAGCTGCTGCAGCGACTCGGGGCAAGTGAGTCGAGCAGCGATAGCCGGCCTGGCTGAGCATCATGGCTCTGTCAGACTCCGACTATGGCGTACTCAGCCTCGACACGCTCGACGGTCACGAGAAAGACGGACAGATAGCGACAGCAACGAGGACTGCTGGAATTGACTTATCAGGCGACAGTGAGACTGCTCGGCCAGAGACCCCGTCAGGTGAGGAGCAGGATAGCTACAACGACATCACACCCTCGGTCGAACAGCACGAGAGCACAGTCGGACTGGGCTTCGATCGAGCTACACCTGTCGCTCTTGCGCCTATCGCGACCGCCAACATGCGGGACAGTCGAGCCGGTCCTTATGACCGCAGACGAAGATCAAGTGCGTTTGCGTTGTCCCAGTACCTTCGACAGCATCTCGAGTCGCCTCCCGGCACACCCTCAAGCCTTCACTCGAGCGACTTTCCGAGCGATCTCGATTCTGATCATGATATCGACCCCTCCCTGCCACGTACTACCTCTGAGCCTCACGAAGATGTACCGCATGCGAGAGACACAAGACAGAGAGTCCAAGGCCGATCTGTGAGGAGCGAGACGTCTCAATCCGTCAGAGCCCAGCTTTACACGAGCAATCTCATCATGCCAACCTTGCGCGTTGCGCCAGCCTCGAGCTGCAGACGCTACCTACGCTTTGCCATCCTGGCTCCTTCAGGTAGGCTTGCTCACACTGCTCAACTTGTTTGAGCTCACTGTGGTCCGTCACTCTGCAGAAAAGACACGCAATGCGCTTGCCGATCAGATCAGGGCGGCCCATGCTCAAGCCCGAGCAAATGAGAACGAGAGCAATGTACTCGAGCTCATCGACATGACGCCGCAGAGCTCTTTGACTTTCGACGAATGGGCGGACAGCCTCGAATCGTCCTACTCGACCCTGCAAGCATGCTGCTCAAAGGACGAAGATGCCGAGAGCGCAATTGGGGAGCTCTTCACCGAGCAACTGCTTTTCGTCGTCGATGTCTGCCTTCTCGTGCTCGATCAAGGTATGCACGCACGCACTCGTCAGCTCCTCAGACCGAGCTCACACGCCTGCCCGTGTACAGATTACGATGGCGTTGCGCTCAAGAGGCTGTCACAGATCGCCAACATCCTACCCATCGCAGCCTCGACCGAGGTTGCAGCATCACTCTCAGGCGAGCTCACATCTCAGGCTATAAGCTCGTGCATATCCTGTGACGAAGCGAGCTCGGTGCCAGCGGTGACATCGAGCACCGACGACGAGCCAGTAGCACTCAAGAGTGTCCTGGCCAAGCTCTGTGACACTCTGAACCTCACTCGTCTGCGCCAAGAACTCGCAACCGTCTTCATGGAATGGCGCCATATCGATCTCGTTGCTCGAGGGCTTCGATACAGCTCTGCACACACCTACATTGAGCCCAAATCCGACTTCTGGGCACGGGTAGCTGCTCGACAGGTCTCCCTGGCAGCCACCGCGCCCCCGTCAGCCATACACAGTCGCATCAACTCTGCTTTCGCTTCAGAATCGGACGAGCCGAGCGCGTCGCAACCACATGCGCTCAGCATCAAACGTTTAGGTCGCCCTTCCCGGCGGTCAAGTGCGAGCAAGAGCAGCTCTCGTTCGAGGTCAGAAGTCTGTCGGTTCAGCGCTGCCGATCCACTCAGTCTCTCCTCGCTCCTGCGCGTCGGACTTAGCCTCATGCTCTCGCCCGTCCATTCTGCACTACAACCGATCAAGTCATGGTCACTAGCTGGCCTCTTCACCGTCGCGACATGCTTTGCGTGTGGAGTGCTCTGCGGACGCCTCTATGTCTGACCGGAATGCTATCGATTCGTTTTGTCTGTTACCTGTTGATTGCAAACAGCTTGTCCTCTGCTCACGTGCATGTGAGAGATCTTCGGTCTTACGAAATGCCATTGCTAGGCGACCGACTAGAGCCCCTATGCGCAAGTTTATCCGAGGCCCAGAACTGCGCGGCCTTCGGCGATGATCGTCACTGCCACGTTTAAAAGGGCGCACGCTTATAGCCGCGCCTGGCTTGCGAGAGGCGACGCAACTCGAGACAATTCGGATTTGTGCAAGTGCGATGACCATTCTCGATTCGTCCGAAGGCGACTGACAGCAATCCGCACGAGCCCGTCTGCGCACTTCACGTCGACGATCTATCGCCTTCAGGACCCACAAGAGCACAGCATCAACATCCGGGGTATTAACGCGAGATCTCATTGGTCGACCAGTCATACGACCCTACACTCGTCACCACCACTCTTGCACTCTTGCGTGAGCGCACAAGATGCTGTGCCGATGACAAAGACTCAATCGTAGTCAGGACAGGTTTGCTTGTTCGTATTGCCAAGTCCCGTCGCACGACCCCCGCTTGGCACTGCAAGACTTATGTCCATCGCCTTGCTTGCTTGAGTGCCTGGTGAGCATGTCGGACATTGTGTAAGCTGATCGAGCTAATGCCCGACCCGTCACAGAAACCAAAACTGATGGTGTCTTATGTCTGCATTTGATCAACACTCGAGCTTGGTGTCGGTCTCCGAGGCGGTGTCTCCTGATCTGTCGCAACATGCCAACAAGAGCACGCCATTAGCATATAGATCGACCTCCACATCATCAGAGTCTTCGGGCGTCTCAGCCGTCACCATTCCTGCCGCTCCTGCGGGCCCACCTGTCTTTGATAGCGCCGGACGACGCAGGATCTCCGCCGCAGACTTGCTGGAGCCTCAGTCTCGCTCCACGGATCCCATCACAATCAGTCGAAGAGGCTCAAAGACGACTTACTATACGCACACACTCAACGCATCTGACCATTCCGTCGGCGCAGACGGCAACTCCGTCGCTGGCCTCTACTCGCTCGACCAGGCCAGCAGAAGCTCAAGTCGGCTTCGACGATACTCTGTCACCAATTTGCTCAACCTCACGCGACCAGGTCTAGCCAAGTCACGCAACGGCAGCTCGGGCTCCTCATCCTCCTTGCCGCGTCAAGACGAGAGCAGAGCGCGCTCCCTGTCCCAATCAGCGGGGCCCTCGCATCAGCAGTACCAACACGTAGACGAGGCCAACGCACCTCCAGAGTGGTCTCCTGCACTCTATCCGAGCTCTCGAGCGAGATCGACCTCTGAAGGCTCGCGCACTGATTCGCCTCAGCACGCACGATCAGAGACCAGCGCAGTCTCGACGCCCAGCGTAGAATCACGTAGCATAGGCTCGCCTGAATCTGCGCAGTCGCCCGTCTCCAGTCCTGCCACTTCACATCACTCCAGTAACGATCTTGACTACTTGCGCGCTGGTAGCAAGCAGATCCCCGCCAGACCTGCCTACAGACCTACTGCTCGTTCATCGACATCTTTGCTGACGCATCCAGAGGAGCTAAGTGCTGGAACACACGAAGAAGAGTCAAGAGAGTCTTTGCCACATTCGAGCACGGCCGAGACGCCGATTATGGCCACAGAGCTAGCTACAGGTCTGCCAAGGCGCGAGCAGACAACGGCAAGCCGTATGCGTACCCTGCCGAGACTTCTATCGAATGGCACCATGACATTTCCCACCGTCTCCGGGTCTTCGCCCTCATCGCGTGCGAGACCGGACAGCATAGCGAGTCAGGCCAGCGCTAGTGCAACTTCACTTGATGAAGGAGTTGGACATCTCGACGACAATCATGATTTGGATACAGAGACCGAGACAGACACAGAGACAGAGACCGAAGCCGAGGGCAGCGATGAGCACGAGGATTCTGCAGAAGAGGTGCAGGAAGCTGGCTTCTTCGACTCCGAGCAAGGCTTCCATGCAGATTATGACGCAGCTAGACCAAGCTCTGGGCCAGCCTCGCCTGCTTGTCATGCCAATATAAGACCGCGAGTACATCCTAGGCTCTCGCGCCTGTCGACTCGACTCTCACCGTCTGGCACACCAGGACGCGGAGGCTCCCCTGCTGGTCAACCATCCTGGACGACGTTTCAGCCTTTCACGCCGACTCCGGGCTTGCCGACAGCGCGGCCTGAATCTGCTGAGCGTGCCGGCGAAGACTCGTACTTTTCCTTCAAGCAAACTGAGCCCAGCCTCGCGAGCACAGCAGCGATGCAAACATCGTCAAGCAATGAAGATGACTCGCCACCCATGGTCGAGCAGCCACGCATGACTTCACGACCTTCTCTGTACTCTCGCAAGTCTCAGAGCCTCGTCAACCTCGTGCCACCTTCCACGCTCGAGAACGATGATGAGATAGATGACGAGACTGTTCACGTGTCCCCGGGCGATGTGCCGCATCAACAGGCTCGCACACCGTCGTTGCCACGGCCCCGCATGAGCGATCCACCACAGAGCGCTCGCAGTATATCCAGGCGCAGATCGATGATTGAGCTCGGAGCCGAACCTCCCGTCTACCCTGTATCGCCATGGATCGGCGTCAGCAACGCGCATGCTATCTCACCTCGCGAGGAGGAAGGCCAAGAAGGTCTGCCACAATATACTTGTCAGGTTCATATCGAAGGCTGGCTGCCGCGCAAGATGGAGTTTACTGCGCCTGGCGCACAAGCTCCGAATCGTGCATGGAAACGGCAATATGTCATCCTGCACGGAACGAGCATCAAAATTTTCAGGAACGATCCTCGACAATACCCTGTGGAGGGCGAGGATATGTCAGAGGACTGGGTCGAGGCATCATTCGGTCAGACGTATTTACCTCCACGGGTCGCGCCGCAAGATGGCAGTAAACCTCGACCTCGGAGGACAGAGTCGAATCGGTCCACAAGCTCCCGCCAAAAGGGTGTGAAGCCAGTACACGTACACAAAGGTCAATACGCCAATGCATTCGCTAGCTCACAGGATAGCACACGCTTGTCTGCCGCCTTGCAAAAGGCGCCCATCCCACATGCTTCGAACGTAGTCGTCCGACATTACTCATTACAAAAAGCTGAATCTGGTCTCGCTGCCGATTATATTAAGCGCAAACACGTCGTCAGAGTACGCGCAGAAGGCGAGCAATTCTTACTGCAAGTCAACGACGATCGAGGCGTGATAGATTGGATCGAGGCCGTAAGTCCAGCTCTTCTTCTGATCAGCTTGGAGCTCAGACAGCTAGACAGTTGCAAGCAGCGACCAACATCGCTCTCGATCTCGACGCTCGTCCGCTGCCAAAGTTCATCACATTGCCTAGAAGAAGGAGACGAAGAAGGAGAACAGAGAATGAGCAATTGACCGAGACCGCTGCCGCCGCTGCTCGTCACAGTGATCGGCTGAACAATATGCTTGCCGAAGAGCAGCAGACGTACGGTGCAGACGGATCGACCGCTGTTGTATCATAGCGCTCTCGTTCACGTGCTTGTATTTATCCATCCTCATTGCAACGCGCTACACACGCACTTCATAGCGCAGCCTCGTCACTCATTCTTGATAGTACATACTGCTCCTCTGGATCGGCTTACTTACAGAGACCGGGCACGCTTGGCGTGCGCTGCTCTTGTTGTCGACTTTGCCATAGGCTTCAGCTTGGTAGGCGCCTTCTTGCTCTTGCCACCTTTGGACTTGGTGGGCTTCTTTGTAGGCTTCTTGGTGGGCTTCTTGCCGGTTGAGCGAGTGCTCTTGGGATAATGCGCGCCGCCTGGTCTCTTGGCCTTGACGCAGTCGGAGACCTTGCCAGCAGGATGAGCAGCAGGCGTAGGCTTCTGGCCTTGCTGCCAAGTCGTCGTCTTGCCATTGTCGGTGTAGATGCCGGGCGGAAGCGTGCTAGTGGCCTTGCACTCATCGTAGCCTGGACCGTAATCGCCGGGAGAGTTCCACATGCTGCCCATCTCGTCATAGACATGCGGGCAAAGCTGAGCAGGTCGCGAGGGATCCTTCTTGTTGGGGAAGCAGGCTCTAATTGAGACTTGATCGTAGCTCATGAACTGATTCCATTCTGATCATTGATGAGTCAGGAGGAGGCTCGCTGTGCATATGTGGAAGCGTACCTGTAAATTGGACAGTCTTGTTCTCATGTTTGCCAAAGATGAGTCCTCCCACAGGATTGCCAAGCGAATCGGCACCGCTATCGGATCATCAGCTCTGAGCTTACATTGTAGCTCAGCACCCACTGTGGATCCTCTTCGCCGCCCTCGTCTTTGTCCTTGATATTGATCTTTGTGAAATCGCCAATGGCAGTGATCTGCACATAATCGGGCGTTCTGATAAAGTGAACACCCTTGAATGTGCCGGCGGGTATCAGACGAGCCCCGTGCCCAGCCTTGGTGCACCAGGCAACCTGATAACGCTCAGATTCGCCAACAGTCGCGACTGCATCCAGCGTATACGATCAGCTCGTGCTTGTGTCGTCGTAGAGTTAGCTGACCCTTTGGCGGCGCAAAGAGACAGAACTGTGAATGACACTCATATCAGCATGGTCCGTGCACCCGCTGCTAGGGACGTACGTCTTCAATCGAATTGATGACGAGGGTTTGACAGTACGAATGACGCGAATCCCGAGTGCCACAGTTGTTGTGCCCTGTAAGCGCAGGCAAGAGGTCAGCTGCTGCTCTGACCTGAGCTCGAGCCGTTTTGAGACTTGCCTGTCTGGTACTTTTCGCTGTGGTAGGGCTGCTTGTTATAGGAGATGCCGGTTGCGCCGGCTGAGATGCCCTGGAGTGCAGAGCTAGCAAGTGCCGCAAGGAGCGCGTACGATGATGTGGTCTTCATGCTGGTCTTGATGTGTTTGTCAAGCAGAGTGGATGTGAGTGTGATGCGAGGCTGACGTCAAGTCAAGCTTGGGCGTGCGTCGAGCAGCCTCCGAGTCGTGGTGAATGTGTATACGTGTCAATGAGTGTGCGGGTCTAGCCCTGTCTGTGAGCTATCCAGTAGCAGTGCGCTTATGATGCGAGTCGAGCGACGACGAAGGAAGCCAGCCCAAATACAAAGCAGTCCCATCAATTTGCCTGACCTTGGTTTGACGCGCCTGGGACGCGCGCGTGTCTAAATTGAGCCATCCACGACCCAAGGCAAGGGCAGCAGGGGACATTGATGCACTCGGGTACATGCGGCAACCAGCTTGAAGCGGGCCTCAAAGGCTCTAGAAGCTCACAGCCAGAACTCGGTCTTGCGAGGTCGCAACCTTGGCGCAGATAAGGGGGTGTGAGCGTTTCTGAGGACAGCGCCGACTCGCTGGTCGCAACACTTGTGCTCGTCGCGGGTCAGGACGTCGATTGATGCTGCTTTTGCCAGCAGATAGCTACACTGACCCCGCCGAAGTGGGATGCGCGACGTGTCGTATTTGACCAGCTCGACGCGCTCTGATCGGGGTGCTGTCTGTCCACGACTCGCAGGCACCTCGAGCGCAGGCGTTGCAGGCAGTGAGAAGCCGTAGGCCCCAGGTGAGGGACCGTCAGGCGAGAGCCTGTCGAGGCAGAATCCAAAGTAGGAGCTGGGTCTTTGTCAGGTCGAGCAGTGAGCTCGGCGTCATCTCGGCCAGACTGACGCTGCGGCAGATCATGAAAGCGCAGACAATGTGGTGCTGAGCGAGCTCTCGCTATGGCAGGTCTCGGCGTCGACAGTGGCTCGCTTGCCGCCGTTGTCGCTTCGACAGACCACACTAGTGGCTTGACGGATCGCACTCGTCCCCTAGTATTCAATTGTGCCATCGAGCCTGTATTGTCTGAGCTATTCATCGGCAGGATGCGAGCCATCAGCATGATGGGATGGAAATGAGTCGCATTACAACGCTTGCGCTTATGTAGAGCAGCTCTGACACGCTGCCTTTGTATAGCAATAGCATACAGCTACACATTGCGAAGGGTGCAGAACAATAGGCACAAAGCAAGGACGCTTTGGAGGCAAACCCATACAAAGACGTCATCACGTGAGAGCGCTTGATCGGGCAAGATCGGCTGGACTGAAGGGGCGCCAGCGCTGTCTCTCGCAAGTTCGCGAATCTTCGCGTGCCGTCGAGCGATTCGTCAGCGGCGAACATATAATTCAAGCAAGCATGGCTCTCATTGCTCAGCAACTTCACGAACAAACAGATGTTGGGCTACTACGCACCTCAGCAAGCTTACTATCAGCCGTCTTACTACGCCGGCCCGAGCTATAGCGACTATGAAGAGGAGCAGTACCGACGATACTTGCTCAGGCAGGAGCTCGAGCGACGTCAAGAGCAAGCGCAACGACGAGAAGCCTACCGGCAGCTTGTTGCACAACGTCAGCGACAAGATCAGTATGAGCGCGTACTCGCACAGCGACAACACGAAGAGCAGCTCTATGCTCAACAAGAGCGACAACGCAGACTGAAAGCAGCCCAGCGTCAAGCTCCTCCAAGGGGCCTGAGGCAGTCTGGCTGGTTCGCACCGCTCGTCTATCCTGGGCAGGTCTATGACATGCCATCTGATGACGACGAAGACGACTACACCTCCCCGGTCAACGTAGTCGATACGCCACGCGCAATGACGGTCGAGCCAGACATCGATCTCTCTGCTGCAAGCCTACATGCGGAGCCCGTACGACAGTCTAGCACGCCTCCGCCCACAGACGCAAAGGTGGAAGAAGCTGTCCGGACGCTGCAGAAGCACTTTAGAAAGCATGCAAGGACAAAGTACCACCTCGAGCAGCTCAACAGCCTGCGCGTGCAATTACAGGCCCTCACAAAGGCATTCATCGCACCGGAAAGGTACACATCTTTGTGCGCTTTGACGAGCAAAGCTGACGGATGTCATCGCAGGATCGATTTTGCTGCAGATGCCGAGGATGAATCCATGCCGAAGCTGCTCTACACATCAAACAACGCTTCCCTTCACGCTCACGAGGATGCACTCGTTCGACTGCTCACACAGCTCGACGGAGTCTCCTCGGACGGCTCAGACAGAGTCAAGCAAGAACGGAAGAAGCTAGTCAAAGACGTCGATCGCGAACTGGCACGATTGGACAGTCTGAAAGCCGAAGCATGGAAGAGACAGAATGTATAAAGTCAAATAGCGAATGCAGACTGATCCTTGTACACCGAATCGTGAGATGAGATCGTCTTGTTTGATCGCGCCTGCTCCGGCATTGCCATCGAGCGCTGTCGTGTGCTCGTAGGTCGAGGATTGATTTGCTGATATTGGTAAGGCATGGGCGGAACTGAGGGCGCGACGTATGACTTGCCGTCGTTGATTACATAAGGCAGCTGTGAAAACGTCTGGGGGCTCGTCTGCTTTGTGAGTCGTGTCCGTCGCCTGTACTCCTCTTGCTCGCGCCGCACTCTCGCATCTTTGTACGCGAAGCGCACAGTCGCAACACTGCGCTCGTTGTAAGCATAGAACTCCAACAGTAGCGACGCGCCGGGTGAACATACCTTGCGGCGGTCATGACGACCACGAGGAAGCCAGAAATGGCGAGCACGATGAGCAGAGGCTGGTGCGACAGACTCAAGTCGATGATGCCCAGCCTTTCGTCCAATTCGACGATCCCCTGTAGCTCCGCTTGAGGAATGTCGTCATTCTTCACGGTAGCCCTTCCGCTCGAGAGCACCACCTGTATGCCGTCAGCGTCTTGATACGAGGGCAAGGGCGAACTGACAACCAATGCGATCGACGCGGCTAATTCGCTGATACCGCTGAGGATGTACAGAGTTCCGAGGGCTTCACCGATTTTGAGTAAAGGCGCGAATTTCCTCCTCCGTATAGCGATAGCAGATACGATGGACAGCTAAAGACCTTGTCAGTGGCTGAACGCGCAAGTCAGTTCGACTCACGATCAAGATGAGCGCCGACACGATTGCCAGAGCCGCCGCAGATGCGCTGAGCGAAGTGGAGGCGGTCGTACCCTGAGGAAAGAGGATTGCGATGTCCTGGCCAGATCTTGCTAATCTGGATATGCCAACTGGTGCAAAGATGAGCGGAAAGACAGCGAGCACGCCTGTTGCGCAAAAGATGGTCGTCCTTCGCGGCACTGAAGGGCCGTTCCGTAGCTTGCGTGATCCCGAGCTCGAGAAGCGAGACTTTTCCATGATGCCCATGGCAAAGGTACGTTCCATCTGGCGAGGAGGAGCAGCGAGAGCATATTCAGGGATGCAAAGAGTCGATACAGGCACGTTGCTATAGCCCCCCGCGCAGCGTCCGTGCGAGATCTCAGGCGAACCTCGAACTGGGCACTCTGAGCGGACCGTCTGGTATGTCATCGGATGGCGTATCTGATCGCCTTGACCGCCTTGACCGCCTTGACCGCCTTGACCTCCTAGGGGGGACGGGCGTGATCGGTGTCTTGTTTGCATCGTGGAATGGCTGCTTGCTTGCCATGGGCGCCGCCCTCTCAAGCATTCCTGCGTTTTCATTAAAATGCCCGAGCTGTCTTCTGACTTTGAGTAATCGTCGAGATGCGAGATAGGTCAGAAGAATCGCGATGTTTGTCGTGACGAAGAAAGTCCAGCCAAGTATCATGGAGTAGACTACGAACTTCTGGTCTTTGTACTTGAGATGAACTGAGGATCGGTTGAGTATGCCTTTTCTCCGGCTGGGTAAGATACGTACTGCCTAGGAGAGGTGAAGCAGCAGGCACAATGCTTATGGGGATGATCTCCGACGATTCTACATTGCCACCTCGCGTATATGTCATCCAGGTCACGACGGCCGACATGACAAGAACGCCGACGTTGGCGATAGCGAGAGAGCCCCATTTGAGAAAGGCGCTCCGAGGCGTCTCCTTCTTTTGCATGAGAAACAGCGTGAGCACTGTCAAGACGCCCTGCTCGCACTCGTGAGGCTCCGCTCGAACGGAATTTGACGATTTAGCGTGCCATTATACCAGAGGCGATAGTGCACGTCGCGATCAGTGCAACGAGTGCGATGGTGATATCGAGAATGGAAGTGTGGACGCCCACTGACTCTCCCACGGCAACGTCATCGTCCCCGTCTAGCTTGGCCTTGAGTGCCGTGCCAATGAGGGCAATGTCAAGGATCGAGACGCCATTGAGCACGATGAGGCGGGGCCACCTGAGATATCTCTGCGCTTGTAAATGCTCCTGGTGTAAGACGTTGATCAGTCGCTGAACTTAGAACAAGTCGTACGAGACAAACGGGAGAGTACAAGGCTCCCTCGGGCGGACTGAGTCGTCTGGACATTCAGCCTCTAGACTGGCATTCGTCCGAGACTGAGACTACGCAGGTCACGCTGTGAGTCGTTGTAGCAAAGGCATGGGCGGGGTAATGGCGTGTCAGCCTGTTGTGTGAGATGCGAAATTCGGTTCGGCTCGAGGTCCAAGCGTTTTTGGCTCCGCAGACATCAATGTATCACCTGGCAGACGTCGTAGTGTTCATCTTGGCAGTCTCTTCTTGTGAGGCCATGGGCAGTTCCATTGCAATCATCGATCCCATGTGGAGTCCACGCACACACGGGATGGGGCAATGTTTTGCACAGACAGGGGAGGGAATTGAGCGGAGATAGTCATAGGGAGTCGAATAGGTACAAATGCGAGTGTGTGCGCGCATCGGGATGGGCCGTCAACGATCGTCGCGGTGTCTCAAAGGATTTGTCTTCGAATTCGTGCGCGTCATCGCGATCACATGCACCCGACGGCATGTCTAGCGACTCAACTGGCTGGACAACGTCTCGCAGTGCTAGGCGGAGGATTGACAGGTCTCTCGACGGCATTCTATCTATCGCGCCAACACCCGGACGCGCAGATTGTCTTGCTCGAGGGATCTCCTCGATACGGTGGATGGGTCCGCAGCGTCAGAGCGACACCTTCCCGCATACGACCGGCTTTGCTGGATGAGCACGCTAAACCTACCGGCGAGCATGAGGAGGTCATATTCGAAGCTGGCCCTAGGAGTGTTCGACCGAGAGGACTGGAGGGATGGCTCACCCTCGATCTCGTGAGACAGCTTGGCTTGACGAAAGAGCTCCTCGTGGTCGACAAGAACCATGTGTCTGCCTTCAACAGGTTCATCTACTACCCTGACAAGCTCGTTAAGCTTCCGTCGGGCATCACATCACTCCTCAGAGCAACCCTGAGCTCAGATTCAGTCTTGCGATCATTGTTGCCTGCCCTGCTTGGAGAGCCTTTCCGGAGGCGGAAGCCCGAACAGGCCTTGCAGACAGACGAGAGCGTCCACTCGTTCTTCTCGCGACGTTTCGGCGACGCATTTGCGACTAATCTCGTCAGCGGTATGGTTCACGGTATCTACGCAGGCGACACGAGGACTCTGTCTGTAGGCGCGACCTTTGGCAGCATCGCAAAGCTAGAGCAACAGTATGGCTCTTTGATAGTCGCTCTGCTGAGGGGCGGAGTAAAGTCAGATCCAGAGCAAACGCGGCTTGTCAAAGAGCTCCAGGATCTCATGCCCATCGACGAACGTACAAATCTCAGGTCTGCCAGTGTATGGAGCCTGCGAGGCGGCCTCGAGACCCTGACTTTGGGTCTGGAGATGGCCTTGCGCCGAGCAGACAACGTCACGCTGAGCCGCGACGACCCTATCCAATCGATCGCCCACGATCCCTCCGGGTTCACTGTCTCCACCACCTCGACTAAGCACGTCACCGATCGGATCGTCTCGACCCTTTCTGGCCCGTCCCTGTCATCGCTGCTCTCGGCCGACATGCCCGAACTGACCGCCAACGGCTCTGTCAATGTCGGCGTCGTCAATCTGGCTTTCGCCAATAAGCCCGGCAAGCGATTGCTGCCCGTTCGAGGCTTTGGCTACTTGTTGCCTCGATCAGTGCCAGAGCATCAGAATCCTTACAAAGCTCTAGGTGCCGTGTTTGATTCTGACATGATGCCCGAGATGCACCCGCCCGAAACAGAAGCCTCGCCTGGCTACACCAAGCTCTCTGTGCTGCTCGGTGGCGCTCACTGGACCGGTAGATCGATCGAAAGTCTGCCTACTGACGATGAGCTGGAGATTCAAGCCCTTGCGACCGTTCAGAGTCACCTGGGCATCAGCGATCTGCCGACTCATTCTCGCGTACACATGCAGCGAGACTGCATTCCTCAGTACCTCGTCGGCCATCCTGATCGCATGCGAACGCTACACGAGAGAATTGCGCAGACTTACCGGGGCAGGCTCAGCGTGGCGGGAGCAAGTTACACGGGCGTAGGTCTGAACAATTGCGTCAAGGCTGCTTGGTCTGTCTCACGTGCGATGGCGACCGAGCAAGTGACAGGACTAGAGAGCTTCCTTGCGAGCTAGTGCGATGTACTGAGATGCAATGCTGCGTCATATCAATAGCTTCCTTTTGAAGTAGCTTCGAAGGTAGACGATCTGCCATACTCCGAGAGAGACGAGTGTCGCTACTGTGAGCAAAGAGAAGAACTTGACTCTTTCGTTCGTTGATTCTGATGGAAGGACGGATACGGTCAGCTACAAACTTGACGGAGGCGGACCCCACCAACCGTTTGTATCTCGCATCTTTCGCTCTCTTTGCTTGAGATAGTTGAGTTCGTCGACAATCTCCTTGACGACTCCTTCGAGCTTGCGCATCTCTACCTCGAGACCCGAGAGCGACTCTGTGTGCGCCATGTCAGCTTCATCACGAGCGAGCTGGTTCGCTCACCTTGTTTGGCAATAGCATTATAGTCGACCGCGTCTGCGCCAATGTCGACATCCAGATCAATCGCTCTCGAGAACTTGTGGGCCTGATGCTCGGGTATATCTACGTCGGCATCACTCAGTCCATCCCACATGGATCAGTCTGAGCAACAGACGTACTCGCGTCGAGCGTGTTCTTGAAGCAGACGCCAAGTTCGGCATCAGCATGAGTCGTGATGGCCATGCGCGTCTCGGACTGGATGTTCTTCTTGGTCTGGTAGATATTCTTGTGAGAGCTTCCATCGAGCACTTCCATGTCTATCTTCTGATTCAGGCCTGGCTCGACGTTGGCGGTGATGACGACGAGGGTGTCGACCATGGCGGTATTCCATATGCACTTTGGCTGAGGATGATGGGCCGCATGCAGATCGAATTTGACTGCTATCGCTTGGCTCGCGGCCAGCAGCACGAGCGGTAGCGATAGGCTCGCCCGCATCGCAGCGTTGCCTCGTCGAAGCTCCCGCTCAGGCCACGCTCGAGGTCGCGTACGAGCACGTACCTTGACTGGATGACGTGGCAAAAGAGAGCAGAGCCTAATGACGTGTCAGATCCTTTTAAGCGCACCATCCGACGCACACGGAGGAGTCGGCAACGTCGTCATGACCGCAGCGGAGCAGCCCACAGCGGAGTGTGTGGCCTCTGCGTCATCAAGTCGACCGTCTACGCCCTTGCCAGCGTTCTTCAGGTCGACAACGAGCAAGAGTGACCTGTCGCCCCCCATCGTCCACCATCCTCACTTGGCCTCTTCGCCATCTCACACACTGCGATCGCCCAGCAGCAGTAGCTCCTCAGATCGTGTTCTGGGCTCTTATTTCACCAGCGGGTGGTCAGACGATGTTCAAGCTCGCCCAGAGACCTCTAGACAGCGTCAACTGAGCGCAAAGAGCCAATTGCTTGCCGATCGAGGTTTGACCCCCATAGACGATGGCCTGGCACAGATGTCAGGAATAGACAGTGGGCTTCTACCAGATCCCATGCGATCGGACGACGAGGACGATAGATCATCCGGGCGTAGCAGTTTCACAGACTCGCCAGGCAGCAGGCCACCAAGGAGGCGTTCTCAGAGCACCATGACAGACGCTACCATACTGTCCTCGACCTGGAGCAGTCCAATGTCTCGCAAATCGACCAACGGCGCCCTCGGATCAGAGCATGACGGGCAAATTGATGATTTTGCGGCGCCTCTGCTGACAAGAGACGCCTCGGTCGACCCTATGCCGCCTAGTGGTCCACTCACAGAAGCGGAGAAGCGAGCAAAGGAACTGGAACGGCAAGAGCCGCTCTTGCAGGAGCTTGATAATCGTTTCGTTCTGTTTCCTATCAAGTATGATGAGGTAGGCTGCTTGCTGTGCTCCCCCGGAAGCAGTCATTAATGCTGCTTTGTAGATCTGGCGGTTCTACAAACGGGCAGTGGCATCCTTTTGGACGGCGGAAGAGATTGATCTTACTGGCGATAGAGCCGATTTCGAAAGTCTGACGCCTGGCGAACGTCACTTCATCCTGCACGTCCTCGCATTCTTTGCCGCAAGCGACGGTATTGTCAATGAAAATCTCGTCGAGCGCTTCTCGTCGGAAGTAAAGGTTACGGAGGCAAAGTGCTTCTATGGCTTTCAGATCATGATGTGCGTTGCGGCAAGCTCAGCCCGATGCTGGAACGCTTAGAGTTTTCTTGCTTTGCACAGGGAGAACATTCATTCGGAAGTCTACTCGCTGCTTATCGAGTTCTACGTGCGAGACAAGCGCGAGCGACAGGCACTGTTCGACGCGATGGACACTGTGCCTTGCATCAGACGCAAAGCACACTGGGCACTCAGGTGGATATCAGACGACCGAACGACTTTTGCAGAGCGACTCGTCGCTTTTGCGGCTGTCGAGGGCATTTTTTTCTCCGGCTCATTCGCTGCCATCTTCTGGCTAAAGAAACGCGGTCTCATGCCTGGCTTGACCTTTTCGAACGAGCTCATCTCACGTGACGAGGGTCTGCACACCGAGTTCGCGTGCTTGCTCTTCAGGCACCTCCACCATCGCCCTTCCGACGCGAGAGTACAAGAGATCATCACAAGCGCAGTGACGATCGAGAAGGACTTCCTCACAGAGGCCTTGCCTGTCAAACTGATAGGCATGAACTCGGATACCATGTCGCAGTATATCGAATATGTCGCCGATCGATTGCTCACGACGTTAGGCGTGGAGAAGGTCTACGGGAGCGAGAACCCCCTCTCTTTTATGGAGAATATATCACTAGAAGGCAAGACCAACTTTTTCGAGAAGCGCGTGTCAGACTATGCTCGTGCGAGAATGTCGGGCTGGACGCAAGAAGCGAGCGGTGCAGGTCATGCAGACGACACTCAAGGCGGTCATGGCAATTCCGAGGACGTCTTTCGTCTGGATGCAGATTTTTAGGTGGTGTGTCACTGTCACTGTTGTAGCACTTTTGCATCCCACTCCTCTTTGTAAGGCTATACAGAATCGTACAGCATGCTGGTCGGTCGGCTAGTCCTGCAAAGACGAGTCAGACTCGAACAAGAAAGAGCTAGAAACCGACGCACCCATAACTTGATGTTGCCATCCCAACTTCCTGTCACTACTTTTGACTAGTCTTGGTCGTTAGCGATGCACTCAAGATGACGACCTTGGGACGTACAGTCTCGTGCGGCAACCAGGCGTGGGAGATGACGACGTGGTTGTGAGCCTTTATCCGCTGTGGCATCTTCTTGCAGGTCTTCCAGTCCCAGAAATGCAAGTTGCCGGAGCCATCACCGGAGCTGAGCCATTTGCCATCCGGACTGAACGCGATCTCGCAAGCATATCCGCCAGTGATGTGACCTGCGAATCGCTTCTTCCTGTTCTGTTTGAATTCTGTCGTCCAGACGAGGATCTGATTGTCGAGCGATTGCATGGCCATGTATTTTTCTGCTCTCTGCTTCAGCTATGGTGGAGGACACAGTCCGATGTGAGCTTACTGTCGGGATGGAGAGTGACGGCTGGCATGCTGTGCATGCTCGGTTCGGCGATGTACTTGATGACGACGGGGATATCGTAGTCCCATGCGCGGATCGTCTTGTCGTCTGAGGTCGTCACGAAGCGCCTGTTCTCATCGACCCAGGTGATGGTGCTAAGTCCGCGTAAGCCGCTGGCAGCCTCAAACAGGCAAGAGGTGCTTACTTGACGGGTCCGAGATGTTGATCGTACTCCTGAGTGATCTTTTCGCTGGTGAGATCATATTGAATGATCTTCTTGTCGGACATGCCGGCCAGAAAGACATTCTGTTGCGCTGGATCAGGGTTGAATTTGACGACATAGGGTATCTTTGTGTTTGTGAATGCTTGTAGACATTGTCCTACACACAATTGCTCAGCTCTTCTCTGCGTCACTCGAGCAAGAGGTATGCACCTGTTTCTGTATCCCATAGCTTTATTTGCCGGTCATAGCCTGCGGAGAGGAATCTTGTGCCATCGTTGTTGAATGCGACATCGCGGACAGCTTTGCCATGACCCATAAATGTCCGCAGGCATTTGCCTTCGTGGTAGACGTCCCACAGCTGTGTAGTCTGTGTGGTCAACGACATACAATCGCTCATGCAGGAGCCTTGCCTTGACACGCGAGTCCATAGAGCCACTGAGGATGAGGTGACCGGTCTTTGGGAAGAGTCGAATGCAGGAGACGCCCTTAGTATGGCCTGACCAAGTGTGTATGCAAGACTTTGGAATGTAGCACTGCTGCGTTCCAGGCTCGGAAGGTTCGAGATCGGTGTCGATGTCTCTCGGAGTGGCCATGTATGTCCTTCCCTGATAGTCTCGCATCGCTGCGCCATGGAAGACAGATTTCTCCTCCCCGAAGCCGACCTCGCGCGCGGACCTTTCGAGGATGGCTCGCTTGTCTCCTCTTCTGGCGCTGGACTCGTACTCCTCTTCGTCTGGTCCGGCAGGTATGTCTAGTCGTTCTTCTCTGTAGGCTGCCCAGGGTCCGACATACTCCACTCTGTCCTCTTCGGCGATCTCCTCGCCCTCTGGATCAAACTCGCCCAAGACGCCCTTGTTCTTTCGCTTTTTCTTCATCTCCTGCCTCATCGCGGCAGAAGGTCTAAAGGTATCAAAGGAGACGTCCTTGACGTTCTGTGCAGCGATGAGATCGCCGACGAAAGGCTGCTGGGCAGAGTTGAGTTCGGAGGGATTGCGCGCATAGCCGAGTGACTGATAAGCGCGCTCTTGGACTTTGAAGTCGAGGTCTGACATGGCCTGTTGTTCCACATGACCTGCAAGGCAATGCATCAAGCTGTGCGCGGGCATGCGTGTGGAAGTTGGGGCGTGCCTGTGAGCATGTTCATACGGTCGAATGACTTTTCGCCTCCGATGGGCAGTGGACCGGCGACGGGTGCGAGCATGTCTTGGTAGGTCAGGTTGATGTTCATCTGGTTGTCCGTCGGTCTTGTGACGAGTGAGGTCGAGCCAGCTGTCATGATGTCCTGCGGCTCGCCATCATGAGCACCACCGCCGTGCGCCAAGCACATTGTCAGTGCGACGTACTTGATCGAGCACATCTGGCGCAGCGCTGATCTTGCTAGAGCCTAGTCTGCGTACGCTAGCGGTAGGCTGTGGCCGTCGAGGGGCGTCTGTGCCTGTGAAAGCGAGAGGATTGGCATCCTCCTCCTCGTCACTGTCATCACCGGCTGCTGGCTGGATTGTTGAGGCTGCTACTGGCCGGTCCTGCGGTCGAGAGGCCGTCTTGGCACTCGCTTCCTCGTCAGAGTCAGCATACTCGACTAAGCCTGCCATGGAGCCAGCTGTCGACTGCTCCTCGTCGTCGTCCTCGTCGTCGTCGGTAAGGAACAGTCAATTTATTTCTTGCTGGCCTCTCTCGACCGCTCGAGTGAGTCGACGAATCCCCTGATGAGCCTCAACGGCGGCACCAAGCGGAAGCAGTCCAAGGGCAACAAGGAAGGCCAGGCCAAGCTCGTCACAGATGCTCGCTTTGCCTCCCTCCACACTGATCCTCGGTTCGTCAAGCCAAAAAGAGCATCCAATAAAATCGTGCTCGACGACCGCTTCAAGTCTCTCTTTGAGCCTGATCCGACGACCGGCAAGGCCAGCAAGAGTGCGCCATCTCCTTCGTCACGCATGAGACAGCACAGGCTGACGAACAGACACAGAACGCGCAGTAGACCGGTTCGGCCGACCGTTGAACAAAGACCACTCTCAGGATGAACTGCGCAAGTTCTACAGGCTAGATGATGACGAGGAAGCGGAGGAGCGGGAAAGAAAAGATCCAGAAGCACAAGGCGTCTCTACTCAGAACAAAGGCAAAGGCAAAGCGCAAGAGAGTGCGCAAGAGTTTGTAGACTATGCGCGCGGTCAGGCACTGCTCGAGTCATCATCAGAAGAAGAAGACGAAGAAGAGGAGGAGGAGGAGCAAGCTGAGAGCTCTGAAGATGATGGCGAGATCATCCTAGGACCCTCTACCTCGCGCTCGAAGCCCAAAAGAGCGCGCTCTGCCTCACCGTCGGGATCAGAAATCTCGATCGACCTCAACGAAGATGATATTCAAGTCGTCAGACATTCCTTGCAGGACGAACCTCGTGCCGAGTTGATCGAGGACGATGCTCCGCTCGAGGAAGGGATAGAGTCTCGCCGGATAGCCGTCGTCAATCTCGATTGGGACAACATCCGCGCTGCAGATCTCTTCAAAGTCTTCTCCTCCGTCCTCGCACCCGATCGCGGAACACTGCAACAATCAGAGGCTGATGCAGCGCGCACGAGTACTTCCGGTCTGCCTTCCGCCGTCATGAAGAGAGTGCGAGGCAGAGTGATATCAGTCTCGATCTATCCTAGCGAATTTGGCAGGGAGAGGATGGCACGTGAGGAGCGCGAAGGGCCGCCCAAGGATATCTTCCTCCCTGCCGAGCAATCCGACGATAGTGATGTCGATCCTGACGATATCGATGAGAAGACTGTGCTGCAGCAGGAAGAAGGCGAGGAGTTTGACGAAGTCGCTCTGCGGAAATATCAACTAGAACGATTGCGATACTACTATGCTGTCATCGAGTTCGATAGCGTCCAAGCTGCTAAGCATGCTTATCGTGAGATAGACGGCACAGAGTTCGGCCGTACCGCCAACTTTTTCGACCTTCGATACATACCTGACGAGATGGATTTCACCGCTGATCCGATCAAGGAGAAAGCTACCTCTGTTGCTGCCGATTACAACACGCGCGACTTTGTCACTGACGCGCTGAGGCATTCCAAAGTCAAGCTGACTTGGGACGCCGACGATGTAGAGAGAGCTCGCTTCACCCGACTAGACACGACCAAGCTCACCAAAGACGATCTCGAAAAGCTCGATTTCCAGCCTTTCCTCGCCTCTGATTCTTCCGACTACGAGAGCGAAGAGGAGGAAGCAGTCCAGAGCGAAGAAGATGCTCCGCCTCGTTCGACAATGTCCAGAGCCGAATCACGTCTCGCCAAACGAGAGCAACTCCGGCGTGCATTCGGCTTAGACGAAGGCGAGGCGGCTGAGGACGACTTCTTCGAAAAGAAGGACAATAAGCAGGATCTTGAGATCACCTTTGCGCCTGCGCTATCTGGTCGTGCTGCCAAAACCGATCTCGCCCCCGCAGAGCCAGAGACCAGTCTTGACGCTTACCGACGCAAGACGAAGCAGCAGAAAGAGACCAAGAAGCAGGCCAAGGCGGCAGCCGACGAGGCGATGCCTGATGAAAAGCCAGTGGTGAAGAGCAAACAAGCCAGAAGAGCAGCAAAGGAGGCGGCGCAAGCAAAGGAGCAACGCCAAGCAGCAGAGCTTGCACTGCTCGTCGCTTCCGACTCTGAAGAAGATAGCGAAAAGCTTCCTGGCAAGCACTTTGATATGCGTGCTATCATCAAAGCCGAGAAGGAGAAGGGCAAGAAGAAGCGGAGTAGAAAGCATGGCAAAGTCAAAAGCGACGCAGAAGTGCAGGATTCTTTCGAGATTGACGTTGCGGATAATCGCTTCGCAAGTCTGCATGATCATCACGAGTTTGCAATCGACCCTTCGAACCCACAGTGAGCCGGACACAACAAGAGTTGCCATTTACTGATTTGTGTTGCAGCTACATCAAGACGAAGAATATGGAGCGATTACTCTCGGAGGGTCGCAACAAGCGCCAGAAGCTTGCGCCGCAAGTCGATGCGACCAGTTCAACCGCTTCAATGCCGAGCAAACCAACCGACGATCTGGCAAAGCTCATCTCGGCGGTCAAGCGCAAGAGTGAGTCGCAGAGCAAGCCGAAGCGTGCTTGATCCTCATGTGCCATTTTGTACGCGCTCTGCTGCAAGCCGCTCGTACGCCAGCCGGTGATAGAGATTGAGCCCTTGCAAAAACTTTGCGCCCGTCTGTCTGCCTCGTGTTAGCGCTGTGAGGCTAGATTGTGATAAGACTCGCCGTGTACTGGCCGATGGCATCCAGGAGAGCCACGGCATACTGTCGGACGGTGCGCTGAGGGTGGAAGAGACCGAGTGCGACAGGCCCTAGACCTCCAAGGTGGACTGGCAAGAGGACAAGCAGCTCTATGACTTGATCGTATGATTTGACACTTTGCGATAGCGTTGCAAATATATCTTCTATCTCGCTCAAGCTGACTTGTCGTCCGTACCGCAACCGAGCGATCTGATGTGCGGGATCGAGTCCGCGCAGGGCTCTCGTCTGCGCCTTTTGCAGAAAGTCTTCTCTGACGAGACCGCACGCGTATGTCGACAACCACGCTTGAATGCGAGGCGCATGTACGATCTTCTCTTTGAGCCATGTCAAGTCGTCGACAGGCAAGACGCCCGAGCCTAAGCGATTGCGAGTGTACGCATAGCACGGAAAGCTGAGTGTCGTCTTGCCCGAAGCTTCTTCTTCCTGCCGCGCCGCAAGCCTGACGAACCGATGGAGAAATTCTGCGAAGCGGGCTCTGATAGCCATCTCCCCGTGATGCCCTTGCAAGCTCGCAGACACCTGATCGGTCAATCAGTGGTGCAGGTCGCAGAGTTGCGAGGGCTGACCTCTTCCATCAGGAGCAGATCAGGATGATCAAGACGCGGGTCCAAGTCACGTTTGTCCACTTCTTTCGTCGCCACGTTCGCGTGCGCAGAAGACGTACTGGCGCTGAGAGCGTTGGTGGCACTAGCAGGAGGATAGCCGATGTTCTTCGAGACCGTGATTTTGCCGGTCTCGATATCGCAGAGGATGTCCCACCAATCTGCATGGATCTCAAAGACTGAATTCGTTACGCCGGCGATGTAGCCAGGCACGGTCTCGAGCACGCTCTGGATACCCAGGTTGGCAAAGGGGAATGCCCTTCGCACGAAGCCTTGTAGGATTGCACCACCGCCGCTACCGAGAGCACAGGCGGCGAGCACGAGGTTGGCTACTTGCGAGGCAGACTGAGTCTTGCCTAGGATCACGATACGTTTCTCAGTGATGAGCGCATTGAGCAATATGATGATCGGCGGAGTACTGGCGCCGGAGGTGTGCAGATGAGGGTGCAGTTGTCCAATGTGAGGCGTTGCGGCAGACTGGGGAAACGTCTTGATGAGGTCTATCATTGAATAGTCGCCCACTTCTTCGGGGAAAGTAGCCAGCGGGATGCGAACGGGCAGATCGAATTCGGCATATCGTACCGAAGTCTCATAGAAATGCGTATCCCTCGATCTTCTCGAAGATTTGTAGGCAGGCGTGCTATGCCGTTGCGCATGCGAGGCTGAACGTGCCGCAAAATCTGCTGGCGTAATGGTCGGTCGACGCTCGCTCCACAGGTTTCCAGGAGTCAAGTTGTTCATCGTGGGCGTCTTTGGGAAGTCATCTTCGTCGTGAGGGCCTGACTGCAGCTCCATGTCGGGGCGTGAAGGTGTCGCGACGAGCGTGTCAGCTGGAAACCTGTCTTCGAAGAGATCTGCACGATCCGACACGCGCAGGACTAGTCTCTCGGAAGGGCTCAGAACAGGACATTGCGAGAGGTCCATCTCGTTGAGCGCTTCGTAGAGACGTTCTACACATGTCGATGTCGAGTCTTTGAAGTAGTCTTCGAGCGCTAAGAGCAATATTGGCTGCGTGGACAGTCAGCGTACGGGCGTGCATACCTTCTGTGAGGTACCTTGTAGATCTGTATAAAAGGATGATAGGTGCAGATGGCTACCGCCTTTGTGATGCCGCCTCTGGGCAGAGTTCAGTTCGCGGTGTCTGGCAAGGCGCGGGCAATGTTACCTCCTGACGGTATCGTCCTTCTTGACCTTGACCAGACTGATGACGTAGAGGACCTTGTCGCTCTTGACAGCTTCGTTCGCCTGAGCTGCGCCGTTGGCTCGTGATGTCGTGAACCCATTGGATTCCGGTACAGGCGAACGAACGGAAAGGGCAGGATTCTGGTTGAGGTAGAAGATGGTCCAGTCTTCTGTTCTGTTGTGGACACCTTCGGGGAGCATCAATTCGGCCAGTAAGCTGCATGGCCAGCCTTGCTTCAGCTGGGCGTCACAAGCTGGGCAGCGCGTAGGTTTACGATGCATCCGTGCCTGTCTCGCAGGGTATCTGATGCCTCAGCGTGGCCCCTTCGTCGATGTCGAACTCTGCAGCCAGCACATAGGCTACATGGGCCATCCTGGCCTGTGGGAGCCGCTTGACAGGCCCGACAAGTCGACGACAGCGACAGCTTCACTCGACAGTCGACGCGACGGCGCAGACAACCGGCACGGAGGGGCGGGCACACACTCGCTATGACGACGATCGCAAGGACGACAGCGGGTCAGATCAGGCTCATCAGCTATGCCCTTTCCATCTTCTCGTACGGCATCATCGCCAACATCCTCTTCACACTTTCGCTCCTCGTTCTACCGTTCTCCGACAAACTTGCCTATGAATGCAATTCGAGCGTGGCGTGTGTCGTTCGGTGCTCCCCACCGGGCATCAGAGAGCTTATAGATGAGTGATGTAGCGGAACGCTATGGCGCTACATGCAGGTCAGCCCTCGACTCGACTGGATAGCACGTGTCTGACAGGGAACATAGTGGCTCTTTGAGTCACGCGCTCAGGCCGAGATCACATTCAGTGGTGACACATTGCCCTCGAAGGAATCGGCTCTGGTCATATGTCAGCCATGTCTACCGTGCAGAGATCGACTAGCTGATGCTGAGATCGCTGGAAGCCAATCACCTCGCCTATTCGGACTACTATCTCATCGTCCGTCGCGTGGATTCGCATGGCCCCCCACTGATGTGCATGACAGCATGCACTCGCGCTTCGCAAAGGGATGCTGCGCTATTGTCGATACTTTGCAAAGGACTCGCTCAAGTGGACACTGCCTATCTTCGGCCTGAGTCTCAAAGTAGGCTTGCCTTGTCTGCTTCGGCGCAAGCTGATGGTCTGCACAGCTTGTCGGAATGGTCATGGTCAAGAGAAACTGGACGAGCGATGCGGCAAATACACGGAAAGCGTTTGCGCAGCTGAAACGAGGCAGAAATAAGCCCGTCTGGCTCGTCACTTACCTCGAGGGGACGCGCATCACGCCTAAAAAGCTTGCCGAGGTCGATCCTTTGCTGGTCCTCGCATGCCACTTTTCGCTGATGAGATCGAGAGCCATCAGAGCCAACGGTTCTGCAAGTCGGCAGACAAGCCCACGTTTGACAATGTGCTCTACCCACGCATGAACGGCTTCGTGGCTGCAATAAGCGAACTACGCGACTCGCAAGTCGAGCATGTCTACGGTAAGCCTCGCGATACTGCTAGATAGCCGAGCTTGATTGTCACACAGATTTCACGCTGGCATACGCCGGTGCAAAGGGCGAGCCGCAGAAGCCAGCGAGTCTGGCGACCGTCTTTCAAAGCTCGCAGCTCAGTCCGCCTTACAAGTTCCACGTGCATGTCAGGAGGGAAGCCGTGCCTCGACAAAAGTTGCCACGCGCTGATGCTGATATCATGCAGATTTGCGATACGAGACCTGCCGCAAACAGATACCGCGCTGCGGTCGTGGGTAGAGAGAGTATGGCAGGAGAAGGACGAGCTCTTAGAGAGCATGAAAGGTTCGTGGACAGATTCACCTCGCATAAGAGATACGCTGCACGCATCGCACTACTACGATCGACATGTCAAACGATCTTGATACAACACGACACAAAATGAGTGGTTCACTGTAGCTGTCGTCAATATGAGCAAACACGAAGGGACCCGAATCAAACCTTGAACATGCGCAGATAAGCGAGCAAGAGCGCTCCGGAACCTGTCGCGATACCGACGAGGTACTGGAGGATGTTGAACTTGACGGACTCCATCTGCGTCTTGAGTGCAGAGATCTCAGACTCGATACGGGTGTCCACTTCGCGGATCTTGAGCTCGCGTATGCTCAACTCGTCTCTTATCCTGCCCTTTTCGAGGTTAAGGTCGAGTCTGACACCAGCCTGCGTGCGTGTGATCTCTTCGCGCAGCCTCTGCTTGAGTCGCTCGACGTCGGCCAATAGGCGTTCGTTCTCTGTCTTGAGCAGCGAGAAATCTTGCTTTTCCACGAGTTGTATCTCACTTCGCAGCTTTGCAAAGTCGACTTTCTGAGTATATTGATGCTGTACATGCATGATTCAGCTTTTTGACGAGCATGAGCCTGACGGAGCAGCGCCTACCTTCTCTTGCTCGCTACGCGTGACGAGGTTCTGGACCATACTCCTTATGCTCTCTTCGACCACCTCTTCCATCGCTTCCATCACTCCCACAGCCTGCCCGTGCTCTATGCCTGCATACAGGGATCGTGTATCAGTCTCTGGCGGGACGATGACGCTTCGCTAGGCTGGCCTTTGCTTTCGAGACGATCAACAAAGTAGTGTGTGTCAAAGTGGAACTGGCTGCTCGTCGGACTCGCAAAGAACTGTCGTCGAGTCGCCCTTGGCGTGACTGCTCGCCGGGGAAGCATGGCAAGCGATCTCGAGGCCATCGCTGTCGTGAGAAGTTGATCGTTGATCGTTGATGACGCGGTGACAAGCCAACGCCAACAGCCGGACGCGTCTTAGCGCTCAAGGGCTCAACTTGCTCGAGCGCTAGTCAGGTCCGCAGCCTCGGGCTGAATGCCGAGCAACGACCAGTGATGAATACACAACGTGTCCTGTAACAGGCAGGGAACACACAACAAGCGCCTCTCCTCGATGATCTGTAGCTACGCTTTGAATTATCTAAATGATATTCGTCCTTTGTCTGAGATTGGCTGTTCGAACGATCAGCTTGACATGAGGGGCATCACGAATTACGCACACCGTGAAGCCTAGGCTTGTCCTTGATGGTCCCACAGATGAATGTGGGTGGCGATCGCTTTCTAGGGTATCCATGAAAGTACTGACGAGACTGCCTCGAGACCGACGATAGATACCGCCAATCGGGGCTGATCGTATGCAAAGTCTTCGATCTCATAATCGCCTAGCCTTATCCGTGCTTTGATGGCGACATCGACGCGTAGCGTACCTCGACTGGCCAGATAGGCTTTCACGACATCATCGAGCGGCATCTCGAGCTTGACTGTCACCAGAGGGCTATTCTGATGTCCTGCCGTCTTGTTCGGGTACTTGTGATTGCTGTAAGAGACAGGCGGCACTTCGAAATCCTCAAAGTCTTGCGAGAATACTCCGAACGCTTTGCCCTTGTATGTTGCCTGACATCGAATGTGATCAATCTTGATCGCGAGATCGAAAGGATTCTCCAGTTGGAATCGCGCCCGAACTTTAGACATTGCGGCCTGAACACCCAGTCTGATCTCGATCGAGGTGATGAGCGTCTTATGAGCAATCGGCTTGAGCCTAGCGCGCATATCAAGCTCCGTAAGTGCAGCTCGAAGAATCTCGTTCGTGCTTGATCGCTCGTCACCAGTGATCAACACATTTGATTCCACACCCGACAGATAACCCGAGAGGAGCAGTCCGGCATGTTGCTGATCTTCGCGCGATGGACTGTAACGAAATTCGATGGACAATCTGGTTGCGCCAGGCTTGATCTCCATCGCACCGAGAACATATGCGCGACCTATAAAAGTTTTCTGGTCGCCGTACGCGACGCTGAGTGAGACACCATCGTCGGGCGTATCCTGGCTGTGCTTCGCGCGCTCCATAGCCTCTGCGTGTGACGCAACATAGATGTCAAGGTCCGACGGGTTATTCAGGTAGCATTGGATTGAAAGCACCAGTCCGCTGCGCTGTCCGTCGATAATATGTACTTCTGTCAGCTGCATGGTCATGTGCGAGAGCTTCTGTAGAGCGGCGATGCTAGTGTCAACTGGCACAGATGGACAGCGGAGATCGAAGCTGCCCGCTGTTGTGTCGACCGTTGCAAAGAGATTCGACATGTCGAGCTGAAGCGTGACAGACGACTCGCGAGCCAGCGCACCAGCGACACTCTGCAGCCCCTCGTGATTGCTGTCAGAAAGATGTGCCGACTTGATGTCAAATGTAATCGATGAGGACGCCTGCTCGACAGCGCATTGCAAGTGCAGTTGACCAAGCCGCTTCCCACCGAAAGTCACACCAATATCGCCGGTGAGCTGTTTGACCTTGAAATCGAAGCCAACCGGCGACTTGATCGCACAGACGACGTTGGGACACGAAACAACTGGCGTCATCATCCGCTCTTGGGTTTCGAAGCGGAAGGAGACAGTCGATAGCGTGACCGAACCTATGAGCTCTACGGCGGCTGTTGATGGCAGAGTCACTGGTACAGGTATAGGCACAGTCTTCAAACCCTCGACGAGCCAGCCGAGCGTCATGCCGTTCTCTAATCGTGCAGATTGCATGTAGGCGTGGCAGATGATCGTCTGCCCGCTGACCACCTGTGACGACAGATTCTCAAAAGCGCGTCTTGATTCGTTAGTGTGGCCTGTCGACAGAGATCCATGGATTGCCATCGATGTCGTCTGGCGAGCAGCAAGCGATAGCGAGGGTATCTTGATGGTGCCCACTGTGACACCCTCTGCACACAGGCTGGCATCGATGTCGACCAGATTCATCGAAAGCGCGGAAGGATTCGACAGCTCTGCGTCTGCCTTGAGAGTCAGACCGGAGGTGCGAGTGCCCGCTTGCGGAAGGTCAAAGGCTTTCAGCTCCAGGCCGGAAAAGCCGTCTAGGCCTCTGATCGAGACAGGCTTCACAACCTTTTGCGCAATAGCGGTAATGCCAGCGACGTCAACGCGTAGAACATCGAAATGTAGCCCGAGCGAGACTTCCTTGTCTTTACCGATTGATTCTACGACGGCCGCCATTCGACCGACATCGCTGATGTCAAGCTTGCCTTTGAGTGTGTAAGAGTCTGACGATATGTCCGTCAATGTTATCCCCTCCATTGGCTCGAATTTGGCTGCTGGAAAGTCTTGACTGCAGATATCGATGCCGTTTGGAAAGGTGATGCGCGTGATGGACGGGCTTAAGTCAGGCAGTCCCGAGATCTTGAGATCCAGCTCGGCGTGTAGACTACCGCTTTCTTCGCGGAGAGAGAGATGTGTCACTTCAAGCGCCATATCTCTTATGACTGGCTGCACAGCTTTTTCCGCGACCCTGTGCAAGTATGTGTGAGCGGCATAGTCGGGGCCCAATGAAGACGTACTGCGCGAGAAGCTGGGATATGAGCGATTCGCTAACTTTCACTGGCAATTGGTCTTGCGCCAGCTGCGTAGCGAGGGTATAATCGCCAATGGCGAGATCGACATCGGCCTTGAATGATGCTTGCAGATTGGCCAGTACGTGGGACGCTACAGCTGCGAGATCATCTTCATCCCGAGCGCTCTCAGCGTGATCACTGGCCCCAGGCGATGCCCGTGATGGGTCAACGAGCATTAAAAGGCGCTCGAAGCGAGCTAGCGAGACGCTCTGTGCCGCGGCAGCGGCAGTCAAGAGATCAACCAGGTCAGCAGGATTGCTCAAAAGGGCTATGCTCTGAGGCGCAGTGACTGTTGTTGCGTTTGCGGACAAGCGAATCGCGTCGGCCTCCGTCAAGTGCAGGTCGAGCTTGCCAAGCTCGATTCCATATGCAAGAGCGCTGCCTTTCAGTGAACGTACCGTGATAGGTGTGGAGAACGGGTTCGCCAGTACAAGCTCTATGGACGCATCTGAGGCAGAGTGAGCTTGCATCTCAGATTTACCGGGTATGACATCGCCTTTAGCGACGATGGGTTCGCTGAGCTGAGGGGCAGCGGCAAGAACGACAAATTCGCCAAGGGCCCGCCTCAACCACGCTGGGTGCAAGTCTCCGCCGAATCGGATATAGAGCAGGGGCTCCTGACCCGATAGGAAAGAAGAGACGAAGTCGCTGCCTGCCTGGCCTGCTTTGCCAAGTTCGAGCTCGAGCCGTGCTTTGAAGGTGTTGCTGCCAGCAGTCAAATGAAACGACGAACCGAATGTGAGCGAGCCAATATCCACAAGACCTTCGCTCGGACGAGCGATAGCAACCGTAAGCTTGACATTGCCGAGGTCTAGATCTAAAACCGTCTTCGGTACTGCAAGGTCTATGCTCGCCGTACAAACAAGGCAGTCCTGCCGACCATGAAGAATATCAAGACGACCGGCAGATATTGCTCTGCGCTTGCGATCTTGTGTCGACCAGCGCTCGAGATCCCTGGCACGGCATAGCTGAGCTGAGAGCCGGTCGAGGCCAGCGAAGACGACGGGCTTGCGCAGCTTTATCTTCGCAAATGACAGTCCTAAGGACTTTACGCGCAAGCGGCCTTCTAGATCTACTCTGATATCATCTTTCGCGTCTATGACTGCTCGCGTGAACGCATCGACAGCCTTGTTGTCTTGTACTAGCGCAAGCTTCACTGGCCCGAGCTCGAATTGCGAGCGACCGAGCTTCTTTCTGATTTTGATTTTGCCGGGGACGACCTTTGCCTGAGCAATAAGGTTGGTTTTCCAGAGCAAACGAAGAGCCGGCTTATCACCGGATCGTTCTGGAAAGGTGACGATGGCAGGCAGAGGGCCAGTCCGTCGCAAGGAGCCAGATGCCACGACAGAGAAACCATCCTCTTCGACTTGGCTGACCTGCAGATTCGTCACCTCGAGAATGGCTGTATCGATGATGCCATTGATGAAGCTGCGCACGATAGCTGCCATTGCATCCGTCTGGGCATTGGATGGCGATCTTGTGTTACGCAAGAGTCGACAGTCGGCCTACCCCGCGTCTAATCTCGAAAAGGCAACTTCTGTCGTGAAGATCGACAGACGAGCACAATCGACATGGCGAAGATGACAAAGAGACGTGACAGTGATGCGGATGCAGAGCCAGCGATCAAGCCCAGTGCGAGCAAGCGAGCACGGAAGACTGTAGATGCATCCGAGTTCAAGTCAGCAGTCGTCGGTGACGACTTACGATTACCGCTGACAGATGCCGAAATCTTCTATCTGCCTGACTTCGTGAGCGTCCAGAAAGCTGAGCAATGGCTCAGACAAATTGCCAAGATCGACGGATGGTATCGGCCGACGTTGAAGATGTATGGGCGAGAGATCACGCAGTCTCGCGAGATAGCAGCCTACGCCACAGATCGATCACTATCAGTGAAGTACTCTGGTACGACTGTACAGATGCGCTACGACTATCCGCCAGTCTTGCGTGAGATCCAGAGATGTGTAGAAGCCCAGCTCGAGACGACATTCAATCATGTCATGCTCAATAAGTACGATTCAGGCAATGTATATATCGGCAAGCACGCCGATAATCTTGAGAACCGGGTGATCGCCAGTGTGTCGCTGGGCGCTGAGCGCACCTTCATCTTATCGCACAAGAAGCCTCCAACAGATTCTCCCGCCAAGGCGACGGGCGATCCGTTCAGCAGGGCGAAGCGCGCGAACCATGACGTTGCGGACCCTTATCATCGATCGTTGAAGCTAGCGAGCGGCTCTCTGCTTGTCATGCAGGGAGAAACGCAGCAGCATTGGAAACACGAGATACCCAAAGAGCCACGAGTGAAGCATCAGCGGATATCTTTGACGTTCCGCCAGCTGGTGTTTTGACACGCTCATGCCGGCGGATAGAAGCCTGCCCACAGCAGCAAGCTGACGACGCCCCAGATCAGGCAGTAGCCAACCCAAAGCTCGCCCCAGCAGTATCCCGCGCGAGCCGAGGATTTCCAGTCGCTCAGCAGCAGCTCAGCAGCAAAGAGGAAAGTGACCGGACCGGTTGCGACGAGTCGGAGCGCTATTTGAACGTGCGATGAGAAGAGGAGGAGCAGCCATTGAGCGGTATGCAGATGCACGAAGGGCGCCAGGACTATCTGGCTCGCGCTTCGACTGAAGGGCAAAGAACGAGCGCCGTGTTTGCGATAGAAAGACGCGCTGGCGGCGATAGACAGCGCAAAGACAGGCGCGGCCAGAGCGAAATTGGGCAGCTGTTGTAACGTCCAATATCGCATGAAGCCGGATTGCCTGCTTCGTGGGCTTAGCCTCTGCAGCACTTACGTCGCTCCTTGAGCGCACCAATACTCTTCTTGAACATAGCTGTAGATCAGTGGTAGCGAACGACTGCACCATGAGGGAGCCGGCAAGTCCGCCTGACAAAAGAGCAGCCAAGCGCGTCTCTGCTCCAGCGCAAAAGGCGCAAGAGGGACGGCAGTCAGCACGAGCAAGCCAGCGGCACGTACTAGCGAAATCTGCGCATGACGATACGTCGGCGCTTGAACGCAATGATGTCAAAGCTGACGCACCTTCCGCGTCAGGACGGGCCAGATGAAGAAGCCAGCGTGGAGCACGCCGAGCGACCTGAACGACGTCGCGAGCGCGAAAGACCCGGCTGCCACAAGGTTTGCAAGTAGACCGAGATGCTGTACGCAGAGCATGCCGAGAAAGGTAAACAGAGCGAAGAAGGGCTCGTTGTAAGGCGAGGATTGCGTGGCGGGTGAAGGCGCGAGAGCGAACAGCAGAGCAGCCAGTCTTGCTTGTCGTCGATCGTCCACGAGCGAGAGCACGAGTCTGTCGTATAGCATCAGCTCTGTCGTCATGCGTCGCATCATGCGCACGAATATAGCATGACAGAGGCAGCGACGCTCGCCAAGTTTGCGAGACAGGAGACCAGCAAGATTGCATGTTCTGGCTGATCAAGCGATGCCAGCAGACGCGGCAACATGGGCATGAATGCATACTGTTGCTCGAGTGTGTAGCCATGCTGGCCTATAGCGAGAAAGTGAAGGGCATCCCATCGCGCAAAGCCTTGAAGTGCGCCGACGGGCAGAACGAGCGAAGCGGAGTCGTCGAAGGCCGGTACGAACGAGGATGCAAGCAGTAGCACAAGAGAGCTCGTCAGGCGCACTGCGCAGCTGAAAGAGGCTACAAGCCAGACATCTGCCAGCATCCACTGTCTGCGCTACTTCGTGGCCAGCGTATAAATTAGCCTGCCACGCTCCACGCGATTGTCTTTGCCTTGTGGCCGTGCACGTTCTTGGATGTCTGCACCTTATCCGAATCTGCTCACAGTCTCTCTTCGCCGACCACTGAGACCGATCCACGAGTCGCTATGCGTCCAGCGACGGCCTGGACATGTCTGCTCGCTTGCATCGCGCCCGCAGCCAACGCGGTATCGCTGGCGGAGCTGGAGAGCAATGTCGCCTATAAATCACCTTCGCTGGAAGTTCGGGCGCTCGAAGTTCCGCTACATCGTGTCCATCAGCGTCTTGTCAAGCGCGGCAGCAACTCGTCCTCTTACTACACCGGAAAGGTGTCATTCCCGCTCGGCATAGCCTCTGGCGATCCTTACCAGGATGGCATATTGCTTTGGACTATGCCACATGCTCAGTCGACGCAAGCGGCGATCTGCCTCACCTATGCAGTCTCAAAGTCCTCCTCGATGTCAAAACCTGTGGCAACGGGCAAGGCGAGCACGACTCAAGACGTGTCCTACTCGTACAAGGTCATCGTGTCCGGTTTGCAGCCCTACACGCAATACTACTACCAATTCACAAGCTGCGCTGGAGCTAGCAAAGGCAAGAGTCAGGTCGGCCGCTTCAAGACGCTTCCCAGCGAAAAGGTCGAGCAGCCGTTTAGTGTGGCATTCTTCTCGTGTTCAAACTGGCCAGCAGGCTGTCAGTGCTCTATCGTCTGAGCGCATGATGAGCGGCAACTGAGATGCGTCAGACAGGGTTCAACTCCTATGGAGACTTTGCAAAGCGCAACATTGACTATTCTGTCCATCTTGGCGACTACATCTACGAATACGCAGCTGGCGACTATGGCAATGCTACTGCCATAGGGAGAGCGATAGACTCCCCCCTGAACGAGCTCGCTACGCTCAAAGACTACGAGATGCGGCACAGACAGTACAAGACCGATCCTGACTCGCAAGCTTTCCATGCACATGCTGCTCATATTGCAGTCTGGGACGATCACGAGGTGGCAGGCAAGCTTGCTGTACGCTTGTGCAGAAACAGCGCTGATATGTCCAGGCTTCAGACAACTCTTACAAGGCTGGCTCAGCAGATTCGAACAACACCGTTCAAGGCGAAGTCGGAGGTCTGAAGTTCTCGCAACGCAAGGCCAACGCAGTGACCGCTTACTACCGGTTCATGCCTATCCGTCAGGTTTCGACCGACGACAAGCTCAGGATCTACCGCACTTTCCGCGTAGGCAAGCTGGCAACGCTCGTCATGCTCGATACGCGCCATTACGACCGTGATCTAACGGATCTCTACTACAACACCGATTATGTCGCTTCCATCAGTGGCAACCAGAATAGATCGATCATGGGCACAAAGGAGGAACATTGGCTCTACAATCAATTCAGCCAGATCGCAAAGAACGGCACGCAATGGCCACTGATCGGACAACAAGTCGTCTTTGCCAACGAATACTATGACGAGACGGGCTTTGACTTTGATTACGATGCATGGTCGGGCTACAAAGCGAATGCGCAGAGACTACTCGATCATCTCAAGAGCAACAAGCTGCAGAACACCATCATACTCAGCGGCGACTCCCATGCCAACTGGGTCAACGACATCACACGCAACGACACGGCGTACGACCCTGTATCTGGCAAGGGCTCGGTAGCTGTCGAGTTTGCAGGCACGGCAGTCTCATCTCCGTCTTCTTACGGCAAGAACCTGACTTCTGCCGAGTATACACAACGTGCCAAGAACCTCACTGCAGTGAACCCGTTCCTCAAATGGGCCGAGGGAGAGAAACGAGGTTACTTCGCGCTCAATGTCACCAAAGACGTTGTCACGAGTACCTTCTATGCGATGAGATACCAGAACAAGCGAAGCTCAGAGGTCGACATCAACGCAGTCTTTCACGTTGATGCTGGCGCGAACAGGATTCGCAGGCCAGTAGCTGGCAAAAGTGTCACTTATGGCTCCCTTGGTCAGGGAGGAAGCTGAGCATCCTGTAATTGAAGCGGAAAGACTGCAATGAATAGAACGGGTTCATGGTAAAGAGATGCATGCCTGGATGTGATTGCGTTAAAAAGTGACAGTCTGCAGTGCGTCGTCTGTGTGATCGACTATATCGAGACGAGAGCGCACGCATACAGCTGATCGGAGTGGCCGGTCAACGTCTACGATTGATGCCTGAGGTGCCCTTAGATCTTAGCGCGCGAACATCGCGATGTCAGCCAGCAAAGACAAAGTGACATTCTTGTCAGTCTCGGCTTCAGTCATTCTCTTGAGCGCTTCCATCGGACTCAAGCGCTCCCATCGGAAAGCCCATCCGCTCTCGAGACCGTCATCTCAGCGTGGCTCGAGCGTGAAGCTCGACGTATCGATGACGCCGACCAAGCGGACGAGTGCCAACGGTCAGTAGAGTGGCCGAGATATCTCGGATGCATACAGTTCATTGCAAGCATCGGTCGCCCGTGCATACAGCGTGAGACGCGTCGAGGGAGCGAGCTGACATAAGTCGCACGCACTAGCGCCTTTAGAGTTCGGCATTGAAGCACAAGAGATGGCTGGCAAACACCGTCAGAGAGCTATAAGAAGGCGGCCGTCGTCTCTCTTTCCCCAACTCTCTTCCTCTCCTCTCCCCAACAAATTCTCCCCCTTTGCCCAGTGAGAAGCCGAGAAAAGAGAAAGAAGGCTGAAGCGTCTGCCGATAGCATCGAGGTGCTGAGCANGATGCNTAGGAANNNGTAGGGAGCCGAACATCCTCGTGCATATGAAGCGTTCTGAGCAAGGGATGGGCTGGCTTTCTTCCTATAGTTGTAGTCGATGCATCTTGTTGATGGTTATGTCCTCTTGCTTCACATCATCCGCTTGAAAAGTCCATGATGTCTGCTGTGATCCGAAGCTAGTCTCGTCACTCGAAGTTCTCTTGAGCTGAGCTTGCGTACGGGCACCGCACGCACTCACGTAGAGGGCGCATGAATATTTTCCGAGTGAGAGGCAAGCCCATCGCGATCAACTCAAGCGCTAAGCTTGATGCTCAAAAGCGTTCGACCTTGCCTGTTCAGAGCTCAGCGATCGACTGTCTATCATCATCAAGTGAGGGCTATGACCGCCCATCATGCCACAGCATCGTCATCGGAGTCGGCACCTCAGCAGCCATGTAAGACGACATCCATTGTATCTCACAACCAGTACCATTCTGAGCCGCTAGACGCCGATCAGCTTGATGGCAACCCGATGGTTCAATTCCAAGCTTGGTTCGACGATGTCATGTCACCCTCATCGCCTGTCAAGGAGCCAGAAGCATTTGCATTGTCTACCGTGTCCGCTACAGGCATCCCGTCGTCACGCTTCGTGCTGCTCAAGCAGGTCGACAGCAGAGGCTTCGTCTTCTTTACGAACTATGAGAGCAGAAAGGGCAAGGAGATAGCGGCCAATCCGCACGTTGCGATGGTGTTCTACTGGCGAGAAGTCCACAAGTCAGTCAGGGTGACAGGAAAGACAGAGCGCCTCAGCACATCAGAATCGCAAGCGTACTACGATACTCGGCCACTCGATTCGCGTTTGGGCGCTCACGCTTCGCCTCAGTCGTCAGTCATCGCCGATCGTAAAGTCCTAGACGACATAGCGCTTTCGGTGCGGCAGAAGTATGTCGAGCCTGCATTGGCAAGAGGCGTAAAGGAAGAGGATGTCGAGATACCCGTGCCTTCGTTCTGGGGCGGCATCCGTATCGTGCCAGCAGAAGTCGAGATGTGGAGCGGTAGGCCAGACAGACTTCACGATCGATTCCGATACACTCGTTCTGGCGATTCGGCTTGGAAGCTAGAGCGGTTAGCGCCATGACGAATGAAGACAATGCATTCTTAGCGTGAGCTGATCTCTACATCGTCTACCTCGAACAAGACGAAATCGAATAGCTCTGCCTCCATCATGCTCTGATATTCTCCCACAAGCCCTTCGTCGCCACCCGACTTCTTCTTCCCGCCAAACTGCCGATCTTGCTTGGGCGTAAAGGGTGCAAAGTAAGTCTGCAGGTTCTGGACTGCCTTCTTTGCTTGCTTCGGCTCGGGCTGCGCGCTTCTATGAGAACGGATATGATGATCGAGCATGCAGAGACGGACCTTGACAAAAGCACCAAAGTAGTGCGCAGGTAGGCCATAGCGCAAGACGCATTCGACAAAGGCTCTGATGACCTTGAGATGCACGAGCACCTGGAAAGCTTCTGAGAAATTGATTCTGCACAGCCGTAGTAGATCCGTCTGTCAAGTCGATTCAGGCAAGCTCCCTGCTCTCAAAGACGGAACAGACGAACCCATTGATCTTTCTCGCTTCTCTCAAGCTCATCCTGTTCACTCTGCTGCTTCTGGACCGCATCCTCGTCGTACCTGAATTCTCTCACGACGAACCTAGTGTGAGACCCTGTACTTAGCTCTCGACTGCCATCAGGCCGATGCGACGACCCACTTGTGATCCCGCGCTTTCTGGGTGAACTCGTCCTTGACCTTGCGGAAGATGGTGACTGAGAAGAGTGTAAAGTCTTCGTCCGAGACGATCTCTCTGCTCGCTCGTGACCGGTCAGGCCTGATATATCGGCTCAAGGGTAAGATGACTTGCATTGAAGACCGGGGCACGACCATGCTGGTGAGTGATTCGTAATTTGCGTGCCAGTCTTTGATGCTGTTCCTATCAGACAGCAGAGCCTGCCGATCAGCAGACAATTGACAGAGCAAGCGGTTCTGACTGACTTGGGAACGGCTACGTAAAGCTGCTCGAGGTATTCCGAGTCTTGTATCAGACCGAACTGCGCGCCGTTCAGTACGTGTCTGGCTACAGCAGGGACTCCACCCACAGAATCTTCTTTGTTGAGAACAGTCGACAAGTCTCGTGTTGACAGATTGCCACTGTCACGCTCTAGGGATCAGCCTAGCGAGCGCGTTGCGAGTGTGCGCGACTGACGTCCGCTTTCGATTGGCGCCTGCAAGTTGCTGCTTGGTCGCATTGTAGCTCGTCTGCTTCTGCTTGTGTATTGCTTCGAGGGAGCTCATCTCCTGCAGGTCACGACATGACTGTCAGATTCGAGCTGCGGCGATGGTGCGGTCTCTCTGGCACCTTTTGCAGCGACTCGACGAGCTCCTCGAGCGGTTTGCCCTCTACCCTGTACTTTGCTCTGTTCCACTCCCATCCGTCCAGTAGATAGGCTTGCCAAGGCTGCCCTTCATCGATGACGAGATGCTCTGTGACGTTTGCAGTTCAGCGAGTGTGACCTTGATAGGCACAATGCGAGCACGGACGGCCGAGTGAGTCAGCATCGAGCGAGCGCAGTGTCTCGACGATCTTGTTGAGGCTAGAGGTGAAGCCGTTGTCGTACTTGTTGCACGTCTCTGACACCTTGAGCAAGCTAGATAGCGTGCCCGTCTGTCATCATCAAGCGTTGACTGGCTAAGCCCGAGCTGGGTTCACATCAGCGCTGGCTGACCTTGAAGGGGGGCCATGTGAGGGGAGCGACTCTGGCCACACCGCCAGAGGTGGACAAGCTGGGCATGGAGCTGGCTAGCTTGTTCAGGCCATTCGTCGCCGTCGATGAGCTCGAGGAGGGCAGGATGGCGTTGAGCTTCTGGTCGAGCTCGACGATCTGTTCTGATGCATCTCCATCTGGCGGCGAGGCCACCAGCCAGATCGCACTGCCGCTCGGCATTGCTCGCTCGTCGCTGTCGGCCTTGGCTCGCTACAGCGCTACAGCCGTCGCGCGTTGGCAGACGAGAGGAGGCAGCGAGCTCCACAAGGGCTGCCAGCCTGTCACGGGACGGTCAGCGAGCATGGACAGCCTCAGTGATGATGTCTACACTCGCTTCGCTCAGCCACTGTGGCGGGTGCAGAACCGCCAGGCAGATCCGCTCGACGAGGCAACAGGTCTAGCAGCAGTATGGTCAAGCGTCCTCGACGAGCTGTATGTCCCGTCCCAGGCTTGGTCTTGCCAAATGCAGAGCTCACTGTTGGTCATGCTTGCAGTATGGCAGACTTGCCGCTCGACGCCACGCCCGAGGAGACAGAGGCATGGCAGCTCGAGCGCGATACTTGGCAACTCGTCCATCTGCTGTACATGCTCGTCTCCTTTCTCTCTTCTATCTCGCTCTACTAGCTCATCCAGACCACAGTGAACGCATGACAGATCGACCGAGCCCCGTAGATGCAGACCAGGCCGGCCAGAGCAGTAGCACAAGCTGGTCATATTATTCGACTCCGACAGATATCGTGTCTCGCTACATCGAATCCCGAACAGATCTCGTTCAGCTTTCCATCGTCAGAGACTGGCTCCACGCCACGACGACGTCGCTCTCTCCTGCAGAGATCAGGAGAGGCTACGCTCCACATACGAAGCACAAGCTGAAAGATGCCAAAAGACGCGGCGCGACTGCTCCTACCGGTCTCGTCACCGAGCTCGATCCGGACGCAGTCGACAGACAAGGCGCACGTCTCGAATCAGAGGATGTCGTTCGTCAAATTTTCTTCACTCTTTCCGTGGTCTCGGGCTCATCATCGATCTTGCAGGCCTACGAGAAAGCACTCATGCGATCCTTGTTCGAATACGTGAGAGCGGGTCAGATCGACCAGGCACTCGACATGTGCGCCCAATCAGATCAGTCCTGGCGTACTGCGTCCCTTCGCGGTGGCACGCTCTGGCAGGATCCTCTGCTCGGTAAGCTTACTGTATCTGACATGATCGACGCCGGGCTTACCCCAGATGGCTCAGAACCTGACGACGGCGCCATGGACGAAGGCGCTACAGCTGTCTCTACCGGTAATCTCAACAGGCAGCTCTGGAAGTCAGTATGTCGGAGAATTGCCTCGAGTGTGAGTAGGCTCGCATTCTCAATGAAGATATGCTTACTGCTCGCTTTGAACCAGCCGACTATTACACCCTATGAACGAGCACTCTATGGTGCCATTTCGGGCGATGTAGCGTCTGTGCTGCCAGTATGCTCGAGCTGGGAAGACGTCCTATGGGCTCATGTCAACGGCATCTTTGAGGCCCAAGTCGATCATGCTCTCTCGCGATCTCAAGCGGCTTCTTTCTGGCTTTCCGAGGCAACAATTGAGCCCACTGCTCCTTCACGCAACGAGGAAGACTATACCAGTCAGCCCATCAAGTCCACTTTGGCCAACGTTTTCGACAGCTTGCTTTCGTCCGATTCGCAAGAGATCGCCCAGTCTGCTCGACAGCCTTTCCGCGTGGCTCAAAGCCTGCTCATCACCTCAAGGGTCGATCGATTGCTGTCTTCGTTCGCCCAGCGCATCGAAGATTCGGGCGAAACAGTAGAAGACGAGTAGGCCTCGGTCAGTATACTATATGGGTCGCACGCTGAGAGAAGCTATCAGATTGACAGTCCAGCTCCTGCGCTTCTTCTCCCATCTCATACTACTCCTCCGCGCCCTCGAGCAAGACACCGCCATCGAAGCCTCGAATTACATTATCCAGCAATACATTCGAGCTTTGAAGACAAAAGGACGCGTTCGTTCTGTGCTGCTCTTACCGTGCCACGGCTCACATCAGACGAGACAGGATGAGCTCGTCGCTTTCTACGCGGCCAATCTCGACGATTCGGGCTCAATCGACTCGTACGGCAAATACTTGCAAAGTCAGTCTAGCATTCAGCCAGACAAAAGCAATGCTAATAAGCGCATGATAGGCCTAGAAGCAGCCGACACGCTCACTCGACGCACAGCACTTCTGCGAACCCTTGAGCACGGTCTCGATCTTCGCCGCGTTGCTCTGCGTACTGTTCAGCTCATCATTGCGGATTCCTTCTTGGTCCGCAGATCTAGCCTCTGTCGGCTCCAATCGCTAATCTCAATTGGCAACCTAAACAGGAAATACCAGACGAGGAAGATGTAGTGCAGCTGCTCAGTCAAGCTCGCTTAGATGACAGAGATGACACCCTCATCCGGGCGTTACAATGGCTCACATTCGACTCTCGAACTTACCGCGACGCCCTTCTGCAAGCGAACGCCCTGTGTCGCTACTTCCTCAGTAAGCTCCCTCAGGCCGATTTTGCGAGCCACTCATGTTCATCTCGTGATCAGCCTGCGGAAAGCCTTTTGCCGCTCGAATGACGTTTCAGCAGCTCCCTTCGGATCTACTGCCTACGAATGCTGCTCTCGCAGCAGAGACTGGCGCAGACCTAGCTCTGTTCGAAGAGCATCTTTCACTTGCTCGTTTCCTAGAAGCCCTTCAGCTTCACAACCAGTGCGCTGAGGTAGTCAGTCAGCAGCCTCCGCAGAGGTTCGTCAGGTCGGCGCCCTAAGCTGCAAAAGGTCTAATCTCGTCGGCAGATCTTCACCAGTGGCCTTGCACGAGTTTGGCACAGCACTTAGGCAAGTCACCGAGCAATTCAATGAGCACGTCGTGCAGATACTCGAATCGGACTGGCTCAATTTCGAACCTACTCAAGGTGAATACACTTGCGCGCGTATCACGACACGATGGCTCATCAATCTCTACAGACCAAAGGCGCACGCGCGAACTCTCGAGTATCCGCCACATCTATATCCCTGAGCTTATCACGCGTTTGCATCGAACGCTTTACGAAACTCGTCAATGGGTCCCAAGGTACCTCTCCAGCTGACTTGTCTTGGCCTCGCTGACCACAATGACAGCAACCTGCAATTAGCTATCGACCTAGCGGCGACAGTGGCCGATGAGCGCTACAAGGTCTATCTCGCATTCGTCACGAGCAAGCACAACCGTATGGGCGAGTTTCTCGAGCTCGTGAGAGTCGCCAGCATCGCGGCATTGGATCGAGGAAGCAATCCTTTCGTTGCAGCTTGAATCAGATCTCATCGAGCTCATAGCAATCCAGCAGCGATGACAGCTTGTCGCACGACAGACGCGCCTTGAGATCTGCTCGATTGCCGAGCAAGCGCACAAGCGCTATCAGCCGATACGTTTGAAGCACGATGCCTGGATCTGCCAGCACATGTAGCGGGCTCGACGACCCGCCGGCTGCGCCTAGCATTGAAGCAAGAGAGTCGAGGATGGCTTTGACATTCGCTTCGAACGGCCCTGTGTCGCCTGCATCGGCTTGCATTGGCGCAACGTTGTATGTCGCGGAGATGCAAAGAAGATCATCGATGAACATGTTCGATCTCTCGGCGCTGAAAATGCTGCCCTTGACTCGCTGTCTGACCTTCGCGGTATTTTGGCCATCCAGCTCGCATAAGAGCTCAGCAGCGTCGCAAGCGCCGAGTGAGCTGATGCGAGACGGGATGGCGATCGCCTCGACCCTCTCCTCGCCGAGGATACTTGCTGCCGTGTCACGTACTTCGCGATCGTCGTCGACGAACAGCATGATAGGAATAATTGGTGACAGCATCCTTGAACCGAGCGATTGAGCAGCAGCTAGACGGGCGTGCCATGATCGCTCGTCTAAGCTGAGACTCTCGACTAATGCGGTCACCGCGGGGCAAACATCAAGTGACTGCTGGCATGCTAGGAAGGGCAAGATCGCTTGCTTGAGATGACCATCCGTCGTTTGCAGTGCTTCCTTCAGTATCAGTTGTGCTTGCTGCTCATCGAGAGGTGTCGACAATCCTTTCAGTCGCGAGAAGCACATCGCGCGTTCTCTATGGTCGCCAGCTTGATCAAGCGCCAGTTGGAGCAGCCTGAGCTCGCAATCGTCAAGGTTTGCCTCGGATCGCAAGACGGCCGATCGGACAATCGGCTCTTTGCTCTGTAGACAGTCACGTCCTGCCGTTGGCGAAGCGAGGAGCTGTAATCCAGCGATGGACGTATGTAGGGCCTTGCGTCCAATGCTGCTTTCGCAGCGAAATGCATCTTTCGCCTGCAAGGTCAATTGCGTAGCGAGTCGACTCGTATGCGTCAGCCCAGTGATCTGATACAGCTGATGGGCGAGGGTGAGCGCCGCCGCGAGTACTACAGCTGAGCCAGCTCTGAGCTGTGGAAGGAAGGTGCATAAAGCATGCAAGAGGTCCTCAGCTTGCGTAGCGTTGAGTCGAGACGCAATGTTCGCAACGGTCCAGAGCCGACCGTGTGTCGCGTTGCTGGAGCTAACGATGAGCATCGATCGACAGACACTCAAGACTTCTGCTGCAGTCACCAACGCTGCTGTGGCTTTCGCTGCCGCTTGGCGCATCATCCAATGCGGATTTCCCAGCAGACTCTCTGTCTTGCGCCGCAGCTGCTCGATACGTGCATCGATGTGCTTGTCAGACGAATCCTGTGAGACAGCGAAAGAGCCGATGAGCGATAGGCAGGCAAAGCGCGCCTCGTCTGAAGTTCTGCCCGGTTGCACCTCATCCAGCTCGCTCTCGATCGAGTCGAGGACGGTCGGATATTGGATACAAAAGCTGTGAGCTGACATCTGCTTCGTTCGACTCTTGCCTCTAAAACATCGCTCAACGAGTGCAGCAAACAGCATCAGAGCGCCATTTCTGATAGACCATTCTTTGGAGCGGAAGGTGTTAATGGCGATCAGAAAGGACGGCTCGATATGGTTCATCATAGTGTCTCGTAGCTGTTCATCTTGCACGAGTAGACGCAGTGTATTGAGCGCATGAACTTGTGGACCCACATCATCGGCAGTATGACGTGTATCGGCAAAGACCCTAAGTCGTGCGACCGTTATGCTGACAAGTCGATCACGTCTGGCGGACCTGATAGCGCTGAGCACAGCGAGACAACAGAGGGCGGTACCACCGCTGCGTCTGGTATTGTTGAGTTTGCTGTGCGACATATCTTCGAGATGCTCTGCTAGCCACACGTCGATCAGATCGCTACCCTCGGCCCAATCTGATGAATCGAGCCAGGTACAGAGATCGCAATAGGCATCCGCAATGCGTGTGTATACACCTGAGTGCTCAACAGCGCGTAACCAGATGCCATGCTGGCGTCCAATCGCGTCGATCTCGGTCACGGTCCATATGGACGATCTCACGGTAGGCGTAGCGCGGGCAAAGACGTTGCGCAGAGTGGCGAGTAAAGCGGTCAACAGCGTCATGACTTTGGCAGCGTTCGACACTTCAATGTTGCCTGGATCTGTGAAGTCGGCGGATGCTGCGTCATCGATGGCTGTTTGATTGGCAAGAAATTTGCTACGATCATCCCAGAAGCGCTCCATGAGACTGCCAACTTCAAGATTGAGGCGGCGCCAAGAAGTCAGTGGCAAGTCATCTGGACTTAGGTGCTCAGTCAGAGCGCTGACGATACATCTCAGCTTCATTGCAAAGCAAGAGCAGGATGGACCGACCTGATAGTAGCGCAGGTTGCCGGCGTCAGGTTGTTCTGAGCAACCGCAAGGGCCTGGCGCAGCAGGCGTTCTGGAAGGTCTCATGAGACTATGCATTTCCGCGCAAGGCTGATGAGACGAACCCAAAGGCAGCTCAGTCGATTCGGGCTTCGCAAAATCTGAGCTCGTGTGGAGCTGCAGAGTCGAGCACCTCTGCTTGAGCACCCACTGATCCCGGATGAGACGAAGAATGAGCGATCCAGTCGCTACTGCTGCTTCACTTGGAGCCTTGATTGATTCGAGTGCAGCATCTAGCAAGTCTTGTCCGGCTCGGCTGTCCTCGTAGCCAGGCAGAGGAGCCGGAAAACGCGAGAGGAGAGCGAATGCGCCCATCTTGACATCGACATGGGTTGCATAGAGAGATTTAAGCAGGGTCTGCGTCATGTGAGCGTCTGCCAGAGTAAGCTCGAGCGGCCAACTGGCAGTAGTCACGGTGCCTCCTTTCTTACCCGCGAGCGCAAAGCTCGCGTCTAAGCCAGACTCGAACAATACTGCGAGGAGACGTATGGCGTTGGCCTTGATTCGATGTGGCCGCATCGGGCTCAAGCCTTGGACGAGAAATTTTCTGAGCCATTCGAGATAGACCCGAACGTCAGCGAGCGCCATATAGGCCTCGAGCATGGGATTTGCCTCCGCCCCAGTTCGATTCGAGGGCACGACAGATGCGATACGCAGCCTATGTAGCATGAGTCTAAGCATTCGGGGGCCATCTTGCTGAACAAAGGAATTATTCGTCGATCCTATGTTGCATCGCCAGAAGCTTTTTGCGAACTCGAGCTGAGCCGACAGAGTAGGCCCAGGTGCAAAAGGCAGTATGGCGAGGACACCCATGAGAATGCTGCGCACAGTCTCGTCTCTCTGAGTCAAGTAAGTGCCAAGAAGATGGTAATCAAGAGAGGCATAGGTAATGAGCTTGGCCGACAGAGATGGCCGAATCAGTGCGAGACGTGATCTCTGTGCAACGGCGCTATCGCCGGATAGCTCGTCTAGCAGATTCTGATAGAGTATTGGATGCTCGCGGAACAGTTCTGCAAGTAGATCTGACAACGTACTGACTTCGGCGGGCTGAGCGTGGCTGACCACGCTGACCAAAGGCAGTACGAGGGCTTCCACAGAGTCGAGCTTTCTTGCAAACTCAAGAGCCAATTTGCGACAGGCCACGCCCGTGTTGTAATCGTGAATGTGCTCGAGTATGGCAGGGAAGAGCCCCGGGAAGCTTGTCTGTACATCTCTCGAGTTCATCCGCTTCAGCAACGCTTGCAAGCACAGTATTGCGCGCTTGTCGCCGAGGAGATCCTCTGCATTCTTGAGTACTGCACAAAGCCATTCTCGACACTCGAGGCTCTGGTTCTCACCAGAGCTTTCCCGGGTGAGGCAGGTCGTGATCAGGTTCTGGCAAAGGTCATTGAGCTCCTTGCGATTGTTGCCAAAAATTGCGTATGCCCGCTGGCAAATAGGCAAAAGCTGCTTCTCTACAGCAGAACGGCCCGAAGACTTTGCCGACCATGCGAGGAGCACCTCAAGCGTGCGCAAGCCGACTGCAGATGAGCTCCATTGGTCTTGAGCAGGCAAGAGAGCAAGTTGATCATTCGACATTGCTTTGAGGATTGCGCGTACCATAGACGTGATGTAGTCAGCCGAGGGTATTTCGCGTCGGCCATGCTGCTTGCGAGCCAGTGAGACATCCTCATGGAGCGATGAAAGGTGCTTCGACATGCAGCGAGCAGCAGGACAAATTCTGTCGCGTCAAATCTTCTTGCTGCTCACGCGCACGGCCGATGTTCACTGCGCGCCTGGCTTTGCAAGGAAGCGCGCAGAGACTCCCCCAAGACCCGTACAAAGCATCATCCCGTGCATACATGAGTATATGGCGCAGTGTCGCAGTATTACTTGTCAGCAGCATCTGGCCACTCGTATGCAGGCAGCTTGTATTCCAGCTCGATACCGCCGCCCTGCAAGTAGACGAGCAGCGGCGTGAGTAGGGAGGCGATGGCGAACACAACCCTGACAGCCAGAGCACCCAAACGTGACTGTGGCAAGGCGAGGAGTGGGAAGCCGGGAGGTAGCTGCTGTACTTCGAGAACATACGGACGCAATTTAGCCTGATATCCCTCGAGCGCCTGAGCCACGTCAACTTTATCGCCCTTCTTCGCTACCATGAGCTCGCCTGCGAGTACATAGCCGGCGAGAATAGCCAGACTCGTACCCATGCCGGTGAAGACGCTCGGACAGTAGCCCGCATCGCCGAGCAGAGTCGAATGACCGCGAGACCAAGTTTCCGTCTTGACTTGGATGACGTCCTGCACGTAGAAGTCATCGTCTTTCATCATGCCGTCTATGATGCGTTGCGTCTCATAGCCTGCGCCTTGCCAGGCTTCATAAAACATCTGCTTTTGTTTCTCGGGTGAGACCTTGTAGATGTCGTCGAAGATCGCTGTCTTTCGAGTGATGAGGAAGGAACGCATGACGCCAAGCTTATCGGGACGTATGAAGAGGCAGCGGCCGGCTGTTGTCGTCCAGACGCGAGCGAACATGTCGTCAGTTTTCTGGAGCGGCACGGCAAAGTAGGCCATCACGACTCCTAATGATTTGAGGCAAGTTTTGCCGAGCTCGGGGAAGATCAGCTTCCTGGTTGAGCTGTACATACCATCAGCGCAGACGAGCAGGTCGAATTTGCGTTCAGGCTTGCCGCTGGCGAAACCGACTTGTACGCCGTCGTCGAGATCTGTGACGGCGGTGATATGATCACCAAAGATGTACTCGACACGCTCCTTCGTTGCCTGGTAGAGCACGTCTGCCAGTGTGCCACGCAAGATCTCATTCTCAGATGTGGGCGACGCATTCTTGCCGCTCTTATCGACGAGCCAGGAACCCCAGACGCGATTGTTTGCGTCGACGACATAGAGCCCTTCCTCACCCGTCGAGCTGGCTAAGATCTGTTCATAGGTGCCCGTCCGCTTGATGATCTCGAGCGCAGCGTCCCGGATGTCGACATTCTGTCCAGACTTGCGTAGCTTGGGGGCCTTTTCAATGACAGTGACGTCAAAGCCAGCTTTGGTCGCCCAGTAGGCAAAGTGCGGGCCCCCAATGCCAGCACCTGACACCAGAATGGACATGCTCGTTCACGCGCACAGGAAGACTGCGAGCAGCCGTGTGGACAGGCTCGCCGTGCATCGAGGGAAACGCGCGTTCTATCGGCCGGCATGGTTCGGTCAGAACACGGATTTAGCCGCTTTGACCAACAAGGCGATCGTCGGCAGCTCGGCGTCTGCGACCGGGGCTCATTGAGGATTCTGCAGGACAGAGGTCCCGAGGTCGTATCGAAGCTTTGCTTGCAGCGTCTTTCAGCAGGCTTGCAAGGGCGGTTTGGCGGAATTCGCCATCGCCAAGAGAAATTCTTGTACGTCTTGATCCAAGTTCGAGATGCATGATCGTCGAGACATCGTCATAGTCTGCTGCTGTTGTCACTTGCGCATCGAGTCGACCTGTCTGCTTGATCAACGTCCTTATGCCCGAAGATCGACATGCAGCTGGAGCGCTCGAGCGGACGTAAGCCAAAGTGCGCCGTACACGGGCGCGACTCCTTCTCGCCGCACCAAAGTATCGGCTGAGCTCTTGACAAGCAGGCTGTATCGAGATATAAGGCACCTACCATCCAGACGTATTGCTGCCCAGGAGCACCATTGCGTCATGCTTGGCACGATGCAGCGACCGACAGAGTCATTCCCCACGGAGGACGAGTCCGCAAATGTCTCACGGCCACGCTTTGACACCATGGCCAGTCAGCGAGTGCTGCTCCAGAAAGAGATGGGCGCCATGGAAGGCACGCCAGGCGTTGTGCCGACGGGCCTGCCCCGACCGCGACAGAATCGGAGCATGACCAATGGGAGCATGTCATCTGCAGGCTCAGAGGGAGGCAAGTCTGCTCGTACTCCGTAGAGGACAAAGACAAAGCTCACTTGCTCTGCGACAGACTCGATGGAAGCGACGACCTTTGTCACGACCAAGACGCCAGGTCAGAGGCAAACAAAGCGTGGCGACGTACCTTTCCCAAGTAATGCTATTGCCCCCAACAATGACTCGCCACCTCGTCAGACGTCGGGCAGGAACAAGACAACAGAGACCCAGACGACCCGGATCGTCCATTCTGACGCAACCCACGTCGAATCACAAGTCCACGGAGACGGTTCCGTCACACTCAAACCCGTCGCGTCTGTCAGCAGCAGAGGCAGACAGCGCCGGCCACGCGTCAAGCACATTGCCGTGTAGGCCTTTTGTCTGACTCTCAAGCCATACAGCTAACGGGGCCCGTGACAGTTCGACCGCCACTCACTTTGATAGACAAAACGCTTCGTACGCCGCCGATCCTTTCAGAGGGTTCTACGTTCTCTTCTGGCTCTTGATCTTTATCGCCGCCATACGGACGCTCTACACATCCTATATCACATCAGGCGTCGCTGTCAGTCTGCGCTTTGCTGCGCTGTTTAGCGAGGACGCCAAAGTCCTCGCACTGTCCGACGCTGTCATGGTCACTAGCACTTTCCTCTGTGTGCCTTTCGTCAAGGCGAGTCAACTCTTGTCCTTCCCAAGTAGTCACTCATTCCAGCACACAGATGATGAAGCGAGACTGGATCAGATACTACGGTCTCGGCATGGTCATACAGCACCTTGTGCAAGCTGCGTTTCTGTTCGCCGCAGTCCGTTGGACTTTCTATAGGTCAGTCTTCTCAAGCAAAGCCGGCTCTTACTCAGCTCACGCACTCGCAGGAACTGGCCATGGGTGCAATCAGGCTTCATGACGCTTCACTCGCTCGTGATGCTTATGAAGATTCACTCATATTGCGCAACTAACGGTCAGCTATCAGCAAACGTACTCACGCTCAAAACGCTGCGGCCACGCCTCTCAGAGCTTTTAGAACAATCCGGGGGTCTTGAGAAAGCAATGAGTCTATCTCGAGAAGAAAAGGGGAAAGCATCCCTCGACGGACAGGACAACGCGGACGCTTCAGGGGTCGAGAAGCCACAGAACGGCTCACTTACTCGTCGTAAGCGCACTATCTCGGCGAATGAAGCAAGTAAGAGCAACGATGTGGCGAACGGCAATGGAGCCCTGAATGGCGCAGCTCATCCGGCGAGCGGCTCGAGTGACATTGACTATTCCCTGCTTGAGAGTCACCCCGATACCAAGCTATCCGGTCTCGCAAGCGAGATTGTAGACTTGCAAGACTCCCTCGTCTCGCAAGAGAAGCATCAGACTTGCTGGCCCCACAACATCACCTATGCAAATTATCTCGATTATCTGCTCGTACCGGTACTTGTCTACGAGCTCGAGTATCCAAGAACGAACAGGTAAGCTCATGACACTCGCTCATTGTCGCCGCTGAAAGTGTGTGCCAGAATCCGTTACTCGTATGTCGTCGAAAAAGTGCTCGGCACCCTCGGCACATTCTCCATCCTGTATCTCATCACAGAGCATTACGTAATGCCGCTGACGGAAGCCGACTCGACCGTGCTCGGCATGGCACTCGATCTCGCTCCGCCTTTCATGCTCAACTATCTGCTTCTCTTCTACATCATCTTCGAATGTATCTGCAACGCCTTTGCAGAGCTCACCTACTATGCCGATCGCGGCTTCTACGAGGACTGGTGGAACGCTCGCGAATTCGGCGAATTTTCGAGAGCTTGGAACAAGCCAGTCCACCACTTCCTGCTTCGACACGTCTACAAGCCTTTCCTCGGCTTCGGCATGTCGAAATTTGTGGCAGGCAGCATGACATTTCTCCTGTCGGCCTGCATGCACGAACTCGTCATGGCGGTCGTATCGAAGAAGATACGCTTCTACATTGTGCGTGATATGGTGATTTTGAGGGTCCATCGCTGACTCGTGTGCACAGTTTGGTTCTCAGATGTCACAGCTGCCACTGATCATGATCGGTCAATTACCGGTGTTCAAACGGTATCCGACGCTCGGAAATGTACGTCACCAGAGCCCAGAAGGCTTGAACAACTGCTGATCACTTGAGCGCAGGCCTTCTTCTGGCTGGGACTCATGGCTGGCTTTCCTCTGCTCGCCGTCGGCTACCTACGATACTGACATCATCACCTGCACGCTCAACGCAATTGTAGCGATAGCAAAGACCCCTCGATATTGTATGATTGTACATTCACTGCATTTCCGTTCTTTGCTATGTAGACCGAGCGAACGCGAAAAGCCTGCGGCCTCGCAAATACAACAGCAAGCGACAAGAGTATCTGATTGAGCCAACATCTTTTGACAACCTACTGACTGTACATTTCGTCACTGATATGCGAGCTGGAGATGAATCGACCATGCTGTGTCGTTACTGCTGTGCCGACTTGGCTTTTGTGAGACGAACGTAAAGATGACGATCATCGACGGCTGGGAAGTTGCCTGTGATCATATCGGCATCATTAGGCGCACGCCACTGAAGAGTGATACAGCTCATGAACCGCTGCTGGCGAGTAAGCGAAATGCCTTGGTACTTTTGCAGCAGTCGGATGAGACAGTATGATGATTCCTGGTAAGCATAGTTTTGACCGATGCAAAGACGAGGACCAGCGGAGAACTGCATTGGCCGCATCAGTACGAGTCAGCATGAGGGCGGGGCACACTGACAGGCACGAAAGCATGAGGGAACTTGCTGATGACCTTGATACGCTCATCGAGCCAACGCTCTGGCTTCCATTCTTCCGCATCGTCACCCCACAGCTCCGGGCAGCGCTGCATGCGCCAGGTAGAGTAATTGAAGCGGGTACCGCCTCTGATGAAGAGTCGTTGACCCTCATGCTCGATGACGTTGTCGTGACGAGCGAATCTGACATTGAGGGGTACAGAAGGATACAGCCGGAGTGTCTCGTTAAGGACAGCACGGAGGTAACGCAGTGGCGTGATCTGTTCGTATGAGAGTTCTACGCCAGCAGCGGGCAGCTCTGCTATCTCTTCCCGAAGACGCTTAAGGGCTTCGGGATGGTTTGCCAGTTCGTAACAGACTGAAGTGAGCAATGACGCCGTTGTATCGCGAGCGGCCAGTAGGATGTTGAGCAGTTCGCTTCTGATGAGTGTCTTATCTTCTGTGATATCGAGCAGATAGTCAAGCAAAGTAGCATGTTCGGTGGCAATCTTGGCCTCTTCCGCAGATAGATCTGCGCTCTTGCGACGAGCGAGCGCAGCGTCGACGACGCGATCGAGCAAAGGCCGGATGACGGCCATGGGCGCCTTCATGGGATTGTGAAAGGCCTCTGTGAGCAAGAAGGTGTCCCCTTGGAGTACGCGAGTGCTAGATGCCTCCTGGGCTTCGTTAAAGGCCCGCAAGAAAGAGCTGGATTGGGCATGCGACGTAGGTGTATAGGCCTCGCCCATACTATCAAGATTGTAGCCAAACAGAAATTCGACTCCTGCGTCCAGCGTGAAGCGACCGAACAGATCCTGAATGTCGATCTCATCAGAGGGTGCATGGTCAATCGCGCTCAGCAGATGCTTTGTATGGCTCTCAAATGTGGTAAAGTCTGAAAGGCGAGATTTGGCAAAGAACGGCTTGGTCGACTTGCGGTGCCAGGCCCACCAGTTGTCAGACTGATCAGAGGAGAAGATGCCATTGCCGAGGAAGTCTCCAAACGCGCGCTTGAAGTCCTCGCCCTTCGTGTAATGATCGAATGACTTGGCGAGGATGGCGCCGATCGCTGTCGTGTTGTCCGTGTAGTAGACATCGCGACCCATTGCTCTGAAGCGGATGATCCCATTTGTCTTGCCAAGCGTGGTAACGAGAGCGTGATCGAGCGGCGCTGCAGGCGTTCCGCGGAGTTTGGTCGTGCAGGCATAGACGAAATCAATCGAACCCGGCCACCAAGTGTAGTACCGCTTGACCGGAGTCGCGTTCATCTTGCGCGCAAGGAAGTACTCTGTGATGTCATCGACGAGCATGAAGATGCTCCCAGCTACGTAGCTCGTCGCCAGTGCAACGAGAGTAATCTCGAGTTTCGAGGCTCGTATGCCTGTCCGTTCGAAGGCATAGACGGCCAGTATCATTGGCCCAAAGAGCTTCGCAAGCATGATCCAGAGCGTGAGGGGCAGCATATTGGCCATTGAAGTCGGGGCAAGCGATTGCGTGGAAACGGCGACTTTTAGGCTCTTCGGGTGCGAGCCAGCTTGCAGTGCTTGGCGTGGCGTGCTACTTGCGCTTACCGTGTGACCAAGACTTGCGAGACGCTACCAACGACTTGTCCGGTGACCAACGTCTTTGGCTTGTCAATGATCGACAGCGGGGTAGTAGCGGCTTCGGGCTCCGTGGGAAAGCGCGCGCCCGTCAGAAAGACTCCGCTGAGCCGCTCAGCCGACGTCATGGCGATGCGGGCGCCGTCGCCAATGCGTGCCTGGCGGGCAAAGCGTGACAGCAAGCGAAGAGCTGTCCAGTCTGCCTACACCATCCTCGGCTTCATCTCCTCAGGAACGTACGGCAAAGTCTACAAGGCGCGAAAGAGTGCCGAGCCCAGTCAGGGCCAGATTGTTGCCATCAAGAAATTCAAGCCTGACAAAGAAGGCGAAGCGATCACCTACACGGGCATCTCCCAGTCTGCATGCAGAGAGATCATGGCAAGTCAGGCGGCAGTTCACTCAGGTGTTTCGGCTCACGCGACTCGTCTTAGCTCAACAGAGAACTGCATCATGTCAATCTCGCAGCTCTGCACGAGGTCATGCTGGAAGACAAATCGATCTACATGATCTTTGAGTTCGCAGAGCATGACTTTCTCGTGCGTTCTGCTCGTCAGCTCTGGCGCATTGCATTGACGCGACGAGCAGCAAATCATCCATTACCACTCTTCGACTCGCTCGGCGCTAGGCCTGGCAACCCTCAAGATGCTCTTGTGGCAGCTTCTCAATGGCGTTTGCTACTTGCACGACAATTGGGTCATCCACCGTGATCTCAAGCCTGCCAACATCCTTGTCACGCACAAAGGTGAAGTCAAGATAGGTTCGTCAGCACTTGCATTCTTCACGACTGAATCTGACACAACTCAGGTGATCTTGGCTTGGCAAGACTATACAGTGCACCGCTTCAGCCGTTGTACACATCAGACAAGGTCGTGGTGACCATCTGGTATCGTTCGCCCGACTTGCTCTTGGGCGCCCGTCATTATACGCCCTCGATCGATCTCTGGTCAGTCGGCTGCATCTTTGGCGAGCTCATTGCTCTCCGCCCCATGTTCAAGGGAGAGGAAGCCAAAGTGGAGGGTACAGCGACGACGGGTACGGCGGCTTCGAAGAAGCCACCCGGCGGTGTGCCTTTCCAGCGCGATCAGCTGGTCAAGATTTTTGAGATACTCGGCACGCCTTCGGGTACGTACCCTCCCTCGTTGTTGTGCAAACAGACTCGAAGGGGCTAGGTGTAGAGAGACAATGGCCTGCAATCAAGCAAATGCCAGATGCTCCTCACTTGGCAAAGCTGCAAGAGTACCGCAACGATCTGCCGCGGTGGTACAACTCTCGTGCACCCAGACCTTGCACACAAGCTGGTCTCGACCTCATTGCTGCTCTGCTCGCTTTCGATCCAGCATCTCGCTTGACTGCCCGGAAAGCGCTCAATCACCGCTGGTGGACAGAAGATCCGCCGGCAAAGTTGAGGCAAGTATGAGATCTCTCAGATTTGAATCATCGCCTGAATTGTGTGGGCACAGCAATTTCCCTCCGAGCACATACCCTCAACGCAAAGTGCTCAAAGATGACGACCCAACGACCGCTCGGCCAACCAAGCGAAGCAAAGTAGATCACTAGAAGATAACAACAACAACATCAGCAGCTACAAGCGCAGACTCACAAGATGTGCCACAGTCAATGACACTAATTTGTCGAAATGGGTTCGAAGGAAAATCTCCGGATCTTGCCAAGCAGGTTGACTTACTCGAGCCAAGTCCGGATGGTCCGAGTCGCTAGGATGCTCGCTCAGCCAGGCACGTCTTGCGCGAGCAGCAGCAGCGAGGGCTAGCTCTCGATCGCTCGGCATTCGGTAAAGCTCACAGCTCTCGCACTCGTCGCACGGTTGGCCAGGCAGCCGGCGGAAATGCTGGCAGAAGTGTCGATAGCCTTCTCGATTGATCGGAGTGAGACAGACACAGCAGTAGACCTGGCTACATCGTGGACATCGCAGACGGTTACATCCGCCGTCTTTGACAGCCGGCGTGTGACAGGTGGGACATGACCGCTTGATGGCCTCGTCCATGGCCTTCTCAATCGATATGCGCATGTCGTCTGCTCTGTCACGGGGACAGATGTGACCGTCCTGCCACAGATTGCAACAGAGCAAGCAAGTCGTGACGCCACAGTACATTGCATCGCCAGCTGTCGGAAAGTGCCCATGGCCACCAGGATTGACATTGCGGCAGACAAGACGAGGTGTATAAGCGATCGTCTCGCGCTGCTTCAGTGCAGCTCTGAGCTTGTCGCCGATTTCGGCGGTCGCTTGCAAGGGGTGAAGCAATGTGAATGACTCTGACGAAGAAGGCGTGACCAGCAGAAGTCCATAGCCAAGCAGATAGATGAGCAGGATGGGCAGCAACGCATAGAAGGAGACTGCAGTGACGATCATGACCGCTCCAAAGCCTGCACTGCTCGGCAGGGGTGCATAGAACGGCAGAAGCATTGCCAGGCTTTCCGTGCGACCGATCTCGCTGTAGGGACAGAACGGACAGGTGATCAGAGCTTCGCCTCGTCTTCTGAGCTCAGTCGTCAGCTCTTGGAGACACCTCTCGTCTATGCGCCGTCGCAATGCAGCCAGAATTCTCTCAGGCAGTACAGCTTCGAGGTCTCTGCGCGCGAGCCGGCCAGTGCAGTCGGCACTGCCGAAACAAGGCAGCGCGAGCTGACAGCGCAACAACTCGTCGAGCCTTGCAGTACCATGGGTGATCTCTTGAATTTGTCGAATGATACAGTTTATGCAGAGCGTATGACTACGGCCAGTGCAAGCGAGCGCAGTGCCGGGCGCTACGTCTTCGGCGCAGCAGGAGCATTCGACAGCAGACCTAGCAGCAACAGCTCTGCCAGAGAGCGCCGTTCGCCGTGCGAGCTCTTGCGCCTCCTTCTCCCGCTGTGTTCTCTCGCGCGTTGCCACTTGCACTTCCCCGCGCAATTGAGCGTCCCCGATGTCTTCGTGTCTCGGCAAGTCTGTCGCAGCGGGAGGAGGCAGTGTTCTCGCAAAGCCAAAAGTGCGTAAGGCGCGAGTGATGAGAGGTACAGGTCGACTGGCGATGGAGCTCGCGAGCGCGGCATGAGCGGGTACAAAAGCATTGTGGTCTAGCAGGCCTCTGCGAAGAGTCGATCGCCACTCTCTGGGGTAGCAGCGTGCGAGGAGCTCGAGCGCTTCCTCTTCGTATTCGACCGAATGCAATAGATCGTGGTGAGTGAGCCGTCTACGCGTCTTCACGGCCGGCGGGGGCGGAGAGGAGAGTGAAGCAAGGACGCTCGCCTGCAAGTATGAATGGCGTTGCTTATCGATCAGATCACGCAAATACACCAGCGAAGCCGTCGGGAGGATGTCGGCCAGTCGACACAAGTCGCGGTTGCGCGTGGCCAGCTCGTCAACTTGACCGTCACGCGACGAGCGAATGACGGTAGGATACTGAAAGTGATTGAGTTCTGAGATCTTGTGCACTATGCGCTGCACGACTTTTGCGCTGTCTAGCTGAGGATTGTATGCGTCGATGGCGTGCCTGAGATAGGCCGGGTCTGGCGTCAGCCATGTCAGCTTTGTGTCTGCTCGAGGCTGCTCGGAGCGGACCAGCATCCGGGAAGACGGCCAAGACATCACTGACGACCGACTGTGCGGACGCCATCGGGTCACATTCGTGACTACACGGCCCCTGACAAGTGCTGACACTGCTCGCCAGCCAGTCTCGTCGAATTCATCGCGCCGGAATTTTCATCGTCGAGCCGAGCGACTCGTCTGGCTGGCCCAGCTACTGTTCAGCGACCGGCCGACAGCTCGAAATGGGCGGCAAGATCACGACGATCGGTCAGCTGCAAGGCAAGAAGCAAGGCGGCCACAAGGCGTCAAAGCAGCTCCATCCCAAATCTCGCCGTGCGCAACAGCTCATCCGCATAGGCCTGCGAGATCAGCGCATCAGCCATGTCAGTCGGATCGCTTCAGAACCAGATGTATACCCCACTGAGGCAGTGTACGACAGGGCAAGAAGGAGCGTAGGGAGATCCACAAGACAAAGACGGAGCGTTACCTCTGGTTCGCGCACGCGATGGATCCCGAGGAAGAGTCCATGTCGGTCGAAGACATTCACGAGCTCATCAGGCTCTACTTGAGCCGGCACGACGAAGAGATTGCCGAGGAGGTCAGAGCGAGGAGGAAAGGTCGCCCGAAGAGCAAGCGACACGAAGCGCTCGAGACTGACCGCGATGGCGGCAAAGCAGACTACAAGCTTCATGGCTTCGGTCAGTCCAGCCTGAGCACCTCTGCACATCATCTGACACGCTCTGGCTTTCTTGTCTGCCAGTTGTGCCCGACTTGAGCAGCGTCGAATGCGTCAAGCAACTCGGACTCTGGACGAGAGAGGACTCCGGCGCACAGCAAGGTTTCCTGCCTCGCATACGACTCATTCGCCTCTACAGCCAAGACTCGGCACAGCACGACCAGATCGTCGTCGTACAGGAAGGCATCAAGGAATCCTTCGCTCAACGGTCTGTCATGCCAAAGAGCAAGAAAGCCTCTCGACGGGATGCCGGCAAACCACAGGAGGAGTCCACCAAGCGGCTGCTCCACATGGCCGAGCAGCGCAAGGCAGCTCAAGCCGATGCATCTTCCGTTCCTCTGCCTGCCATGGACGTCGATGACGCTCTGTAGAACCCCCGAGGATGTCTGTTGTAGCTCTTTCCGCAAAGCCCTCTGCAGAATAGTCTGCGCGTCACGCCTTCCTGCTGAACATGAGCGAACGACACTCGGCCGCCCTGCTGGCCGCGCAACTCTCTCAGCGCTGTCAGACTCTGCTCAGCGATGCACACAGAGCGCAGCAAGGCGATGCCCCGCCCATGAATGCGCTCAGACACGATAGCATCACCCTCGGCAAGGTCCTATCGAAAGAATCCAATGCCATCTCGCTCGGTCTCAAGCCGCCTCAAGAGTCATGGAAAGTACCTTCAGAGCTCCTTCGGGGCTGGCAGAGCACAGTCGACAAGATCGGCATGCTCCTCGCCTGGACAAACGCGAAAGCGACCGATTTGCTCAGAAAAGAGCTCAACTTTGCCTTGTATTCCTTGCTGGAAGCGATAGAAACCTTTCTTGCTTCGCTGTCCACGCTGGCCAGTACGACTGCAGCCTCGTCGGGCAGCAAGCGACAGGATCTGCTGCAGGCGACGAGCAGGCTGTGGACATCCGTAGAACAACTCGAACTCGTCTCGACGGATGAACGTGAAGCTCTGCGCAAGCACTGGAAAGCCTCCCTAGGGCAACTAGACGATGCATTGCTCGAGCTAGAAGACTGGCTCGGGCAATCTTCGACGGCTCAAGCGGATGACATCAGCACAGCAACTCACCTCGAAGCGATGGACCATTTCGACTTGGATTCGGACGAGGAACTCACAGAAGTCGAACGTGAGCGTGCTCAAGCAGCCCTGACACTGCTTCGACTAGCCCGACTACTCCTCAAGCGCCTGATCACTCGCTCGCTGGCAGATCAGCTGGGTGCAAGCCCGCCAGGCGATGATGTCTACAAGCGTCTGGCCGGTACAGCGAATGAGATCTTTGCTATCTTTGACGACTTGGCGGCTGCCCTGTACGGGCCTCAAGACCTTGACGAGCTTCGTGATGCCGCTGCGTCACTCTGCAAGGCTTCACAGATGCTCGCCACAGACGCTGTCCAGCTACATGACCATGACATCGTCTCGGATCTCGCCAGCTTAGACGTCTCTGCAGACAAGCAGAAGCAGACGCTGAGCGAGCCTCAGTGGCTGCAACTCTGCTCGCGTGAGCTCGGCAGTGCCCATGCACGACTGCTGGCCATTGCATGATGTTTACATTCACAAGCATTTCGGTACAACATGTCCGGGTGGCATTCATGAGTGCATCTGAGCGCTTTTGCCCAGTATTAAGCGGCGCTTGGCTGCATCGTTCTGTCCTGCCGATTTGGGACTAGCCAGGGGACTGGCCGGAGGTGATGGTAGGTGCTTCTCGATGTTGGCGAGCACAGAGCTGCGTCGATGAGTTGATCCGGGCGAGCCAGTCGAGCGTGTACCGCCCGAGTCCTCCGACGTTGCATGGCTCAACCGTCGCAACCCGCCTTGTGAGTCTTCCGTCATCGCATATCGACTCCAGCCGTCACGGGATGGACTCGACCCGACGCAGGGCGAGACCGCAATCTCATCGATCCGGCGCTGCTCTTCTTCGTCTCCATCGTCATCTTCCGGGTCCGGCGATCCCTCAGCAAGAGGCAAGGGCGACGCCGTCCGCTGGAGACCCAAATCTGGCGCGGGTCCCTCCATCTCATCGAGCATGTCTGCCGATACCGAGCTTGTCGAGAGGGATTTGGTGTGGCTTTTACCATTCGTTGCCTTGCCATTCGCGTGCGCGCTCGAAACTTCCGACGCTTGCCCGTGCTCATCATCGAGGACTGAAGCGCGACCGCTGTTCGGGCTCGAGGAGTCGCTGGAAGCGATGGGTGAATCCTTGGAGGCAGAGCTCAGTGTGTCTCCGTCAAATGGCGGCAGTGAAGATGCTTTTGCGCGGTTGGTGCCCGACAAGATACGCAACCTGCTAACGATACCCTTGGTTTGAGGATCGCTGGTCTGACGGCGGTCTCGAACAGCATAATCGCGAAGCTGATCCTTCAGATGTCTGTACCATTCAGTCAGCCAGCCCTCAAAGTCTCAATTTGCGTCAACGCACCTTGGCTTGCGGGCAGCAGAGGTCAAGATCTGACCTAGCAGCGAACCGGATTGGCTCCAGATCGAGCGTGTAATGTCTGTATGGGAATCAGCGGCAGTCCTAGCGCTGGCGGACCGGCTAACCCTTTTTGAAGGCGTTCATCAACTCCAGATAGGAGAGGACGACGTTCCGACGGTGCAGGTCGGGCGCTTTCCAAATCAAATCGTACATGTCGACCAATGGAGAATCTTTCTGACCCTACGCGATGATTTGAGCCATGGCAGAGTGCACAGGGAGCAGGCCATACCTTGTAGGAGAGACACAGGATTGTTGGCGCGACCTCGACGCGAATGAAGACGCGGTTCTGAGAAGCCCGTGACTTCATCTCGTCAGCATCGAGCGCATCATCAATCAGATCTCTCGACAGAAAGGTGGCCGACATGACGCGACCAAGATGAGGCTTCGAGAATTCTGCCAGCGCTGGTGTCGGTGGATGACTATCAGCTGGCATGGAATTTGTGGAGGAGAGCGTGTAGCTGCGAGCGCGAGATTCCGATTGGCGACCTTTCGCAAAGACGTCATCAGAGCTCGCATTTGAGTGCAACGACATCGATGAGCGATTTCCTTCGAGCAGCAATCGATCGCGCTCATTTTCTTCGTCCGGCTCGTCGTCTTCTGGCGCTATCGTGTGCTCGCCCTGGCTAATCTCCTTGACTTTGCGCCGCTGCGCGAAAATGTAGTCCATGATCTTGCGTCCCAATTTATGCTCGATATTGAGTCGAATGGGATGAATCCGTACTTCCAAACCTTCGATGATCGATATGCCGCCTACCGGCGCGAGCGTGTTCCATAGCACAACCATGAAGAGGTCCTTTTGCACCAGAGGATTATCACTTGCGCCGTCTGTTCTGTACTTACTGATAATTTCCGGGAACAGATGAGATGGGTTTGGATTAAGCCCGATAACGTCTGTGATCACGAGCCGGTTCGAGACTGTGCTATCGCGCTTGCTAAGCCAGCTGAAAGCAACGCCGCGGACAGACCACTTTGCAAAAGGATTTGACTCAGGATCGATCATTGCCCATGTAAGCTCTGAAGCTCGCGCATCGAATTGAATGCCCTTTGTGCCCTTTTTCTCGTCTTTCGTATTGGGCGTTGAGTCTTGCGAGGCAGTGATGGCATTGATTAGAATATTGAGCTCGCCAGCCAGTCGAAGCGTCTCGGCTTTCGTCGTGTAAAATTCTCGGATCTCATAGTCTTCGAGCTCGTTGAGAACTTCGATGTACGACGCCAGGACGTCAAATTTCTCACGGATACGCAGCTGTAAGTCTTCGACAAGATCGGTCATGCCCGCAAGGTCGGAGAAATCATGGGTGAAGAGAAGTGCCTCTAGCTTTTCGGAATGTTGCTTATGCGCAGGATCAGAATATAGGCAGAGATCAGTGACGACGTTGTAAAGCGCCGCAAATTGATCGGGATTGGCCGTCACGGCGAGCTTGTCAAACTCGACAGTGACACTGTCGTGACCACTGCGCATGCGTTCGCTCGTGTCTGCGCTGTCAGAGACACCAATTTTGCCCATGCGCAGCTGATTGAATTTGTCGTATCGCATGACCGCACTGGTGACAGGCAGAATGCGATCGAAACCCCACGGCTCGAGCTTCTTGTCGATAAGAACTTCCAGAGGCACGAACAGCGCGCCTTTTGCGGATGTTATTGGATGGCGCCCATCGACTGGATGGAAGACTTGCACGCCGTCAAGCGTAACGTAGCTTCGGTGCATGACATGTGAATTTATAGGATCGTCTTGATGCGCTTCATCAAGCACTGAAAAGACTTTAGCCTGAGCTCTGAAGGCTGTCAGGACAATTGTAGACGCGGTGTCTAGCTCGCTGCTGAGCGCAATCTGCGGCTTGAGCAGCATAATCAGATAGCTGTTGTCGAGACTGTACGCGTCCAGCAAGCCTTCCGCGGCGTCTTCTTCCGCGTTGACGTTCTTTAGCTGATGGCGTGTGCCGACCTGGTAGCCTGTGTCTGCTTGGTCATTACCAAGCAATTGACTTATCATATGTGCCGCCTCGGCGTCTACGTGATTGTCGTCCTCTGTTGGCACGTGAGCAGCTGAGTGTCTGCCCTGCGCCCTTGATTTCCGGCGATTGTGCGCTGGTCTCTCCGGCTGATGACGGTCCATGAGGTCGCGGATGAATCTCAGCGCTCGCGCCGTCATGTGATCTGTCGGCAACGTCAGCCCAATTGCAAAGTATTTGCAGAAGTGTCTCACAAGTGAATCCTTTGCGTTGGCGCGAGCTATAGTAATACTTGAGCAGGACGTCACGCGTTGAGTTGGAGATGAATAACACCGGATTGTGCACCATGAATCGGTTAGTCCATCGATCCCAGTCGTCAAAGGTCGTTGCGGATCGCGATTGATAGTAGTCATTTTCTGAGCTATGACCACTGCTTTGCGGCATCGTCGCCTCTTCCCAAGGTGGTCCCTGACCGAGATCACCGTTATCTGCCGGCATGCTGGAATCCTGCGAGGCATGATGCCCATTGGCCTTGTGCTTCGAGAACATGCTATCTTTGACATCAGACATGCGTTTGATCAGGACATTCATCGAGTCTTCGCGTTTGAGAAGCTCGATCAGCTTGTCTGACTGCACTTGGTGCGCTGGATCGGTCTGCTCGGAGCTCATCAGATACATTTATCCATAGCAGGAGCAGTGCGCTGACCGCTGATAACTTTTTCAATAGCTTTCGACAGACCTTCGACTCGTCCTGCAGAGCCTGCAATCGATTCGCAGCTTCCTGAATTTGCACATCGATAGCACCATCTGCTCGGCCAACGAGACACTTGTGTGAGGGTTCGCTGCCAAACTTCGAAGTCGCAAGAGTATGACCGCGATCGTCAGAGTCTTCAGACTCGCTGGCCGTGTCTTGACTTGTGCGTGACTTGTCAGCAGTAAGCTCGCTGTGCTGCTTGTTCTTGGGTTGCGTCTGCTCAGCGTTTGGGGGCTTGCGATAATAAGTCAATCGTGGGCACGCGAGAGTTCGCAGCAAGCGGACGCCAGGCGCCGAATCCGGCGGCAACGCATAATTGACGTCTTCGAAATCGTCCAGATCGAGCCAGATACGGTCCTTGCCATCTACGCCTTGACCAGCGTCTTGCTTAAACACGTCCTCAAGGTCCTCGCTGGCATCCTCGGGCACGATGCCTTGCTTCAACGGATCATCGAAGCGGGCAGAGATCGCTCGCAGATCGACATCACTACAGTCGACCTCTGCCTGGAAGAAAGCCTTGTGCAGGGCCGTTCTTGTTTCTTGCAAGTCCTCTCGCCACACCTTCTCTTCTTGTTCGCGCTGATGTAAATCTGCGTTGAAGCGACCGATCTTACCTTTGACACCAAGAATTGTCGTCTGACCTTTGCTCCATTCTGCCCAAGGCTCCTGGCGGTAAGTGTGTGCGATGAAGATGGGCGCAAAACTAAATCGATATTTGATAGTTGCACAATGTTTCCCAAATTTCTTAGAAGGCTCTGCCGCCGTCGGGAAGAGCTTTCCCTGACGGATTGGCAGCGACATGGCGCTCTCGAATAGGCCCCACCATGCCCAGAAGTGTGTGAAGCCTTGTGGGGTCAGATGCATACTGTTGTACCCCAGTCGTGGATCATTGGCGTTCTCCATAGTGTTCATAGGCGAGACGATAGACAGCGAAAAATGAACAAAGTCTGATCGGAAGCCGCCGAATGAATCGATGATCGAGCCATCTTTTCGTCGTTCGATCTTATCGGCGGCACGCGTCTTCACTCGCCAGTGGGGTATAAAGTCAAAGTGGCGACATTGACGATGAAAGGGTGAACCTTCGCATTGGGAGCAATCGTGAGGCGTACATGTACGCTCCATGACCATACCCATGCCCCATCGCACCCCATTGATGAATTTTGCACAGACTTTGGTAAATTCTGTCATTTGACCGTTTTGCTGAGCCATATCGGCATCCATGGCACGGTGCCGAGCATCGTAAGAATATGCTACTTGTTCAGAATCGCTATCAGCATCGTCGGATCCTTTCGGCGATTCGACAGCCTTTTCGCGTGTGGCACCCGTAGCAGCCGAATCGGCGAAGTTCTTCAGATCAGGCACGGCGAGAATAAAGTCGTAACTCTTAACTTGGAAGAATTCTCGTTCTGGGTTCTCGTGGCCGAGCGTGAAGCGTACCTGTCGTCGCCAGACGAGCACGAACCCAGCGCCCTGTTTTCTCCGTTAGCGAGGCCATGTGTATGTGCATCGTACCCACAAAGCCAGTCAAAGAGTACGGGTCACGACCACCTTTGAGGTGCAAGCAGACGTCGCCATTGTCGACGAAGAGGACCTTAACTTTCCAGTGTAATATTAGTCGGATCTTGTCCCAAAAGCCGATCCGGTCTGACGGATCCGGCGTTGGCTTCGTGACCGTGTCCGCAATGCGCGTTACATCCTGTATGGCAGGTGAGAGTGAGTTGCCCCAGCCGAAGCGAATCGGCTGTCCAGATGACAACTTGATTGTGGGTACAGCGTAGGTCTTTGTCGGCATGGCTGTGCGGGGTACCTGGATGAAATATCCTTTGCTGATTGGCTGGTGAGAGCCTGGCGCAACGATTTCGCAAGGCACTCGTCTTATAGATGCGTTTTCCGGGAATTCTTCGCCAATGACAAAGTCTGTCTCCAATCGCCAAGCCTTGACACCTTCTTTGCCTGATCGCGGAATATGGGCAAGAGGCAACGGATAATCGCGCAAATTGACGCGCGCCTCTGACATATTCCACGAGAGATGGAACGGTACGAGCAGGACGAATTCAGTGTCCTCTGGCAGTCCTTTGCCTGCCTCGTGAAGGAACTTTGGAAGTTTGTCTTCGCCATACGAATGTTTGATGATCTTCATGTCAATGAAATGGAAAGTTGCGCGCAGCAGTGGTGCAGCCCTGGGCTGGGCGAGCAGATTAATTGGCAAAGTGTGGTCGATGAGCTTGTTCGGATTCGCGTCGTAAAGCCGTCGCAGCAAGTTTTCCTCCCTGCGGGATTGTGCGGAGCGAGCGTTACGCATGCGTTTGGCCCAATTAGTGGAATTGAAGGTTTGTAGCGCGCGGAACGCCTTATCGGGGTCGAACAGCTTAGTGCTATCTCTGCTTGGTCTGCTGTCGCTGCTATCTAGAGAATCAGAGCTGGCGTAGCCTGCTTGGCGACCCAGTTCTGATTCTTGAGCCTGGATCCGCTCGCGCAATGCACCTTCCCTTGCCAGACGCTCAAGCTGCTCCTCGTGGCCAGCTCGCCAAATGATATTGAGCCGTGTCTCGAAAGGATCGTCTTGCGCTTCCATTGCAAAGATCTTGAAGCTGATCGCGATCTGTGGCAGTCTTTTCGGCCCCTCTGGCTTCGGTTCGATTGCAGATTGGAAGTTGCCCTTGACAAACTGCGCAATCAGCTGCTTGGTCGCTTTGATAAGTGTCGCGACATTGTCGATGATCTGAATTCATATCAGTCCTGGTCAGGCAATCCAGCAAAGGACCTACTCTTGAGATCACATATTTAAATGGGATACGCAGACGCATGGCATCGCCATCGACAACCAGCGCAGACGTATGCCAGCCATCATTATTTGCAACGGGTCCCCATTCGAATCGTACTGCACGAATTCGGGCAAAATCATCCCATGCACCAAAGACGGTTGGAGATTCGACCGCAAGGACAGCGCGGTTTACCAGCACCTTGACACTTCTGCCGCCTTCAGGAACGTGAAGCTCAACGCGTCTCGCTGCCAGAAATAGCCTGACGTTCCTGGGCAACTTGATCAAGAGATGGACGTCTGATAAGTTGATTCGGGCGTGAATCGCTGGCTTAGAACCAGCCGACTTTGGTGTCAGCTCCACTGCAGGTGACGTTTTCGGTATAGTTTCCAAGATGCCGCGAACAGTCGACACTGCAAGTAAAGCGCAGTAGACGTGGAAGACGTCGACACGCATACGTGCGTACCCCGCTTCGACAGCAACGACAATTTCATCTTGCCGCTGATCATCTTCAGTCGGATTCTTTCGATCGCTGATCGTAATCCGCGTCGCAAACGCTGGCACGTAGAAAATGTCGTTGCCCATGGGCTGCGCCGATTGACTTGTCGGCTGTGCTCGACGATGACCCTCTACGAGGATCTCGCGGTTGCGCAGCTCCCATTCTGCACGGGTTGGCGCAGCTGGGCTATCATCTTGCGTCATGCCACGGGAAGGTCGAGAGTTCTCTCGGGCATCGGCTACGGGCTCCAAGCGAAGCTCTTTTGCTGTAACGAGAACAAGCGCATTGCGACTCTTCGCATTCCGGGTCAGCAAAGAATTAGCCTGGAGAGAGATGTCGTCTGAGAGCTGCAATCGCTGCCTGAGGGGATAATTGAGGATCCGCATGTGCGTCTGCAAAATAAAGTGGACCGATAAATTCTGTGCCGCTACTGTCGCGCCCCGAGGCACGTGCGGGTCATTGTGTGGATCTGGTCCGGCGATACGGAGCGCGATATTGCCGATACACAGTGAAAGACCAATGTTCCGAGGAAGCTTATTGACTAGTGTAACATGCTGCTCGGCTTCCTCGGGCTGCAGAGCAATCTCGGCTTGCACTGGACTGACAGGTCTAGCTTCCGAGGTTGCTGTGCCCACAATGATGAGCCCTTCTAGTGCGGCGAGGGCACTAGGCTTCCAAGCGTCGATGCCGAATGCGTAAACGCTGACATCGAAGTGGCCTTGTAGACTCGATCGTACATAGGTAGCTGTCAGAGGCGTCGCTAGGTGATAGTCAAAGTCTGAGTTGATGCTGCCTGATGCCGAGATAGGTCCGATAGTTATGAGACGTGTGATCATAGCTTGAGCAGAATGTTTGCCGCGTTCGTCGCCATCCTCTATCTGCAGCGAGATCTCGCCGATCTGGAAGATCAGAGTCGCGGTGCACACCGCTTGATGATCTGGTTTGTCTGGATCTTGCGAGCCAAGCTCTCCTCTCCTGTTTTTGTGTTTGACGTCCATATCGCCTGAATCGTCCGATCCGAGGACGACGTCGTCCGATGGGTTCTCTTCAGTCTGGTCCTCTTTGTACGCTTCTAGCGATTCCGCAAACAGTATCCGAGGTGCTTTGACTCCGCCGCGGCGGGCTTCTTGTCGTAAGACCCTACGTTGGCGCTCTGTCAACCGCACGATATGGTCACGAGAGCTTGAATCGATCTGTAAGCTCAGTCCCGCGTAATGCAAAGCCACGGGCTTGGAGCCATGCCAGCCCTTTGATGTCCCCGCATCGTCTTCGCCAGGGCCCCAGTGAGCCATCACGGCACGCTTCGGTCCACGCATGAGCACGCAGCCGGGCTCGACATTGAGCCCCATCGCGATGCACGGCAAAGTGGGGAGCTCGATGAGAGGCTTCGGTGGCGGCCCTTTGGGCTGACGAGATCGATGAGGAGCTCTGGGCACATTACGTACGTGCTGTAATAACGCATCCAACTCTTCATACGTGATGTCGCCATTCAACTTGCCCACCGCACCCTCGCACACGATATGACCGATATCGTCGATGCCTGCAGCTTGCAGAGAAGGTGGTAACCATGTCGAAGTAACATGCAGAGCAACTCTATCGAGTTTGAGTCGCTCAATGTCTGCTCCTGATGTGAGCAACATTTGACATATCACGTGATGACGCACCTTTTCGAGCCGGCTCTTCCATCGGCAGTAGGTCGAGGGAGGCGCTTTCGAAGCCAGCAGTCAACGTCAGAGGGATCAGGCGATCTCTGCCGATCCAGGCGTAATGCTTCTGGTGCTCGGCAGAATCTTCGCCCAAGAGGACGCCGACATGGATTGTGTGCAGCTGCAAACGCGGGACGAGGCTTGTCGGCGCTGTGAGGTTAGGCTGCCCAAGTGTGCATCTGACCAATGGCATCGTGAATTGGAAGGAGCGCAAAATTTGCAGCAGTTTGGCAGGCTCTGAAGATTCACGGGGCGTAATGCTCAGCTTGCTATCGATCGACGTTGTACTGCTGCGTCTCGATGACAGCGACTCTTCTGGATCAGGCTGAGCTGGTCTGATTGCCTTGAGGGCGCTCAGAAGATCCTCGAGCTGAAGCATATCGATGTGAAGTCCGGCGCGCTCGGCAGTATAACGAGCACAAGGGAATGTGATTGCTGCATCGATAAAAGGTTGCGCAGCCGAGACGTGCGAGCTGGCGAGAAAACGTATAGCCCTCTCGAGCGCGATGGATGCTTTGAATAACATGGGCCCTGCCATGCGGACGGCGGGGTCCTGAGACATGTTGCAAGCTGACAGCTTGACGTTGCGAATGCTCACGTAGACGAATGGTTCCCGACGCTCCCTCAGGCCAGTGCGATGACCTTGGACAGTCTTGACAGGATTGCTGCCGTTCCAGCCTACTCCCGCCTGCACAGAGACTTCGAGGTCGCAGATATCCGCGTAGCGTACCGTGACGTTTGCGACTTCGAGAGCGAGCAAGCTGACGAGTAAGGCTAGGATCTGTCCGAGGAGACTGCCTGTATTGGACAGCAGGCCGACGAGCAGCGAATGTGACTTGCGCTTCTTGTGCGCATCCTGACTTTGCGTCGTCGTGGAGAGCTCCTCAACGATGTCCTCCGTACTCGATCTCCGTGCTGGGCTTGTGCTCGTACCATTGGCGGTAGGCCGAGAGTTGTGCTGGGCTTCTGGCCGGGGCAAGATGACGAGCACGTCGTCGGCTCGCAGACCAAACCACCTCAGATAGCTGCCTCGCAAATCTGACTTGCCTATCGCTAGCCCGAGGCGTCTGATGCGGATCTCTGCACGGGCAGGAGCGCCAGGCGTCGTGCTGGGTAGCTTATAGACGATGTTGCGCCAACTGAGCAGACCCGTTCGGCGGATGCTGAGACCTTTGACGGCGTAGATTGCGACCAGCCAGGCTAGCGTGCGCAGTATGATGACCACGAGCAGCAGATAGACTGCCCATCTTGCTAGTGGCAGCTCTTGCAGACGTCTCATGTGAGCATGCTCTTGCCCGAGCAGTCTGTCGATAAGCATCATCGCTGCGGATCTGCTGATGCGCGCAGTGCGGTCAAGGAGTCGTGAAGGCTCTCCAGACAGCGGCAAAGCTCATGACGACCGTCGCCGTCTCTTTCGCTGAATGCCGCTACGTCCGGCCTCGGTCCAGTCGCGCCGCGAAGACGGTGCTTGGCAATTGAATTTGGCTGCGAGCCGCGAGCTCCGCGGCGTCACCCATTGTGCTACAACATGTTTGCAACCTTGCGATCATGGCCACGCCGCCGTCTTTCGTGTGCGGCCTTTCCACCATTGGTCTGTCCTCGCCCACGACCGCGTCCGCGGGAAGTGCCTCTACCTCGTGTGCCAGCTTGAGCGGGTGTTGCCGAGTTTGATTCTGGTGGAGCATTATCGGGCGCGGAGTAAGCGTGCTTACCGAGTATGCGATCCTTGCGCGGCTGTGGCACCACATCATTAGCCCTGAAATCTGCGATGACAAAGGGTAGGAGCGCACATTACGCTCCAGCATGACTCGCCAGCCCTCGAGAAGCTCGTCCGCCTGAACGCCTATCGAGTCCTTGAGCTGTTGACGAGCCTTGGACCGCCTGACTTCTGATGTTCGGTCGAAGACGGTCGGGTCGGCAATGTAGGCTTGCTCGAGCAGTCTTGCAATGCGGGGCGTGATGGGATTGGCAAGTGGCGGGCTAGGTGCACGCGAGGGCTGCTGCTGCTCCTCGTCTGAGTCATCTCGCTCGTGTCCGGCCGCTTCGTCGTCATCACTCAGGTAAGCTGGCACTCGCTTCGGCGCATCTGCAAACAGATCATCCTCATCTGACAAGGCTGCTTCTTCCTCCATTGCCGCCTGAGCCCGAGCAAGTGTGAGCGCTTTCATATTCTCGGTCATGGCGATTTCGTCCCGGGCCAGCGTTACAGGAGCAGACTGTTTGCCCAGCCGGACTTGTGATGCATCAAAATCGCCATCGAAAAGGGCACGAGAAGATGATATCGGTTGCCGAGCGGGCGCTGGGTCTGGTTCGGCCAGGAGCGTGTCGATGAGCGACATCTCAGCCTGCTCGGCTGTCATCGAGGCAAGAGGCTCCCGTGACAGCAAGGTGCGCGCACGGTCCAAGTCGCAGTCTGGTAGAATCTCTTTGACTTGCGACAAGATGACATCTGTGTTGTCCTGTTGGTGAGCGTGCCCCTTGGCGAGCTGGTCTGGCTGATCGCTCGCGAGCTCTTTGAGAGTGATGACCAGGTACTCTATGCGAGAATCCACATCTCCATTCTCTTGCACGAAACGGTCACTGAGCACCGAGGACAAGTGGGACTCGAGCTCTAGCTGAGCGATGAGCGGGACATTCCGCCTTGGGCGAGTGCGCTGATGCCTCAACAGCGCAGAGATCAGATCGAGACTTTGTCTGATTGCCATGTCGTCGCTGTGGTGTTGCCTTGCCGATGCGAGGACGAGGTGGGTGAACTCGAGCAGATCAAGCTGTGCGTCTCGGTAGGCATGCTCCTCCTGCTCGTCTTGCACGGACAGCTTGTCATACAGGCTCGCGACATCGGGCAAATAGTCCGGCGTAAGTGCGTAGAGCTGCGCGATATCGCTCGAGTGAGCTTGCAACCGTAGTAGCGTTGCAAAGACGGTGATGCCATCGAGTGTGGACGCCCGCTCTGCGAGCGACTGCTTGAGGTATTGCAATGATTGATCAACGCTGACTTGGAGCTCGTTGGTCAGCTTGGGCGATCGCATTGCCTCTCGAGCCAGACCATCGAATGCTTGCGAGTTGTACGCATAGCAGACTGATAGAGCGAGCAGAGCACGACTTGACAAAGCACTTTCTGATGCGAGAAGAGCTGCTGAGGGTGAAATGAGCTTGATCGTAGCAAGATTGGTTTCATCTGCGCCATCGAAGGAGTGCAGCAGTGCAAGATTGTCCAGCAATCGTGAGCTTTCATGATGGACTGCAAGATCCAAGCTCTGCCTGAGCTCTCGCGAGATCATCGTCGCAACGTGGAAAACCTTGGTCGTCGGCTGAGTCGCGTAGTGCCTACCATGTCACGAGATTCCGCGGCCCGGACACCTCTACCTCGTTGATGAGCACAAGACGGACCATACCTCAGCCGTCTCAGGTGTAGGAGACACAAGTTCGGCAAGAAATGCAATGTTGAATCCAACATGAAGCCAATGCACAAGGATGCAAAGGCCGAGTACCAAGAGCGATCTACAAGATGAGATGGTGATGCGAGCGGGCGAACGAGCCGGCCAACCGAGCGACGACGCTTGAGAGGGTATCAAGACGTTACTGCTGTTTTGTAAAGATGCTGATCGTGAGTTTGCACATCGGCGTCGCCTACAGGGCTCGAGATGGATGAGCGTCTAGAAATCTTCGTTGAGATCGAATAGATGCGAGTCGGAGTTCTCATTGGCGGCGGTACCAGCCTTGGTAGAGTTGCTGAAGCCTGCCTTTGCATAGTCTGACACTCGCTTCTCGAAGAAGTTGGTCTTGCCCTGCAAGGAGATGTTCTCCATAAAGTCGAAAGGATTCGTCGTGTTCCAGACGGGCGCATTGCCCAGCGCGATGAGCAGTCGATCGGCAACGAATTCGATGTATTGGCACATGAGCTCCGAGTTCATGCCGATCAGGGAGACCGGCAGAGCCTCTGTGAGGAATTCCTTTTCGATCTTGACGGCATCGGTGATGATCTTTTGCACAGTGTCTGGATGCGGCCTTCTTCGCAGATGGCTGAAGAGCAAGCAGGCAAAGTCGGTGTGCAGACCCTCGTCGCGAGAGATGAGCTCGTTCGAGAAGGAGAGACCGGGCATGAGTCCGCGCTTCTTAAGCCAGAAGATCGACGCGAATGAGCCTACAGAAATGGATCAGCGAATGTCGTCATACATACAAATAGGCGCGCGTACCGGAAAAGAAGATGCCCTCGACCGCAGCAAAGGCGACGAGACGTTCACCGAAACACGACTTTTCGTCTGAGATCCACTTGAGCGCCCATTGAGCCTTTCGCTGGATGCAAGGGACTGTCGAGCATGATCAGCAAGAACCACTCGAACAGACGCAAAGCAGCATACTCGTGTCGATGGCCTCGAAGAGACGCGTTCGCTCCTTGGGCTCGCGGATATAGGTGTCGATGAGGAGCGAGTAGACCTCGGAGTGAATATTTTCCCTGTGCTGGCGCGTCACTCACGAACACATGAGGCGAGAGAGCGCGAAGGACGAACATCATGATCTGGAAACCGTAGAAGCATCTTGCCTCTGCCGCCTGGACTTCACCGGAGAATCGCTCGACAAGGTTCTCGTTGACGATACCATCCGAGGCAGCAAAGAAGGCGAGGACGTGCGAGACAAAGTGTCGCTCGTTGTCGTTGAGCTTGTTGTCCCAGTCGTGCATGTCTTTGGAGAGGTCCATCTCCTCTGCAGTCCAGAAAGACGCCTCTGCCTTTTTGTACATTTGCCAGATCTACAGGGGTCCTACGCGTCAGTCGAGAGCAAGCAGGGCATACGAGGACACTCACTTCGTTGTACTTGATGGGGAAGAGCACAAAGCGGTTAGCAGTCTCTTGGAGGAGAGGCTCCTCGGAGTCCTTGGTGATCGTCAGATCGCCCACAAAGCGTGACCGCATGGCATCCTCATCGACGGTCTCGACAGGCTCCTGTGGCTTGGAAGCCTCATTCAGGGTGATCTTCTGAGCCTCGGCAGGCTTGCTAGAGGCCATCTTCTGAGCTTTGACAAACTCTGGCTGCTCTACAGGCGCAGATCGGGGGATGTTGACAGAGAGCGATTGCAATGCTCCAGTCGCGCCCTTTGTAGGTGTCTCCTTGATAGATCGAACTGCAGCCATCGAAAGTGTGTCTCGAGAGGCGGGATAAGCTGCTTTGAGGACGTCTTCGAGTAAAGTACCGCGAGCAAGAAAGATGAGTCGAGCGCGCAAATGAGGTCGCGTCGTGTGCGTCAAAAAAATAAAGCGCGTATCCAGCGCCACCTCGCCTTGATGTATGCTCATTCTCGATCGAACAAGTGATATACAACAGTCTATGCAGCGGCCGGCTTGAGCTTCTTGCGGGGCATGAGCTTAGTCACGGCGGCGACAGGCGCGCTGCGCTTGAGATCTTCCGACTTGTCTGGTCTCGCTCGATCAATGGTGATCGATCTGCAGATCGCGCTCGTGTCGCTATCGCATGCCTTGCTGACCGCAGCTTGCCAGTCGTGGATCTTGGCGACTGCCTCTTCGCGACTGGAATAGTCAATGTCATGCATCTTCTGCCATAGCGTCGTGTAGACATTGTGAGCCACTGAACCTGCCAAAGGATCGATTCTGGACTCCGGCGGCACGATATCGACCGGCTCGTCTTGCACGACCACAAAGAACGCGCATATTCGTCCGCCAGAGCATTCTTGTCGAAAGGCCATGTTCTCCCACCACTGGTCGAGCTGGACATTCGCCAGTCTCGCTCTTTCGCTCGAAAGGTCTCTCTCGAGGCGATCGTGTTGCAGCTTCGCCAGTGCAGCATTGCTCGCTTTCTCAGCCTTGCGTACGACGTCATCATAGTCGCCTACATCGCCGACGTTCTCTGCCCTGCTCTGGGCAAGTGATCGAGTGTAGCGGCCCTTTGGATCGTCTGAGAAATTGGGTATCAGATCGCCTACCGTCAGAACCAGATCAGAGCTCGCGCTCGGGCTCGGGCTGGCCTCTGACAATGGTGTAACGTGCATGGTCGTGTAGAGAGGTGAGGACGTGGCGCTGTAGGGATGGCCATATGTCCATGCCGGAGTATCCTGAGGCGCTATACGCGTTGCCTCTAGCTCCGTGAAGCCTGGAAAGAGATAGTATCTCTCTGCACTTGCAGGCGCGCTCTCGCTCAGCACGCTCTTCCACCAAGCGCAGAGTCGCCTGTCATCCAACACCTTCTTGCCCTTGTTGTCTGCCGATAGCGGGAAGAGATACTGATCTGCCGCTCTGCCAAAGATGTGCACACGCAGTCGCTTCATGCCGCGAGGTGGTCGAGCAAAGTGGTATGCAAGAAACGCGCGTGTAAGCTCCCGAGCAGGTGAGCTGAGCTCTTTGCTATAGCTGATCAAGCCTGTTGTATCGACCTTGGCCACGTAGAGTAAGCAGGTCGAGGTGGCAGGAATGGTGTAAAGAGAAGCTTCAAGACCCATGCTCGGCACGTCGGCCTGCTCCCTGTCTCGCTCGCATAACGCGACCAAGATGTCCTCGACAAAGACATGTGGCCTTTCCTGCCGATAAGGTGGTTCACGTGCCAAGGTAGCCCACGGAAAGAGAGAATGTGACCGGCGAGGACTCGAGCGCAAGACGCTGATGCTGAGCTGTCGCTTTGCGCCAAAAAGCTTTCTCTCAAGTTCTGTGGCTAGGAATCGTACAAGATGGTCGTCAGCAACTGACACAGTCGGCGACGAGGTGCTCGCCACAGGCTGATCGCCAGCGTCGCCCATCCGCTGCAGATGCATGCATGGAAGCGTCGACGTGGCCGATCACGGTTTGACATTTGCCGCCAAAGTCGCGTTTTGGCGTTTGTCTCTCGAACAGCCGGTCCCTAGAGAAAGGCGGTGCGCCTCTACACGCGCGCAACAAGACAGCATCGTACGCGCTCCACGACACGCAAGTATCAGCAGACATTCGCAAAGGCACATATCCCTCACAACAGTCCGATCTCGTTGCAAAACCCCCTGAAGGCACGTGCAGAGGCTTTGACGAAATCAGCTCGGCGAGTCGATACCGTGTCGGCCTGAGGACGGACTGTATCTAGCCGAGACACGATACACCATTTTGATCTTGCTCGATAAGGAACAGACAGCAATAGCTGCTGGAGCGACTCGAGGAGATGACGCGGGCACAATGTGCGCATCGAATTGCTGCGGACAAGAGGGCCTTACTGGGCTTGCTCGTTCTGGGCTTCGCTATCGAGCAAGCTGCTGGTCAGCAACCTCAGTGGACATTCGGCTTTGCAAACCGCTCGCCCCAACGGCTACAACAGTGCACGGCAGTCTCGTTCACGCTTACGGGCGGATCAAATGACTCTTACGTAGCTAGCCCCCCGTACACATTGACCGCTTATGCTATTGACGGATCAACTGTCACTGCGAACCTCGGCGACATCAGTGCTGATGACGGCAGTGACTATGCTTGGAACGCGCCTTTCGCTCAAGGTACGCTGTTTGCGAATTCATGCGCCCAGACATTCTTGTACTGACTTTTGCTTCCAGGCGAACGAGTAGTGCTGAGTATGGTCGATAATGATGGCGTAGAAGGCGGTGTCACCCAAGCTTACACCGTCGGTGCGTCCGATAATGCGACTTGCCTGAGCGCATCCGCCTCGGACATCACCGTCACCGTAGACGCAGCCACATCTGGATCATCGCAAGCCAACGTCGCAGCCTGTGGCAGTGTTAACGTATCAGTCACGGGAGGCAGCGCGCCATACCAAGTCCTCATTGTACCTGTCAACGCAGATGGCGAAACACGCGTCACGCTCCCGAGCGGCCAAGCGAGTGCTGCTCTGTTCAATGGGCTCTCATCCGGCGCCCAATTCTTCGTGACCGCTCAAGACTCGACCGGCAGCTATGCAGCCAATAGCTCGATGCTGTACACAACCTCAAGTGGAAGTTCCAGCTGCCAGAGCGACTCGCAAGCCTTCGGAACAGAGCCGGCTACCATCACCGCTACCAGCGCCGGCTCGACTACATCTTCAAGCTCGGGTGGGGCGAGCAGCTCAGGCCAAGACAGTCGTAGCCATGCTGGCGCAATTGCTGGCGGCGTGGCAGGCGGCGTTGTGGCGCTCTTATTGCTGGCTGCTCTGATCTGGTTCATCAGCAGACGAAAGCGCCGCGATCAGGATTCACAATCATTCTATAGCGCACCCTTCAAGGGCGGCAACAAGACTTCTCAGCCTGGCTTCGTCGCTCCTGCCGCTTTCCGAAGCCGACAGGATGACATTGCGACGCAGCCACAGATGCAGCAAGCGATGCGACCAGGTGCCGCTGGAAGTGCATCCGCTACTTCTTTGCTCGCGACCAATCAAGCTGCTCCAGCGGGTCGCGCCGGTCATCAGACGCAACCAAGCGCAAGCTCGATCGGCAGCCTCGGCAGTCTATACGGTAGACCGCTACCACAGCCGGGCTCAAGCATTCACCGAGCGGGCTCGGTTGCAAGCGTGAGCAATCAGTATGGGCTGTCGGGAGCCGGCGGCATGCGAGTCACCAATCCCGACGAAGATATGGAACCCATTGAAGAATCCAGCCTGCCGTATCGTGATTCTGGCGCCGAACAGGATATCAAGCCAGCCTCGCCGAGCGACTTGCGCGCGCCAGCTCGATGGCAGCAGCACAGCGACTCTGGCGTCACCCTCGCTAGCGGTCCACAAATACCGGAGAACACCGTCGACATTCCCCCTGCGTACCACCACTATAGATAATTATACGTTGAATCTCTTGCATGCACCTTGGCCGGATCAGAAGCTGTGTGCATGCTGACCAGAGAGGAGGAAGCGTAGGATGCAATAGATTGCCAGGTTGTGTGAGCAGGACGCTGCTGCAGGGCGCGCTTTCGCATAAGTTGACATTGACATCCTCTCAGCGTGATTGCCGTCCGCGCTCGCATATGGCCGACGAACACGAGCTCTTGCTTGTCGACGGATCCCAGTCATGGCTACGCTCAACAACGGCTCGGTTTAGTAGCGTCTTGCCGTGGCTCAGCTTTGCACTTGTTGGCGACTGGATCGTTGTGCTTGTCATACAGCTATTCGAACGTCAGGTCAGAGCGAGTGCGGTGCACGAGGAGGATGTGAAGCTCTATCTCGATGATCCATCTATCATGTACAGGCATACAGACGTCAGCATAGACTTACACATCGATCAAGCTTGTAGCTGAAGACGCGCGACTGTCTGCAGAAGGAAACGTCAGCTCATTGACACATTGACACATGTGTCGCTGATCTGCATCGAGCAGAATACCGGGCAGTCTCAACGATCTGCTGACTTATAGCCTGCCACTCTTGCTGCTCGTGCTCATCTCAGCCGCGCGACTATCACTCTTCGAATTGCACCAGAGCTTGCTAGCTTTCGTCGCTGGCTCGTATGTTTACAGCAAATATCCGCGTCAAGAGTGGCCTGATCTTGCGAGTGAGCAGGCAAGCGAACCAACTCGCAACAGATTTTGTCAAATCGCGCGTCGGTCGCCTGCGACCTGATTTCCTGGCGAGATGTCAGTTCGATTTCGAGCTCAATGAGTGCACAGGCGATGTTCGCATCGTCCAAGAAGGGCGCAAGAGTTTCCCTTCAGGTGCGCGCCTGCCGTTCGTGACCTTTATGGAGAGGCTGACCGACAATCAGGACATTCCTCGCAAGCCTTCTATGGCATGATCTTTCTGTCGCTATATCTGGCAGGCAAGAATCGAGCCTGGTCGCTCGAGCATACAGATAGTCATACGCATCTCGTCAGATCGAGATTATATCGCAGCGCAGTAGTGATTGCGCCAATATTCCTGTCGACGTACATAGCAATCTCGCGATGGGACGATCACGTGCATCATCCAACAGACATATTAGCTGGCTGCTTGCTGGGCACTGCTATCGCCTTGAGCAACTATCTGATCTGGTGGCCATCGCCCTTCGGCAGTCGAAACCACGTCACCATGCCAACGCCGCGCCTTCATTATGCTAAGCCTGTAGTTGAAAGAGAACCTGCTGATGAGCAAGTGTAGGGTCGACAGCACACGTAGAATAGCATGACTCTTTGCATTGTGGGTAACATCATCGTCGTCCATCGTGAGCCTGCGCATCGGCGGACATAGCAATGTTAGGCCTCAGGACCCGCGCCAGTCATCTGCTGCGAAGCTGCAAAGGCAGCCTGAGCAGAAGCCATGGCAGTCATGACCATGTGAATGATGCCTTCGTTCGTGGGCGGTGCACCATTGCACTGTTCCCACAATTCCCCGAACAGCGCCCACGAGTCTGGCTCGAGCGCGTTAAACTGAGCATACACCTTCATAGGATCTAATGGCGTGCTTGTTCTCGGTCGCTTGCCTTGAACATCTATAACAGGCGACAGTGACCTTTTGCGCTCAGAACTCATCGGCACCGACGGGGTTGGAACCCTTTGCGGCAGGCCTTGCGGTGTAGACTCGCGCGCATAAGGAGCGCTTGGTCTACGGGTTTGTTGAGGCGTCTGCTGGTGCGGAGCAGGCGGATTGTATACTGCTGGACTTGACCGATAGGGCGGTGTGCTATGCAGCTCGCTCGTGATTGCCGGTCGAGTTTCATTGGATGCAGACGCGAATTGCCTGAGGAAGTCTGGCAATGGCGCGCTAGGCTCTGGGACGGCAGCAGCGGCACTATCCGCAAATTTGATCAGTATGGATCAGAAGGAAGGGACAAGCAGCATACGTGGGGGCTGTGGCGCGTGAAAACTCCGGCAGAGGAGGTGCTGCAACAGGCTGACCAGATGCGCGAGCGATGATAGCTGCCAGATCAGTTGACATGTCGCCTATCGCAGCAGCAGGCCGCAGGGCTGTGTCTGTCCAAAACAAGTACGCATGACTCAGCTCTGGCTCTTGAACTCGCTCGATGAGGAAATGCTGGCACTCGACTAGATGATAATGAGGTTGCAATCTGTCACAATGCAAGGCTTTGCTTTGACCATTCCTAAGATCCACTCTGTCTCTCTGTCTCGTCCAGCAAGTGTCGATGGGCAGAATGTACGAATTGAAAGAAGGCGGTCCGCCCGAGTGCAGAGGATTGGAGTGAAAAGGCAAGCAAGGGGGTGGAGGATGCTTGAAGAAAGCGAGGAGACATACCTTGCTTGTTCTGCAGGACCTGAGTGACAATCGAGGGTTGCGGCGTAGGCTGCTCCTGTTTCGATTTACCGTTCGTCTTTGCAATGGGAAGCGGTGGCACTGATGCTGGCTTGACGGACGGCGCTGATCTTGCCGCATCTGCCTCTAAAGATGCCGGAGGCCTAGATGAAGATGTCTTGCTGGTGCTGGTACTTGCCTCGGTGCTCGTCGACACACCCGTGTTGCGCGCTGTAGCAGTCGCGTCAACTGCAGCGACGATAGCATCGAGTTTCGCCAGCATAGTCTTGCCGTACGTGCTTGATCGTCGCCACAGCGCTATTACCTTGGCGGCTTTGTCTCTCGCGCTCGGGGTGGCATCGAGCGTGTTTTTGAATATCCTTTCGAGACAGACTTCCATCTTACTCAGGAAACCCGCGCCGGCCTCGTGCTGTTGCGATCGGAGACTCTTGCCATCCTCTGTCTTGGCTGCATTGTCGCTCTGCAAAGGCGTCGAGATCGATACGGCCATATCTGAATCAGTCGGCGAGATTGCGCCGGCTTGAGGCTTCTCTGGCTCTGCAAGAGGAGCGGGAGATGTCGCTTTTGCGTGTTTGGTCACATTGCGGACTTCTGCCCGAGCATCACGAGAGATAGCATCGATCAGATAGAGGACGTTGAGCTTGTAGGCTCCCTCCGCCCTCTTGTGATACTTGAACAATGTCGAGACCAGGTGGGCATCCTCCTGCGCCAATGCCGCGTGTGAGCTCAAAGGACAGACGACAAGCGAGGAGAACCGCACCATCATGAGCTTCGCAGCGAGTGCTTTGACAGCTTCGACCCTTGTCGATGTGAGGGCAGATGCGCTGACTTGCTTGACTGCCTTTTCGAAGGCCTGTCGGATTGTCGAGCCATGTCAGCCTTGCCGCATGTACTCTCTGAGTCTGTGACTGACAGATCGGGAACTCGTGCTGCTACTCGTGCCCTTGCTCGTAGACGCCTCCGCACTCATCTCGAGGCGGCCAGGCGTTGATGGAGGGTTCGATGAGATCGAGCTTGGCTCTGCAGTGAGGCGCGCGTTTGCCGCAACAACTGCCAGACCCGCGGTCGAGGAAGTTCCCCTTCACAGCAGCAGCTCCATCCGCGCTCGACAGCGTTCGGCCTATCAGAGAGGCCGCGATGGGCAAGCACGGCTTCTTCGGAGGTGCCTTCAAGGGCCTGGACGCATTTGGCAAGGCGAGTCACGATCATCATGCTCAGCAACGCCTTGGAGCAACGCTCATGCCTGCTCGCATTCCCTTCTTTTGCCTTGATCTTCAACAATACGCATCACTACGCTACATACTCAATCATACGACGCTCTGCTGTCAATTCGGCCTACGCCTTTGGCTACTTACGCGCTCGGTTGCTCGCGTGTGAACCGGTAGACATTGGAGGATGTCAAGATCAAGACAGGCTTTGGCGGCATACGTACGATCTTGCACTCAGCATGCGGGTGTACACAAGCTGACCGTATGGCCAGTCACGCTTGTGTCGTTCACGCTCATCGCCGCGCTTACTTTGATGGAATTTGTCGACTACCGGAGGGTACATCTGCACCCTTCGATCGTAGTAGACAAGTCTAGAGGCGAGAAGCTCGTCGTACATCTCAACATCACCTTTCCGAGGGTGCCTTGCTACCGTGAGCCTATTCCACTCCATGGCGCGCACATACAGAACGCTGAGTATCTGACTTTTGAGTGCTGAGCGTCGACATCATGGACATCTCTGGCGAGCATCAGAACGGTCCGCAGCCGTACTTTTGTTTCATCTCGTGTGCTCAATCCTTCTCTGGCTGCAGACATACATCACGACATTTTGAAGAACCGATTGGACAAAAGTGGCGCACTTGTCCAAGCGACTAGAGATTCCAGTGAGTCTGCTCTGCATCAGCGCAGATACATATTGACGACATGGCGGCCACAGCGCTCAAAGGGGAGCTAGAGCGAGCTGTCGGGGTCAAGCGCGAGCCTGGCTGTCAGTTACCTTACCTCTCACCCATGGCCAATCGCTGAGTAGCAATACAGACTGTGGATCATGCTACGGGGGCGCGCCAGGCGACTCTGGCTGTTGCAATACGTGCGACGAAGTCAGAGAGTCGTACGTCCGAAGAGGCTGGAGCTTCGTCAATCCAGACGGCATAGATCAGGCACGTTGTCCCCAAGTGATCGCTTTGCTGCTCTTGCTGCTGCTGATGTATCGCTCGCAGTGTGTCCGGGAGGGATTCTCGGAGAAGATCAAGGAACAAAGCGAGGAAGGCTGTAATGTGGCAGGCCAGGTCAAGGTGAACAAAGTGTCTGTCGCTGCTCTCGCCAGCAGCCTCATCACGCTGATGCGATGCCATGCGACAGCATCGGCAACTTTCACCTTTCGCCCGGCAAATCGTTCCAGTCGAACATGCACCACGTTCACGATCTGGTACCTTATCTCGCAGCTGGTCAGCAGCACGATTTCGGACACATGTCAGTACATCTCGACTTGGGTACTCGCGAGCTGACAGGGCAATCACAGCATCAATCGCTTCTCCTTCGCTGCAGAGGGCGACGATGGCTTCAACCGCGAGACTGCAAGACTCAAGCAAAGCTTGAATATCGAGGATCCATTGACGGGCGTTCGCGCGCATACTGAGCAATGTGAGCGGATCCTTGTCGCCAGAGGGGTGGGCTGACCAAGCGCTGGCAGCGAACTACATGTTCCAGTACTTTGTCAAGGTGGTCTCGACAAAATTCAAGACACTAGACGGCAGAACGCTGAGCAGCCATCAGTACTCCGTCACTCAGTACGAACGGGATCTCAGCAAAGGCAACAAGCCAGGCAAGGACGAAGACGGGCACCAGACAAGTCACGGGTACGCAGGCGTGCCCGGGCTTTTCTTCAACTACGAGATCAGCCCGATGCTCGTCGTGCATCGAGAAGAGCGACAAAGCTTTGCGCATTTCATTACATCGACTTGCGCCATCGTCGGCGGCATCCTCACTGTTGCAGGTCTGATCGACACGCTCGTCTATTCAAGTCAGACGAGGCTTCAGGCGGGTGGCAAGTCCAAAGAGGGCCTTGGCTTTGCTTCTGCATCCGGACGATGGCTGTGATATGTTGCATCTGCCTGTTTGTACGCTTTCAGATTCGCGAGAACGCTTCGGAGGCATGAGGAGGTGATTTGCTGACTTGCTGGAGGATCGTCGTCAAAAGCGCGTCGACTGAGCGATCGCCTCTCTCCGAGCTCTGATTCCAACGAGCCTGTCAGACATGCTGCCCCATCGAGACATGTTGATGAGCGGTAGCCACATGCTCCGGCGTGGCTATGCGACCTCGCTCTTGCCGCCACAGCTACCCGTGCCCCGCCCGATGCCGCAGCCAAAGTCAATACCACTACCCGGCAAAGGTTCGACAGACCCACATTAGCTCGAGTTCACGAGCTGATCTGGCTTGTCAGGCAATATTCGGACGCCGACTGACTTCCTGACGGCCAGTAAGAGAGGTTATGAGCAATATGCGGCCAAGATCGCACCTGAAGAGTCTTGGGATACATTCTTTACAAATGACACGACGAGCTTGAAGGCTGCTGCTGTGCCTCCACCAGCCAGGAGGATGATTCTGTGGATGATGAACCGATACAGACTCGGCGTTGATCTGCGCGAGCACGTCAGGGCGCCCAAGAAGCCGAAGAAATTCAGAGGGTGAGCTCAATCCGTCGCCATCTGACGTGCATTGCTGATGCAGGTCACAGATGGGGTCCAAAGGTACAGAAAGGAGTCCGAGTCAAATGAATGCATGCATGGATCACAGAGGCTTGAATCTGAACGTCTCGAGCGTCTTTGAGCGCACTTTGATCCTCGAAGCAGGCACGGGCGACTCGCCTGTCGGACTGAATGGCCCGGAATCGACAACTTTGATGGGCAGAAGCGAGACCGATCTTTTCAGCTTGCTGGCGGTAGTGACCGACGGTGCTGGCGTTTTCGAAAGCGGCTGATGGGAGACTGAGCTCAGAGGTGTGCGTGCGCGAATGTTCCTTGAGATGGTCTCTGTCGTGCTGAATCGAGCGCGCCAGCCTTGCGCGACGTTCTCAATGTGCGCTTTGCGTCTTGGCGAAGGACTCGGCGTTGCTTCTGGCGTCGAGCAGATTCGTTTCGCGTGAAGGGGCGAATCTATAGCTGAATCTTGCGCAGCTTTGGGTGTGCTGGGCAAGTGTTGTCGGGGCGCGAATGCTTTGACTGGACTTGACACGGCCATTGTAGACACGGGCGGTGCCATTTCTTGCTTGACGGGCGAAGATTGCATAGGACTGGTTGGCAGACTCTCGGGCTCGCTCGCCGGCACTTTTGCAGGACTTGAGAATGCCCAAGCAGGCAACCTGGGCGGACTAGGCGTAGAGGTGGGCAGAGTATGGTCTCCGGCATCTTCGGCGATGGACGCTGGCTCGATGAAAATGACCTCGTCCGGCTCAGCGAGGGCAGCTTTGGCTTGTGGACCGCCAAAGAATCTGCTCGCCAATTTCTGGGTGGGTGCCTTTGCACGTTTGCCAGGGCTATTGCGATCGATCTCCTGCAGAGCTTTGCGCTTCGGTTGACTCGGCGGCCGATCTGGCTTCTTGTTGAAGTATGATGTGATTGACGCTTTGCCCTTAACCACTGCTGTGCTTTTCTTCGTATTTGTGGCATAGAATGAGCCCGATCGGCTGCTTTCGGGTGCTGGTGCAGGTATAGCCGAGACTGGGAAAGCGGGGCAAACGTCGTGCATGGGCTTTGAATCGGCAGGATCAAGATCACCAATCGCAAGCCCTTGCGCAATCGTCTCATCGACGAACCTAGCATCCGAATCGTTATCAGTTGTGCAGAAAGTCAACAGGGAAAGATACTGACATGCCAACAAATCTGAGCTCGTCTTGATTGAGATGCTCGTGTTTGACGGGCAAGGGGGTCAGGAATCGCCTCTTCTTCGTCTCGGGATCCCAGACGATCTGATGCAAGAACGTCAATTCCGCCCTTTTGAACTCTCGTTCGTAGTATCGGGGGACACGAAATTGACCATCCAGTCTAACAAATTGGATGACTTTGCTGGCCGTCTTGTACTTCTTGAGCAAGCGATACGCCGTTTTGAGGCCGAGTCCACTGATCGAGTCGAGATAGTCACATCCGCTCAGTATTGCCATCTGACGGAATTCAGTGGCTGTCCAAGAGGTAAAGTTGTACTCTCGACACTTGTTAAGTCGGCTCGCTTTGACTTCTTGACCACGTCCCTCATTATCGAGCTTGAAGATGACCTGATAGACAGCATTAGCCGATCAAGTCAAGAAGGCAAACAACCAAGACGCACAGTCTGACAACCAAAGACGAGAAGGTCGCTGTCTTCTGTGATGATGCCTTGCACGACGCCTGTCTGCTCGAGGAAACGGAGTTGTGCATCTGCTTCGTATGGCGCGACGATAAAGTTGACGTTCTCCTGCTTCAGCATCTGCTCCTATCGATAAGCAGAAGCCTTGCCCATGTGCTGCGTGATTCACCTTGATGACTTGGTAGGCCATTCGAGGAGTAACATCGACGGCGCGTCCGTAAGCTTCACGAGCGGCTTCCTCCTTGCCCTCGGCAGACAACCTCTGGGCTTCCTTGAGAGCGTCCTTCCTCCTACTCGCACGATCCTTCTCCGTCGTCGCCTTGGAAGACAGTGCAGCACCGTCAAACACGAAGAAAGGTTCCACGCCATGGAATCGCAACAGTCTGACTTTGCTCCTCGAAGCCGACACGTAGCGTTGGGTCGTAGCTACATCATGTGTCTCTCGCCAAGCTAATTCATCAGCTTCACCAGCGCGTCCCTTGCCCTTGTCGTCCCCCCGTTGCGGCTTGTCAGGAGGATGTTGTGCGCGTGCTATTGCGTCTGCACACGAGTAGGCGCCGCGATGGAGAAGTACGTAGGCATCAATGGCCAGCGTCTGTCCCTTGTATTGGGACAGATGGACTGCTTCTGTCGCCTCTCTGAGCAGCGGCAACAGGCCAGAGATGCCCATGGTATGCGCGTGGCCCGGCCAACGCGCGACTGGCTCTCTCTGCCTGCCATTGGCCAATTTGAAGCGCGTCTAACGAAACTTTTGACGGTCCATCGAGCCTCAGATTTTCGCGGCTTCACCCAGGACGAGTGCGACGTGCGAGGCAGCTGCAGTAGAGGCTCGGCATGGCAGACAAGCTCATCCGACTCGCTCTGGTCGACTCGGACAAGTGTAAACCGAAAAAGTCAGCTCCTAGCCCGACTCAGCTTGACGACGCTGTTCTGTCAAGCGAAAGCGTGGCGCAGTGAGCTGACGGTGCGCGTACAGATGTCGGCAAGAGTGCAAGAGAGGATGTCCCGTAGTGCGCATGGGAAAACTGTGCATCGAAGTCACGCCGGACTCGAAGACTGCTTTCCTGTCTGAGGAACTCTGCATCGGTTGCGGCAGTACGTTCACAAGGGGCGATGCCCAGCTGGCATCAGCCTGCTGACGAGTGTGACGTACAGTCTGCGTGAAGAAGTGCCCGTTCGAAGCGATACGTGTCATCAACCTGCCTACCTCCCTTGCCGCTGCAGTCACTCACCGATATGGCGCGAATACGTTTAAGCTGCATCGACTGCCAACGCCCAGACCGGGTCAGGTACTCGGTCTCGTCGGCACAAACGGTATAGGCAAATCGACTGCACTCAAGATCCTCGCGGGTCAGCTGAAGCCCAACTTGGGACGATTCGATGTCCGTCGCCATCCATCAAAGCTGACTGACACAAGCTTACGTCTGAGGAACTCACAGGATCCACCAGATTGGGCGGAGATCTTGAAGTACTTCAGAGGGTCAGAGCTACAGAACTACTTCACCAAAGTGCTAGAAGACAATCTCAAGGCGCTCATCAAGCCCCAATATGTCGATCAGATCCCGCGAGCGCTCAAGAACAAGCCGATGAAGGTCGAGACCATGCTCACGTCCAAACTCGAGCTCGACAATTTCGACGCTATACTAGATGCGCTGGACCTGCACAAGGTCCTCGACAGAGAAGTTGCTCAGCTTTCAGGTGGCGAACTGCAGCGGTTCATCATTGCGCTCACTTGCGTGCAGCGCGCCGACGTGTACGTTCTGCTGCCAGCGCAAATGAGAAATGGCTGACGACAGGACGCAAACAGGTACATGTTTGATGAGCCGACTTCTTATCTCGATATCAAGCAGCGACTGAAAGCCTCCCGTATGATCCGTTCATTGCTCAATCCGACATGCTACGTCATCGTCGTCGAGCACGATCTCGCTATCCTCGACTACTTGTCCGATTTTATCTGCTGTCTGTACGGCAAACCGGGTGCTTATGGCGTCGTCACGCTTCCTCAAGGCGTACGAGAAGGTCAGCCTGAATGTGTCCCTTTTGGATTCTGTCCACTGATCGTGAGCATATAGGCATCAATATCTTCCTCGATGGCGAGATACCGACAGAGAACTTACGATTCAGAGACGAGAAGCTTACCTTCAAGATCACCGAGACCGCAGACGATATCGTCATCGAAAAGACCAGAGCGTATTCGTACCCCAAAATGACAAAGACTCTCGGCGATTTCAAGCTGTCTATCGAACCCGGCGAGTTCACAGATTCGGAGATCATCGTCATGTTGGGCGAGAACGGTACAGGCAAGACGACGTTTGTCAAGTTGCTGGGCAACAACCTAGAAGCAGACGATGGCGTTCAAGTGCCCAATCTCAACCAGTCTACCAAGCCACAGACACTCTCGCCTAAGAACGCAGGAACAGTACGACATCTCTTCCTGAAGAAGATCAGAGCGGCAAGCATGACTCAGCAATTCATCTCCGAAGTCATGAAGCCCATGAACGTCGATCCGCTCATGGATCAGGAGCTTCAAACCTTGTCCGGTGGTGAACTCCAGAGAGTCGCCATCGTCCTCTGTCTTGGCCAGCTCAAGGCTGACATCTTCCTTCTTGACGAGCCCTCGGGTAGGGGGTTTCGATGTTAGCCAAAGCTGAAAAAGCTGATCTCGATCGCTCTTCTTACAGCTCACCTCGATGCAGAACAACGTATCATTGCCAGTCGCGTCATCAAACGATGGATTTTAGCATCCCAGAAGACCGCTTTCGTCGTCGAACACGACTTCATGATGAGGTATCTCCACTGCCCTCTCGCAATCTGCTCTCACTCACTCGATGCTGCAGTACCTACCTCGCCGATCGCGTCATCGTCTTTGACGGCCAGCCTGCGATAAAGGCACGCGCGAATACGTAAGGCCTTGCGATTGCTTTTTGCGCTCATCCCTGATAGAATATATGCAGACCTCAAACGCTCTTGTCCGGCATGAATCGCTTCCTGGAGATGCTCTCGGTGTAAGTCAAGTATCTGCATCAGCATCGAACAATTGCTCATTCGGGCTCTTATTGCAGCACTTTCCGACGCGATCAAAATACTTTCAGGCCAAGGCAAGCTGGCTCGCAATCTTGGTCTCCTTTGCATCTGACTCGATGTCTTGCAGGATCAACAAGGCAGGCTCACAATTGGAGACCCAGCAGATGGCAGACGGGCATTACTTCTTCCTCGGCACAGATTAGTCGAAGATCAGCGTCCGTGTCCAGCTCGCACGAGATGGTTGCAAATTGTTTTTACTGCATTTGCTACCATCTCGCTATGGATTTGCGCACTGGTGCTACAACTGGTTTGATCTTGAACTCGGACAAAAGAGACAGATGATCTGAAGCAAAAGCAGAGCTCGGGAAGCCGACGACCTTTTCGAGGTACTTGCTATCCACGGGACCGAGCAGGCCTGTCACGCTGAGCGTGCTGGCGGTATACCATATGTAATCGATGACTCCCTTGAAGCCTGGTGTGTAGTTGGTAAACGGCAGAAGCTCATCACCATGAGAGTAGGCAGAACGGAGGTTGAATCGATGGGCAAGTCCATCAGATGTATAATTGCCATAGATGTGAGACTTGAAGTCGGGATGGTCTCTACCCACTGCGCCGTTCGCTAGGAAATGATACACGCCAGAGGATGGCTCGGAATTGAAATCGCCGCAAACGATGGTCGGAATCTTTGTGCCATCTGAGTAGCTAGGCGCAGTAGTGTAGCCTTCACCGAGATCGCGCTTCGGTGGTAGCTTGCTGAAGGATTGCCCGATCTTCTCTAGCTCTTCCATCAGCATGGCGACTTGCACAAGCTTGACATCCTTGAATTCGGGATCCCAGTAGATATGCGCGTTGGCCACGATAAGCCTTGCGCCCGATTGTCGATGTTCTAGCAAGGTGACGACGGCAATGTTATCCTTTGTCATAACGCGGTTGAACATGTCTTCCGTCTTCTTGAAGTCAGGCCGCCTCATCGCGATCTGGTTGAACTCGATGAGCTGCTGCTCAACGAGCGAGAAGCTACGTGGTCCAACGTTAGCTTGCTCATCGATCTCTGCCGCACTTGGCTTACGTCGTGGATTTGTAAAACGTCGCACAGCCGTCGACATGCCGCTTTTCATCGCTCGACATTGTCCGCGCTCGCGACTTTGGAAAAAAGACGCCTTCGTAATCTTGCTGAGATAGATGATGCAGGAAGAAGTCCTCAAATTGCTCCTGATCGACTTCCTACATACGGTAAGTATTGTCAGTCATGCCTGGCAGTCACGCGCTGCTTCGACGGACCTGTAGACAGAGTATCTCCGACTCATAGGACATAGCTTCTTGCAAAATTAGGTCCTTCCGGTAATCCCACGCTAGCGCCCAGCTTGGCGTGTAGCCGTACATGTGCGCGGTCGCATACTTGTCGTAGAGTATGTTGTAGCATAGCAAAGAGAATGACTCTGGCGCGGGCGCATCTTCGTTCTCTAGCGAGCCCAGATCTTGCGTGTCGAGCGTTATCCAGTCACGATCTGGCGGGGGTAGAGCGATCGGGCAAGAGTCCCGCAAGTAATCGATCAGCGACTTTGTGCCCTTTTCGTCCAACAGCGACCGATGAGTCTCGTTGAGCGGATTGCCCTCTAGACCGATGAGATCGAGCTGATAGAGCGTACCTAGCTCTGGCGGTAAGCTCGACAGGTGATTGTCAAAGGCGAGTAGTTCTTTCAGCCTAGTCAATAGACCTAGCTCTGGCGGCAAGGAGGAGAGCTTGTTGGACGAGACGTCCAGCAATGTTAGGGAGTTGAGCTGTGAGATGGAGCTGGGCAAGACCGTCAAGGCATTGTGGGAAATGTAAAGCGTCGTGAGGAAGGTATACCGGAATATCCCGTCTGACATGTTCTTGAGCGCCATACCGCCAAGATCAAGGGTCGTCCATGTCTGAGCGGGCGCTCCGGCTTCTTTGCCGACGATAGCGCTGACTGCATTAATTGGCGCTTTGGATGAATCCTTCTCCCGCACGCCTTCGTCTGCAGCAAAGCCGCCAGAGGTTGTGCTTGGTGCAGGACCAGTAGTCGACGCGGCAGATGCCGGTCTGTTGAGCCGCGATGGATCGTGAATGGCCACAGCCGAAGAGCTCAGTCCTCGTTGCTGCAGATTGGCAGCGCGCGCATGATGGTGCGGCGAGCTTGACTGCCTCGAGACGTTAGCATAGCTGAGCTGCTTTTGTTGCCATTTCTCGGTAGGATCTCCGCCATTGGCAGTGATCATCATGTTCGATGGCCCGACGCCATTCCCGTTGCCATGCTGGTTGGGCCCATTACCCAGCATCTGATTGCCGCCCACGAGACCGTTCAGGGATCCCAGACCATTGAGCGCTTGGTTATTGCCTTGCGGACCGAGATGATGTTGAGATGGTCCGCCCTGACCTCCATGATGGAGTGGCGAATGGGTGCCCTGTCCGGGATGACCTACCAGCGTACGCTCAATGTCAGTGTGTGCGAGGTCAGGCAGGCCGGTCTGCGCACCAAAGTGGGCATGAGAGCCATACCCGCCGGGCGTGACAGACTGGGCGCCGTTCGGTCCGTAAGCGCTGTAGGGATGCATGCCTCCTGGCTGGCCTCCTCCGTTGCCGTTCCCTCCCACGCCGTTCGAGCCGTTGCTCTGCTGAGGATGGTGGGGCGGCCCATGATTGAAGTGACCGTGCTGATGTTGCAGCATGTCGAGCTGCTGCTGCTCACGAGGGGAGGAAGAGTACTTCCCGCTCGCTCTCCTGGCGTGACGCAATCTCGTCGTCTTGTCCTTGCTCACGGTGCGGGTCAGCCTGTAGCTTGCTCGTTACGACTCCTCCTGGCTGGCTGGACCAGAGATGAACGAACAATCGCTCAGATTGGGTCAGAGCTGCTTGTTGGGCGGAGCACAAGGGATGGCAAGTCGATGTCTTGGGTTCGATCGCCTCTCAAAATGCTTTGCCTGCTTCCTTCTATCCTGTTCATCGTCTGACCTTGCTTCCTCAAAGTCCTGGGCCGTCGTGAGTGCAACAGAAAGATATTCCCATATATGTTGAATTAATTTCAAGCTCGCTCCCTTGTCGCAACGTGAGAAAAGCTGGCAAGTACTCGTGAGAGAAGTCAAAGCCAATGTCAATTTGTGTACGTGACACCTATCTCGCGCACGATGGAGCTCACTGTATACCTCGCGCATGACAGCCTCGAGTCAACTAGCCGCACGCAGTCGGGCGCACACAAAAGCGGGGCTCGTCCGGTCAGGCACGCTCTGGCCTACTAGAGCCATTCCTGTACGATCCACACCTCTTCACGACCCGAGACGAGCAAGAGCCAGCGAGCGCGCTCTTGGTAGAGTCACCTTGTCGCCATGACGGACGACGCGAGCCAGAATGACTACGTCAAGGACTTGGACCATTATGACAAAGAGACAGTCTCTCCCAACCCAAGCAGTAAACGTCGGCGACTTGATGAGCCTGGTCTCGCCGAGCCAGTTGTCCCGGCTGAGCAGACGGCTCCTCCTGCTGCCATCAGTAAGGCGGCGGTTGACGTGTCGCCCGTGCAGCGCGATGCAGAGCCCAGTCCCGATGCCATCGAGCCCGACTCCGCGGACGCACGCCTCGATCGTGTGCGCCAAGCCATGAGAGGCCAGACCCAGCGTGCTCTTGCCGAAGACTCCGATTCCCGCGAGTTTGGTCAGCTCTCGACGGTCACATGCTTCTATCCCTCGGGTGAGCTGGCAGGCTGTCAAAGCGGATGAAGCGCTGAGTCTTTCGGTAGCTGCGCAAAAGTCGTATAGCTCAGAGAAAAGATTCGTCGTGCCGCCTCCGTTCGTTCGAATACAAGGACCTCTACAGACCGCCGCCAGCTTGATGACACTCTCAGCCCATCTCAGATTGACAGACAATACCGTCCTGCTTGACTATACCAGCCCACTCGATCGGACTGCATGCAGAGCTCACTTTGCGCAATTACACATCGGAGGCATCACGAAACAAGAAGGCAAGGAGAAAGTGAAAGGATGTCATCTCGAAGTCTCACTACACAACAAACCCCAGGAAGAACTTCAGCGACAACAAGCGCTCCGGGATATCGAACTGAAGAAGCGCGCTCGCAAGCTGGAAGGTGAGGATGAGCTCATCAGAATCGCTGGCGACTTCAAGAGGCGAGATGAGCGCATTCCTGTGCCACGACTACCGGCCCCCTTCGCTACCTTTGTGTCTGAACAAATCCGCATCGTCTCAAAGCCAGCGGAAAATTCGCGGGTCACCCGACAGAACCCGAAAGGCTACCTGCAGAACGGTTCTCTCATGGGCTTACTGTCTCGACAGAAGAACCAGACCGCTCGGACGCGCTTTCTCACGACCGAGGGAGGATGCTTCACTGGTCACGCAAATCTATGGTCAGCTTTTCGTATCAACGTGATCGAACGGGGCGAGGATCTGGTCGACCACCTCCTCAAGGCAATCGACAATGGCGAAGAGTGGGACCCGTCTGCAGAGACTACTGACCGGCATCTATCCCCGGCTCTGCACATGATGCAAACCCATGAGCTGACACAAGCAATGCCGACGCTACATGAACACGATGTCCAAGTCGGAAGCTCGGATGCAGCATTAGACGGTGTGCCCCTTGCTGAAACTGATAGGCTCCGCGATGAAGAGCAACAACACAAGGGCTCGCCCATCGACGTGCCTATCGACCCCGTTATATCAGATCAAGTCATTCGGGAGATAACACGACCTAAAAGGGTCTCAAAGGCTCGTGCTCACTCGCCGGCATCGAAGCTGGCAATGATGGGCAGTGACGTATCTCGTTCGTTTGACCAGCGCCTGCTCAACAGCGCGGTCAAATACGGCGATCTCATCGTGCTGACGGACGTAAATACTGGCGATCAGACCGGGCCTCTTTGGGTTCGCTCGGTCGAACAAGACAGGACTGTGCCCATGGCTACGGGCCCCGTGAGCTACTTGCAACGGATCGCCCTCCAGCGAGCAACGAAGCCCAAAACACGACCGGCGTTTCTCACTACCAATGCTTTCGATCATAACCCTGTGCGGCCGTCAAACAAAAATCAGAAGGGCAGGGTGAGAACGACAGTTGAGCCGCCACAGCTTCCGCATGGAGAGGATTCCGAGCAGGATTATGCCTCGAACGAGATGGGCGATGGACGCGTGCTCAAGAAGACTGCATTAGCCCCAGACCTCGTCTTCCGCCATGCGCTCTCCGGCAGACCTACCCACGCCGAAATGATCACAGACTCACAAGCTTGGACTGTTCTTCTTATCGGTCAGTATCTCCGAAGATATCGTCATCGGTGCTGATTGCGTTGCAACGTTCAGACAAGTTTGCAGAATCCTTCTTCTGCACAAACGCAGACGGTAGCTTGCCGATCGACACATTCACGCCAATGCCACAGGTCATCACGAAGCCTATTTACGACGATGTCCGCAAGACGCTCGATCTCGCCATCAAACACCTCAGCTACACAACAGAGGATGGCGGCGATACGAGCGTCGAGATATGGATCGGCTCACTAGGACCTTTGCCCGTCGAACTGTCGCAGAGGCCACCTCCTGTCGACGATCTCTCCGTCGTACCCATCACGGCTTGGCTGCCTGCGCTATCTGAGATCTGCAAAGCGGCTAGCGAGGCCTATGTGAACACGCGCTATGAGCATCAAGGCTCCTCATCCCGTCGTCCAGTAGTGGACATCTTCGAGCCCGGCACCGCGACCGATCCTCACAAACAATTCGCAGTCATCAGCGCTCTGGCTATGTCTTCTCAGCCTGGGTCTGCAGCGCAGCACAGCTACGACTTTGGCGACGTCAGCGTTGCACAGACACAGCGCGACTATCTCGACCCTGACTTGCCGGGCATGTCGGGCCTGTCCACCCTCGCTGCCGCAGCCGTTGCAGCAGGACAAGAGCCCGGTGAGCTCGAGTCTGAGCTTGATATCAGCCGTGCATTCGCGCAGCGATCGCATCATCTGCCTATCGCCCTGTTTCGCTCTGCAGATGAAGTCGGCTTCCCCAGTGGCTACGACTTGGTCCTGATGCCTAACGAGATCGAAGGTGTCGTCAGCTGGGACATCACCATTGCAGTATCCACACGAGTACAAGCTTGCTTCGATTGATACAACAACGTGAAGGGTGCACAGAGCATCCGAATGTCTGCTCACCTGACCGGCCACAGATGCGTTTCAGTGTCCCAACTACACGACGCGATGAGGCCGTCCTCATATAAGCTCCAAGCTAATCCGACGACGAACTCGGTATGAGCTGTGTGGACTTTGCGTAGATTTGTACTCTGCGCAGATTTGCCAGACCATTGCAGTTGTGGAGGCTGTCCAATTGTGCCTGGCGACTGAGCATTCCATATTCGTGCAGACATGTCATACGATGCACTAGCCAGCAATGTTGCAGAGTGAGGCGACCAGGCTACTTTGCGTATAGCATAATCGTGTCCAAGCAAAGTCTCCACACAAGCTTGACCTGGCATAGCCGTGGGAGTTGACATTGCGCTGGACGCTTTCCTGATATCGTGTATCTTCACGGTCCGATCTACTGAGCCTGTCGCAACCAGGAATGGCTGATACTTGTTCCAGTCGAGAGACAAGATCTCGGTCGGATGAGCTGGAATCGCTAAGCTCGCGTTCCCAGATGCAGCCGTAGGCGAGTTGAGATCCCAGACCTTGAGGAAGCCATCGGAAGATACGGAAGCGAGCGTCTGAGGCTGAGAAGGCGAAAAGAGCGCTGCATAGACGCAGGCTGAGTGTGCTGGGATGGTTTGTAGTGAGTGCGGCAGCTCAGGGCGCCACTATGCCATGCACTGCACTCAGCCTGACACAAATCCCATAAGAAATGCTTACGAGCTTGATGGTATGATCCCAGGATGATGAGGCAAAGGTGCTCTTGTCGAGGTTGTTCCAATCGACGGAGAACACCTCTCGCTGATGTTCGTGCCAATTGCGTATCGGAAAGTCCTGCCGCATAGCTGATGATCAGCTCGAGGAGGGCGCTCGTGTACGAGACGAACATTGAGTGCGATGTCCCAAAGCTTGATGCTGCCGTCTCCAGAAGCTGACACGATCTGATTCTCGTGAGTTTCAGACCATGCAAGGTCGTAAAGGCCGTCTTGCGTGTCAAACCTGCGTCACTGCTCAAGCAACGGCAGTCAGGCTGACCTGAGAGGACATACGCCTTCTCTACGCCGAGCTGACGAGTCTGGGGCTGGTAACCGAGCAGATGGAGCCGGCCATTGCCGACGAGGCCAAAATTCTGAGAGGAAGCAAGGGCTAGTCTGCCGGGGAAGAAGGGCGACCAGGCGAGCGCGTAGCCTGCAAAGCCGTCTGTCCTACACCGTGTGATGGGCAGCGTCTGCATCCTGCTCGAGCAGGGACTGCCCCTTGGCGCTTAAGCTTTGACTTTGGTGGCAGCCAGTCTGGCCAGTCGCGCGTAGCTCTTTCTTTCTTTCTGTTTGGCTCTGCTGGCGCGCTGGCGTGGGTTGCCACTGAGGCATGGTCTACTCGTGTCAGGTGACATGCACGATCTGTCAGGACACAGAGCCGCCGAGCACGACATGGAGTATGCTGCCCAAGTGCGGCCATCTCTTCCACGAGTCTTGCATCAGGAGCTGGTTCCAAGTCTGGCAAAGGGACAACCCTAACAAGACGCCTTGCTGTCCTTTCTGCAAGACAAAGACGGTCCGCACAACTCACTTTGTACGGTGCCATCTCCAGTCATGCACACTCGCTGCTTCATCCCCCGTCAGACGATCCCATTCGAGCCCGAGGGCCAGCTCGCCTCTACGCGAACAAGTCGACGCGCAGGACGATGTTGGCGATGATCATGAGGCGACTGTGGCAAACCTCAGGCGCAGTCTCAAGCATGCTAACGCCAAAGCAGCTCAGCTGTCGACGCGCTTGTTGCAAGCCAGCGAGGACGGCGTCAGTCTGGCCCAGAGCGTGCTCAGGTTAGAGAACGAAACCGCGAAACACCAGGCAGACAGCTTGCGAGATCTCCACAGGATAGACCGCCTGAACGATCAGCTCGCTAGACAGACCGTGCAGCTCGATAAGCTGCGCAATCGGATCGCAGACAGCCGTACTGAGAAGAAGGATGCCGAGGAGGCTCTCGCAATGTACGTCACCTCCCCGACCATCTGCGGCTTAGTCTGATCCCCCCCGTCAGCCTGCGAGAGACGCACGCAAACGAGATGCGCGCACGGAACGAGGAACACAACAAGCACATACAGGATTCGCTTGTACACGAGGAGGAGCTCCGTGTCAGACTCGATGCCGCAGAGCGACGCCAGAAGGAAGCGTCCCATCGCGCCAATGCCATCGCGCACAGTGTCCAGGCGTACTCCAATCGTGTGAGCGCCGTCCCTCGTGCTTCCCGCGAGTTCGCAATCCTGATGAATTGAATTGCAGTGCGATCGATACAGACGCGAACGAGACGAGGCTCGTGCCGAAATCGCATCGCTAAGGTCTCGCGCTCTCTCAGACTCCGCCATAGACTCGTCCTTGTCGATATCGGTCAAGAGCGGCCGCGGTGCACTGTCGGAGCGCACCAACCTGGGCCCCGGCGTCAACACAATCATGCCTGCGGCAAGCTCATCGAAGAGGCGCAAGCAGTCGGAGAACGACCTTGAAGCAGACTCATCTGTCGCCGATACGTCTGCCTCTGTCGTACTTCTAGACCACAAACAAGGCGACGACTCCCTGCTCGTCGATGACATGGCACCTGATCCTGAATCAGATCTCATCATGATGGACAGCTTTGCGCGACAAGCTATCAGAATGCCACCCTTCATGACTTTCGCCACGCAGGCCATCCGCCCTAACGATAGACCGCGACCACGTCCGAAAGCCGTCGTTTCTGGCGAGCCAAACCATTCCAGAGACGGATTGAGCAGGACCACGATTGACAGGACAAGCATCGATCTGACCAAAGGCACAATCATGCTCGGTCCGAAGAGGTCGAGAAAGATCAAACAGCCCACATGGTGATGCACACTATTTTACAGGCATGTTGTTGTTCTCATCTACGCGCAAAGAAGCCGGATCTTGACTGCGCCGCCGGCTTAACTGCTGCCGCTTTCTGAAGTATTCGAACTAAGTCAGAATTATCGACTTCGCTCGGCGTATCCTGAGGCCGCACAAAGCGCTGCGAGGGCTGCAGAGGGTTCACATTGACGATCTTTGTCTTCTGTGTTTGTGTGCACTGCGACGAGCCGCCTAGCAAATTGCTTAGAGACGTCTGTCTCGCCAGCGGCTGGTCCATCTGCTTTAGCGGCAGTACGTGCTTCTGAGCCGAGTCAGCCTTGCGTGCCTTGAGCTGAGCAAAGACAGGCTTGGGCTTGAAAGCCTGTTGCGCGCTCCTTTTGCGTTCATTGGCTTCAGATTGCTGTACGCGCGCAGTTTCCGCCTCCAAGTGCGCTTTGCTCGTCTCTGCATGCCGTCTGGGCGAGAAGACTGCAACGTCAGTTGGATATCGGATCAGCATTGAGCAGTTCGCTTCGGGCAGCAGCTTTCTTGCAGAGCTTTCGGACCCTTGTGAGCCTGGCTCGCCTTCGTCGTCGCTGCCATGCTCAGAGACGGCTGGCCGTCTGGTCGGGGTGTCGGACACGACACTCGCTCTCAACTGCGAGTCCGATGCTTTCGCAAAGACGGACATCTCCGACCTGATGTCATCTTGTAGCGCCTTATAGTTCATCGGCGCATTCGAGTAGATCCTGCCCGGTCCGTTGTCTTGCATGACGTACGGCGTAGCAAGCGCGGCGGACGCTGCCGGCTCGATACCGCTTGTCCTTCGCATCTCGTCGATCGCGACAGACACCGGCTTGTGAAGCAGCGCTTCCTCCATTGTTGCACGCCAGCTCGATGCCTCGGACGAGTATCGTTTAGTGCGAGCGATGCGGGCATACGTAAGCACGCTCGACATCGACAGATTCTCTACAAAGCAGGCGAGCTCGGAGGGCTTGATGGCAAGCTTGAAGGCCATGTTGCCAGGCTGACGCTTTGCAAATAATCCAACAAGCGCATTTGTACAAGACGTGCCCCTCAAATCTGCGGAAGAGTAAGCCTTCTGCCTGCCTGCCTGTGCTTGTAGCTTACCTAGACACGAAAGGTGGGGCAAGGCTGCAAGTGCGACGATGTGCTTGTCCTCTATCTTGGGCAATGCTCGCACAGACAGATACTCGAGTAGACCGAAAGAGACGTATCGATTTGGATTGCCAGTGCATTCAGCGCAGCGTACTACATGCATGATACCTGCATCCGTCAAACGAGTGTAGTCGAGCCGTAGTGCCGCCAGTGAGAGCGAGACAGTTGGCTTGATGAGTGTGAGAATGTCAGAGTCGGCAAAGGCAGTCCTACTCAAATCGAGTGTTGTGATGAAGAAAGGCGCAATATCTAGCGATGCCGGCGTGTGTAGAATACGAAGTTCCTCCAGATCGTACAGATCCAAGCCGTGATAGGTTCGATGGCGTAGAGAGAGCTCGCATTGAGGGACCTCGCCATCCTGGTCGAGAGGAGTTGTGCCGTGCGTGAACGCAAACGTCGACCAGAGCGTGAAGCTCAAGACGGGGTCTGTACAGAGCGCATAATCGAGCTGTTCATCCAAGAGGGTATTGGCGAGCTTGTCGGGCAGCACAGCGACGCCGGAAGCTCGACAGAGCCCAAGGTCATTCAGGAAGCTCGGGTTGTACAGACTATCCGACAGCTTGTCCACGCATATCTCGTACAGAGTCTGTAACCGTCCGATCTTCTTGCGAGATACTCTAGGGCGCCTGCGATCCAGCACCGTTCTGCTCGTGCGTGAATGGCCACAATCGGCGTCGCTCAATACATCTCCAGCGCTGTTGATCTGCCAATTGCTCGCGAGCTTCTGCGATTGTGCCGCTGCAGCCTTCTTCCATCTGCGTTGTGGCGGCCAGGCCTGTCCGTTCCATAGCGGTGCTGCGACATCACGATCCATTGAGGGGAAGGAGAAGACGCAAAGGAGTCCGGACGCGACTTGCTATCGCGCTAACATCAATTCAAAAGAGACGCGTGCAGCCGCGTGCATTGATAAATCGTGAGGCTCGAAGACCCAGGAATCTACACCTCATCCGACATGACCGAGTCCCTCTGCTCCTGCTACAATCTGCCCGATGGACGCTCCCAGATTGCCCAGATCTGGTAGGGATTCAGCGCCTGGTCACCTCACACACAGTCAGGACTCACTGCCCGGGAAGCTGGAAGCGACAGTATTCGCGATTCCCTTGGCTAGCGTACCTGCAGCATTGCCATCATAGCTGCTTGATTTTGAGTATGTGCTAGAGCCTTCAGAAGCGCTAGAAGCCTCAGTAGAGGAACCTTCCTCGGCGCTGTCTGAGCCTTCCGGAGTGTTGCCGCACTGACCATGATGCTGCGTTGCGTCAGCGCTGTCCTCCTGTCACATGTTGACTGACATGATGGCGATGCTCGCCAAATGGCACGGCGAGAGCGACGGTGAAAAAGATCACGATTGCGAAGATTGACCCTCTCATCTCGTGTGTCAAATCAGAGGCGCAGATGCAATGCACGCTTTATGGCCCAATTTGGGCTCGTCATGCACGATGATCCTCTTGCATGTCGTGCCTTGTCACAAGACTGTGCTTGATCCGCGTAGGTCCGAGCGCTAGGTGAACCCGGCGTGCAAGACCTGCTCAGTCGGGTCGAAGGCTGCTGGCGGCACAGCGGACGTAGAAACAGGCGGAGAAACAAGCAATGGCTGAAGCTCAGGTCGTGGTGGCGCTTGAGGGCTCGGCTGCTGAGGAGCGGGTGGTATTGGGATAGGTGCGGAAGTAACGGGAACCGCCGCAGGCTTAGGAGCAGGTGGGATATCTGCTCCAGTTGTCCGCGTCGATTTTGATCCAGTTGCGACGGCAACAATTTGTGCTGGAAGATCGGCAAGGGCGGAGAACCCAAACGCGCGCGCAGACATTGAGATATCCGGATAAGGCGGAGCTTTCGAGCTAGGTGGGGCGCCGTCACCAGTCTCTGGTAAGACTTTCAGACCACCTAGCTCACTGCCTTGGCTCCGTTCAAGCGTCTCTCGCGTGACCATCTTCGATGCATTGATAAGCGCTTGTACAGTGGATCAAAAATTGGCTTACTTCAGCTGAGCAGGTGCAGGTCATCACCCAAAGCATCATTATCCAGATTGTACTTTGCATCGGTTATGACACCGAGACCGACGACCGGCAGATCGTACGAGGCGCTGCGTTCATGCTATGAATGGATGCAGTGCACGCTGAGTCTGGGAAGGCCCAAAGCGTTGACCCCTTGCCGAGTACGGGCAACGTCATCGGTGCTCGTGGGACGCTGCGGGATGCGTATCGCCGCCTGAGGAATAGAGCCGAAAGGCTGCTGAGCTAGCTGGCTGAGGATGTCAGGGAGAGCATGCAAACCATGACTCTCCAACATGCCAGGATCGATACGTCCAGAGCATCAGCACGAAGGCATATCATCCGTCCCATGCGTATGCCTTCTGTAAACTTGCACAGTCTGACATTGTCTCGAGTGTCGCATTGCATTATAGGTAACATCCAGCGTAATTTGCGCTCTAATTGATAATCTCTTTGGGTGGGGTATGGTGAGCAGGGGAAGGCGTATCGACTGCTGACTTCTCGTCCAATTTGGCTCCTTCCAATGAGCTCGCTTCGCCCTTCTCGTCGGCATCCGAGCTGCCCGGACCGTCTGCGCGAGCGAAAGCGAGCAAGGCCGCAATATCTTTCGGACCTTCGTAGTGGGTCCGCGCCCAGGCGAACCACCAGATGGCAGCGAGCAAGGCTACTATGGCAAGCACGACAACCTGTACGACACGTCAGCTTTCAGTGCAGAGTAGGACTGCTTACACATACCGCATAGTTCATTGTTGTGCCGTCGACGGGCAAGAAGGGCGGGAAAAGGAATAAAACGGTGGTATATACGATGAAGAGAACACCAAAGGCAGCGATGGGCGGGCCCCATGTATCTCCGAGGCTGAAAGGCGCTTTCCCCACCCCTGGTGGTCGAAGGACTCCTCTGCCCCTGAAAAGCAAGATCGCTACCGGAATAGAATAGGAAATGTTGAGTAGAATGACGCTGCTCGACAGGATGGCATTGAGTGCGGCAGACGAGCCTAAGAATATGCAAGCAAAGATGATCGGAATGAAGACACTGAGCACGATGGCATTGACAGGAACTTGCAGGCGCTTGTTGACCTTACCGAAAAAGTTGCCAAAAGGTATGATCCCGTCACGAGCACAGATCCACGTCACGCGTGAAGCTGCGGTCACAGCTCCCGTTGCAGCGAAAGCCTGACAGCCGATATTTATGACGAGAAGACAGATCGCGCCAGCCTTGCTGCTTGTTGCTTGGTAGTAGATCTGAAGTAGTGGGCCAGACGCGGCGGTAGTGACGAGATCGAAATCGTTCAGTGAGAAGAGAACTGCGATCAAGAAAAAGAACGATGTGAAGACGCCAATGAGGATTGAGTAAACCATCGTTCGAGGACCTTCTCGGGCGGGGTTTGGGATTTCCTGGCAGCCATCTGTCAAGTCATGAAATGCGGACTGAAAGGCACAAGCATACCTCCAGAACGTGGCAAACCGAATCGAAAGCTGTGAGACCAAACGCAGCCTGCAACAGACCAAGCTGCCATGCGAAGCCGTCCGGCCAGCCAGTCGCATTATAGAAATTTGTGAAAACGAAGCTGCCAGACTGAAAGTTGCCGGCAGCAGTCGAAAGTACGACGATCATGATGACAAACATGCCCGAGACAGACCAGATCAGTGCAGTCTTGTTGAGTAGCGGCAATATGACAATGCCGAAGATGTTGATCAGGCCAGCACCAGCTATGAAGACCACGTAGACCAGAAAGATATGCCACCTCTTGAGCTCATAATTGTCATATTGAAGGGCTATGATGTCTGTGATCAGAGTACCTGCAAGTGATCCGTTGGTCGAAGTCAATGCTTGCCAACCAATGAGCATGGACCACCCGGCAGCATAAGCGATGCCTCTCGCGTGCTCTGGCTTCGCGATGAGATAGCTGATGTGGTATTGCCCGCCGACCGTGGGATAGACGCTGAGCAATTCACCGAGGGAGGCGGCGATAGCCCAGGTAGCCAGACCTGCAGGAACTATGCCCCAGAGCACAGCAGTGGGTCCACCGGAGCTGATAGAGACGCTCAAAGAGGCGGCCATGGCTGTCCAGCTGTTGAGGATGGCGAAGCCGAGACCGAGAAGCGACAGGAAGGAGAAGCCTTTGCGCAACTCGGCTTCCTTTGCTTTGTCGTGTACATCGATGTGCGCCATCTCTGTCTGTGTGTGACCGAGATTGCCGGGCTCGTTTGATACGACTGGGCGAACTTCGGATGTGGTGGCCATGACGCGTGTCCCTTTTGGCTGCGCAACCGATGTGATGCTCGTCTAGTCGATGCGCAGGATACCAGTGCGTCTCAGGGCTCCGCACGGTGCGACAAGGGTGAGTGGACGGCCAGAGTTGGAGTCGTGCGGTTCGAGATAAGAGGAAAGCGAGTCACGCGCCGGCTGGGCCTCCCTTCTTTTTTTATTTTTTTTGGATACGCATGTCGCGTGGGGAAGCTGGAGGGGTCTTGCGGAGCTGCTTGTCCGTCGAGGAGGATCTGCAAGATGTCAGGGTACCACAGGCAAGTATCCGGACAGCGGCCGCACAGGTCTGTTCGGCTCTGAATGCGCAAAGTTTGCAAAAATGGTCCGACGAGCTGCTTCATCCTCGACCTGACCTTCATGCGGAAGACTTCATCGCCTCCTGGATCTTCCTCGTCTCCGTGCTCAACTTCTCTTTCTGGTCTGAGCGCCAAGAGGGTCGATATGCCGTGCAGTGGCGTTCCGGCTGCGACGGCAAGGGCGACGAGACCAAGCTGCATACTGGCTATTGGTCCTTACTAGCTTGTCTCCATCGAGCCAGGGAGGAGCAAGGAGACATCATTGTATGGCCCAAATGGTATGCAAACGCTAGCGATGCTCAGCTCGCGCATCTCTTTCGCAGCGACTCGCCCGAAGAGATCCCGCTGCTTGACGAGCGCATGAAAGTGATGCGAGAGGCTGGTCAGGTGCTGCTCGAGGTACGTACAGTGGGCGAGCTCATCATCGCAACTCATGCATGCTCAGCAGTCATACAAAGGCACGTTTGTCAATATGATCCAAGAGGCACAGTGCTCTGCGACGCGACTCGTACAGCTGCTCACTAGTCAGATAGCAAGCTTTGACGATCGTGCAGAGCTGAACGGCAAGCAAGTGTTGCTTCACAAGCGTGCGCAGATCTGCGTGGCAGAAACATGGTGAGCTTTGCTCCCAAGCCTGGACCAGACAGTCGACTCACTGCGACACGACCACGTAGGGCTGCGTTCGGAGGCAAGGGGCTCGGACGGTTCGATGACATAGACGAGATCACCTGCTTTGCCGATTACCGAGTTCCGCAGATGTTGCACCAGCTCGGCGCGTTGGTTTACTCGGACGAGCTCATCACCAAGCTCGAAAATTTGGCTAACATGCCGAACAAGAGTCGGGAGGAAGCCGAGATCCGAGTCGGCACGATACTATCGGTCGAAGCACTACGAGCAGAAGTAGCAAAGCGGCTGGTGGACGAGCAACGCAAACCGCCTAATGCCATCGAACTCGACTTTTACATCTGGACACTCGCAAAATCAAGGGAGAGTGCAGGAACGTTGACGACGCTGCCACACCATCGCACCCGGTCTTGCTACTACTGAGCGCATACATTGGTGCACACTAGACGAGACATACAGTCTACTGAAAGGCAACGTGCTCTAACGCGATACAGTGGGCAACCTGCTATAGGGCAAATGCAGAGATCTGAGCGAGACGAGCGACTTGAGACTGCCCCCTCGACTGTAGAGAATGGTACTGGCAATGACGAGAAGACCGCCAAAGACTGCGCCTGGTGTGATGCGAAAATCGAACATGACTGTCGACACGACGAAAGAGAGCAAGATGCTCAGTGAGGTCGCAAAGCCTTTCGCAATATTGTCCGCATACTGCAATTGCACATGAGCGCAGCAAAACTGTGACTCTTGCCCGAGCTCACCTTGATGACACAAGCGGCGAGGAGTCCGCCAACAATCTGAAGCAGGACTACAAACCAGACGACGGGCGAGAATCCGTCGAGGAAGCTACTGAAGCTGCCCGATAGTGGCGCGAGTGCGCGTGGGAGATCCTGTAGCGAGACAGACAATTTGCTGTTCTGCGCATCCCACCACCATGGACTCGAATCTTGGGTCCACATTGCTAATGCTTCCCGGTTCGATTCGAAGATGACAATGACGAGACTCATTGCGAGTCCAAAGATGGAAAGCTGGACATTGCGGACCCATAAGCCGCTCGAGCGTGGTGACGATGTCTCAGCCGTCACGTTGACCATGCTCGCGTCCGAAGTAGCTTGAGCCGTTTGAGCAGGTCTTGCCAGTGCAGGACTCTTGAGACAACGCTCGAAGAAGGTCGAGGCGAATCCGCTGGACATGCAGGCGAGTGTGACAGCAATGAGACCGACGAGCTGGTTCATGCCGTCGTTCGAGGTGCCGTCTGAGCCTTTGTCGTGCGAATCGTCGCGGGCGGAAAGCTGAACGGCGCCAACACCGAGCGAGAGTATCAAGAGCGATAGCCACTGTACGTTGCTCAGACTTCGCTGCAAGAGCAGCACAGAGCAGAGCGCCGTCGTCAAGATCTGCACAAGTATGAGCTGAATCATGAACGTGCTGGAGAAGGCTCACCTTGAGCTGATAGGTGATTTGGAAGAGAGGCACGGATAGGTTGGATGCGGCGAGGTATTGCAGGTTGTTTTGTATTGTGAACATGATAGCAGGCACAGCCAAGAGCCACCAGCCATGGCCAAAGACTTGCAACTTGAGCTGTGACAGGGTAGTGGTCCAATCTGGTGGATGACGAGGAGGAACGGCTTTCTCGTTGCCGGAAGCGAGATCAAAACTGATACTGCTGCCGTCTGACGGTGTCGTCTCCGGCGTGATACTCGAGTTGTCCGAGCTCGAAGACTTTGGCCCGTCACGCGAATTGCTCCGACTCGACGTGCTTTCGAGAGATCTCGCACGAGAATACGATGGCAGATCCGAGCCCGATAGTCGCTTGAGTAGCAAACTCGAGTCAAAGGCAGTATGCGCGCGAGAATAGCCCATGTGATCGCGCGTCTCCCGGGTCACATCGCGCAGCGCGAGCAGAGTACTCAAGACGAGCTTGCCAGCTTCTGTAAGTACGACGGCAGACGAGGCCTTGTAGTTGGGCACCGTAGGATCTCTGTGTACTCGCGAGTGATGCATGAAGAGCGTCAGGGCCGAATAGTGTAGAGCAAGCGCAGCGAGCGAGAGAGATCGAGGTGAGATCCAGGAGGAGCCCGCTCCTGAGTCCGCTAGCATATGCGCGCTTTCTGACAGCCGCGAGACGAGTGTGGGCCGTACGTAATGGCGAGTGGCAATGGGGGATGTTATGGGATCCAATGCGCCCACATCATGGGGAGGATTCGCTACTTGCTCTTGATCTGCGTGCAGCTGATACAGCCTGCGAGACTGATCACGGGAGGGCGCGATGGGTGGAGTGCGATAGGTGCTCATGCCATGCTGTTCGCGTCGCCTAGCAGCAATATGGTCAGCAACGCCCTCGTCGCTTTTGTACGCGCCGTCGCCAGTGGATGGGGCTATGTTCTGCAAAAGTCCGCTGAGTGGTATACTTGATACAGATACGTCCCGAGATCTCCGTCTGAGATGGCCCGCAGCCCGTTCGGTCGGACTGTTCGCGTTGGCCAGCTTGACGACCTTGGCATCGACTTGGCTCCCTCTCCTTGGCGTCTGCGCGCCGCTCCTCTCTGGCTCTGCACTCGTGCTTGCTCGAGCATTGCGCCCGTCGTATGACGCCATCGTTGACGGCGTCTGTCCCTGAATCGCAGCAGGAGCAGCTCGTGGGTGCGCGAACAAAGTGACGGTCGCCGGTCGTTCTTATGTTGACAAGGCGATGCGTGGTTGCTCCGCCTGTCGAGCGGTCATAGGCCACCGGTGCACCGCTGCTTGCTATTTCCGAGTTAACCAGGCAGTGTTGTGGCGTCAGTTGCAGCTGCTTGCCGGCCTGCCGCGGTGCGATCGTCATGCGAAACGCGTCGTCCTTTGCTGTTCCGCCGAAAAAGAGATGCCACACAAGCGAGCCAAGAAGAGCATTCGAGATGTGCAAAGCCAGCAAAGGTGCATCGCTTCTTCCACGCCGCGAGTATGACAGAGCTGAGTTGAAAGATTCAGGGGCAATGACCTGCCTCCGAGCGAAAAGACGACCCAAGGCAGAAAAGATCTCGGCGGCCTGTCCAAGACGATGTACAGGGTATTGAATGCCGAGAAGATACGCAACGAACGCAGGCAGAGGTTGGCCAACGCTACCGAGCCCGCTAAGGATGCAGAGACACGCAGCGCTGTGCAATCACGGCAAGCTCTCAAGGTACGCACCGCCGCCTTGACGATGAAGCATGTCATCTTATGCTTCAGTCTACTGCGTACACAGGCCAAGGCAAAGGAGCTCAAGCAGCTACCCGGAGAAAGCGACAGGCAGTTCAATTTGCGAGTGGAAAACACACTTCAGCCCGGCATCCTCAAGGCGATGCGTACTTCGAAAGCCAGGGCGAAATCAGACAAAGTCGTCGCCCACAAGAAGACGGCCAAGCAAGCTGCTCCGGCGACAGAAGCACTCAATAGTGAGCAAGCCTCGGACGAACAAAAAAAAACCATCAAGACTTTTGCGACTGCACAACCGAAGCGACTGAACGACGTTGTGCAGGCACCGCCTACATTCACCAAGATGCCCAGAACGGCGAGTATGACCACTCAGGCTTCTCGTCTGCCCATCTCGTTGTCTCAACAAGAGGCAATCCAGCATGAGCGTCAAAGGGCAATCGAGCATTACCGATCCCTCAGGGCTGGTCAAGCTCACTCTCTTCATCATGCAACCTTGCCGAATATTGCGCCAGCATGACGTTTGCATCATCGCTCTCGCAGACCTATCAACGTCTTGGTTGCCCACGACATCCATCGGCCAAACATGCCTTGCTGCAGATTGATCAGCAAGGGCTCTGCGCCATACGTGGCAAGCAATAGCCCCGCGAGACCGACGGCGGCCAGCATGAGCGTCTGTCGCTGCCATGCCAAGTCTTGACGGAGCGGTCGCGTCGGTGCTGGCTTGTCTTGCTCTTCCGCTGGCGGCGGGTAGACAATGTCGGCATTGCGACGCAAGATCTCTTCCGCCTGTTCGGCGGGAATAGGTGGGCCAGATACCCGCCATGTATAGACGGCACTGCAAGGTCCCAGTATCTCCTTGGCGCGCACATTCGGTCCATCGAAAGGATACCGAGCATACAGGTCGAGTGTGCTATCGAGGATGTCTTGCAATAGGATGCCCTTGCGCTTTGCCGATGGAAGTGGTGGCGTCAGAGGCGGTGTGGGCATGAGGGCGGGTACATCGATGTCCGGGTCACTGTACAGACCTTCGTCATTGTTCCCATCCTTTGGCGGCGGCGACATGGGCAAAGGCTCCTCTGGCTCGAGCAGCAGTACAGGCATTCGAGCGAGTGTTGTATGCAATACCGCCGGATCGTCTGCCAAGTCTGGATCGATCTCGTCTAGATCGCCCTGTTTCGTGAGCAATATCTGCACCGCAACATGAGCTAAGGCAGTGTGATAGGCGAGACTGCTCACGGCGACGCCAAAGTAGGCTACTAAGATGGGGTTGTGCGCGAATAAAAAGTCAAATAGCCGTGCAGATACGTCGAGAGAGGTGATGTCGTGTGACATCAAGCAGAGGACCCATGAGAGTGAGAAATAGGGTAACGCAGATGCTCTGATGCCCTGTCAGCTTTGGTGCGCGTATTCCACAGGATCAACGCACAGATTGACGACTTGAGACAGGGCCGGCGAAGCTTGGTCGAGTATGCGCTTGAGTACCCTGCGCATGATCTGGCTTGGTAAGGATTGCGCTGCAGGCAGTAGGCCATACCTGAGATAGCCAATGACCGGATCCATGCCGAATCCCATGGAGTCGCGGATATGGTAAAGACTGAGATGCTCGACGCATTCGATCGTGTCTTCCACGTCTTCCAGGCTGAGCAGAATGACAGAGACGATGTCGTGGAAGCCCTGCACAGGTGTATGAGCTTGAGAAACTGACGCATGTGATCTCGCTCGCCTGGAAGTAGCTCAAGGCAGGATGTCTGCGAAGCGTCGAGACGATGACTGTGTTCAAGTCTTTTTGCAGCTCTTGCTTGCGAGCTGGCGTGGCATCTGTGCTGATCTTATAAGCCGAAGTAGTAGTGTGGGGCAGCATGACTCGCTCTGAGGGTAGTATATAAAGCTGCGGTTGACGTCCATAGCCACTTGACCTTCGTCTCTGTGCGGTGTCACAGGCTGCTCTGATGGTGTAGCACCATCATCAGAGGATGCCTTGTCCGTGTCAGGCTTGCGCCGTCTCGGTCCTGCCGTGGCAGACTGGTTGGTACTTGTGGGTAGAGTGCCCCCGAGCAATAGAAGCCTGAAGAAGGGGCATCCTCAGACACGGATGACTTTGCTAGCGACTCAGTAGACGTACCAAGCCTGAGAGCGTAGACCGGAAGCAGAGAAGCCGTTGTCTCGGCTTGCAAGTCGACGCAACGCAGCCACGTCTCGCCGATCTATCGCTGCTCGCACCGCCTCGTCGTGATTGAGCTGCGAGTTGAGAGCTTGCGCAGTGGGTGTTGAAGCCGCCATTGGCAGACTCGTCCCGGTTCCGCGACGTAAGCGCTACGATAGGCTGCGCCTTGGGGGTCGAGCCGAGACCACGACGATAGAATCGATGACGCGACAGGCGCCAGCGCTCCAAGCCCGAGGCTCACTTCGCGCCCATAGGCTTGCTCGCTCAGGTCCCGCGTCAACGTCAGACACGATGCACAATGTGCATGCGATGCTTCCTATCTAGACGCGCAAAGCTGGAGCCGAGATGACTTGATCCAGTCCATCCATACGGCATCGAGCTTATCCGCGCAAACTCGTGGTCCTTTCGACATCCTCTGCGCCTGCAATTCAGCTGTGTAGCGATTGATACTTGATATAGCGATGGTCAGATGCTCTCAGCAGCGCGAGGCTTATTCTGTCCAATGTAGTGCACGCACTTAGCGATCACCGCGCAAATTCGTAAAGATCTGGTCAAGAGCAATCCATCATACCCGCGCCAGCTGATCGAGGCTGCTCCAGTCGCAAGATATCTTGCATGATGTAAGCGGCAGCGTACCTTCTACGACTGTTACAATGGCTGAACACGGCGAGGCGAAACGCCGTCTCTACAGGTAACAATGTGGCGAAAGTCAGGGCGCATTACTTCTGTTCGTGAGCTGAACCAGGCACCCGCAGGTGATCTCAGTCATCCTTCATTCTAGTCATGTATGTAGCACCAATGTCGTTACAAGGCCTGCTTTAGACCGTTGCATGATCCTTCTCGGTCAAGCGCATGGAGTGGCGTCGCATGAATGACGCGCAAGATTGTGATAAGCTAAGCTGACCGCCCTCCTCTGGACTAAGATGTCGCTCAATTCGTCGGGTGCGTGCAGTCTGTGACTGCTGCTTGGTAGTGCTGAGCGAAGCATCAGAACTCAACCCTAGCCAGGGCGTCGACATTCCAAAGGGTATGCCCCGCTTATCACTCAGAGACGAGCAGCTCTAAACACACAATGTCTCAGGTCTCATGAACCCGACTGACAGCAGCGTGTATGGCGACAAGGTCAAAGACAATGACACTACGCAAAGTGCAGTTGACTACCAAGCCATGGCCGAGCGTGCCAATGACGAGTCTGCCAATAACATTGGCGCAGCAAAGATTGCGCCCCTCAATGCCAATGACGAAGCCGAAGAGGCGAGCACGACGGGTGTGATGGGCGATAGCGTCAGCTCGACGATCGACAGCGTCATTGACTCGGTCAAGAAGACCATCAGCTAAAGTTTTGCGTGCTAGTATTTATTTCGACAACAGCAAAAGAAAGTGACAAGTGTGCTACTTCTTTGGAGATGCAAAGAATGACGTGATCTTCTGAGGCTTGCCATGCCCATCATCCTCATCGTCGCTGATCTCCAGTGGTTGCTGAACCCGCCGAGGTGTGTTCTTCCGCGCCTTCTTGGCGGGTTTCTCGTCTGTCTCTACATCACTAGAGCCAAGCTCGATGACTTCTTCCTTCACACGCTTAGCAGCAGGTGTAGGCGATTTCTTGATGCTGTCTGCGAGCTTATCGCCTTCGTCTGGATTGAACACCAGACTGGCTTTCTCGTCACTTGGCGAAGCTGCTTTGACGGACCGCTTGCCTTTGTCCGGACTGGTGGACGCCTGCTTTGCGAACATGGATGCAATGTTGCCTTTCCGTTGGGCGACTGGCTTGATGAAATCAGGAGAGTTGTTGCCCACTTTGCCCACTTCGGGCGGCACGGCATAGCTGCAGCATACGTCAGCTTGGCGGATTGACATCTTGATCGATGAGCTACCAGTCCAGTGGACGATCTAGCGGCTTGAGAAGTGCTGCGACTTTCGCATCCCAGGGATGATCAGCGTCAAGCCAAAGCTGTCGAGCTTCCTTGGTGGCAAGAATGACGGGCATGCGATCATGCAAGAAGTTCAGTTGATCGTTCGATGCCGTCGTGATGATGGTATAGCTCATCACGGCCTCCTGCTCACCCTCGTACCTCACAGAATCCCAGAATCCCGCAAAGCACATCAGCCTGTCGCCCTTCATCTTCGTGAAATGGGCCACTTTGTCCTTTGCGCCCTTTTTCTGCCATTCGTAGAATCCCTCGGCGATGACGATGCACCTCTTGTGTCGCATGGAAGTCCACATCCCACCCGCGCAGACTGTATCGTCGCGAGCATTGATAGTCTTGAGCTGACCGACTTTGTCGGCGCGCTTCATCCAGTGCGGGATCAGTCCCCATACTGCCGCGGTGGTCATCTCATTGGCCGGTGCACTCTTTGAGGTTGCTCTCTCGTGACCCTCAGCGCCATCGTCGTTGTCTTCGCTCGACGGCGAGCGTGATCGACGGATGATGGGGTTGTGCGTTCGTGGAGCGATATTGTACCGTCCGGCCTCGTAACGATCGCGATCGGGCCATTGAGTGTCCTCGAGACCTTCTGTACCATCGAGCGCGGCTACGAGCTCCTCTGCATCGAGCCCGAGCGCATAGCGTCCGCACATTCTGGCTGGACGGAGATTTTGCGGAGCGTTGGCGCGCAGAGGGTTTCATGAAGGTGCGCACGTGATCGAGGGCTGTCTCGCGCGTGACTGCGGTTGCCATTGTTCTATCCGACGTTAGCAGAGACAATCAGATCAGCTCAGCGTTTTTCAGCAAACACCGCATTCTCACCTATACGCCTCGACAGGCAGCGATACCCACATAGTGTCCGACGAGGTGTGTCCGAGCTGTTCGAGCTCTGACCTCGACTGCAAGCTCATTGCTATTGTCCCGGTCAGCAAAAAGTTCCTCTGTCTCGACAACACTCTCTTTTGCCCGTCCGTTGCTACTCACTTGTCTGCGCTACTCCGAATGCTGATGTCAGTCCTGATGACAGCTTTGCATCCTCTAGAGTCCGTCCTTTTGCCAAAACACGCCAGGCTAGCCTTATCGACGCATACATCAGGCAACAACAAGCCATGGTTCGGTTATCTACACTTGCGCTAGGCCTAGCCACAGTCACGGTCGCTTCTGCCGGTCTGCTCGGTACGACACCCAATCACAAGTCGCTCAGCAAACGACAAGCGAATCAGGCCCTCGATCCTGCAGATGTGCCCTGGTGGGCCTACGACGCCGACGCACTCTACCATATCAGGTCAGCCTTGTAGCTCACAAGATAGCACTATAACTGACTCTGGAAGACAGGTATCACTGCTGGCTTTCAATGGCAGCTTATGCCGACTACGACACTGTTTGCCCGACTGTCTTTACCTACGACTCTCTTGGCAAAGCTGGCGGCGATACAAGCCAAGCTCCGTGGACACCCATTGGTGCTTTCTACACCGAGAGTGGTCTGCAAGGTTATCAAGTCATCATTCCCGAGAGTAAGTCTCGCGCTCTTCAGGGACAGTCTGTTGCTCATAGCGCAACAGTGGACAAGGTTGTCATCGTCTTCAGAGGGCTTTACGGCTGGGAAAGCTTGCCTTCCGAGCCCTCGTCTCTCGAAGCACTCAATCTCGGTTCGGGCTGCAGCAATTGCACTGCGCATACCGGCGCACTCAATCTCTACCTCGAAGCCAAGGCCGCCACCAACAATTGGGCAGCTGCAAAGGCAGCAGTCGCATCAACCGGTCACAAGTTCTCTGTGACAGGTCATGCTTTCGGCGGAATGGTTGCCCAGATTGCCGCGCTCGACTTGGGCTACAGCGGCAATGTTCACTACTCTCACTCGCAAGGCGCGCCCAGAGTCTTCAATGCGCCTGCTGCTGCTTTCTACGACAACCTCTTCCAAGGCGAATCAAGCCAGCGTGCAGTCGCCAACAATGACTCCGTTGTTGCTACCATTCCGGAATCGTCCAACTACACCTTTGCCGGTACCGGCGTATACCTCTGGGGCTACAATTCGACCGTGAGTTTCTTGCAAAGTCTCTCCTGATCTTGCTGATGGTAATGGCAGTACGGCATGAACATGGAGATGTGCTGGTACGACAACGAGAACCCACAGTGTGCAGGTGGCACCGTCGCAAACGACAGCTACTACTACTTTACATCACGTAAGCCACTGCTACTTCTTCATCGTACGCTGAGACTGACAATGACTCGCAGTCGGATCCTGCGGCAATTGGACGGTCGACATTGCACAAGAAGAATACCTCGTCTCTTCCATGAGCGCTGCCTACGCCGCCACTGCAGTCCCGACGACTACATCGAGTGCCAACCTGACGACGTCCACGTCGATCATGTCGACGAGTACGAGCACGACGCCCCTGCCGACCACCACGAGCACATCCACTTCCGCGTCTATCCCGGTCACGACGATCACGGTCCAGCCGAATCAACTAGCCTCTTCGACTGCGATCGCACAATCCACAGGAGCAGCACCAGCAACGCTTGCACTAGACTCACTGACTTACACCGCTGTCGCGCTTTTCGCGGCGAGCTGTGTCGGCTTTGCGACCATATTCTAGATGGGCATTCAAGTATGATACCTGCCTCGCATTCGCACCTTCGTCCTTTCCAATCTAGAAACACATTGCTTGGCATGTATTGGCACAACGAGATGGACACTATTTGACGCAACAACAGCTTGTGTGATAATGATCTACTTTTGCGATGAGAGCGATCTGAAGAATTCATTGTAGGCGTGCTCGATGTCGAAGAGCATCTGCGAGCCAGCTTAGGGGTAGAGACTGGCTCGTACCAGACAAGACGTACTTGACGACTTTGCTCTTCTGTGATCTCCTCGCTGGCACGCATCTGATTGAGAGTGATAAGCCAGTGGAGGATCTTGGGCCGGCCTTCCCACTCGTTGCTTTTCGGAAACTTGGTGTAGCCGCTCATGAGCTCGGTCATGATGGGATGAAGCTGATCTTTTGCGCGTAGCTTGAGCTTCAGTGCATCCATGAAAGTGATGAAATTCTGCCTTGTCCGCTCAGCCGGTGCACGCAATACGATATTGTCTGACGCACCTGAGTCGTCTCTGCAATCCATTTGGCAGTCTCAACGCCTTCATCGCCACTGTGTTCGACCGTGGCAGGTACACCAACGCGCAGACGGTGGACAGCAGCCGTCACATCCATCTGAGCAGCGCATCAGGTCGCGTCTTGGGTCGCTCGAGTCGCTTACCCTGTACTCTGCAACGAATGCATCAAGAGATTGTATCGCATCACCGATGACTTTGAGCACAGTCTTGTACTGCGCAAGCAGTCGGGTGCAAGCCGGCGTGTATCTGTCGCAGGCGAGTCTCAGGACGATACGTGGCCGAATGGAGCAGAAACAGACTGTGCAGGCGGTACGCTGTCCCTGATGTAGGCGCGTTCCAAGTAGTCGAGACAAGTGATCAGCCCAAAGAGAGTCGCGAGGTTCCTGAGCAGATTGGGACATGAATCCTGGGCCACGCAGATGAGGTCATCATCGATCACTGACTCGTAGCGCTCCCTGTCGGCGTTGGTCGTGAAGAGGCGCACCTCCTGCGAGCAGCGCCCCTGCATCAGCTGAGCTGCAGATGTCAGAGGCTGGTCTTGCCTCGTCCAGATTGAGCATAACGCCGCCAGCGTCGGAGCTCTGTCGCGAGCTTGGCGCTTGCCGAGTCGTCGACTTGTCGCGAATGTGGAGTGAGACCCAACAGTCGACCGTCCACCTACGACGACACGATCGAGCGATGGGCCTCGTCATCGCTCAGCGTGCACCGGAGCTGCTCAGCCTCCGCGAATCGCTCAAACGCTACCGAAGCACAGGCGAGCCGCTTGAGCTCAACGGCCACAGCGACGACGAGCCCAAAGTGCTCATCTCCTACCCTTTGCCATCCCTCTCGCTGCTCTCGCACGTCGGTATCTCCTCGCGGCCCGATGGAGGCTTACAAGCCAGCTCGCCGAGCTCAAGGACACGCTCGAGCCCGCGCAAGAATGGTCTGACGACGGCAGGCAGCATGAGCGCTCGACCGGCCCTCTTGACGGCAGACGATACCTCAGGCAGCAACAGCAGGCAGAGTCCGGCTTCATCTTCTTCATATGAAGCTGTAGAAGCTGTGCCGCTCCATGCGGGCATCAATCTGGACGATCCTCCGACGCCTCGTCGACGGCAGCTAAGCGAGCAACGAGAACCCCAGCACGTCAGACAAAAGACGCAACGACGGGCGGCCTCCCGCAGGGTAGCAAAGCCAATTGTGGAGCTGAGCAGAGAGAAAGGCAAAGGCAAAGCGCTACAAGATGCTTACCCTGCGCGGCGACTACTTGCCGTCTCGACTGAGAATCTCGATGCAGAGGCATATCCACTCATCCTCGTCACCGGCGGTGCAGGCTATCTGGGCTCTCACACTGTGCTCGAGATTCTCCAAGAGGGCACGCACGGCGTCGTCGTCATCGATAATTTGGGCAACTCACAAGCAGGCTCGTCACTGCTGTCTCGTCCTCCATGAACCATCCTGACGAGACGCTGCGCAGAGGTTCTCAGACGCGTGAGACTGCTTGCACGAGAGCATCACAAGGCATCAAGCAGGTTACGGAAATGCGATCCTCCGCTCTACTTTCATGCGGCAGACATACGCAGCGAGGCAGCGATCGAGCGCGTCTTTGAGCACTATGCCCTTTCGCCCCTCTCGCCTCTCGTTCCTACCATACAGAGCTTCGGCGCGGCACCTCCCGCAACCACACAAACCCAGTCTGGCATCCCACGAAGCTCTCGTATCGTCTGTGCCATCCATTTTGCCGGCTTGAAATCTGTGCCGCTTTCTACGCTCGACCCGCTTTCCTATTATTCTACCAATATCTCCGGCACAGTCTCGCTCTTGAATGTCTTGACGCGGTGGAATGCCAAGAGGATCATCTTCTCGTCCAGTGCTGCCATCTACGGAGCAGACTGCGAAGGACTAGCCATCAAGGAAGACGAATGCTTGATCGGTGGCAGGGGCACCGGTGGCAAGGGTATCACGAACCCGTACGGACGGACGAAGCTCATGTGCGAGGAGATCATTGGCGATCTCTGCAAGAGCGACCATCAGTGGAAAGCTGTGCTGCTCAGGTGCGTTCCTAACGACTTTATGCTTGCGTAAGCTGACAAGTAGGCGCAGATATACGAATCCATCAGGCAATCATCCGTCAGGCTTGATAGGCGAAGATCCGGCAAAGGCTTCGTCGCTCCTACCACTTGTCAGTCATGTCTTGACAAAACGGCGCGAACACGCCTGTATTTATGGGACCGACTACGATACGCCGGACGGCACTGTGCGTTGGGCTTGTTCCACATGCACAGTATCTCTGAACGCTGGCCACACAGGGCGTACGAGACTTTATACACGTCACCGACCTGTCGAAGGGTCACTTGGCGGCCATGAAAGCATTCGACATGTCTGCGGATCCTATGACGGCTCACTGCCGGACATACAAGTACGTGCAACAATGTTTATGCAGCCAACACTGATGATGGCACAGCTTGGGAACAGGTCAGGGCGCATCGGTCGTCGAAATCATCGAGACACTTTCAACAGTCGCACAGATGCCTATCAAGACGCTTCTCGCTCCGCGCAGACCAGGTGACCTGGGCTGCGTTGTCAGTGATCCCACACGAGCACAAACAGAACTTGGCTGGCGAGCCGAGCGAGGCGTCGTCGAAATGTGCCGCGATCTCTGGGGTACGTCCTCTGTGCCTCGTACGAGGCTTGCGCTGACAACGGACTGTAGTGTTCGCTCAGAAGAACCCAGAAGGATACCCACCGACACCTGCCGGCTTGCGTGTCGATGCAGCGAACGGCAGAATCGACGTACAAATCAAGATCGACGACGAAGCTAGCTGATATGCGCATTAGTACGTATGCAAACTTCGGACTTGGATGCGACCGCTCGCCACCCCAACACATCCTGACTCATTTGTGACACTGGCGTGAAGGCAAGTCGCTGTAGATGCAGTCCGAATTATGGAGATGCTATCAATTTACGATGCGTACGTGGCGTTTCGTGCAATCAGGGAGGCATTTGCCGTCATGGCCCTGAGTAGGCAGGAACGTCACTGTCAGGGATTGGCTTGCTGGACTCATCTTGAGCTTGCCTGCGCCTGATCTCACTATAACATGCGTGTTTCCGATGAGTCCTGAATGTGCAAATGCTCATAGATCGCCTGCACAGGACCTCTCTCTCGCCCGTCGCGAATGCATCATAGTCCTGACCCTACAGGTCTCGTCGTCGGAAGACTTGCCAGGTATCGGCTAGGCATCGACTTGACTTTCCCTTGCGGACAGCTTTTGAGGAAGGTGCAACTTTTCCGGGGGACTTTATACCCCAAATTCCACGCGCCAGTGGCCGATGTGGGGTTCCGCGCGTTCGTCACTTGCCGCGCTGCTGGCGGCACTGCCATGCAGACCTCGCAGCTCGCGGCCCGATGCTCCTCGTTTCCCTGCACTTGTCTAGGCTCTGGATCGATCGATGTCATTCCTTGAATCTCGCATTACTTGACGGCTAAGCTGTGCGCCATGCACTCGGTAGATAAATGAGTACGAGCCATTTTGACTCTGCTTTACATATTGCGCTCGGTTTACTGCTTCACGTATATCATATACAAGGACGACATCATCTCAAGACTGGCGATCCCTCTTGCAAACGTTCAAGAGAGTCGGACGCCTCCCACTGGGCCGAGCAGAGGCCTAATTCCCAGACCGCGCGGGCTTTCTGCTCAGCTTGACTCAGCTATTTGCCACTCGCTCAGATGCTGCACGTAGACCTGCGGCTGCGATGGGTCTCTCGTATGCTGCAGATGCTGAAGAGGGATTGCAATCCTGCAATTACGTGGGGCAAACGTCCGTCAGGCTGAGAAGGGCGAAGACCCGGCTAAGGTCCCGTCGCTTCCATCTCTTGTCAGTCATGTCTTGACTTAAGCGCACGAAGATACTTGAAAGGATTGAATTCGATACGCCAGGTAACATTGTGCGTTGCGACGGAAACCTGCATGCCAAGTACATCGATGCTGGTCACATAGGGCTTTCGACATTTTATGCACATCACGGCTTGTCGACGGTCTGATCAAGATCAACGACGAAGCCATTTGACTTTCACCCGCAGAAGTCAGCTCTGATCAGTGTTCACAACGAGTGTGGAAGCAAGCCATCGTAGATGCAGTACAGATGCTACAAGTGCTACAGATTTGCGATGCGTACGTGGGAGGGCGTGCGATTAGGAGGCATTTGTCGTCATGGCTCGAACGATGCAGGAACGTCTACGGCAGAAATCGGCTTGCTTGAGTCACCTTGAGCTTGTCTCCGTCTATCTAGCAAGTCATCGTAGTACGTCACGCCCTCGCCATCATCCGAGACTTGAGTGCGCGAAGGTGGCCTGAGACCGTGCGTGATGATGGGACGCAGCGATTGTCTCGACCGCCTTGAATGTGTGGGCAGGATTTCATAGCCTTCCATGCCAAGCGCTTCGCGCTGGTTCGCCACTGGCCATCGTATCCTGCCGGTCCAGCCTGCCCAGCTGAGCGCGACAACAACACAGATGGCGAAGAGGACGCCAGAGATGATCGACAAGCCAACGGCGTAGACTGATGTCCACGCTAGCAATCTCTTGATCAATTTTGCATCGTCCTGTGCGCGCGAGTCAGCCATGTACCATGGGCAAAGGGCTCAAGACTGACCTGATGCCAACTCGAGCTACCGGCATGCTCGAAGAGCGGCGTTATAACCCGTCCAGATAGATGGTGAAACGGCTCTGTGAGGTACTTGAGCTGACTACGATGTTTGTAGCGCAAGTGCTCCGCAGAGAGGAACATTGGTCCTGTGCTGAACATGATGCTGGCATAACTGACCAAGAAATTCAGGTCATAGAGCGGCAGCGCCTTGATGAGTTGGGCAAAGAAGGGATGCCTCGGTGCTGCCATCATGAAGCCATTCGAGACGCCTGAAGGGGTCGCGCCGATCATGACGACCTCGAAAGATCTCAGCGGGCCCAGACCTCGCCTGCAAGTCAGATCTAAATCGAGGAACACGCCGCCGTAGTGGTAGAGCACGAAATAGCGCAGTGCATCCGCTCGTTGGATGACGTATCGATAGCCGAGATATTGTCTCATGAACCAGGGGTAATGGGTCGTGAGGAAATGAGTTGCTTTGTCGTCATCCCATAGCATCGTCGTCCAATTGTGATGCATATCCATGCAAGATTGGCGTGACTGGTTCCATGAGTCAGGCATGGCGCTCTCGCGCATGCCAAGCAAGATGTGGTGCAGCACAGGCGGGATCAGATCTGTTGCGCTCGATCTGTTGACGGGTTGAGCACGTTCTAAATATATTCCTCTGCATGCTCACATCTCTGACGCTCTCAAGGGCTGAACGGCGGGTCCGGTTTGGTCCCAGGGTAAGCTTGTTGTCTGGCCGACGTTGTAACGCGCAAAAGTGGTATCGAAGCCATCGGCCTGCATTGACAGCTCCGACTGGTTTCCCCAGTGCCATGAGTAGTAGACGGCAGTGACTTTGTAAAGAGCGATGACATGTTCGTGGAAATACGCGAGCAAGAGCGAAAAAGCGATCAAAGCGAGAATTGCTGCCTTTCTAGGCGTCATCGCCTTTGATGACCCGGTCATCTCGTAGTCAGGCCTGTTGTCAGAATCGAATGAGCGCGTGCGTTCAGTGAGCTTGTCTGCCGGGCATATCCAAGTGATTGTGGGGCAAGACAGGCTTCCTAGCTCTAGAAGCCCAGAGGTCGGTGCATCCCCATGGCCCGTCTTCTCCCGTTGGCGCTTGGACCGTCCAGACGGTACGCTCTGTCGGAAGCGTCGGGGCACTCGAGACATCTCTGACACGCCAGGGCAGCCAGTCTTGCGCTATTACGGTCGATCTTTTTTCGGTTTGTAAATCAAATCAGATCCGGATTTGCAAATTATAGACACAACGGGCTGCCGGCCTGGACCGAACATTTGAGACGTCCAGCGCGCGTTTTTAGCTCGCGACGTGACCGGAGCACTGCTCAGAACACCGCCATGCTGCAAATAACTTGCAGAAGCTCGTATCGATCGTGACACTTCCTTCTTTTCTTAAAACTATGAATAGTGATGGCAGCATTTCCGCGGCCGTTCGTCATGGACGCCTGATGACATCGATGCATCGATGGTGTCATTGACAGCTCGCCATTACACACTGAATCCAAATGTGTTCATCGAGCTGTGACGCGTCGACCGGACGTGCGAAGCTCTTCGTACAGGGCAATTTCGCCCTTGCATTCCTGCCGACTGTAGGCAATGCCTGCTGCGTCGCAAGCGCCAGCCGTCTTCTCGGCACCTGCTAGATGTCAGTGGGTGTGAATGCAGCGCACACGGTGGCGAACCAACCTCCTCCGCATTGGATCCAATATTGTGCGTCTATCTTGTCATACTCGTGCGAGAGAACGCCGACTCGGAACCTACCCTGTCCGTCAGCGCCAATTGCCAACGACAGCGATCTACACACTCAAAGTGGACTGCTCCCTAGCAGCGGCTTTCCATTCAGCACACTGCGCTGTTGAGCGTGCAGACTGACCTGACAGCATCCAGCGACTGCGGATCGTTGACGCGTCAGAGACTTTACCACCGAGCTTAAGCGACTCACTATCGGAGATAGGACTCGGCATATCAGCCCAAATCGAGACATTGGCGTGTCGAAAACGATGCTCTTCTCCCCACATGTGAGTAACATGATGCGATTGGCCTAATTCGAAGGAAGAGCCAGAGCGCCAAGCGAAAAAGACGAGCAAGTCAAAGTAACCGGGATCAGTATCGGGTAACTCAAATGTAGCCCATTTCGCTTCTGTCGGTACAGGACAGACGATCTGCTCCTCGCTTGAGCTCGGGCTAAGTCGTGATGGCAACGACAGACGTAGTAATCGAATGAGAATTGATACTGCTCTGCGAGCTGAGGCGGCGGATCTGATTGCACGGTGGGAGAGGCGCTGATGAGTGGCAGCACTGAGATCAGCTTGAGCAGTCGGAGCATCTTCTGAGTCTGGTGAGATAGTGTGAATGAAGATAGAGAGGAGGCCAAGCTCGGCTAGGCGCGCGCGTACCCCTCGACACCTTTAACACATGGCAAATCGGCGAAGCAGCTACGAGAATGAGACGGATGCACTCATCGAGGACGAGGCGGCACCACTCTATGATGGCGAGTATCCACCGAAGCGCTGGTCGAGGCAGCCCAAGTTCAGTCTAGCAAAACTGCGGCCTGACCTCAGCAAGCCATGGCCGCCCGTCGTCCGCCTTGTTCTGCTGCTCATCGTGCTCGTCCCGCTCGTCAATTGGATAGCGCTTGCGTATGTCTTCAGCCGGAGTGCAGCTTTCTTTCCGCCTCTGCTCAGGACAAGCAAGCAAGTGCTACTGTTAGCAGCTCATCCCGATGATGAATGCCTCTTCTTCTCGCCTGCGATCACTTCGATACTGCAGAGAGCAGACGATGCGACGGGCCATGTCCTCATCATGTCCTCCGGCAATCACTATGGCCTCGGAGCACAGAGGCGCATCGAGCTCAAGGGCAGTTGTAAAGCTTTGGGCATCGCCGAACAGAACTGCGATGTGCTCAACACGACAGACATACAAGACGATCCGACGTACTGGTGGCCCGAAGAGCGACTTGTAGAGCTCATCAAAGACCACGTTGCTCGATGGAACATTGACACCATCGTCACTTTCGACTCCGGCGGCGTGTCGGGCCATATAAATCATAGAGCGGTATCAGCTGCTGCAGTCGCTCTAGCCAAACAAGAAGGTGCGCCGAACGTCTATACGTCAGCTACAGTCAACGTTCTGCGCAAGTACTCAGCCTTGCTTGATCTGCCATTGACCAGTCTCGCCTTTGTTCCGCGATTCCTCACATTGTCAGACTCGAACAATCATGCGCTACTCGTCGGCACATTCTCGCAGTATCTCGCAGCTCGGAAGGCGTTCCACTCGCACAAGTCTCAGATGGTCTGGGATAGATACCTCTACATGCTTGTCAGCCGGTACATGTCAGTCAAGCCCAACTGCGACACCACACACACTGATGCGGGGTCTTTTCAGGTACTTCAATACCCTCTCACTCAGCCAGTCTTGACACGCAAGCCCGGTCAGCAATATTGTCCTACTATGCAAGCGAACCCAGCGCCAGCTACGGGAGATGATGGAAGCGTAGCACCTTTGCCGCGGCAGTCTCTTCAGTTGTCGGCACAGTTGTCGCCCCCTTGCGCTCATCTCTAGCCTTGCGTGGCTTTGTCGACGCGTGGTCCCCGGCCGCGACGCTTTCGGTCGGCGTTGATGCCAATTCTGTCTGTGCGCTCGGTTCTGCCTCTGACTAAGCGCTGTCTTCCGGTTCCGGCTTGAAAGGTCGCGGGCTATGCTTCGGCTTCCCAGTGTCGGGCTCTGACGAAGTAGCTTTGCTGCCTTCTGGCTGCTTCTGCACTTTGTACGGCTTATCAGGCTTCTCCTTCTGCGCCGGCGGGGTATACGGCACAGGCTGCTCAGACCCTTTTCCATGCTTCTCTTCGCTGCACTCTGATCTTGCCGGACAAGCGTGGCAAGCCCAGCTTTTGACATGCTTCATCTTTATCTGCCAAATGCTGCACAAGGGATCCTTCAACCAGCCTCCGCATGCTTTTGCATGACAGTCACCGAGGATCTGCATCCCACGTCAGCGGTTTTCCCAAAGAGGAAGGCGGATAGGCTGACAGCGTACATGATGGCGACCTTCTTGCATCGCAAATTCCAGCAATGCGCGCAGCGAATCTGGCCGGGAGGTGATGGTACCGGCAAGAGACTCGATGTGAAGTTGGTCATGTCTTCAGGCGGCAAGACTTGTCGCACGAGCTCGCCCAACTCCGCGAAATCGTCCGGCAAATGAGGCGCAGCGCTATAAGGTATCACTGCTAGGCTTGCAAAGTCTACCAATTGGGCTATCGCTCTGGTCGCCAATACTAGCGCAAAGCAAGCTCTCATACTGACGCTCCGTCTCGAGGGTCAGGCCGAAGCAGCTGCAGATCAATTTGCGCTCGCTTCAACGGACGCTACTCCGAAGGGAGGAGCTGCACAGACCCTCACAAATGACCGACCCGGTTTGCATTCACACCAGGACGTAAGATGTCAAGAACCCGCGCACGGCGGTGGACATGCGTTGCTGAGACGAAGGCGCCTTTTCGAGTTGTCCCGAGAGCTCTGTAGCTAGCTCGCTCGAGATCTCTCGACATGCACGATCTGTCTCTTGGTCGGCGCGCTGGCTTGCTTCCTTGAGATAGAGCGCCATCTGAGTTGCCGCAAGCACAATAGTCGCTTCTTGTACGTCAGTCACCAGCTGCACGAACGTCTCGGGATCATAGCGGGGCAGAGTAGTCGCTCCTGCATGCTGAGCCGCAGCACCACTCGAGCCCGAGCGCAATTGATCAAAGCAGAAGCCGGAGAGGTCGATGAAAGAGCCTAAGATAGCCGGCAGGGTCATTGCGCCTTCCTTGTTCTGCTGATAATGTTAGCGGAGGCAGGAGAACATCCAGGAGCGAACACACAAGATCTACGAGCAATGCTTCCATCGGCCAGTCCATCGGAACGGATCTGATGATGCTGATTGAGGAGGCATATGTTGCGAGCGCACGCGTAAGATCGCATACTACCGCAATGACTTTCTGAAGCAAAGCTGCAGCGACAGGCGACTCTTCCAACTTGTTCGGATCGACTTCTCCTTCCTCCGAATTGGCCAACCAGCTGGCTTCCTCTTGATTGGTGCTTTCCATGATGGACCGCAATCGATTAGGGTGGAGAAGATACCATACTAATTGCTGACATAGGCCCAGAACGTTCTTCGCCAAGTTAGCATACATCTGACGCGTCGTCGATGATCGATGCTGAACAAGCACGCCAAACAGGACGACAATGAGCTCCATTTCCTCGAGCAATGGCAGTGTCAAGGGCTCGCGCTCGAATTGCCAGGTCAATGCATGCTTCAGCTGAGCATTGTAAGCGCTCAAGAAGGCTAGAGTGTCTTGCGAGATGAAAACCTCGCTGTCACCTAGCTGCGCGATGAGATGGGATGCCAATGCGAGCGACTGACACCATTGCCGATGTGCCGCGGGGCGCTCGTAATTCGCCCCGCTGACAATAGCAGCTTCGATGAAGGTCTGATCAGTCGGGGACGCAGCGCAGAGTGCTGTCATCACTCCATCGAGCCCGAGTAACTCCGCACCAGACTTGTGTCGGGCTAGTTGCAGCATGAAGTCAAGAGCATGTGTTGCATAGGACGAGCGATCGGTCCGACTGATCAGATCGCACATAGTCCTCACTAGACTAGACGTCCGCAGGCTTGCAAATAGCTCTTGCGGTGAGACCAAGTTCGTAGGAATCGCAAGGACGGCCATGACGGCTAGAGCAAGATCCGCATCGAGCTCTTCTGACATCGTGCCTGTTGCTTGGCTAAACAAAAGGCGTAGGGATTCGAGCAAGGCGTCGAGCGTGCGCAAAGATGCATCGCGCAGTCTCGGTAGATCGTGTAGCGGCAGAGGAGCGTCTGCATGAGCCCTGTTAAAGATGCGATACGCGCATACGATGATGCCAAAGCAAGGGCGGTGCCACCCAGCTGCTTCGTAGCTGTGCAAAGAAGCGGCCAACGGGAAGTCTACATGTTGCGTTATTGTACCGAGAGCGCTGACAAATTTCGTTGCCTCTTCCTTGCTCGGCTGCGGAATCCGCATGGCTGCTTGACCAAGACATAGCACGAGCTGCAGGCGCTCTGCATGTAGGGTCGTTATAAGAGCACCGCTCCGATGCTCTTGACTCGCTTCAGCAAGCACGGTCACAGCTGCGCGGATGAGCTCGCCAGAGAGCTGCTCAGTCTGCTCGGCTGCAAAAGCGATTTCGAGATAGCGGGACCAAGCTCGGAGACGTAGCAGCTCTGCGCCGATAGTAGACCGATTCGCGTTGAACAGCATGATCGCAAGCAGCACGCTGTCGACCGATGCATCGAGTTCACTTGCAGAAAGTCCATGTAGAGTTTTCTCTGCTCTCTCGATTGCATATTCGTAGTCGATGCCATAGGACCGCGCTGGATCGAGGGCGCCAAGGCTGTCCTGGTAGCGATATGAGTCTCGCGAGAACAGTCCTGACTTCTCTGGTGGCAAGCTCTCGTAGGAGGAACTGCTGAGCTGCTCGATTGTCGCATCGACCGATTCACGATTCTTGAACAGCGCGCTCAGCAAGCTTGCACTGACAAAGAGCGAGCTTGTTCCGCTAACAGCCGAGGCTACTGTGTCAAGGGCTGCTACACTGACGGCGTAGGCTTGGGACGCGACGCGGAAGCAGCGATTGCTGATTGTATTGAAACTCTCCGAATCGTCTTCGTCAGTGGCTGCTATTGGCAAGCTAGCAAGTGCGATGCTACGTATCACAGGGCCTAGCGCCGGCTCCGTCGTCGGGAAGTTGTCCCCATAAGCAGTCCTGTTTTGCCAGACCAGGGCGAGCAGACGGACGATCGCGTGCAAAAGTTTAGGCTCATGGCGCCAAAGCGAGTCCCAGTCTGCCAGTGTAGCCGTAGCAACCGCGATAACGTTCTTATTGGACGGTCTATCGTGGGCACCAGGCTGGCCTGTTACCAGCGTATGACCATACCCAACGCCTGCATCGATGAGGCTGGCAGCAAAGGTCCAGGCGGCAGTGCGCAATTCTTCATCGCGAAAAGAGTCGGCCATCATGTCAAGCAGTGTATCATGGAACATCGAGTCGCGATCTGCAGACCCAAGCGAAGACACGAGTGCTGATGTACCATGCTCGTAATCGACAGCAAGGATGGAAACTGTGGTCAGCAGATGGAACGCAGGGACAGCCAGCGTGATCTCTGACGATAGAAGGGCAGTCTCGAGCAAGGCTGAGAAAGCGAGTCCGCTGGTTGTCGATCGCTGCCCCGACGGTTGTGCTTCGAGCAGATAGACTTCGAGGGGGCAGGGTCGCATACCAAGATATTGACGCCGAAGACGTAGAATAGAATTGGCCAGGCTTGTGACGCTAGCTAAGGCGAGATCGGCTTCTGCGGCTTCCTGTTGCCTTCCGACGACACTGAAGACTTCGCTGAGCTTAGGTAGCCGGACGAAAGCGTTGAGCAATGGCGCGATATATACAGGATCCTGCGTAAGTAGTAGCGCCTCCAGTACCATTCGACAAGGCTTCGCTAATGGCTGCTTCCTAGCGAGATCCGCGAAGCTGGCTTCATCGACCAAGAGCGATAACGTCACAGACAAGGTGCTCGTCAGCTGAAAGCGTTGCGTCAACTCGGCATACTTCCATGAGTCGTGAACGATCCAGATCTCGTCGAGTAGCCAATGAAGCGCGCGTTCGAGCACGACTGCCTTGAGATCCGCAAATGCGGCTTCATCAGTGAGTGAAGACCGCTGGCATTCGAGTATCAGACTGTGCAGGAGTGCGATTGCAGAGAGCGTCGTATCAAAGTGGCCAGTCATGCGGTCGTTGATATGATGTAATGGTTCGCCGGCGGGATATGCGCTGATTGAAGTCTGGAATAGCTTTGTAGAGGCGGCAATGAAGGTCCTGTGATCATTTCGCAGAGTCAGAACGACCATCGAAGACGCGCGAATACGACGCACCAGATGATGCCAGACTGGTGAGGCAGCAGGATCGATATGGCGTCAAGCAATCGAGGCATCAGTTTGCGTCCGCTCTCTTGATCATCTTTGAAGCTCAGTCGCAGCAGCTCAAATAGGTCATTCAACCACGTAGGATTGCTGCCATCGGCCTGAATAGCACTCAAGATGAGCTGGACATCATCCGGCATGGCATTGTTGAGCAGGTCTGTAACAAGCTCGAGCGTGAGCGCCAGCTCCGATCGTGACTGCTCCGGCGATGACCAGACAAAGCGGGGATACGCGTCTGGCACGGTTTGGAAGGGATCAAGAGCAGGTACGCTGGCAGCTGGCGCGCCAGCGCAGGAATCGACGAGATCGGCAAGATATCGCAAGCCTGACCAGCCGTTAGTGGGTGCGAGGTTCCACGAAATGAGCACCGGTCGAACGCCCGCTGCGCTCATAAGGACGCCTTCCGCGCCGGCCGGTATAGTGATCGATCGGCTGACAGGTATCGGCCGCAGAGCGCGCACTTTTGAAGGATCAGACTCGATAGGCTCGTATGGTCGAGGTGTCAGAGCGGGCGGCGTAGGATGTTCGTGGACAAGCGTCGATAAAGACGAGAGGTAAGTGAGAACGCTCTCGCTACACGCCTGATCGATCTCTCTGTCGGCGCTCGAGCTCGCAATAAGTTCGGCCTTGCCAGACACGGCGCGCAAGACACGTAGCAAGCCCAGTCGGTCGTATGGGAACTTGCGCCTCGCTACTTCTAGCAATGCTCTCTCTGGGTAGTCTCCTTCCTCGTCTTCCTCCGGCTGCCCTAAGTGCCAAAATTGGGCTCGAAGGAGGCGGGCGTCGGGATGGTCGTAAATAGTCTCAAACAGGCCGATGAGAGCGGTATATTGCGCATCACCGAGATAGGGCAGCTTGATCAGCTGCAAAAGCGCAACGAGAAGCGAGCGAGAGACGGAAAGGTAACCCAGAGCATTCGCATTGCTGCTCAGCAATCTTTGTGTCGAGAGCATCGATTGGCGTCCCTGCACGAGTGGACCTGCTAGGACGAGCCGCAAGACCTCGAGTGCAGAATGGGCAGGTTCCAAAGCGAAGCTGATCAATTGCTGGTAAAGTGGCTGAGTGTTAGCAGATGTGGTAGCAGCGGGGTAGATCTGGCTCTGCAGCTCAGTATAAGCCTCGTGTGATGGCTCGGTCTGAATGAACTCGGTGAGCTTTGATAGCAGATATGACCATCCCATCACCAGAGGAGCCGAAGCGACTGGAAAGGCGGTGGAAAGCGCAAACACTGCTTGCTGTACATTGGCAAAGGTAGCTGGGTTGATTAGCTGACTCGCCGGCGGCAGAGGCTGATGAGGGCCTGCCGGCTTCAGACTAGACGCATCCAGGGTGACTTGCTCCAGATTGAGCGATTCTACAGCTAGCAAGATGTAAAGGTGCTCAATGCCAGCAAGGAGCGTCTGAGCCTCGCTGTCAAAGTAGGCGAGGTTGTACTGCTTATGACCGTATTCGGCATTGCGAATGGTGAGGAGCAGGTCAGCGAGCAAGTCTGCGTCCGCTGCCACGCGGCTGTAGAGCGACAAGAAGTGACATTCGAGTAGAGCTTGTTGCTCACGCAAGACAGACTTTGCCCAGCTTGATGCGTTGCGCGCTGTTGATCGCAGTCGGCTCGGCACTTGCGTCGTAGCCAGTCTCAAGACTGTCTTGAGCAGATTAGGACAGAATTGCGTATGCAGTATCTCGTCGAGCCAGCCGGAATAGACATCCGCATGTACATGCTCTGGGTCTTCGACTGTACATCGCGATAAGCTCTGCAGCAGAAAGTCCCAATGAAGCACTTACCTGTCCGAAGAGCATGGGCCAGAACGCCTAGCAGGCTGAGTCGTTCGAGGTAGTAGAATTTGGCAAAGTCATGCCAGAAATCAGGACTGTCCTTGAGGCCTTGCGAGACGGGTCCATCCTGACGCGTCTCTATCCAAAACTTCCGCAGGAGGATGATCGCCTCTATCTCGTCAATATCAAGCTGCTCTGCTATGACGAGAGCAAGAGCGGATTCGTCTTTGGTGAGCTTGTCGGTCGATAGAGCGGTCACTGGCGTGAGCGCAACGACTTTGCTCGCAGATGCAGTATTGGGCTTTCCGAATGGCTTATCGATTGCCTTGAGCTTTGCCAAGACATTGGAGCTACTGAACTTGACCAGCCAAGACGGCAATGGCTTGCTTGATGGGAACTCGAGCGAGGATAACAAGGTCGCATAGGTACTGTCGCAATATGATCAGCGGAGCTCTCTTAGGCGTCACATTGAGCTCACACGAACAACGGACTATCTTCCCTGGGCGCTGGAGACGCCATGGACATTCACAACGACACAGTAGGCACTGGGTTGACACGTAGCACGTAGCACGTCGATCCAGTTCGGCCGAGAGCAGTGACGAGTGAGGATCGGCACGGCCGAAAGCTGCCCCAGCGCAAATCGGACGATTGTCGACTCTCGCATTATCAGGCTCATCGAGCGCCAGCAACCCGCGCTCCTTCGCATCTTCGCAGACGCTAACACCAGCTGCGGCGTACGGTCACCATGTCGGAGGGATATGTGCGAACGCGCAACTACAAGAGCGAGAAGCATGGCAAGGTGGCCTCTTTGGCCGATCGGCTGTTCTACACGACCAAGGAATCCGTCGTCAATCGGGGATGGGGTCCCCTCGTGCTCCTAGGTCAGCAAGATGAGCTCTAGATAATCTGTCTAGACATCTGAACACCGCAATGACAGCTCGGACGACGATCGTCGCTCTGATGGAGAAGATCACCTACGGACAGCTCAGAGTGCTCACGCCCGACGGCATCTTCACTTTCGGTAACCCGATCATTGCCGATCCTTCCTACTCTTCCTCGACGCATGCTCTGCCCGGGGGAACGAAGAAAGAGCTCAAGGCAGAGCTCCGAGTCGTCAATGACGCTTTTTGGGTCCGCATGCTGATCTTGAGCGATCTCGGTTTCGCCGAAGCTTATATGGTCGGCGATGTCGAAGTGGACGATCTTGACGCTCTCTTCAAGGTATGCGCACGCACCCAACCTGTGGCTTGGCTCATGTGGGCAAACCAAGATGTTCATCCTCAATCGTCAAAACTTGTCCGAGATGTCAATGACGACTTCCAAGATCTTCTCCAGTCTTAACTACCTCATGAACTCACGCTTCGTCAACTCGGTCTCCAATTCGATCTCCAATATTTCGTGAGCCCCGTCCTAGATGCAAAGCGCGTCAAAAGCTGACTTGGACTAAAGAGCACATTACGACCTCGCGCCTGCTTTGTTCCAATCTTTCTTGTCACCTGACATGACGTATTCCTGTGCCATATTCTCAGAAGCCGAAGGTGGTCTCGAAGGCGATCTCGCCCAGTTTCCTCGTCTCTCGGCTGCCGTAGGCGACGTGGTCAAGCAGGTGGCAGCTCAGCAACAAGCAGGCGATCAAGTCGATACGCCTGAGCTCGAAGCCGCTCAGCGAAGGAAGCTACAGACCATCATCGAGAAAGCCCGCATCGGCAAGGGTGATCGCGTACTCGAGATTGGTAGCGGCTGGGGCTCTTTCGCCATGCAGGCGCGTCATGCCTGATCTCATTTGAGAAATAGAGCTGATTCGCGTTCACAGGCTGTACAAACGACTGGCTGTACGGTTGACACCCTGACTCTCTCTGTAGAACAGCAAGAGATTGCGGAAGCACGGATTGCTGAAGCAGGCCTGACGGCTTCCATCCGCGTCCACCTGATGGACTATCGCAATATACCCGACGAATTCGTTCACGCTTTTGATCGTGTCGTCAGTATCGAGATGCTCGAAGCGGTCGGCATCGATTTCCTCGATTCCTACTTTGCCATTGTCGACAAGGCGCTCAAGCCTGATCGTGGTCTCGGCGTCTTCCAAGTAATCACTGTGCCCGAGGGGCGCTTTGAAGCCTATAGAAAGAGCGTCGACTTTATTCAGAAATGGGTCTTCCCTGGCGGGATCTGTCCTTCGCTCACTTCACTCTTCACGGCCATCAATAAGGGATCTCAAGGTCGGCTGCTCGTCGAGACTGTCGAGAATATCGGTCCTCACTATGCTCGCACTCTGCGAGAATGGCGGAGACGGTTCGAGGCTCGATTTGAGTCGCATATCGTACCCAGCTTACGAGAGACGTATCCCGAACTCAAGTCGCGAAAGCAACTGGAAGTGTTCCGACGGAAATGGTCCTACTACTTTTGCTACTGCGAGACCGGATTCTCAATGCGCTCGTTGGGCGACCATATCATTACGATCACTCGCGAGGGCAATCTATCACTGTACTGAACACGCTCCGTTTGCCCGCTATAGACATGACGATCGTCACCCCGGCTCGTCCGAATCAGATACCAAGCTCTCGCAAAGGCATGATAAGCAGTGTACAACAGATGCGCATATTGCATATCATGGCTCAACCAGCACGACGTCTGTTTGCCGTCGTCAGCTCGGAAGTACCCGTCTTGATCAATTGCTCACACTCGCGGGTAGAGTCTGCGAATTTGACCACTGTATACCGCTGCATGAGCACGAATCTCCCTTCGGTATGCACGACTTGCCGTCGCCCGTCTTGATCTCGTAATACACCGCTTGTGGTATCGTCTCGCCATTGACGCTCGTGCCGTTTGCCGATTCGAGGTCGATGAGGAACAGCCTGTCCAATCATCAGCGCGTCTCAATCACGAGGCAAAAAGGCTCGCTTTGTAGGCTGTTTGACATCACCAAACTCATTGCGTTCTGTGATCTGCCGGAATTGGAACACAGCGTGCTGCTTGGACGAGGAAGGGTGCTCTATGGGTATATCGACAACCTGTTTGACATGAGAGTTGTCAGACGCGCTCGATCTAATTTGCTTGAGCTGACGATGCGATCGCGTCCGATGAGGTACGCAGACTGTCTATCGAGCACGAACATGTCTTTCGAGGTCATAGAATCAGCAAAAACCACACGCCGAGCTGAGGGAGCATTCAGCTGACCTACTTGTTCGGCTCCTTTGAAGACGTAGAGTCTCCACTTCTTGCTAGGCTTCCTCGCTTCAGGTGGCTCGTTATACTTCAGTACCACCCCTTTGTACGTGTTCGTCTCTGCTGCCAGTCGTCCCGAATTGGCAAAATTAGGCTTGGGCGGCCCTCTAGGCGGTTGGACTTCCTCTTGAGCTTCATCAGCCTTGCCCCATACTTCAGGCGCAGATTGACTGGGACCCGCTCGAGTGTGAACAGGCACGAGCTCGGCTTGCTGGGGAAGAAGTTCGCCCCTCCTCAGACGATCTCTGCGTTCGTCCCTGCTCGGTGAGGGCGCACGTCGGGGTGCGTGTCTAGGTCTGTCGTCTCGAGCGTAATCTCGCCGCCTTTCCTCGCGATGCCGCCTGTCCGAGTCGTCATGTTCGTCTCTAGACCGCTGGCGAGGCGATCTTGACCGACTACGTGGTCGTCTGCGGTCTGACATGCTTGCAGGCTTGGTCTACGACGCTCGATCGGTCCTTTGCATCCTTTGGCGCGTCCACGCTTTCCACAATTCGGCACTCTCTGACTTTCTGCGTGCCCAATCAGTAGATCTCATCACGGCTTGCACACATGCCATAGGGCATACTGGACCTGATTCACCGGACTCAGACTGTGCGAGGCTGCCTGAACATTCGCAGGAAATTTGGTGAGCTTTCGAGAGGACTTTGATCGATGCTGCCATCAGAATCTGTACGATCCTCGAGGCCAACAATCACAAGGACAAGCTAGGAACTTAGGTCTTCGAAAACCTGTCTGAGTCTGCACATCAACTCAGAGCGTCTCGTGCGTGTAACAGCAGGCATCTCGCGCAGACTCCATCGCAACGATGATCACCGTCTTGCTCTGCGTGCCTCACAAGAGGCCTCGCTTTTCGCCCTGTCATCCATTCATGTCTCACTGCAGTGATTTGCGCGACTCTACATATGCAAAAGCTTCTGCGCATCCCTGCTCAACGTCTATATGAATGGGCAGCCCAGAGCCTCATTGCGTCTTCTTTCTTTCCGACTTGATGATGCTAGCTCACGAAATCTCACTAGCATGATCGGACAATCTTATAGCTCGTTCGCCGCCAGATGACCCTGTTTGGTCCTGTTTGCCCATCAGGAGCTTGCTGTACCCCCCTGCGCGTTGTCTGCATCACTCGTCACGACCATGCAAGAAGCGCACAATATGCATGTACTTGTACGTGATGCAGACGAATCCATCGGTCGACATGCTCATGCACTCATCATGCGAGCCACTATATCCGCCATCTCGATCCAGAAGAGCGTTTTCCAGAGGTATGCCTGAAAATCTGCGGCTACTACACACATGGGCCGAACGCATTGAACGAACATCGTACGACAATGCTCGAGCAGGCTGTTACCGAGTGGATGCACCATGGCCGAGACGGTTTGGCAGAATGCTCAGCTACGCGAGACCCTAGATTAGAACAAAGAGCAGCTGGCGCAGCTGCTAGAGCGGAGTTCCGAACGCCAAGCAGCCTACAACAAGGGTCGGACAGAGCTGGAAGCGCTTCATCAGTAGCTAGCTGTCATCATCGACGCTGCCAGCGTAGTAGGGCCATCACGTAGAGATCAACCTATACATTGTCCGATTCAGCCGGTGGCTCGCTCGGCCGGATCCGATCCGCCGTCATTCCTCATCACGACAATCAATCGCTACAGAGCGGGCTCGTGGCTCATGCTTGTGGCTGACGGCACTAGCTGACGAGAGCATTCGCATCAGAGCTGGCCAGCAGGAAGCAGAAGATGCTACATGCGAAGCCGAGCAGGCCCTGCTGCAGAACGACGAGACGAGTCAGTCAGAGTAGCAGCTGATGACCTGAATGATTGTTGTCCATTTGAAAGGAAGGCCACTGCTCATGTGACCTGTCGCAAATATCTTTCGCGAAGATGGGAGACTGGCCCGTGTCGCGCGGGACCGGACCGGACGAGAAGCTGAGGAGAGTTCATTACCAAATACCAAAAATCTCTGGAGCCCGAATTAGATCCAGACAGTGCCGCACAGACCCAAGCATTTTCTTTGCTGTTCGCCCATTGTGTCCTCCCCTCACAATGGCGGCCCTAGCGCATCGAAGAAGGACAAGGCCAAGGAGCACGCACTAGCTTCGGCGCCTGTGAGGACTCGGTCCAATACTCATTCGACGATCGGCAGGCTACGTCGTCGGCGAGTCAGCAAGGCCAGGCAACGTGCGCTCACTCCGCTTCACACTTCATCGAAGCAGCATCCCTTGCCACGACGACCGATGTTGCCCGGTCAGAAGAGCTCACCATGGGGTCTCTCACTCCTGTCGCTCGTCTTGCTGGCTGTACAAAATACCTTGCTCGTCCTGCTCATCTATACTGTCCGACGGAAGAGCAGGATAGAAGAGACGCCTGCCTTTGCACCTTCTGCCTCGCTCCTGTTCAGCGAGTCTGTCAAATTCATCATCTGCATCGTGCTCGCCCTCGTGCAAAGTCGGGGCCTCACGCCAGCCTTTCGATCCGTGCGACAGCATCTCGAGCAGTCCAAGCTCCCAAAGCAAGTGAGTGTCAAGTGACCGGTCTGTCAGATTAGCCACTGAGCATCAAGCAGATGGCGATTCCTGCGGGGATCTATCTCATACAAAACTTGCTGCTCTACGTCGCGATGGGCAATCTAGACCCGGTCACATTCCAAGTGACGTATCAGCTCAAACTTGCAGCGACTGCGCTCTTCTCCATCCTCTTGCTCGGTCGCACGTTCACAAAGCAGCAATATCTGGCAATGGCACTGCTCACATGTGGCATTCTCGCCGTGCAGCTCGATCTGCCAAAAGCGAGTCCGCCTGCGCCGGTCGCTGTCACGCGTAGCACGGGCGCAGCAATCACACAAATGACACGCAAAGTCATCAGAAGGCTTCTGACTGCGAGGACCGAGGGGGTCCATGAGGCAGCGATCACGCAGCCCCCAAACGCGTGGCTGGGCATATTAGCAACGGTTACGTCTGCATTCACCTCTGGCTTTGCCGGAGTCTACTTTGAGAAGGTCCTCAAGAGGGAGCAGACTAGCATGCCTGACGAAGATAGAGGGGATCAGTATAGCCAGGTGCCCATCGAAGACGACAGTAAGGACTCGTCACTCAATTCGACGCCACTTCACGAAGAAAGCAACGTACCGCAATCACCGAAAGGTGTCAGCATCCTCGTCATGACCAATCTTATCTTGTCCTTCTATACCATCTTGGCACTGCCTTTTGTCATCGCCAGCACCAAGGGCATGTCCGGCCTACGACCAGCACAGCTCACCACCGGGTTCGGTCCTCTTGTCTGGCTTATTGTCCTATGGCAAGCCATGGGCGGCCTACTCATCGCTGTCGTGATCAAGGTGAGATCTTCAGGCATCTGATCCTTGCCCGGACTGACGGGTAGACTCAGTACGCCGATAATGTTCTAAAGACCTTTGCAATCACCGCCAGCATCATCGCATCTGCACTCATCCAGATCTTCGCATTCGGTCTCAGACCAGGTCCAGTCTTCGCAGCGGGCGTACTGCTCTCAATCGCATCAAGCTGGTTGTATAACGTTGCATTGTAGCCTCATTGTATGGTCCACAAAGATGATCACAGCTGCTTGCTGAGTCTTGAAGCCAACTTGGGACCGTATCCCATCTTCTTGTTGTAGCGCGCCTTCTCTTCTGCATCGAGACTGTCCGGACCGTCCCAGTGCATGCTGCTCGAGCGAGGACGAGTCGCAGCCTTGATACCATCCTTTCCGAGTAGTTCTGCAGCGAGCATCAGCATTCGTACGGCCCATCATACGAGACAGGCGTGCCTCTGAGATTGACAGGCTGAGCCTGGAAGTCGGGATCAAATATCTTGTCCGGATTGACATTCTGCTGGGCTAGCAGAGCGTCATAGAGCGGGTCTTGCTGCGCCCATGCAGGGTTCTTCTTGTCGCGCAACATGGCTGCTTCTTCGTCAGAGTCCGAATACTCGCTCGCAGGCTCTTCCAGCTCGACATATTGCTCTGGCTGTTGTTGCGCCGACTGCGGCGCGACATGCTTGCTGCTAGTTGCAGGACCCGTAGAGGCATTGGAGGTGCGCATGGGCTTGTCAGGCAGGATGCCTTTCAGAGATTTGTTGAGTTTGGCTGATGAAGGCAGGCTTGGTGGCATCTGCTGGGCAAATGCTGGCGCAGGGATCGGTCGATTCGAAGCATTGGCCAGCGGCTACACCATTCTTGCGCTCAGCAGCACTCCCTGTGTGGATGGACAAAGACTCACTTGACGGGCAGCAGCGGCTTTGCGCTTGGCTTCTGCCTCTGCAGCTCGCTCAACTGCTTGTCGGCGCGTTTCCTCATCTTCGAGCTTGCGCCTGGCGATCGCGGCAGCAGTAGCAGCAGCCTCCTTCTCCTTGCGTTCGGCCAATCTCGCGTTAACCTCAGCTCGCTCCTTTTTGCGCTTCTCGAGTTCCAGCAGTCGCAATCGCCTTTCCTCTTCATCGCGCAGCTTGGCAGCCTGTCGCTCGGCTTCTGCTTTGCGTTCGGCTGCAGCTTGTCGTTCGCGCTCTCGTTCCTGAGCTTCTCGCTTAGCTTTTGCGCGTTTCTCGGCTTCACGAGCAGCTTGTTCGGCGGCAGCTTCCTTTTGCCGTGCCTCTTCTTCTGCTTTCAGTCGCGCCTCTTCCTCTGCTCTTTGCAACGCCTCTTCGGCCACTTTCGCTTGACGCTTCTCTGCCGCTTGCTGCTTCTGCCGCTCTGCATCCAGTCTTTGCAGTTCGAGTCGCTCTTTCTCAACACGCTCTCGTTCTGAGCGCTCGTCGGCAAGCCTGGTCTCTTCGGCTTGTCGCTCACGTCGCTCCTTTGCGGCCTTGATTTCTGCGTCAGTCTTGCTGCCAGAAGTCTGACGCAACCGAGGTATCATCGATGTGACTGGACGGCTGTCTTGCATGCGCGTAGGCTGTGAAGTCGCGGATGATGCGCTTGAGGGACGCGACTGATTCATGGTTTGCGTGGGTGGAGCCGTCTCGAAAGAGATTGAGGTCTGACTGATCGATTGATCCGACAGAGCATCTGATAGTCGTGGCTCTCTCATGGTGGACGTCAACGTCGTGCGTGTTGACGGCGCAGCGCTCGCAGTCGAGGGTGCTAGGCTGGTGCGACTCTCATGATATAGTGTCATTGTAGAGGGTGCGCTTGACACCAGATACGACGGCCGGGCGGAGAGACTCGCGCCCTGATGAGCGACTGATGAGCGAGTAGCTTTGATGCGGTGCATCGTCTCGCGGATCGCGTCCGCTCTCGATGTAGATGTCGTTGGTCCAATAGCAGTACCCACAGAACCGTCAGAGTGGACCGAAACGGATCTGCGACCCGTTTGCAAGGACGCTCTACTACTGGCGTAAAAAGCAGTAGCCGGCATGGTAGACGACTTCGCAGACTCGAACGTGCTCGCCGCAATTTGCGAATTGCTCGACTGTTCCCGAACGGCAGATAAGCTGGAAGTACGTCCAGACCTCTCAGACCTCTGCTCTGCCTGGCTCGCTCGTGGAACAGACATAGGCGCGACGAAAGCGGACGCGCGCGCTCCATGAGTCGTTGATGCGCGTTTGGCGTTGCCTGAGATGAACGCAGAGACAGGGCTTTGTGGCAATATGCTTGCGATGGAGACGTTACGTAGGGCAGGATCAGCTGCAAAGATACGCTGTGCGTTGCCAGGCATGCTACTAAGCAATTGACTCGGCTGTACTGGCGCGAGCTCGGCAGATAGCGCCTCTGATTGGGACGCCGCCATTGTCTCTGTCGTTACGAGAGGCTGGGTGTCAATCTCCATGTGCACAGTCGCCTCGGTTGCCTGGCTGGACACGCGTGTATGAACACTTTCCATACTTGTGTCAGCTTCTGCATGTAAAGACGAGCCTTCACGAGACTCTGCAGCGATCTGTATGACGGCACTCTGATCAATCCCGCCAGCGCTTCTGTTGGCTGTGGTTGCTTTGATGATGCCTCCGTTCGCGGCATTGCTGCCGTTCTGGGACCCGACCAGTGTACTCGTCTGGCTTTCATTGGGCTTCGAGCGGACAGTTGGCGGCTCGATCACCTGCACACTGGCACTCGAAGATCTCCGTCTGTCGCTGGTCGTAGTCAGAGTATCTTGTCCCGCCTGTGTTGGGAGCCCGGTAAGCTCGGTCGTTCTGCATACAACGTCAGCTCGTTCAGAGACACGAGCAGTGCGCGCACGATACAGATGATACCGGTGCCATGACTGGTTGTGCGAAGACCTCCAGATCGATCTGCACAGACTTCGTAGAGAGCCTGGCATTGCGACTGAATTGAGGATCAGAGGGATCGTCAGTCTGGCTGCCTCTTTCGATAGACTGTCTAGCTTCTCGCAGACCATCTCGGCCGACAGAGCCAGGTAGTTCGACGCTGAGACGCTTGCGCTTCTTACCTCTGCGTACTTCGACTTCTACTGCTGCCCAACTAGCCTGCAAGCGGGCTTCAAACGCCAAATAAAGCGTGCGAGCAGAAGCGATGGTGTCCTGTCGCGCGGTATCGGCCTCTGCCTCTAGCGAAAGCCTAGCACCCTTGAGGAGGAAGTCTGGCAGTGCGAGTGCCGGCCATGTCGCCTGACTATCCATTGTGCGTGTCCGACTTCTGATTTGCCAACATCAAAAGCTCAAACAGGCGCGTCGCGTAAGCAAAGCACGCGACCCATTCACTGTTCAGCAGGAGCGACGTCATCGATGATTGCAGCGAAAAGTAAGAACACCAACCGTCTAGGCTCACTCAATTATCGTACCGTGGAAGTACGATTCTCGAAAGCTCGCGGACTGCCAAAAGTCGCAACAAGTATGCATATCATTGTGTTTCGCTATCAACTACGCTACAATTAGTGAAGTGCGAATTGGGTTATCTTTGCGCGGAGCTTCCTACTGACTAGCCATGGCTTAGTCAATGTTGTACTGAGGACCGTCAAAGCCGACAGTGACGTTGTTGTAGTTGTAAAGGGTGGCCTTGTCAGCGATCTCGATGACGGCAGGTCCGGCAACGACAGCATCATCTGCGATCGACTCGGAAGACGAAAGGATGAAGTATGTCTGGCCCTGAACGCCCTTGGGGATCGTGAATGATTCACCCTGGGTGTAGTTGAAGTATTGGTTGCCAAGGGGGCGAACGATGGCAAGCGTGGTACCACCTGTAGCATTGGTCTTGAAGGTAACCTTGTCGCCTGCATTGGCAGCGGTCTTGGAGGCAGCGAGAGCCGGGAAAGCCATGAGCGGCAGAGCGGCGATCTGGCTGCACTTGGGGTCAATGAAGGGCGCGGCGAGCGAAAAGACTGCGTCGGGGCTGTTGTAAGCCTCGTAAGCGCTTGGGAAGGGGCTTTCATTCATTGCGGACGATCGCAGCCATGTGTTGTGACGGGTCTCGATCGACAAAATGCTGCCTGCGTAAGTCAAGTATGCCTTGCTGGCGATGGATGCGGCAGCTCCGAGGTAGGCAGAGATACCTGGGCTTTCGCATCAGCATCATTAAGAGGCATTGAAGAGATCGACAAACCAACGCCCTCGAGGATAACGGCGACAGCGAGGAAAGTATCGACGCTGGTGACGGGGAAAGTGTAGTTGCACTTTGACACTGGTGTGGCACCAGCGGCACGGAGAGCAGTCGTCAAGAACTCGACATGGCTGCGCTCGTGGTTTGCAATTTCGGAAACTCGGTAGCGAACCCATTCAGGGAAGCCAGCAGACGCAAAGTCGGCTGCGCTATACTTGTTGAGGTATTCAGCGTAGAAAGTTGCCTCGAGATGCTCCAGAGTCAACTGTGGGGTAGACGGAGGGTCAGATAAGAGCAGACAAAGAGGCAGCAGCATGACTTGCAGCAAAGTTCCTGTGGAACAAGGAGGGTAAGCAAAGGGTTTGCAGACAGCAGATGGGCGGGACTTACAAGATGTCAGCATCGGTGAGATTCCCGCCGGATTGACGCTTCTCGAGACCAAGTGGTGCAGCGATGACAGCTGTAGCGCCAAGAGCGGCAGTGAAGAGTGACTTGAACAGCATCTTGTCTTCTGCTCAGTCGATAGGAGTCGAGTGAGGGAATCGAAGTGGTGTGGTTCGACGAGAAGGAGGCACGTCATGGCTTATATAGAGGCTGGACTTTGTCGGCTCACTCTTGCCACAAAGTCTCTGGCTTAGCCGATTTACTCTGCGCGTCACGTTTTTGATTCTCCGCCGCTGGATATGGGCAATTCGCGCGAGGCGTTGAAATGTGATCGACAAAACAACGATGATCCTGAGCAGAGCGGTGTCAAGCGATCGTCCAGAACGAGACGCCCTGCCGATTGTCATGCGAGAAGTGTTCCGTCCGGTTTAGAGACCTTTTGGAAGTATCTGGGCGAAAGCACGCCGTTCTGGCCGCGAGTGAGAATGACATCATTTGCCGAACTAAAGAATTCGATTCCGTCTGCGAATATGTCAGCGAGCTGACTCTGACGCGAGCCTAAAGCGGACGAGGAGGCTGAACGTACCAGCCATGGCTGCCTTGGCGTCGACATAGATATATACATTGCAATTTGGCCGGATGCCTGCATGAACAGCCCATCGTCAGCGTCAGACTTCGTTCAGAATACAGCGGGCTCGATGACGCACCGCTAGTAACGTCAGGCGAACCCGGTGGCCCGCGGGCGAGATGGATATGCGTCCTCGACATAGTCTTTAGACCTTGCACACGTATCACTTCCCAGAGTGGAAGATATGTCCCGTGAACGGCAACGGGCAGCTCCTCGGCGGTTGCTATCGGTATCAGCTCGAGGAAGTCGACCTGTGCCCGCAGCATCAGTCGCAGCATTGTCATCTCAGAAGCGAAAGCACAGGCAGCGAATGACCCTGATTGGCTCTGATCCATTCACAAGGTCCGCCAGTGAGCTGGTCGACTTCGCTAGCCAGCGTGTATCGTCTCTTGGCATCATTGGCTACAATTCCGTGTAGACCTTCAACAGTGAGTCCTTTTAGCTTTGGGCGGCGTAGCTGCGACACAAGCAGGCACGCATGACTTTCAATGCATTGCTCGGCAGCACATGGGAGGCAGACTCACGAGATCGTCTACTTTTATGAATCCATCTGGTCGCAGCTTGAGCTGTTCCTTGCTTGCTCCGTGGCGTAAGATATAACTCAAAGCTTTGGATTGCTGCACCTCCAGCGTATCCCTTCGACCAGGCTTCAATGGTGAGGCAGCGTGTGGCTGAGCTATGCTTGATGTGCCACTTTGAGCATTGATCACTAACGCCGTCGAAGCAGCGCGAGGAGTCTCGCCTGCGCTCGATGACGCAAACGATGACGCAGATGTTCTTGCACTCATGGGTGGAACAGTCTGCGCTGCGACTCCTCACTCGTTCGAGCAAGCTAGCAAAGGCGCGACGCGACTGCGAGTTCGGGCGCTCCAGCAGACGGGCCTTGTGTCAGTGAGACAGCAGACGATATGTCCGGGCTGTCGCAACGGCGGGGTGGCAGAGCGCCGGTGTCACCGAACCCGAGGCGCTCGGCAAGGCAGACGGCATCACCTACTCGCTCTGATCAATATCGCGCAGCACCCGTCGAGCAAGATGCAAGCGAGCAGCTCGACGATCCTCACAAAGCCCAGCTCGTCTATGCAAACGGCTCGGCCAGAATCAGAAGAGACGATCAGAGCATGCTGCCTGTCCGTTAGCAAGTCAAATTGTAATGGTACAAGCTGAACGAGGGCAGCAGGAACACGAGCCGGTCGACAAGCCTGCAGTCGATGTGCTGGTCGTCTGTTTGCTCACACTACTAGCAGCACTGTTGCGCTTCTATCGCATAGACCATCCCTCGGGCGTCGTGTACGTAGCGCGCATCTGCAAGTCGCGCTACGCTCATCAGCATTTCCCTTTCTTGCTTGCCTTTACTATGATTGCACGACGACCGAAACCCCGCACGATAGCTTTGACGAAGTGCACTTCGGCAAATTTGCGTCTTACTACATTCGCGGCGAATTCTTCTTCGACGTGCATCCGCCGCTCGCTAAGCTCATGCTCGCTTTCGCTGGCTGGCTAGTTGGCTACGATGGTCATTTCGAGTTCGAGAACATCGGCGACGATTACATAGCCAACAATGTGCCGTACATCTCATTGCGCGCTCTGCCCGCGCTCCTCGGCACGCTTACGGTACCCGTGATCTATGGAATCATGCGCGAAAGCGGCTATCCGCGCATCGTCGGCATCCTTTCCGCCTCGCTACTGCTCTTCGGTAATCTCTGTTCGACTGCATCAGCTCGCCGCTGAACGGGCGAGACAGATAATGCTCATATCGTCCAGTCAAGGCTGATACTGCTGGACGCACCGCTGATCTTATTTATGGCACTGTCCCTGTACTGTTACGTGCGCTTCCACAAGCTGCGCTATCAGTGCGTCTCCTACATCTCGAAGGCGCATTGGCTCATCAGCTCGCAGTGAGTTCTCGCCGGAGTGGTGGTTCTGGCTGTTCGGCACTGGCGTCTTTCTCAGTCTGACCATCAGCTGTAAAATGGTTGGACTCTTCACATTCTTCACGGTCGGCACAGCTGTCGTCATCGACTTGTGGAAGCTGCTCGACGTCAGACGAGGCTACACGATGGTATGCGAGACTGCAAGCAGGCGCGCTTTGCTGACCTTGTACGCAGAATCATGTTGGCAAGCACTTTGCAGCGAGAGCACTCGCTCTGATCGTGGCGCCGTTCCTCCTCTATCTCTTCTGGTTCTGGGTCCACTTTGCAGTCCTCACGAAGAGCGGACCAGGCGACGAATTTATGACACCCGCATTCCAGGAAACACTGATGGGCAGCCCATTGATGCTACAATCCCTCGGCAAGTCTGTCATGAATGTGTGCATGCTACGCTTACGCAGTGCGATGCAGAGGTCAGATATTACGATTCTGTGATCATTCAGCACAAGCAAACGAAGGCATTCTTACATTCTCACGTTGACAAGTATCCACTACGATATGATGATGGCAGGATATCCAGCCAAGGCCAGCAAGTGACTGGCTATCCTTTCAATGATACGAACAATCACTGGCAGATTTTACCGACGAAACAGCTCCCCGACACCGGCAGGGGCAGACTAGTACGTAATCACGACATCATCAGACTCTTGCATGTCAATACAGACACCGTTCTGCTCACGCACGATGTTGCAAGTCCCCTTATGCAAACCAACACCGAATTTACGACTTGGCCGATCCAAGACGAGACGCGTTACAACGACACTACCTTCGAGCTTGACATAGACGGCGGCCATGAGGGACAGCAATTCAAATCGAAAAGTCATCACTTCAAGCTCATTCATGTTCCTACGCGCGTCGCAATGTGGTCACATCCCGATCCTCTGCCGACTTGGGCTTTCAAGCAGCAAGAAGTCAACGGTAACAAGGCGCTTACCGACAAGACCAATGCGTGGTTTGTCGACGAGATTCTCCTCGATCCTCGTGCGGCGCCCTCTTTAGCGCTTTTTAAAGAAACACTGACAAAGAGTCGCACAGTGAGCTCGGACCCGCGCCTGCAGCAATCGACAGAGGTGCCAAAGCCCAAAAAGCTCAGTTTCTTCCGCAAGTGGCTTGAGCTACAAGTGGCAATGCTCCAGCATAATGCCGGACTTACGGACTCGCATCCATACGCGACTGGTCCAATCAACTGGCCATTCTTATTGAGCGGCATCAGCTTTTGGACAAGTCCCCCGGACGACCGCCAGCAAATTTATCTTATCGGCAATGTCGTCGGCTGGTGGTTCAGCATCATGGCCATGTCCGTCTTTGTTGGCATCCTTGGCGCAGATCAGATCGCCCGTAGACGAGGTCTATACCCCTTGCCAGAAGGTACGTCTTAAGTACGAGATCGTGATGAAGCTGACATGTGCGCAGCCGTGCGAGATCGTATGTACAACTCAACCGGCTTCTTCCTCGTGGCTTGGGCAACGCACTATTTCCCTTTCTATTTGATGACACGACAACTCTTCCTGCACCACTATCTGCCGGCGCATCTCGCCTCGACTTTAGCAGCAGGGGCGATATTCAACTTCATCGCGACGGAAACCATCAACTTTCCCGTCTCGATCACAGGTCCCAGCTCGCCTCAGCGTCCAAGAGAGCACGCTCAAGTAAGTCTGGCGATGCGCGTCTGCGTACTGGTCATCGTCGCTTTGCTCGCAATCACATTCGTCTATTTCGCGCCATTCACCTACGGTACTCCTGGCCTGGATCCAGAAGGTATCAACCGGCGCAGGATTCTGTCCTCATGGACAGTGGTGAGTCTTGACGCGACTCACACCGCGCCAACGAGCTGATATGTGTTACACGATAGCACTTTGCAAAGTAATGATGCACAAAGTCAAGCGAGCAATGACGCGAGGTGACTCCTTGCTGCACTGAGCTGATCCCTGAGGGTTTGCACCATCGCATGATCGCGAAAGCTGTGCCTTCTGTTTTCCGTTGACAGTGTGCTGAGGCAGTCTTCGATGGCTAGCAAGGATCTTCTGGCATTTGATTCCCTGAGCATTGCACTGGACAGCGTCGTGGCGATTTGCAAGCGAGCCTTGATGTTGTTAGACGATATGACAGTCTGACATAGCGCCTCAACGAGCTCTGTGTGATCGATCGGCAACGCAAGCACTGATGCTGCAGCCTTTGCGGCATTCCAGGCAACTTTCGGATCCGAGCTCTTGACTTGGGTCGCGAAATATCGTGTGGCCTCCTGCTGATCCTGCGACTCTGCTCGCGTAATCACGCTGCCCAAAATACGCACCAGGTTGATGTGCGTCTTGCCTTTGGCAGACGATGAGCATTCTAGTACATCGGGCACAAGCCGCGTTGGAACCAGCTGCTCGCGCTGCGTTTTGCTAGCAGCGTCGCATGCGGCGGCAACGCTCCAACTAGACGCCCACTGCATGCTTTCGATTTGCTCGCTGAAATAATCCGCTCGAAGCATTGGCGTCAATATGCCGACAACGTTGTCGAGGGAAGAGAGCGAGGCGACGTGCTCAAGCAGGACGCCCAAGCTCTTGACGCCTGTCTCGTGTATGTGTTCAGAGCTTCTCGAATGATTGAGTATGGTGATGATGAGCAGCACAGCAGAGTTGGCGGACTCAGCATCTCGAATATGCGACCGCTCAAGATATCGAATCTGAGCAGAGCAGACGGCATTCGAGCTGAGCACGGCGATATGTTGCAGTGTTTCTTCGTACGTCGCTGATGTAAGGACGTCTATGAAGGCTGTCAGATTCTGCCACATCTGCGCCGCACTGGGCGCAGAGGGCTCTAACGTGCGAAGTGCAAGCCAGAGATGCTGGCCATCAGTGCGTAGCGTTGTGAGACTTGCAGTCGTCAAAGGTCTTGCGATCGCTGTTGAGAGGGCAGCTTGCACGTCATAGACCGCCAGAGCCAATTCACTTGTAGTCTCGCACCGGACGAGCGACAGCCGCAGTTGCGATGCCATGGGATTCAAAAGGTCGCGCACCAGCCGAGAAAGAGGTGTGACCGTCACGAGTGATCTTGCTAGCTTGAGTAGATCTAGTTGTATCGCTCGATTTGCGGTCGAAGCGAGTAGTCTGATGACGGTGGCGTGTGCAGAGAAGACGCATTCTGCCAGACGAGCTGAAAGCGAGGTGAAAGCAGAATGTCCGGACGTTTCTTGCGCTGCCCCGATAAATCTCGCAGACCTCTGAAGCAGCGTGCTCGCAGCGTGACAGGCTTTCTGTCTGACGGACCGACATGAATCACCTTCGATCAGCGACCACAGTGAAGGGCCTTCGACATCTGGCAGGAGCTCGAAAAAGTGCGCATGAAGCAGAACAGTCTGTGTCTCTACAACTGCGGCCAGGCACTCGATTGCAAGCAGTCTGTTGCGCTCCTCCGCGTCGTCAAACGCATATGCTTGGAAGATAGCGACGGTCTGCTTGGCGCGTGTCGCGTCGATGACGGAGGCCTTAGAGCTTACAGCGAGCCGCCAAAGCTTAAGTGCGCACGGGAGAGATGCTGAATCCAGTGGCCCGTATTTGCAGAGCACGTCGTACAGAAGGCGTAGCAGCTGCTCGCATTGGCGCGAGATGACCGCCTTTGGGAGCGGTTTGTAAACCCGATAGATGATCTGAAGCGCTAGCTTGCGAGACCCTGCCTTGTATACACAGCAAGCTAGCTTGTCGACGATGAGCGTCGCATGAGCAGACAGGGTGTCAATATGTGCGCGTGCGATCCAGTCGAGCAGACGTTGAAGAGTGCCGACATCGCAATGATCGCCGCTTAACAAGTCCTGTAGGCTGTCAACATGTTGTGGTGCCGTCTCACTACAAACTCTTCTCAGTGATCAATTCAAGGCTTGGCAAGGACAGACATACGACCATGCCGGCATGCACCCTCGTCCGTCGTCAGATCGTCAGATGGCAGGCACGCGAGCGCGACGAGGCCCTTCAACAGCTGGCCGCCGGCCTACGCAGCGGCGACGGCAGCACAGCATGGAGACGAATGAGTTTCTGCTGCGACAGGAGCGCACTTCTACGGCTGATGAACAGCAGAACTGGCCGACGTTCAACATTGAGCCGACTGCTCCCTCGAGCGAGTCACTGTCGCCTATCGCGGCAAGGACGAGGTCTCGTAGTAGGAGTGCATTGGCATGGACGCCAGGCTTAGGCCCGCCAGCTCAGCCTCAGTTGTCCCCGCCCAGCAGTGCCTATGGTGACACCGAGTCTCCGCTGCTCGGAGGTCCAGAGCTGCTCGTCGACAGATTCAAGCGGTCAGGCCCCTCCGAGCGAAGGCTGCTCCTACAAGCTCTGTCGAGCGTGTTTGATCATTCAGACTTGGTCTACCTCTCCGAACTCATCAAGCCGCTCATGTGCCGAGACTTCCTGACCGAGATGCCGCCTGAGATTGCGCTGCAGATCATAGGCTACCTGGACGACCCCAAAGATCTCGTGAGGTGCTCTCAAGTCAGCAAGCGGTGGCGCGCTATCGTGGCGGACGAGCATACTTGGAAGGCTTTGTGCGAGAAAGTCTACAGAGGCGGCTCAGCCCGAGCTCTGTCTGGCTTGAGCACCTCCAACAGCTATTCGGCCATCCAACGCGGCGTATTCAGGCGGCTCGCTAATGACTACAGACAGGGTGGCACGCATGCTCGTGCTGCCTATCTCTTCACTAATCCAGATGCTATGCGTATGGCGGACGCGCTCCCACCAGAAGCAGAAGGGACAGGCGGCCCCGCGCCTGTACGCGGTCTCGGCCTGGCTCTCACAGACGCGGTAGCCACGGGTCAGATTCCCTCGGGGCGATCGGCTGAGGATGGCGGACGAGCCAACGAGATTGGCGTCCAGACACACCAGTTGGCTGACATGCTCGAGCCGCTTAGCCTGAACAATCTGGGTGGTATGGGTGCTCATGCCGTCGAAAGAGCCAATCTGCCTCTGCCCTCTGCCTTCAACACACCTTCGCTCAACTCTCCAGCGGATCCTCTGGATCAAGCCAGCGAAGACACTGCCGAAGAGCCCGCTCGCTTTTCGTACAAGCGCGAGTTCAAGCAGCTTTTCATGACCGCCTCGAGTTGGCTCAACGGACCAGGTCGCGTCTTGTCCACTCAGACATCAGCAGACGATGGTGCAGTGACAAGTCTGGCCTTCGACACCCAGTGGATCGTTGTTGCCATGAACTCAAGAGAGCTCCACGTCTTCAGCGCTTCAACGGGCACATATGTTAGAACGCTCAGAGGGCATGAAGCTGGCGTCTGGTGTCTTGTCCTCGTCTCTGCGGGCGGTGGTCCAGTACATCCTGTCTCGGGCGATGCCTCTCCAGAGACTCGAAGAACGAGACGCTCATCTTCTGTCGGACCCGCATCTCCCGTCGCCGAACGACGTGCTCTACCTACATCTGCGCCATTTGCGCGTTCGGGGTCAACCATGTCTAATTTGTCAGCAGCTTCAAACGATAGCCAGAGCTACAGCGGTCGATTTCAGTCCACGGACCAAGCCGACTCGCCTCTGCGCAGCAAACATCCCCGCCGACCTTCGTCGTTCTCTGGACTAGAGAACAAAGAACGCGAAGGCCAGTTCGGCACACAGAGATCCTCAGATGGTCCCATGGGCATGGGTCTTGGAGCAGGCGGCAACGGCGGACCGGTCTCCCAGCAAAATACGGCTTGCGGTACCGCGAGAGGATGGGGTCAACCTGAAGCTCTGGTGATCAGCGCAGGCTCGGATCGCGATATTCGCGTATGGGATGTCCGTTCGGGGTGCGCTCTTATTTCTGTATCTTCTTCGCACTCATAGCTGACATTAATGACACAGCACATGTCTTTTCAGGCTGCGCGGCCATTCGTCAACGATCAGATGTTTACGCGTGCTAGAGGGCAGGCCGATTGCAGTTTCGGCCTCGCGCGATCATACCTTACGTGTCTGGGATCTTCGCAACGGTCGCTGTCGAAGAACGCTGCGAGGTCATACAGACAGCGTGCGATGTATCGAGGTACACGATAACAAGGTGGCGAGTGGAAGCTATGATCTCTCTTGCAAGCTCTGGAACGTCGATACGGGCGAATGCCTCTTTACCTTTACGGGACACATCAAGCAAATCTTCACCATCGCATACGACGGAAACCACATCGCTACTGGTAGTCTAGACTCCACTGTCCGGACCTACAATGCTATCACGGGCGAGTCAATCGCAGCGCTGCAAGGTCACATTCTGCTGGTCACGCAAGTCTTGATCAAAGACTCTATCCTCGTCTCAGGCGGACACGAAGGCTCGATCATGGTGACTGATCTTACAACAGAGGAGAAGGTGCATCGCTTGCTGGCGCACGACAATTCCATCACTTCGTTACAATTCGACAGCCGCTATCTCGTCACAGGTAGCAACGACGGTCACGTCAAGCTCTTCGACCTAAAGACAGGACAATTCATTCGCGATCTCATCGAACCCTGCGACCTCGTCTGGAAAGTCGCCATACGCGACGACAAGTGCGTTGTACTCTACCAAAAGCAAGGCAGGACGGTCCTCTCGCTGATCTCATTCCGAGCAAGCGACAGCGATCTTTAGATGCCGCCTAGACACATCATGTAAATTATGCATGCTGCGTGCACAGACGGCGAGTTGAAATTCGAATGCAAATAGTCATACAAAAGACAGGGACGATACAACTGATTTGTGTGATTGGTACGGCTGGATATACACGTGTGGTCTCTTCCGTAAGGAAAGCCTTTGAGTGTCTGTCTGCGAATCAGCTTTTCTGTAGATGCCAATGGTCGATGCGAGACTCACTCGTTGTACTTCTTAGTGGTATGTCGCATTTACTCAGCCACGACATCTGCAGCGTCTCGCTTATAGTAAGGTGCTGGAGCAGAAGCGGCCTTCGCTGCCTCCGGCTGTGCGTCACGCTTGTAGTAAGGCGCGGGAGCCCATCCTGCTTTGGCGGCTTCTGCTTCTGCCTCTGCCTGCGCGTCTCGCTTATAGTATGGCGGTGGGGCCCATCCAGCCTTGGCTGCTTCAGCATCACGCTTGTAGTATGGCGCCGGTGCAGATGCCGCTTTGGCTGCCTCGGCATTCGCTTCGGGTTGCGCATCTCGCTTGTAGTAGGGTGCAGGAGCCCAGCCAGCCTTGGCTGCTTCTGCGTCACGCTTGTAGTACGGTGCTGGTCCAGAGGCTGCCTTTGCTGGTTCTGCAATGGGTTCGGGCTGCGCGTCTCGCTTGTAGTAAGGAGGTGGTGCCCATCCTGCTTTGGCAGGTTCTGCCTCCGCCTCGGCCGAGCGTTTGTAGTAAGGCGCGGGCGCCCATCCGGCCTTTGCAGCCTCCGCAACGGGGGCCGCAGTCGCTAGTGTGATGCCAAGGGCAAGTGCTACGAGGGCGGTCTTGACGAGCATGATGATGATAGTATGAAGTGCGTAGCGTGCTTTGGGTCAAGCGAGCCTAATGAAAGCGCAGGTGGGAACAATGGCGTCTACTAGCGTCCTTCTTATGCAGAATCTCGTGGCCGCCAGATTCGAGGTTGCCGTGGAACAGTGACGTCTTGCAATCTCGTTGTACGCTAGCTGGAGACTATTTTGTATTTGTTCCAAGCTCTCCCTGCACAGGCAAGGATCGATATGATCTTGGTTCGATAGCCTTTTCGCGTCCCCTCCTTCTGTTGCTTGCGGCTTCTGCAGACTGCGCGTATGGATGGTTTTTGGAAGCTCTGGCGCTAGTGAGCTAGCGCCGGGCAGAATGGCACTTTGTCGCAAATTTGCCACACGATGATCTCGCACGACACGCGGCGAGACAGTCGGTTTAAGAAACTCCTAGGACCCTGACAAAGTGGCGGCGATCTCTTTTAGTAGAACTTGTCAGTGATCCACGACTGAATTCACTCTGCTTGCTCTAGGACTGTTCGTTCAATTAGAGCGCGCCATGTGCGCATGCGCGTCTTCGCAGACTGGTCGCTGCGGCGTTCCACAAGCTCCGGATGACAAGATACGCATATGTCCCCGTTATATGCCGGCGATGCGAATGCCGAGCGGGCGACTGCATGGAGTGCGAGGAGCTGTTGCTGGACTGCATGAGACTCGTCAAACGTCAAACATAAAAATAGCAATGACAAGGCTATAAAGGTCTACTTGAAGTGCTCAATGAGTGCGTCTGTGCAATACTATGCAGCCTCTTTGCCGCCTTCTTTATCCTTACGCTCCTCTTCGAGCACCTGATCGCGTATCTTGAGGTCTGCACAAGGCGCGAATCTGGATCGTTTGCGAATGGTTTGCCCGTACTTGTAGAAGATGAAGGGTGCAGGTGCGAGTACGATGGCGAGACCGCCAAGCAAACTCAGTGCCCCCGATACGCCAAGAGCGGTCAGCATCTGAAAGCTTGCATATTAGCTCGGTTGACGTGACGCCTGCTCTGTACGCACCCTGGGAACGTAGACCGGACACGGACCAGCGAACAACGAACGTGCAAATGTATTAGCAGCAAGGCCAGATGCAGCAAATGGACCTGTGGATCAGTCTCAGCTTAGTTCTCATGAGCGCAAGCAGGCGGAAGACTGACCATATGTGTCGACAATGTATGACAGCAGAGAGATGAAGATCAGGCTGTATGTTGCTCCGAGTGGTATCGTTGCAATTTCCGGCGCAACCCAGCTGATGGAGCTGAATTGACCCGTCCATCCGAGCCAGAACAAAGCGATGGGTAGTATAGGGGCTGCCAGCATCGATCCTCGCAGTCTGTATTCAGGTGGCGGTGTGCCATGCCACTTCTTGGTAAGGAAAAGGTAGTCTCGCTGTAGATAGATAGAAATGGCGGCGCCTATCGTGGTTCCGATGCCGATGCCAATGAATGACAGGCCACCTTCGCCGAGATTGAAGCCCCGCTTCTCTTGGAAGACGACCGGATAAACCTCGAATGAGCTGTAGATGAGCCAGTAGACAAATGATGTGTAGACGGTGATGACTTGAAGAATCGGCTCGAGGCCAAGGATTTCGAAAGGCTTGAGCAAATTCTTGCGCAAGACTGACTTGACGGACCAGTCGGCGTTCTCTAGATCACACCAAGCTTCCGGTTCGCCGTTTGCGCGGCGCTTCTTTGCACGCTTCTGCAGCAGGATCATCGCGAAGGTTTCCGGAAGACCGAAGAAGAGCAGCAAGGTGACTGCGCCGGCGAAAGCGAATAGTACCCAAAAGACATCGACATAGCCTCGCTTTTCGGTGACGAAGGATGCCATTATGGGACCGATGATGGGACCTATCAATCGCGTGATCAGCCTCTGGCCCACTAATATCCCGGAGTTACTTACCTAGGAAGATCGAGCCGGAATAGAATGCCATTGCTGTCCCACGAAGATGAGTCGGCCAGATGTCTACAATTAGTCCACCGCCGTTGGTGAGCGGTGAGGATGCGGCAAGGCCTTGCAAGAATCGGCCGGCGAGCAATGTGCCGAAATTGGTGGCCAGAGAGCCCATCAATTGCAAGAGGAAATAAGCAAGCGCGGTCGCCCAGAAGACCGGCCTACGTCCGAACATCTCTGATAGCGGCTACGTATGACGCGTGAGCTTGGTTCGATCCAGCCAGCGTGAGGGACCTACAGCAAAGACCAGAGGACCCAACGCGAAGCCGACCAAGAACAGCATCGTGACGAGGCCAAACGCGGCCGTGGAGATGCCAAACTTTGCGCTGATCTCTTGCGATGCTACAGTCGGCGCCGATGATCCGAGGGTGACCTGCTCGTGAGTCAGAGCGTGTCACAGTTCTGCTGAGGTAAGCATGCCTGAAAGGTCGTGATACAGATCACAGTCGTACACCATATCTTCTTGCCCAGAGACCAATTTTGGGGATTCTCCGGGTCATTGTCCTTCCATGCCGTGTCTGGCAGACGAGAAGATGTGTAAGTCTCGAGATAGGGCAACTTCAGTGGCGATCTCACAATTCGAGTCATTGCCCTTATTCTTGCTCTTCCAGTCGCGCTCTTCTTGCGGACTGTTGAAACTCGGCTTTTCACTCTTGCTGGTGTGCGCAGATGGGCATGACTGCTCTTGCTGCGATTGTTTCTCGTGCGAGGGCGAAACACCGTCAGAGTTACGTGATGCTAGCGTAGACTCCTGCGAGTGACCGGAAGAGGAGTCATTACGCCCTGCTGATGTGCTGCCCACTGGCGCTGCTAGCTTTTCTTCGGCCATGATTGGGCAGAAGAGGAGTTAACCTGGATCTGATGTCACAGGACGGCTGGGACGGCGGGATTTTGTTCAGCCGGACTTAGCGCTGAGCGCTGAGCGAGACCGTGACAGGCCGTTCGCAAATGACCTATTCATCTAGACTCGACACGTGTCATCGTCGACCGTGTTCATGAGCGCTTCATAGAGGCCTCAGAATGCATCTGTAGCTTCTAGCGCAGGACGTATGCGATGAGCGAGGGCACATACGAGACGTGAGCTATCCCACTACCGCAGGAGCGTCGCTCACTGCTCGCGGAACGGCAGCGCGCACAAGAGGCACGAGGCAGCGCTCACTGAGGCTTTGACTCACTTTCGCTCGTTGCTGGCGAGCGTGCACTCCAAGTCATGGAAGCCCTACGGCACATCGAGCAGCGCTTCGAGCACTGCCCCTCCAAGCGTCAAGAATGGCGCAATGGCCAATGTCAGCTCGTCAATGTCAGCTGCAGCGGGCAAGGCAGTAGCACAAGCTGTTGCTCAAGCCGTGTCGTCCACTGGCTCGAGTCCGGCGCTGGGGTCTGCACTATTTGGCAAGCCGAAAGCACAGATAGGCCAACTTGAGCCTTCGTCTGTGCGCGTGCATCGACGGTCATCAAAGACAGTCAGCATCATACGAGCTATTGCAGAAGTACCCATCTCAAACGCAGAATACCTTGACATCAACACCTTCAAGGCAGCTCTTCAGACTCCCGAAGTATGGTCGCAGTGGAATCAGCTCATCGAGCGCGCTCAGCTGCTCGAACAAGTCGATCCAGCTACGCGTATCACAAAGACTGACTACGTTCTGGGCTGGCCTGCCAGTCCGAGAGATACCGTGACCATCTCGCGAACGTTTCAAGATGCAGTGACTGTCATAGACGTCGCTACCTCACTGCCGCGCAGTGCCGATGAGCCTGCCTATCTACGACCTTCACCACCTTTCGTGCGATCACAGAACCATTTGCTAGCATGGTGCATCCAGATCCCCACGACTAGCCTTCAGCAACCATTTTCAGGGTCTGCGTTCGATCGCAATCAAACAGAGAATGTCATGGCCAGAATTACGATGTTCTGGCAATGGGACCTCAAAGGCACCGTCGTTTCCAGTCATCACACGCAGGTAGCGAACATACTCTCCAACTTCGTCAGTTTCGTTCGCGAGAAAGGCGATACCCTGCCGTCTGTGATGAGCTATGGAAAATCGCTAGAGCTTGTTGCAAAAGCCTACGATCCGGGGCAAGAGACACTCTCAACTGATTATACCATTGTTGCGGAGGACGACTTCGATCACCGTGGTGACACAGATCCCAAGGGCATGGACGAGCTTGCGTCGCAGCGAGAGCGTAAGCGCTTGGAGCGATCGATAGAATTCGCCTTGCCTGCAGGTCAAGGCTGGGATGTTGCCGTTATCGTGCGTGGTCAAGGAGACGACGTCAATACAGATTGGCAATCTTCCGTCGAAAATAGCTCGACAGATTTCTCGAAGCCTTCGCACATCGGATCCGGTCATCTTGTCTTACGACTGAGCCATGCGCGATTGCTACGAGCAGACGAGCTCGTCAGCGTCAAAGTCAAGATACAGCGCTTGGCAGGCGGTCGGAGCGTGCGCATCAACAATAAATCTGCAAAAGTTGTCGATGTTGAGGTCAAAAACCCCGCTGCTCTTAGCAGACAGATCCTCGAGGCGCCTGCGGATGATACGACTCAGCAGACCAGCTCGACTATCCAATCTGTGCCTACAGCACCCAGTCTGACGACTCTTCCTTCGAAAGCCCGCGCGAACGCCATCTCAATAGCTATAGGCTCGCTGGTCAGCCGATCGTATGTCTACTTCACGTCACTCCTGCAGGAGCCAGAAGCCAAATGGAGACACATATCAGACACAAAGGGCGTTACAGTCACTCAGCTCAACTCTCTGGATCCTACGCTTGCAATATACAAAGCGGAAGCGACCTTTGTCGGGGTAGGAGTATGGGATATCTATTGCGCCATCGCTACTGCGAGCGCTCGCCTCAGCTGGGATAAGACGGTTGAAGATGTACATCTGCTCGATCACGTCAACGAGCTCAGCTCGCTGTGGTACTTCAAAACCAAGGCTGCTTGGCCGGTATCGTGCGTCTCTACCCAAAGCCCCTAATCTCGACTGACCCAAAAAGCTCAGGGCGCGAGACTCTGTGTTGCTACGCACGACGTATCGCTCACCATCGTCCGTGCACGTGTTCTCATTCTCTGCAGACGATACCAATCTATTTTCTGCCATTCCTGCCGTTGAGTCTGCAGTCATTCGCACGCAGACAGACGTTTACGGCTGGGCGATCGAGGCTCTCTCCCCTACAACAACCCAAATCACGCTAATAGAGCAGTCCAATCCTAAAGGGTGGTCAAACAAGTCGTGGATTCCACAGCAGATGATAAGCTCAGTATCGGGTGTGGGTGACTTTGCGATAAAGCATGGCGGACCGCCTGTGCTTACCAGACTGCTTGGCGGCAAGCTACTGTCAACGGCGTATGAGCACGAGCGATCTTTGCTCAAGCTCGAGTATGTGGCTGCACCCCGGTCGTCAGCACCAGACACGCGAACACTTGCATTGTCAGAAGAGACGACGACCACGGATGCAGATTCGATCATATCGGCAGCGCCTGGGTCTATCGAATGCGAGCTTCGATGCGACACACATACTTGGGCAAGTAGCCTTGACATCGTTATCGATCCACCTCCATCCAAGGTGTCTTGTCTGAGTCGGCATCGCCTGTCCTCAGGTGCCGGCTGCTGGATTACAATCGAGCACGAGAACAGCGCAGTCATGTCTGATCGCGTGCTGGTTGTCGTTCGCAAAGGGGCACTCGGACGTGAGAAGGGCTCGGTCGTCGTCAATGGCTGCAAGGCGCATGTCGATATCGAGGATATGCCAGACGACGAGGTCAAATTGCTAGCCACGCGCAAGCGCGTCAAGGCAAGTCCGATCCCATTGGATCAGTACCCAGCGATTACGCCTAGCGCGTGGAGAGGCACCCCGACGCTCTCTGCGCTAGGTACGCCAGCACTTGGTAGCACGAACAATCCGCTTGAAACGCTTGACAGTAGCGAGAGGGCATCAATGTCTGACGCCCCGCGCAAGCCGCCACTTTCTTACGCCCTTGAGGCGCTTGCATGGCTGCAAGCATTGCACGCCGAGCAGATGGCGGATATGACCTTGCAGCCCGTGGGATGGTCCCTTGTGACAGAGAAGCCGGCGGCCGTCCGGAAGAAGCTCCTTAGTCACATCTCGAGCACACTGCCAGTATTTCGCGCCGACAAGATCGTGCAAGGCGTCACGGCAGAGCAAATGTGCAGCATCGTCTCCCTGCCTGGCTATAGAGCCGCGTGGGATGATCGCGTCGAGTCCGTGCAACTTTTATCGTCGCATGGCCACGGCTGCACGACATCGTTGATGACTACCAAGTCTGCATTTCTCACTTTCCGCGGTCGAGCGTTCTATCATGCCACTGTAAATGCTCACTTCAAGCTTCCCGCGCCGTCTGCTGGCTCCAGCACTTCAACTGTCTACCTGTGTGCGACAGCTTCGTTTCAGCCAAGCGCAGGGCAAACAGATGAACTCAATCCGCAACGCCTGCCGAATGGGCAGACTTTGCTCGATGGTTGGATCCTCGAGACGCTTGATCCTTATACGTCAAACGACTATGCTATCCCCTCGACGCGCTGCTCTTACTTCTCGGCAGTCGATTACTCTGGATCAGTGCCAGCTGCGTTCAACTCGATGCTGAACGCAAATTTGGCCCGCGTCATTGATGCTGTCGAGCGCTCGGTCAAGACGCGTGGTGCAGCACCGCGTCTGTATCAGCCTGGCACATCCTTACAAATCGAAGGACCCCTTAGCAGTGGGGTCAGTGATGAGTGCAAGTGGGTCATGACAACAGACCCGGCTAAAAGTGTAGCGGCGAATGAAGACGCCGACTCTGTCAGCGGATTTTATGCAGTGTCTCTCGTTATCCCAAAACACAGCATGACTCTGGGATCTGTGCCACCGGAGCAAGAACGAGCCAGCGCGGTCGGCCTCCCAAAGAGCAGCTCGAATTACACGTTGTCATCAATTTCTGCCATCTCAAAGGGCCATACGCTACGCAAGCCAGCTTCATCGGCCGAGCTGCGTAGTAGACCCAGCATTCCTGCTCTCAAAACTGCGCCGAACCCTCAAAGTATCGCGGCGCGGCCGAAGACAGAATCGGACGGACTCAACTCGCCCGTGGACGATCTAGTCGTTGGCGAGATCATCGTCGACTCGCGGCGCTACCCAGCCGGCTATAACATCCAGCATCATGCACATTTTGGCGATGGCCAGATTTTGCTTGGCGGCACAGACCATAATTATGCCACGTCCGCGCTACCTGTCCAGCTGCGAATTCATGAACTACCACTTTCTACAGTTGTCGCAGCATCAGTCGGCGCGCCGCATCGGTATCGTGACCACCTCATTCGAATCATGCTGCCGACGGGTGCAATAGAGCATCCTGTACGCGATCCGCTCATGGAAGACGAACCGGCTGCTCGGCCTCACTGGTACCGACGGCTGCTCTCCGAAGGCATTACTCTGACTTTGAATATCGCACCCACGGAGGGAGGCGCTGCTGATACGGCAATGACTGCGAGTTATGACGGCACAACACTCGGTATCATCAGCGAGCAAGCAAGTCGGCGCTTGCTCGACATACGCGAAGAGCAAAATTGGCTCTCGAGCTCTGCACGCCTCAGCAGGTATGTCGTGTGCACTTGTATTATATTGAGATTGATCTAACGGGGCCGCAGAGTGCCCATACGTACTGGCGATGCTACCTCCACCGTCGCATTGCCGGCTGGCCTCATACAGCCTTTAGCTGCTCGGTCTGAGGATACTTCTGCCGCAAAGGGTACAGCCAGCAGATCAGCGAGCCAGGAAAAGCATAGTCGGGCGCAGTCGGGCCTCGCCACTCCGATTGATGGACAAATTGATCCGAGTGAAGGCAAGCGCCCCATCGACACTCTGGCCAGAACATCTGCAGCGAATCAAGATGATATTTCGGCCACGACGGGCGTGCTAGGGGGCTTTCCGCTGGCTAAGATGACAACGGCGGTTGCCTCATTCGACGCGTCTATGCAGACAAAGGCAGCTGTCTCGCTGACGATGCTCATCTTGGTTGCGGTCACTTCATTTTTGTTGGGATCCCTCATGCGTTCTATGCTGTCACCTGCCGATTTCATCTTTGTTTCGCACAGCAGTAGCCTCGACGATGCTGTCATACGAGCGCTCGAAGCCAAAGGCCAAGGCTGGCGGATCGCAAAACGTCTGCTCGAGCTCAAAATTCCAGGCTTACATTATGACTTCATGATATCAATCGCACGACACCCAACTTGAGAACTTTGTTGTTGTCAATACATCTAGCTCTCCTGTTCGCTAACCGGCTGGCTAGCTCGATCATCAAGCGCGTCCTCCTCTCCGTCTGAGATATCGAGGGGAGTACTCGGATCGGTCGTGTTGAGACCTGTAGCTTCTTGCCCGGGATTGAGCCGACGTCGTTTCTTGGCGCGCTTTGTCTCCTCTGGAGCCAGGAATTTGCGCGTAGGTATGACAGCTTCGAAAGCTTCTTTCCAATCGTGCAACTGCGATGACAATATAAGACCAAGCTGATCCTGCGGATAATCCGGACTTGCTAGGACCCATTTGAGCATTATGTCTACGACTTGGTTGACGGTGAGCACTTTGCGCGTCTGCATGTCGATGTATTCGCCTATTGGCAGCCGGGCATGTTTGATTCCGAGCTCGTTCGCAACATCTAAGCACAAGTTCTGCTTACACCTCAGTGACATTGCCTCAAGGTGAGTTCATGAGTACCTTGTATCGATTGCGATCGACTATGCCGCCTATGATGTAAGCAGTCCCTTCTTCGAGCGCCGTGACGACGTTCTCCGAGTCTGCCGTGAGATAGACGACCCTGTCTTTGGGACACCGGTATGGTTTTGACAGCTTCAAGCGCTTAGCAGAACGAGATAGGCCTGCTTCTGATTCAAAGACATCCTCTGTCGTTGTCTGGTCGGCCGTTACACGGTCTTCAGGCTCGATCGCTGTCTGTGGCTGATCTGGCGCGTCAAGTGAGTCTGACCACACAGACTCGAGGGATTCATGGGTCGAATAGACACCCTTCCATCGTTTGTATGCGCCATCATTGAGGCTCTCTAGCCTGTCGAGCAGTCTGCCTTTGAGTGTGGTGAGGACAAGGTGCATGGGCCGGGTCGTATTGCGATTTGCTGAATAGCTATGTGACAATTGCCTCTCCATGCTCAAAATTTCCTTACGAAGCTCATCAGATGAGCATGGATGGCCAATGATCACAGCTGATGGCCGACCTTGTCAAGCATCTTGTCATCGAAGGAGCAGTCGATGATCAAGCCGCAATCAAACAGTTCTTGAGGTTCCTTAGGCTCGGCAGGGGGTTTCCGCTTTGCAGCTGCGTACGCATCTGGGTCTGCCTCCCGCTCCCTTCGAGCAGCGTCCTTCTTGCGCTTCTTTGCATCTTTCTTGTACTCCTTGCGAGCTTCCCTCTGCTCTGCAAACTTGGCTTGACGAGCTAATCGCTTCTGAGCGGATTTTGTCAACACGACTGCAGGCGCATCAGCCGGCTCGTCGATCTTTGACGTGCTCGCTGTCGGCTCCGTCATAGTCGGGCCCAGACAGCTGTCGTACGTCGGAGGGCTGTGATGTGTCAGCAGGCTTACATGACCGCCCACACGCGCTCAGTCAGCGGCTTGCCGCCTTGCTGGTCAGCAAACATCCACTCTCGATCGCCTTGCGTGGGGTGATCAGAGCATAAGAAGCTGATAGGAGAGGCAGCAGAGCGCTTCCATCAGCACACACGAACGACATGGTCAGCGCTGAAGCAAAGCAGATTGTCGTCGTTGGCGGCAGTTATGGCGCACTCAAGCTCGCTCACGAGTCCATCAGATCATTCGCGGTCAAACAGCCCGATCAATGGCACGTACATATCATCTCTGCCTCGACTGAGTTCTGGCACTCAATAGGCACGCCAAGAGGTATACTGCCGGCAGGCGGTCATACCATAGACGACTCGTTCCTTCCACTCGAGAAGGGCTTCAAACAGTACAAGCCTGAACACTACACAATTACCTATGGTACAGTCACCTCCATCGATGACAACGCACGGTCAGTGCATGTCAAGACGCAGACTGGCGAGCAAGATGTCGCGTATTACGCGCTCATCTTGTCTCCTGGTGAGACAACCTCGCCTCCGTTCTGGTAAGCACTGACGTGTAAAACGTGCAGGCGTTCTATCCAAATCACCTTTGTTCAGCTATCATGACGGCTCAAAGTCGCTTCGAAAGGCGTATGAAGACGCATGGCAGGCGATTCCCAAAGCAAACAGTGTCCTGATTGCTGGCGGCGGCGCAACCGGTACAGAAACAGCAGGCGAGATCGGCGTCCGTTATCCCGACAAGAAAGTCGCAATTTACTCGGGCGCCGAGCGCCTGCTGCCTTCGATTCCCGCTAAATTTGGATCCAAAGCTGCTCAACAGCTCCAGCGACTCGGCGTCGAGGTCGTTCACACCGTCCGGATCAAAGAGTTCACAAAGTCGGACCAGGGTTACACGGTGCACTTTGATGACGGCTCGTCTCGCTCGTTTGACTATGTCATCGACGCTACCGGTCGCTTACCCAATACATCCTTCATCCCGGCCAAGGCTCTCAATGCGAAGAAGGCGATTATCGTCGATGACTTCTTTCGCGTTCCCGCTCTGGGCGAACGAGTTTATGCAATCGGCGATGCTACCAGGGACGCCGGTCTGGTCGCTCTCATGTCTACCGCGCCCGTCTTGATCGGTACGATCAAACACGATTTCGGGGGCGGCAAAGCGCCGAAGCCCTACAAGGGTCCGATGAATATGATGCTCGTGCCGATTGGACCCAACGGCGGCGTTGGTCATGCATTCGGTTGGAACATGCCGAGCTTCCTCGTCAAGCAAGCAAAGGCCAAGGGCTTCTTCTGGGAGAAGTTTGAGCCAGCTTTGCTCGGCAACGACTAGGCTTCCTGTGTCTACTAGCGTGTTGTCCTTCTTGGTACAAGCTGCTTGACTCAGTAGCGCCACAGTGAGCTGTGTCCTCGAAGTGTAGCGCTGTGATGCACGTTGATGGCCCACGCCTGCCGATCAACTTGACCAATCTTGCGCTTGCCAGTACTGCTCGAACGAGACGGTGCCCACGGACGGATCAATGCCATAGCGACGCAAGCACTCGAGGCTCAAGCAGCAATCTCGTGGTCTCGGCGTATCGCCAGGCTGAGGTCCAGAGGCTTCAGAGATGAGATTCTCGTCAGAGTATCCCAGCAGCTTGGCAAACAGTCGAGCCATCTGGTACTTTGTCTGAGGCGCTTCACTGCATTGGACGTGAAGTATCGAGCAGGTTGCTGCTGTGTCCTGAACGAGTAGCTGGGATATCGCGTATAGCTTCTGGGCGACTTCGTCGATCGATGTAGGATAGCGCTCCGCCCAATCGTCCATGCGTGCAGGCTTCTCCTTTGTTGAGCGCTTCACAGATTGCAAGACTGCATCGACAGCCGATTCTCCCGGGTATTCGACGTCCCCGTAAAGCAAGGGTACCCGGACAATGACTGCGCGGCAACCGGCTGCTTGCACTGCTCTCTCACCGGCCAGTTTGGTCTCTCCGTAGAAATTGAGTGGATGAGGCTGCGCTGATGGTTCGTATCCACCCGAGGGAGCGTTGCCATCAAAGACATAGTCGGTAGAGATATAGATGAGAGCAACGTTGAGCTTTGCACAGATTGATGCTAGCTGATGTGTGACCTCGACATTCAGCTTACGTGCTGCGTCTGGGTCTTTCTCGGCTATGTCAGGTCGTCGCTCGGCTGCACAGTGAATGAAGAGATCTGGTTTCTCGGCTTCTATGTGGGCCAGCACTGCGGCATAGTCGGTCAGGTCAAGCCTGACCAAGCCAGCCTTTGCTCGAGTGTAGGCCAGCCCTGTGATCTTTGCGCCTTGCTCGACATAGTGCGCATAGACTGCTCGGCCCAGCAAGCCGCTGGCCCCCGAGAGCGACACCCGCATGTCCGCACTTTGCTGGGAAACGCCACGACAACAGAACGCGCGATCGGGCAAAACCGAGGGGAACGGGAAGCGTAGTCAGCCCAGGAAAAAAGACAGAGACGTGCCAAAGAGGCGTACTCGCAGTCAGTCGCGCCTCCGGACTTGCTCTCATAGCGATCTAGGTGAGCATATCTATCGGATCCGCCGTTTAAAGCGAGCGATTTGGTCAACAAATGACTTCAATGGACCTCCCCCTTTATTCGGCCCCTCATCTGCCTCTCCCAGAGCGACTTGTACTGATTAGAATGCTTCCTTTTCAGTCCCAATCGATCCGCAGGACTCGTCCGATCACATCACAGGGCTAGCTGGAGGTCTACCGGTCGGTCCGTCTCCCAAGGCTCAGGCTGGCTATTTGATTGATAGGATTCATCTGACGCCCCGCCCCTTGGTCAGCAGCTGTTATCGGCGGTCTTGACGAGCGATTCAATTCAGCCTCGTCAGCCCAGTCTTGCCTCCTTACCTCTGCATAACCTTGCCCTATCTCTCGGCAACTTATCGACGCGTCTTGCGGTCGGCATGGAGTGATTTCCTAGCCGGCCCTTAAGGCGTACCGATGTACCTGCAGCCATGCCCGTAAAGGTGCGCTCAGTGCCTTCCTTGTCCTCCACACACTGATTTGCCTGCAATTCAGTCGACCCGCTTCCGTAACAAGAAGATCAATTACAAGCAAAAGCTTGCCATCTTGACTGGCTCGCTTGATGTCCCGCTTGATGAGATCAGCAATGACCCTTCGCTGTCGGAAGAGCCAGGTCGGAACCATCCGACCGAGGTCGAAAAGCTGTTAGGTGGTGAGAAGGGTCCAGGCCATGTCGAGACAGGCGTCGACAAAGAGGAGGAGTCAGAACATCATCTTCAACAAGTGATCAATGCCAATCTCGCCTCTTTCAATCGCTCCTCTCGAGCGACAGCAGGAGCGCCGGGCAGTCCCGGCAAGGCCGCGTTGACCGCGCATATCCCAACGCCAGACGCGACAGGCTCGATCAGTCAGATCGAATATGATAAGGTCTATCTGCCCAACTCGTTCACCTTGCCGAGTACATATATCAGGAGCTCAGAGACGGTCGAAGACTGCATTGGCATTGGCTATTGCATGGACGAAGAGGATGAGGACTGGCTGGTCGAGTACAACGCCACGATCGAAGGCAATGCTTCGGTCCCACCGGAGCCTGAAGCTCTTGGCCGAGGCAATCGATCAGCTTCGAAAGCAAAGGGCAAGGACCGTGACGTTGACGCACCACTGGACGCACCCATCAGCGAAGATGATTTCGAACTTGTCATGGACCAATTCGAACGCATCACAGAGGAGAAAGAGCCAATGCTTCGCACTGTTCGTAAACCAAAGCAAGAGTTGCGGACTACTCACATTCTCATGCAGGACCTTTCTCGGATACCCACCCGAGCGGATCTAGAGGCGACATTTGTGGTCTCGCCTCTCTATCCGCGATTAGCATTAGTGAAGCCCTTCGCGAGGTCAATCTACCCACATTGGAGGGATAGACGGACAAAGCGAGATGGCAAGATGATCATCCCGTCTCTCGATGTGAGCCCTACTGCATCTCCCAAGCTATAGGCTGACGCCGATAACCGTTACAGTTCGACGAGACCGACGAGGAAAACCCATATGTCTGCTTCCGGCGGCGAGAGATCAAGCTGCCCCGCAAGACTCGCCGAGCAGAGACGCATTATGTCGAGCGTCTTGTCAGGCTGCGAACCGATCTTACTGCTGCACGAGAGCTTGTGCTTCGTGTACTCGAGCGAGAACGGATCAAGAAGGATTCCCTCGAAGCAGAATCAAAGGTCTTCGAGATTCGATGTACCATGCGAGAGCTCAAACGGCGGACTGGCGAATACGAGGGCGATGAAGACATCCTCATCAGTAAGCGGGACAAGCGTCGCAAAGAAGCTGCGCTCGCTGCCGGAGCCCAAGGGTGCGCTCACACCGATCTCATGCTGAGCAGAACGCTGATAGTGTCTTTCAGGTCGTTGCGAGTACCTCTGCGGTTACCCCGGGCAGACGCCAACCCTGCACCGACAGCTGCGCTCGCGGAGCCCATGTCAGTCTACAAGGAACGCGCGGCCGCGATGGCACAGCGCATCGAGCGCGATCTGCAACGAAAGCGCGAGGCCGATGCCGCATGGGAAGACTGGACGGACGGTGCCTTTGTGCCTCGCCCGCTTAATACGCCAGCGAAGCATTGGCGAGCTGCAGAGAGCGTCATGCTCCCTAGCGGTCCGGAAGGGCAAGCGCCAGGTCAAGTGCGCGCCTTTGCACATCATTTCCAGCCCGTCATCAACAACGTCCGACAGAGCTTCAGGCGACGAGTCGGTCGAGGTGGTAGGATACTTGTGGATCGGTTGGCCATGTCAGAACGCCGTGCGAATCGCTCTCGGCCCTTCCCCTTGGCTTCTGACGACGAGATGGACAAGGACGCGATAGCACGGCTGGCAGAGAAGTGGCGTTACGATTCCGACGTTGGCAACGATTTGCCCTTTGCGGACGATCCGATGATCATCGATGACTATGAGCTACAGTATTCACACGCACGCCTAGGCTTATTACGACCCGGCGATGCAGAGTCTTTGCAGCCCAACCCGATATACCTCGAGCACGCAGAGAACTGGCTCTTGCGCGAGCCTGAGAAGCTCGGCCCTCTGCAAGTCGTCGGAAGATTGCCAATACGAGCGATGACGCATCCGCCTGCTGGTGCATCGCTGACGACCGCTCAACAGCAACAGCAATTGCTAGCGACGCCAAATCAGTCCGCAGTCGTCAGCCAGATGATGGCTGCAGCTGCCAATCACGCCGCGGCGAGCCAAGCGCAGCTTCGGAACCGTGCAAATGCAAACGCACAAGCGCAAGCTCAGCAGCAGGCGCTCGCCAATCAGCGGAGAGCGCCGAACGGTTCGCCCTTACCTGTCGCTGCAAACGTTCCAGGCCCAGCCTCGGGGCTGGCGGGCTTGCAACAATGGCAGAACATGAACGGCATCATTGGCTCTCAAGTGCCGACGGCAGCACAGGCGCAGCAATTCGCAGCGTTGCAAAATGGCCTGCAATACGCTCAGAGGATACCTGCCAACGGGCAAGCACAGCAAGTCATTGCGTCGCCAACAGTAGGCGCAAACGGTCTGCCGGCGACATCTAGGCTGTCTGCACCGCCATACTCGGGTGCTCCACCGACGGCTACATCGCCTGCAACACATGGTCTCGCCAATGGCTTAGCCGTACAGCGTCCACCATCGCAGAATGGCCAGTATAACGGCAACGGACAAGCCGGATCGCCGCGCATCGCGGCCAACGGCACGCCTTTCACACTACCTGCTGGCTCGCCGAACGTGCAGCAGAAGACGCTCGCACAAGCTGGAGCGCCCAATTTGCGGCGAGTCGGCGCCCAGTAAACGAACTTGGACACGGACACCGAATCGCAAGAATCGATGAGTAAGACGCGAACCACCACTGAAGAAGTAAGAGCATGCCAAGTCGCAGTGCGCGATTGGTTCTGTATGTACAATGTGTACGAAAGTCTATTGCATCAAAAAGGTGTAGCGACGTAGGCTGCCTGCCGTGATGAGCTTGACGCGTGTGCGCATGTTCCCTGCCGCGTCACGTCATCGATCCATCAAAGCGGCGACCGTCGCATTCAGGGCGATGCAGAGGACTGTCGTGAGGCTAGCAGGCTCAAGTCTGCGGCTCATAGCTCTGCCTCTGTGTCGCAAGCCGGCATTGACATATTACCAAGCTCAGCTTCGGCAAAGTGAAACGCCATCGACCGCAGACCAATTAGCCTCTTCGTCTGGCGGCGGCAGCACAGCCGTCCCGCCTCCAGCCGAGACAGATGCACCCAAAGCCAGCTTGATCACTCGAGCGACGAACAAGGGAGGGGAGCTGTGGAGTAAGCTTGGCAAGGGACCGCCCGATGGCTGGAAGCGGACAGTGTTTGCAAGTCCTGCCTTGCATCGTGATCATACGTGCCCTCATTCCGGCCAAGCGCAGAACACGGGAGAGAAGCTGATGGACAAGATAGAATATGAGGAATGGGCGCTCAAGCAGATCGATCCTGAAGTAGCGCCAAAGCCAATAAAAAGAGCAGGCCAAGAGCAGCCTCAACATGCAAGCCTGGCTCTCCTGCAGACACACAGCGCCTGACAGGCGTGTGCAGGTAGCAATAATATACCCGGACTCGGTGCTCAGCGGCTCGGAACTGCTGGACGCATTGCAAAAGCAACTCGCCGACCGCGAGCCTCACCATAAGACGCGAATGTACAGATTTCTCTGTACGTGCCCAACTACAGAGACGTAGCGCTTGCTGAGGCGAAGCAGTGGGCTCGCCAATCACCTGGCCGTTTGCACTGATCCCAGTCGTGCCCAATTTCCCGCTATTTTACATGCTATGGCGAGGGTGGAGCCACTGGAGAGGTAAGCTGATCGCATGCTCGGAAGCAAGCCTGATACAGGACAGTGAGCAGCATACAAAGCAACAATGTATCTGCGCGATCTATTCGAGCATGACAATGTCAAAGCGACGAACAGCGCACGGCTAAATCAGATCTATGCAGCGCATATTGACGCTCGTATAGGCTCGGAACAAGTCGAGAGCGATGCCGCCAAGACCGGCTCGGATGCATCCAGCTTTGCGAACAACACTTCCAACGTCAATGAGGACAATACAAGCAGTGTGAAGGGGGAGCAAGCAAGCGATGCTGCGCGGACGGGCTCGGATGCCTCCAGCTTTGCAAATGCCGCATCGAATGCGGCGGAACACGAGACGACGAGCAAGACGCATGCGACTGCCACGGCAGCCGTTCCGACACAGGCGAGCTCGAGCGAACAAAAGAGCGACGCAGCCGCGACAGGCTCAGATGCGTCGAGCTTTGCCAATAACAGCTCAACTGCGGTAGAATCAAAGATCACTAGCAGTGACGAGCGATCGAACCGAAAGGAGGGGGAGAGTGATGCTGCTCTGACAGGCTCTGACGCTTCGAGCTTTGCCAATGATACATCCAGCGTGTCAGCATCGTCCAGCACGAGCACCAGCGCAACAGAAACCGGTACAGCTCGGCGAAGTACGGACGCATCAAGTAGCCCTGCAGATGCACCGTCTCTGCTGCTCACAAAGGAGGATATACCCAAGATATGCTCAACTTTTGGCCTGGACGAGCAGGCCGCTATAGACATCAGGAGAGCGATAGAGCAAGCGCAAGTCAGGCTCACTAATGCACAGAGCCCTGCTTGATGTATTGACCATTGCATGACGCCCTCATCAGACCGATCTGCCTCCCAGCCAGGCTCAGCTTTGAGTATTTCCATTGATCGCGTCGTCAGATTTATCGAATATCGATAAGCAGCGCTCGACGGCGCTCGACCGTCCCACGCGACCCAAGGCGACGATGAGGGGACACGATCATGCAGGCGGGTCAGGAACGGATTCGGCTGCCCTGTTGCAGCTGCTCAGAGTAGTAGCAGATGCTATCATCGAGGCAAGTGGCCGAGCATGAGCTCCAAGTGCGGTGCTCACATCTTGTATCTCCCTTTGTAGGTCTTCCTGCTTTGTGTAAGCGGCTGTCCTCAAGCGGGTCGGTTGTGACTCACACTCGAAGCCAGATCGTGGGCTATGTGCTCGCACGGAAAGGCATCGTGGACGACAAGACGAAGAAGCGACTGAACCATCTCAACGTCAGCCTGTTCACGCCCTGTCTGCTCTTCAGCAAAGTCGCTTGGTCCCTCTCGCCGGACAAGCTAGCAGAGCTGTGGGTGGTCCCCATCGGCTTCTGCATCGTCACAGGCGTCAGCGCGGGCGTTGCGTACGTCATGGCGAAACTGTTCAGACTCAAAAAGAGCCAGGCTGCCTTTGCGATCGCTTGCTCCATGTTCGGCAACAGCAACAGTCTACCTATTGCGCTCATGCAGAGTCTCGTCGCTACCGTCAGCGGACTCAAATGGGGCAAGGATGACGACAAAGACCAGGCGCGTCCCGTCTGACAGTAGCGTCCATCTCAGGCTGACGTGCTCTCCGCCTTACAGATGCTCGGTCGAGCGCTTTCGTACCTCGTCCTCTTCTCCACGCTCGGCATCATCCTGCGTTGGTCATACGGCGTCAGATTGCTCTCGACCGCAGACGATGAGGAGCCAGCGCAATCGCGTAGCAATTCCGCCCTGACGCCCTCGCAGAATGTCATTCCGATCGTCGAGTCAGAGAATGCTCCCCTTTTGAGACGATCAAAGTCGAGCGAGGATCGCTTCATCGAACGGACAGAATCAGCTTCCACGATAGTCAAAACGCCCAGCCCAACAGATCTCTCGCACAAGGCCCGAGTGTCGTATGTCGACGAGCCAGAGAGCATGCGGGATGAGACTGCCGAGCCACAGATGATGACAGGAGAAGGCAAGCAGCCGCCAGATTTGCGTCCTTCGAGTGTCTTCCACTCTTTCCCCAACACGCGGCAACACACGCCTGCTACGAGCGAATGGGGCAATGATGACGATGATGACGAAGAAGATGAGCGACATCGTCTAGAAGGCCTCAACAGTCAAGAAGAAGACGAGGACAGCGAATGGGGCGTTTCGCGCGGTGTGGGCCGAAGAGATCTCCCTGCGCCTGCTTCGTCTAGGCTCCAAAGCCGATTCCGCAAAATCTGGTCTTCCTTCAAGGCCGGCACCTACAGATGGATCGGCTCACCTTCCATGAAGCTTGGAAGGGGCATCGGCAAATTCATGACCGTACCGTTGTGCGTCCCGTCTGTTGACCTAACACCAGACCTGACTTACCGATGTTTCGTATTGCAGATGGGCTGCGCTGCTGTCGATGGTCGTCGCCTGCATTCCGCCGCTTCAGAGCCTACTGCACGACGTCGAGCCGCTCAAGGGCGCTTTACGAAGCGCAGGCAATTGCTCAGTACCGATCACGCTTGTCGTCTTAGGGGCCTATTTCTACAGACCGCCTGCCGACCCAGCGCAGCCGCGTAGAATGCCCATCCGCCGAAGAAGTACCGCGCCTGATCTGGGCGAAGGTCGCAAAGCCGAAGATCAATCACGTTTCAAGAAGATCATGAATCGCTTGCCGCTACCGTCTGCCTCGGCGCTTCGTCAATCGGAAGCTCAAGCGCCAGGAGAGACTCGGACGGTGATGGTCGCTATCCTGTCAAGAATGATCATCACGCCGCTCATCTTGCTACCTCTGCTCGGCTGGTGGGCTTCTAAAACGATCAACGTCGCTGTACGCTACTTGCCGCAAGTTTTGCACAGGCTGCGCTGACACGAGATGATAGGATGATCCTGTTTTCATCGTCACTGCTTGTCTCATCATTGGAGCTCCGCCCGCTATCACCCTGGCCCAGGTACGTCGCTTGTGAGCGGACGGAAAGGGAGCTGATAGGTCGTTGAACACAGATGACTTCGGCAGCATCGGATGCCTTTGAGCTGCTCATCACCCGTACGCTCTTTGTCGCGTACGCCATCGTCACGTTAGTTACTTGCGCTTTACCTTGATCCTGCGCTCATCGTTGCTCTTCCTCAGCCCGCCTACGACGGTCTTGCTTGTGATCGTTGGCTTACTGCTCGATCAATGGCAAGACGGCGTCAAAGGCGGTACTTGATTTCCATCTGTAGACTTGAAACGTGTTGTCACATCACTGCACATGCAAAATCGAGCTCAAGAGCTGCAAGATAAAGTACAAGCTACAAGAATGACTGCGTGAGGGACTATAAGTAGCCGGATTGAGAGACTTTGATCGTCGGGTCCGGATCATCTTCGTTTGCGGCATCCGAGAACGCGCGAGAGACGTCACCTTCCGAGTCTGCGTCGGATCGATCGTATAGATCTGTCATACTGAGCCTCGCCAGATCTGGTTCTGGCCCAGAGTAGACTGCTAATGCGGACGGTGCCTTTTGAGCTTTGCGTTTTGCCTTTGATACCGAGTTCGGAGCTTCGTGGCGACCATAGCACTGCAGCAGAAAGTCAGTCTGCGAGCGAGAGTGCAGAGAGGAGGGCTTACTACTGGGGAAGCTGACCATCCTTGCGCGCCCGTGAAAGCCTCTGTTACATTGGCAAGAGGCGACTCCGTCAATTCCCTCGCTCGGCGATCTGCCGGGGTACTCCAAGCATCGACCTCGGGATGGCAATATCGCGAGCTAGACGCGCTATGTCGTGAATCGTCATGCACGCTACGAAGAGGAGCAGGGCGAGTCGTGACTTTGATCGCGCTGCCTTGTGCCGTTGCATATACTTTGAGTCCTCTCGGCTTCTCCTGCATGGCCACCGGGGAGTCGTCTGCATACGTCGTAGCAAGAACATTCTGATGCGCCGTGTTCACAGGCGTCTCCATCAGACCAGACTGAACCGGCAGAGACTTTCCCTTGCCCTTCACAGAGCCGGCATCTTTCTTCGATTTAGCCCGCATCAAAGGCTTTGAGATCGATCCGAACGGATCAGCGTTCTCATCGCCGTACTTTGAAGGTGCTCGTCTGCCTGTACCGGATTGCGAGGGCTTGGATGAACTAGCAGGAGTGCGGTAGGCGTCTTGTTGTTCTGCGGTCAAGCCAGAGAACAGCAAACTCTGCTTCACTCTGCCATATGGCTGCCCTGGAGTTGTCAGTCCGTTGAAGGAGGCCGTTGTGGGCCTCTTGCGCTCGGACAGAGTGGATGTTGCTGATTTGCGAGCCTCAGTTTGTTTCGTGGGCGAGGTGGCAGATGACAAGTCGGAGTAGACGCTCATGCGCATTCTCGTCCGTGATGGACCTGCAGACTTGCGCTGCACGGGCAGACGATCCATCGTGTCGCAAGAGCCGGACGCCTCGCCGTTTGAATGGCTCGCTGACGGAATTTTGATGAATCGCGAGTCGCAAAACGCGCTAAAAACAACACGTGCATGCATACGTAGACATGATGAGGGTCTGACGCTATGTCCCTCTCGGACTCTCTTGCGCTCGTTCTAGCAACGGCACGTCATCTATTGGCTCGTCCATAGCATCGCCAATGACTTCAGCCTCGGCTAGATCCATTGCGTCGGCTTCCAGATCCGACAGGTCAGAGAGATCAGAATTGTCGCCGCCAAATTGTTGCGCGAGCATTGCTTGGGCATGACGAGACTGCATAGCGCTGGCGATCTTGTCAAGGTTGTAAATTCCCAAGCTACGTGCCCGTTCTGCCGTCGCTGGCGGTGTTGGTAGTTGAGGGAAACTGCCTGGCTTGAGCGGTCGTGTGAGTGCAGCAGGAGGAGTGATCATCATCTCGTCGTCTTCCGATTTTGCATCCTCACGTATGACGACAGTATGTCGTGAGCGCCGACGGCGTGGTCGTGCGGGTGCGCTCTCCTCATCAATGGGCAGAGAGGGCTCGAGAGCTTTCTTATCGCTCTGTCGTTGTCGTCTCGCTTCCGCTTGTACCTCGGCCTTCGCTCGTGCCTCAGCAGCAAGCTTGGCAGCCTCTTCTGCTGCCGCTCTGGCTTTCGCCCGTGCGATCGCTGCTGCCTTGTTGGCCGCTGCCTGTGCCGCTTCTTGCTTGGCCGACGCGATAGAGCTCAGGAAAGCCTGCATGGAATCTGCTACGCCCTGCTCTCGCTGAACTGGCTTGACATCTTGTGCTGTCGTCGTCGTCGTCGTCGTCGTCGTCTCACTGGCTTCCTGAGCCCTGGCAGCCTCCTGCGCCTCGAGCTGCGCCGCCAATTTGCGAGCAGCTTCGACAGATTCGCGATTATCTTGTAGGACTGTCGTCAGCTCTGCGTCCATCTGCTTTGGCCTGAGGTAGTCTGTCTCCATCTGGCTCACAGCACGATCATAGATCGTATGTCTGTTCCAGCAAGACTCGATCAGCGAACTCGGGCTAGCCTGTGAGCAACAGTCCAATTACCTTTCTACCTCTCGCATGAGCTCAGCCTGCGCTTCGTTGCGAGGCCAGGACGACAGACGCTGGTCGGATTCGAGCTTCTGTCGTACAATCTCATCTATCCGCTCGACAAAGACAGCCTTTGAGTCGTTGGACAGAAAGGCGAGCATCATCTCCTTCCTGAGCTTGTCGAACATCCCCTTGCGCTTGTAAGCATCGACAAGGTCTTGAGGCGTACAGATCGCTCTCACTGTCGGCCCTGTCTGGCTCGCCATCGTCTTGCTGAGGCCTGTCGCTGAGGTTCTACTGTGCTATGGCGTTGTGCAACGAATCGCGCGCCTCCTGACCGGGGAAGCAGCGATTGACTCATTCACTGAGGGACCAGACTTCAATGAATCTACAGTGCTCAGTGCATAGCTACAAGTCTGGCAGATCACTCTCGAGGTCGTCTACGTAGCCTGTCGGTCAGCACCATGACACATCCACAGGCCAGAGTCAACCAACGCATGGTTTATTGCATTTTATGGTTTTGCCTTGCTCTTCATATGCACCACCCTGGCTGTCCACGATCATAAAGCGAGCGACGTCCCCCGCACGGAATTATTCGATTTCCTTTCGCGCCGCTTAGGGTCATTCGAAATGACCGATCTACACAGGCTTGGGGCAGCCTCAGCGTGACTTAGCACGGCTAAGTTCGAGCCGGACCAGCCGCTTACTTTCCAGATGTCACGCGGGAAGAGCCAAGGTGGATTCCACATTCGCGAGCGTATAAGAACAGCTTCCACTCTTTGCATCACACACCACAACGTATAAGAAGCAGCCTCATAGTGTATTCGAAGCAAATAAGACAGCATGAAGACTTTCGCTGCCACACTCGCTATTGCGTCCATCGTCGCCCGCGTCACTGCCCAGTCCAGTGCAGCAGCCGCGCTCGCAAACTTGCCAACTTGCGTTCAGTCGTGCTACCTGTCCGGTCTCTCCCAGACGACCTGCCAGAGCACAGACATCGCATGTCTCTGCAAGGATATGACCTTTTCGTCCGGTCTGGCTACTTGCTTCGCGTCTAGCTGTGATGCTACCGATGCCGCCGCGGGGTAAGCTGTCTCCCTTCCTACGCGTGTTGACTTTGATCTCAATCATCGTCCTGCAGTGCTTCTTTCGGTGTCCAATCGTGCGCTTCTGTCGGCATCACCGTCACCACTAGCGCAGCTGCCGGTGGTAAGTCGTTGCATTAGCATCGTCGCGACCAGTGAGCTCACGCTTAGCTTCGTCGCTCAGCCGCCGCCGCAACAGGCACGGCAGCATCCGCCGCTTCGTCTGCAGCCTCTTCGGCTTCCTCAGCAGCAAGCTCGCTCGTCTCGAGCATCTCCTCCAGCTCTTCGTCCTCTTCATCTGCCATGATGAGCGCTGCCAGCTCGGCCTCAACCGCCGCCGCTACCTCTGCCACCTCGGCTGCTTCGGCGGCCTCGTCTCCCTCGGCAGCCTCTTCTTCAAGCACCAGCGGAGCCAACAGCCTCACTGCTGCAGTCGGCTCGATCTTCATGGCCGCCTTTGCCGTCGTTGCTCTGTAAGGAGCTCGTCATAGCATTTTTCAATCAATCGCAAGTCATTGGGCAAGCACAGTGGGATCACGGAAAAGCTTCCTGTAGCCTCTCAAGTTGCAGTGTAGCCACTAAACTGCATTTTCACTTCAATGACGCGCGCGTGGTAGACTGTTGCAGATCTCTCATGCGCTCAAGAGCGATGCGTCGCCACAAGTCCCTGTCTTCGCTACATAGAACGAATGGTCCGCTACACTGTGTGAACGTCTTCGTCAGCGTGGTTCGATGCGTGATCCCTGCGACCAGCCTACCTCATGCCACCCACGCATCCAATCGCTTCAGGCCCCATGCACCGAACGAGCTCGTTCTCGTCTGACAGCCAGTACGCTGTACCGTGGTGGACCAGTCCAACAGTCGAAGGCATCAATGCAGGCACAATGTCGTTTCGGTGCACCGTTCGAGAGATGCGATCGCCATAGTGCTGGTCCAGAAAATTGGCACCGGCCGGTGTCATGCTCCTGTACTCGCCAAAAGTCGAGACCGTCCGCACAGAGTCTGACAGATCGATGGCCGCCATTGCGGTCACGCCTGCACCCAGCGAATGGCCTGTTACGACGAGATCGTGACCATTCGCGAGCGCGTCTTCTCGTGCAAGTGCAAAGTTATTGGTTGTCTTCTTGGCAGACATGTAATTCATAAGCGTGCCGCTATGCACAAGGCAGTTGTTGCACTGGGGAAAGCCGGATAAGGCTGGTGCGATCTGGATATCTGTGATGATGTTGCGGATTCCGTCCGTACCGCGAAAGACGATGGCAGTCTCTTTGCGAGAAGGCAACGAGATCCTACGCACTTCATCAGCTGACTGTCGCACCTACGTCCTGTAGCAGCGCACATGTAGCCTTCCTGATCTAGTCTGGACTTGAAGGTCCCCAGAACTTTTGCTCCTTGGAATGTTTGCTCGCATGCTGAGGAATTCTGATACGCGGCCGTAGCGAGCAACGCGTGCGCTCTGATCGTCTCGGCTATGCGTCGATCGGCGGGTGAGCCTTCTGGCTTGGCCGGTGGGACGGGAGCAGCAACCACTGTGTCTGGCGCAATTGCCACAGGCACGAGAGGTTGTCCCTGAGGATCTGTCGCAGGCATGTCCGTTACCGGCACGGGCTGTGGCGCTACAGCAAGTGCAACGAGAGGCTGTACTTGAGCGTCTGGAGCGGGCGCTGGCGGGGCAGAAGGCGTAGGCGGGCTAGACATTCCCATTGCTGACGCTACGTCGCTGAATGAGAATCGTTGGACGGATGCACTTCGAAGATATTCTTCGCTTGAAGGCGAGGTTTGGACAGTAGCATCAGCCGATGTTATCGTAGGGGTAGCGAGGGGCTCGAGGGCTAGTGGTGTCGGATCGGCAGGAAGAGCGGCCGCACACAGACAGAGCATACTGAGCGCGCCCGCGCGCCATAGTGCTTTATGCATCTCAATCGAAGTCACCGGCAGGGCATGGTGTCAAGTCAGCGGTATTGATGATACTGCACTGCGTCGCGAAAGATAGCGTCGTCAGGAGAACGGATGGCTCCCACGAGGACTTCGACGCCGACGAGAATTGGGAGCACGGTGCACAGACGAGGGACGTGCATCGCGTTACTGGCCGGATCAGAGCAGCGCGAATGCAATGGATGCGTTACAGTAAGTGATGGGGGACGTATCTGCCAAAGAGCATCTCGCCGAGACCGAGACCGGCGAGTACGGAAAGGAAATAGCCAGCATTCATTGTCATCTGCGGTCGAATCTCTGATCAGATCTGCGCCAGCGAGGTGTATAGTGGCTACGTACTACTGCGATCATGAGCAGATACATGATGCCTGCATGAAACGCGAACAGAACGGCGCGTGGCATCTCATGGGAAATAACGAAGGGCGGACTTGCAGCCAGGCGTGCTTTGACGCTCATGAGCAAGCGATGCTTGGACGGAGTGCTGTAGGCTGTACGGTCGTGTTGTGGCAAAGAACCTAGCGACTCCGTACGGCCATCGGCGAGTACAGGTACATCAGTCGAATTCGGATATTCTTTGACATAGGCATCGTCTTGGCCGAGAGCAGCAGGTTCTGAAGGGACCGATCGAGTCCAAGCATCGTAATGTCTCTCCAGAGAAGCATCGAGCATGATCCTTCCTTTTGCCTCACTCCAGGCGTCGTGTAACAAGCTCGACAGTAGACTGAGAAATCTGCTGAAGACGGCCAATGCGAGCAGACCGAAGCAAGCGCCAACAGTCCCACCAATACTGGTGGGCTGCCACGACGGGAACCAGAGCAAACCGCCTTGCCGGAATGCAAAAGAACCCATGCTCATCATTGTCGTGCCCGAGCTTGTTCCGCCGGCTGACATGCCGCTCATATCCATCGAGCTGCAGTCGCCGCACGTCAGATCATGAGTCTCTTCAATATATCTGGGCCTACCTGCTGTGGAAGTCTGTCATCGATGTGAGTGCGCAGGGGGTTTTGAGTGTGCGCTGACGATGCGACGTGAGCAAATTACGCGCGACCGCATCAGCTCCACAATGCCCCGTAAATCCCTATTTTCGGCCGGGAAGCCAAAGCTGAGAGGAAGCCACGGACAGAGACGAGTGGTACGATATATCGACGCATCTTGGTGGTGGAGAGCCTTCCTTCTGGCGCGCGAGGTTCGGCAGAGCGTCTCGCACGATGGTCGAGGGCTCATCTGCCGATCTAACGCGGTCTCAACACGACAATGCGATGCAATCATCACGCATGGCGCCCACAGAGTCCGGAGCTTTCACACTGCAGTCATCGAGTACAGAATGGCGAAGGAGGGGCAGCAAGGGCAAGGGTCGAACGCAGACTTCTCGGGAACTCGCGCAGACTGCAGCTCGCCAAAGACGGGCACATGAACTTGGTGGCGATCTGACCGCGCTCCCTCCCGCCAAACAGGCCCAACCTGTCCGACTGCCGCCGCCTTGCTGTTCCGAGGTCTATACGCACATCCAAGATAGCTCGTCGATCTCTAGAACGCGAGCGAGAAGAGACCGTCGGCTCCATGACCCCATCGGCAGCAGTCGAGGTCCATATTTATCGCTGGCGATAATGGCCTCCCTTTCATCTTTCGCCTGCGCGACGCCCGTCTTTCGAGACAGTGACAGCCCGGCCAATGCCACGTACTACGACAGCCTATCGCTCTTGCTGGAGTCCCCTTCATCTGAACAATTCGCATTATCGCGGTCACACGTTCGGCGGCAGAGGATGCAGAAACGCTCGTCAGTCTTGCCGGATCGGTATGACTTCATCGATGGCGACTGGGTGAAGACCTATTCGGCTTCCTCGGGCGCGTCTGCACAATCTCTGTCGTTCGTGGGCGATGACGGCCGCTGCAGCTGCCCGGACGGCTCCAATCTAGATACCAACCCCGGGCCAAACATCGAATCTGGCATCGATCTGAGCAATTCGACGAGCAATGCCAACGCATCCAATCATACCGGGTCCCCTCACGATCGCTCTGTGAAGACACTACCACGAGGTTGGAGTACTGCTACCAGTTCCCGCACGAAATTCTACGCCACGCCTGTGTAAGTTTGCATTCGAAAGCGGTGATCCCACCTGATCGTGGCCGTGCAGCATCATCGTTTGTTCGATCATACTTGCCCTCCTCATCGTCGTCATAGGTACTATTCTGGTCGTCCGGCGTTCTCGTAGGCGGCGGGCTGCGGCAGACGGCGGTGAACAAGGCAGAGAGGAACGCACTGTCGGGCTACTGGGAGGCAGGACCTCTCGCACGATATCCGGCAGACGTGGTCAGAAGAAGCGCTTGCGGGCACTGGCAGCCGCCTTGGGAGAGAAGTTTGATGAAAAGTCAGACGGGTCTCCGTCGTCAGACTCACAGCATAAGCGAGTGAAACTGCAATGGAAGCATCTCGTCGGTCGCAGACGAGGTCCGCCCACTATCAAGGTTCCGGTCGGTGTTATCGCACCGACTACGTCGGCTTCACGAGCGGCGAGCATCAGGCAGCGCGCGTCATTGGAAGCCTCACGTGACTCCTTGCATTCAGTATCGAGCACCTCCACGCCTGAAACGCTCTCTCGGACGGCTTCCAAACTCAGCACTGCTCGGCTGGAGAGAAGCAACGCGCCGAGCCCCGAGGTCATGCCAGAAAGTAGCGAAGAGATGCCGCCCTCTGTGCCTCCTGCATACCAGAGTCGACGCCGTGGCGCGGCCCCCATAGCGATGGTGCTCGATGGCAGCAGTCGACGTGACGAGAAGGCGCGAGTCATTGATGAGCTCGAGCAGCATAACCTACCATCAGAAGAGGGCACGTCTCCTTCTATCGAAGATGATGAACATCACGCTGCAGAAGACGAAGGCTACCATGCACACATTGCAACAGACGACAAAGCCGTGCTACAGAGGATAGCTCAGCTCGCAAGCGAGCCTACAGAACGCTCAAGCTCGCCGCTCTCTGAGCAAACGCAACACACAGACTCGCCCTCCGCACCGCCACTGTCGCTTGATCACGACGGCTTCGAGTCGGCGGAACCATCAGATTGTCCTGCGACGACACCTGCAAGCTCAGTTCACAGCAATCTGGGATCGCTCCCCCTGCCATCCAGGGCAATTCGATCAACCTTTGCCAGCCTGACGTCTAGTACGTCACCGGCGTCGATCGACAGTATGCCTGAGACATCGGCACAAGCTGCCAAACGAGCTGAAGCCCAAGCCGAGCGTCTACAGGCTGCGTGGCAGTACAGCCTCGAGCCCTCCGCTCCACCTACACTAGAGGCTAGCTCCGCGCCGTCTGCACCCAGTATGCCACGCAGGCAGAACAGACAACTCAGCATGGACAGCGCAGTGTCTGTCGAAGCGAGCGCGCCTCCCGCTGCGCCTCAGTATAATGCTGACTGTGCACCGCCTAATATCGATGACGCCTTGGCCAGGCTGGAAACGATCGATGTGTAGATCCGCCCTCATCATTCTGCTCGTATGTGTAGCTACCGATATCTGCATGCATGCCCAATTGTCATACATCATATTCTGTGACTGCGCCCATGAATTCCTTGACGATGCGGTCTTGTACTTGCTCCGAAGTTTCGCTATCTGTAGGCGCTATGGCTCGAACGACGAGGAAGTGATGGCCCATGAGGTCGTCCCCTTGAAGCTCTTTGCCGTTGCGTGCATAGACCTTTGCGCCTGCTTCTCGTGCTATCGCCGCTCCGCCCGTTACATCCCAAGCCCAGCACCCGATCTGACATCTGCTCAGCGCACGGTCTTGCGATGTCTGCCATTGCTCACCTCGTGATAGAGATCCATCTGCCCTGCTGCAACCGCGCAATAGTTCAGAGCTGCTGAACCTAAGCTGCGCAACGAATGGGCCATGATGCCGCCTTTGACTTGCGTAGGATCACCCGCCAATCTCGTAAAGCTCTCGCCCTTGGCTTCCATCACCTGTGTTGTTCGAATAAGCGAGACGACGTGCATACTTCGATCAGGTGCGCACAGCTTTACTTCTGTCGCTGCCCCATTCGACGCAGATGACGGCATCGCCCAAGCTTGCGAGAGGCAGCGGGTTGGGATGCGAGAGCGGTAGTCGCGTGCTCTCGTTGAGCCAAGCCCCGTGGCCTTTCCTCGCAGAGTACAGTAGTTCGAGAAAGGGATTATAGATGACGCCGAGGACGGGTTGCTTCTTGTATGCTAATCCGATGCTGATACAGCACCAAGGGAATCCATGCGCGAAATTGGTCTGGAGCTTTGTGCTCAGCGTGTGAAGGATGCCTTGGAACCAGACGTACAGTGCCATCGATAGGGTCCACAATGAATGTTGGCTCATCTGTTAGCTCCGCCTTTTCGCCGGCAGCAAAGCTCTCCTCGCCAATGAATTTGTGCTGAGGAAACGTTTGCGCGATAGCTTCCTTGACGACTTTCTCAACTCGCTGATCGGTCTCCGTGACAAGCTATGCATCCAATGCTCAGCCAAACTTCAATGAACAGGCGCAGAGAGCTGACGTCGACTCTGTTCTTTTTGGAGCTGTCGATTTGCACGTTGGCATTTTGCCATCGTTTGGCGGAGGCTTCCTTGATGATGGCCCCCGCTCTCCGAGCCAAGTCGATGGAGAAGTTCAGCTCGCTCTCGAAGCCATCGTCAATCGCCATGGTATTGAGCAGGGGCTAGGGTCAGGCTTAAGGCTGTTTGGCCCGTTACGCGACTTCCTTCTTGTCCGCTGTCGTTGACGTCATGCTCTTCTCATTGCTCTTGCTCTGTCTCATAAACTGTTTGTCGCTCGCTTTTGGCCAAGACGGAATCTATCGAAAACATGACTTTGGAGTACGAAGCGTTTTCTACGAGCTGAGAGGTGCGCCGGAGGTACGCAACGCCGTTTGGCTGACGCAGTCTCAGCCACGGGTACCGCTAGCTGCCCTCAGCATGGCATCTTCACATTCGATGGCTCGATCCAAGCTCTCATCGTTGCTGACCTTTACAACCTGAAGCAAAAGCCCGTCCAGCGTGAGACGATTACCACCTATCTTACGTCTCTGCCGCTCATGTCGAGCACAGAGGGCAACGCGGGCTCGCTCGTTGCCCAAGGTGCAATCAAGGATGATACTGGTAGAATCACTGGCGGCAAGTTCTCGTTCGTCGTAGGCGCAACAGACACGCAGATGTGGCCAGTCAAAGATCGACAATGCTGCAAAGCACACGTTCGTTTCAACGTCACCCTCGGCGTGACAGACGCCTATCTGTCGCCCGATGACAAGGCCGACAGCTGGATCGAGTGTGGCCAGGAAATCACCGGCGAGCCTCACTGCACGCCTGGCAGAACAGAGAGAGCCTATTGCAGCGAGCCTGCTCGCCTCGTCAGCGCCGTACCAACCGTGGCAGCTGACTTGCCTTTCGTACGCACGTATCAGATACGCTACGAAGCGGACGCCAAGTGTAACACGCCTATAAGAGGAGGTTTCTTGAGCGAATTTCTCGATACCAAGATCCGCCCGCTGTATTCCACCATTGTGCTCGTCGGAAGAGGCAGTGCGCCTGGGGAGCCGCGTTGGTGGCGACCCTCACAGATCTCGGTCAGGAACACAACATGAGCCAGTCGCAGTTTTGACGCTGTGCGCAGTTTGGATTATTGAGGATCAATGTCGTCCCGATGGACCTCTTCATCGGCACCGATGACATCTTCTTTGACTTCCTCGTTCGCTTCAGGTTTGGCATTCGCTATCATTTGCTGACTCAGCTCACGACTAAGCAGGGACTTCGGAGAGAATCAGGTTGCGTGGCCGGACGAAGTCAGATCGTGTTGCGATCCAGTCACCGAGGTCCAAGTTCGCCTCTTCTACACTCGTCAACATGCTTCGTGGTCGGCACTCCCAAATCGCTTGATGTTCGCTGCCTGTTTTCCGAGTGAGCCTTCTCATGAGCGAACCAAACCTCCGGCTGATCTCGCTGCAGGCCCTCAAGCTAGACGAGCGCCTCGACGCGCTTGCAAGCTGAGATTCATCACGCCCGCTGACTTTCCTTGCCTTGATATAAAGACGCTGCTTTTCGTGGTCGACGCAAGTCAAGCCATAGCGATCGAAGATCAGTAGATGCACGAGCGCTATCGTTGCGAGATATACAGTGGTTCACTTTTTTGAATTTGTGTATCTACAAGGTCACACACAATGTGAGCGGCGAGAAGGACCAGCCATGTCCTCCTGAGCAACAATCGTGAGGCGTTCGTAAGAGTTGCGGGCGTGTGAGTGCAAGGGAAACACGAGATGAGCACAGACACACTTTGTCAGGTGATGCTAATGCCTGACGAGTTTCGCCTTCGATTCTTGGCCATCTCCTTCTTGAGTGCTGGCCCGTCAAGTGGCTTGAGAAGTTCGAATGCGCACAAGAGATCTTCAGATACACTCATCACTGCGCCAAAGTTATCAAACTCGCCGCAGTAATTTGGCGCGCTGAAGATGGTGACGAGCGTCCGTTCGTTCCAGAACTCGTATCTGCGCCATGATCAGATGTGCAGCTATCAAAAAGCAATCTGACAAACCCGTCCTCGACGACCATGTGGGCCCTACAGATGAGATCGAAATCGTAGTTGGCTAAGAATTGCTGAATGACGGCTTTGCCGAAGCAGTAGCTCACGCCTCTCTCGTTGTCCTCCCAATCGAGTGCGGTATCGCTCGGATCTGACCATAGTAGATCGTTGAGCAGGCCATAGTCTGGCACATCGGCAGGACGGCGTATCTTGCGAATGTCGTCCATTGCACCCAAGGAGGGTGACAGACCTCCGTGAACGCAGAAGATCTTGGAAGCCACGACGGCTGCGATCGGCAGGCAGTTGAAGACGTCGATAAAGGTCTTCCACACTTTGATATTGCAGCGCCGCTTGCACTCGTCGTAGAATCCATACACTGCATAGCGGATCAGTCAGACTTCGAGCATGCACTAGCAAACGAGTCACCTCGAGTGACATTTGCACATTCGTGATTGCCGCGTAGCAGGAAAAAGTTTTCGGGGTACTTGATCTTGTAACATAACAGGAGCAAGATCGTTTCCAGTGATTGTTTGCCTCGATCGACATAGTCGCCCAGGAACAGATAGTTTGAGCTTGGCGGAAACCCACACATTTCGAAGAGACGAATCAGATCGGAGTACTGCCCGTGCACATCTCCTACTATCTTGACAGGTGGGGAGAGCTCGATGAGTGTCGGCTGGGACAGAAAGACTTCACGTGCAGCTTGACAGATGGCATTGATTTCTGGATTCTTGAGACAGACAGATTTGGACACTTTGCCGGTATAGCCTGCATCTAGCAATCTCGAGATCATATCGTCGATATCGAAAGTCTGCGCATTTCCATTGGAACCCTCTTTTGCACCTTTCGCATTGGACCGGTTGTCGACCGAGCCTTGGTTCGATCGATTGTCGACGCTCGAGCCAAGAGCGGATCCGATGGCAAGGGAGGAGGCTGCGCTGAGCAGTCCGCCCGCTGCGAAGCCAGTCGTCGAGGGCGGATTGGCCAGGATGGTATGCGTGGTCGGTATCTGCGGGTCGACGGGCCTAGAAGATGTTGAAGCGGCGGACGAGGTTGTTGAGCTTCGTCTGGGAGGACTGCTTGAGCGTGCATGGGTACTGCCATTGCTCGCGCTGGCCGTCATTGGCACAGCGGTCAAGCCTTCGCTCTGCTTTGCAAGCTCTTCCTGCGCACTCGCACTGGACGTCGACGAGGTGGCCGTAGCGTCGATGGGCGAACTGGCGGTAGACGGTGCGCTGACTGCGGGAGCTGCAGCAGCTGAAGGTGATCGATGACGCGCATGTGAAGGCGATGTGCCATACTGCTGACTAGAAGCAGGCATAGGTCTCGGCGAGACATCATCCTCGCCCGCATCTTGGGACGTGCTCGATGATATCGGGATGGCCTGAGTTGGCGGATCTGACCTGGCTGTGCTCGAGGTGGCAGCTGATGCATTTGGCGGCGGCGCGGTGACGGATGTCCGTCTGGGTATCCCGGAAGGAGGCGAGCCTAGTGCTGTGTTCATGTTCTTCTGCGCTTCTTCGTCTGTCGGGTCGTTCGACAGGGTCGAGGATCGGCTAGGATCCTGGCTGGCCAGCTCTCTCGCTTGTACGGGAGAGGCAGAGGTACTGGAGCTACCCTGCCGGGACGGTGTCCCGCTCGAGCTAGCAGATGTGAGCGAAGCATCTGGATCGACAGATGAGGTAGACGCTGATGATCTGTGGCCGTGCCGCCTCGAGCTCGAACCAGATGAGGAACTGCTCGAGGCACCCATGAGGGTCTTGTACCAGGCCGGCATGACTGTGTCCGCACGCTTTGCTCGGATCTCACACCTCGTCTGGTGACTCGTCAAGGCAGTCAATGGACAGGATGATGACCGTCGGCTGATGAGCCTGGGATGAGTGACCTTACCGCCGGCTGCTCCGGTCGGGTGAGACTTGCGTGAAGCGTCTGGACCGGTTCAGCTTGAAGCGGGGAAGCAACTCTACAGTGCTGGCCGTGGTAGGAGACTCGGAAAGTCGGAACACAGCTCGCTCGCTCGCAGCAGTGACAGCTCGAGCGGAGTGCCAAGATTGGGCGGGTACGCTCGCGCTGGCGTCCTGTTCGTTCCTGCCTCGGCGAGCTATCTGCTGATCCCTCTGGCTGAGCTGCAGTCTCGTGAAACGACCAGACCAGTCAAGACCGCATAGCGCCAGAAGCCAGCCCGCTTTCGGTCAGTGTGTGCTTGTGCAAGGCGCCACCTGCTCGCGACAAGTCATCCTCCTCGTGTCGTGTCAAGCCGAGTTGCGTCATGGTGAGCTGCCTCAGGCGTCATGTGATGCCGTCAGACTGAGCGCCCGTGTACTGCCAGGTGTCCTTCAAGATCAGCGTGCCCAGTACATCCGCCAACATCGGCCCGGGCTTTGATGTACTCGGATTATCCATGTCGCTCTATCTCGAGCTCGAGGTTTCCCTGCCGGCCAACGCAGACTCCAGCAGCTCACCGCTCGAAGCTTCTAAGCGAGCACAGTGCAGCTATGCTCAGGTCGAGCTCACTTATTCCGGCGAAGGAGCAACAGAGGCCCCTTTGGATCCGTACAAAAACCTGATCACTCGCGTTGCGCTCTACGTCTTGCGGTGTCACGACTATACCTCCTTTCCTTACACGACGACCGGTTCGGAGAACAGAGCTGGAGAGGCATGCATCAGCATACATGTGACGAACAGCGTCCCCTTCGGTCGAGGGTTAGGCTCCTCAGGCGCGGCCGTCATTGCAGGCGTTTTGCTCGCAGACAGACTCGGCAGACTGGGCTTGAGCGATTCCAGGCGACTCGATTTCGCACTCATGGTCGAACGCCATCCCGATAACGTCGCTGCCGCTCTCCTCGGCGGTTTCGTGGCGTCATACTTGCGAGAATTGCCGCCGGAGGACCTCAAAGCAGCCTCGATACCATTGGCAGAAGTACTTCCCGAATACCCGCCAGAAGCAGACGAGAACTGGGGCAGAGATCCTCCTGTGCCGCCCGTCGGTATCGGTCATTGGGTCAAGCTGGCCTGGTCCCCAAAAGTCAAAGCTATCGCAGTCATACCCGCTTTCGAAGTCTCGACAGCCAAAGCACGCGCAGCTCTACAGCCTGCCTATGCTCTCAAAGATTGTGTCGGTCTCGTGCCCTTCGATATGCATTACCTGTCTGACGCGGAGAGTTACGGCAGGTCTTCAATCTGCAGCGGTTAGCCGTGTTGACGCAAGCGCTCGGCCAGCAAAATCCCGACCCAGATCTCATCTTCCAGGCCATGCAAGATAGACTGCATCAGCCGTACAGAAAGCATTTGGTGAGCGTCAGAGGCATTGCGTTGGCCATCTGCTAACGCATGCCGTCGTTTGCCCAAAGATACCCGCGTTGCCGACAGTATTGAGCTCGTTCAGCCCCACAAGTCATCCGGGTCTACTGGGCATATGTCTGTCCGGCGCAGGTCCCACCATTCTCGCCCTCGCGACGCAGAACTTTGAGCAGATTGCGCAGTCCGTTTGCGAGATCTTCCAGGCCGAAGGCGGCATTCACTGCCGCTGGCTGGTGCTGGACGCTACAACCCAAGGCGGCACAATAGAAGAACATCTGTGAACATGCACAACCGCATATGCTCGAACAGAAACCCCGCGCGAGCATCGCACGGGCATACGCAGCATCACGAAAGTATCGCGATGCTGCCTGTCCACAGCTCTGGCACGGGATGCAATCATAGAGTAACAATACCCGACACTAAGGGAGATGATCGCCCCTCAGTCTGGCCTCCTTGTCTCCGGGAATTGCATGCGTGTCCAGGAACAGAAGCTCGTTGCCTCGAATCTATGCTTGCCCCGGCCAACTAGACACAGAGTCTATGCGATCTGCCGAGACAGCCCAAGCTTGCGGACATATGCTCGCCACGCTTTTTACTGATCGACCTACCCGAACCGAAAGTCGCGTCAAATTGGCTTCGCGTCTTTCGAAAGGGCGCGTAATCCGCGAGGATATCGTTTCGACAACTGCGAGGAACAAGTTGAAATTACGATTGGCGGATGATCATCGACCGCTGATCGAATAGTCAGGCTGATCCAGCGCAAGCAAGAGCGTGTAACCCTGTCGCGGCAGATATGTGGCCGATGAGATCGAAGATGATGCAAAGTCAAAGAGGACGACGCGCGTGCAAACCCAATTGGAAGTGATCGGCTATAGATGACATAGAACGCCGCCATTCTGCTGGGCGAGCACGCGAGCTACCCTCTCATTGACGTGTCCGACGAAGTGGGCAAGCCCGGGCGTGAAGGTAGTCTTGTGTATGCGACTCGCATTCCGTCTCGTCCTCTCGACGTGAGCGCGCGACGCCGGACAAAGATAGACGGCTTGGCAACTGAGAGTAAGAGTGAGCTCCTGCCGCTCGCACCTCTGCGTTCGTCGCAACGCTCGCGAAGACACCGACGAGCTTACAACAAGCGCCATCCGTTCGGCATCTCGCAACGTCTCGCGCTCTATCGTTCGCGCGAGCAACGCATCGCCCCCGTCGAGGCACTGTCTCCTCGCAGGTAACACTGCTGGCGGCGCTGCCGAGACTCGGTATACACTCCTGTTGCGCATAGACGCATATCACCCTGCCTCATCAACGACTTGACGTCTCACATTCGCGCTGGCTTTGCTCGCTTTCTTGCTCCGCTGGATTGCCTCTGTCCTGCAGAGCGATACACGATTCTAGCACTTGCTACTCTGCCTGCACGCATCACGAGCTAATTCGGCCTTTCGCGCCCGAAGCACCGGCAACATCTGCTTCGGCTTGCCAAGTCAGCACATCTGCGTTGTGCTGCTTCGACTGCCAAAGCTCGACGCCTACTGTGAGCATTCAAGCAACTGTGCAGTGGGTATGTCGTGCTGTTCTGCTACATCCGATACGAACATACTCATGCGAGCACAGACGAGCTGAGGATCGCACTTTTGCGAAAAGGACTCCTCTTCACTTGATCTACTCCTGAGCAGCCAATGAGGCTCGCGTTGCCCACCTTCGCTCATGGCGGTGCGGCAGGCGTCGTGCCAGGCGCGGATAGCGCCAACGGTACGTCCAGTATACACGCCAGCGCGTCCAATCGCGGCTACTCGGATAGCGCGCTATCTTCGGGCTCTCACAGCCATGACCTTGATGAGTCTAGCGAGAGCTCGCAGCCATCCAAACGACCAAGACCTTCGCCGTCACGATCATCGCCAACTTCCTTATCCACCATGCTTTCAGTTTCTGTCGAGAGGCGAAGATCTGAAGCCGTTCGACAAGCACCTAGCGGTCCAAGCTCGTCCTCATCTCTGAGCTCGCCTGGCAGCACTGCGCATGCCAGCTTGACGCTCCCTGCGCAGCCTGCGGTCAGTGAGAGGGTGATCGCGCGACGGCCGCGGCGACCGTCGCCCGCTGTGGCTATTTCCTCCTCTTCGCAGCTCGCGCCCGAGTCGGCTTCCTTATATGGTTCTTCGCCTCTCTCGTCTTCTATGATCATAGTCGACGTGCCTTCTGACGCGCCGAGGGCACCTACGGCCACCTTGACGCGTCGGAAAGTGAGGGACGTTATGTCGCTGCCCGGCACAAGCAAGTCACTGCAAGCTCGTCGAGACAGCAGCAACAGCAGTGGCAGCAGCAGGACCGCTTCTCGATCCGTGTCTATGAGCATGGACGAATCTCTTGCGCCAAGCCAGGATGCGCGATCCGAGGATACCGCCATCACAGATGATCTCTCACGCGCAACAAACAATGGCATGATGGTCGTCTCCTCGTCCCCTTGCCCCTCGCCGAAATCGCATGCTCGTCAACGAAGCGGGCTCCGTAGGCCAACGACTGAAGAGTCGCAGACTGCAGGCAGTCCTGCATTGCAACAGCGAGACAGAAAGCGCACAAAGTCTACTGAGGAAGCTGAGGACGAGGATGCTACATTCTACGATTTCGTCGATCAGCATGATTTGCTCGACGTCCCAATGGCACCACCAAGTACAGACATGCAATATCCGCCAACTGTGCCAGACTCGAGCAGCTCGCAATCTATCTACTCGTCAGACACAGGCATCGGAAGGACTCGCAAGCGCTCCTCCAGCATCTCTCGCCAGTCCTCAGGCTCGAGGGCGATGACCCGTCAGCTGTCGAGTCACGGCACTTCAGGAACGATGAGTCAGAGCAGCAGCGCTGACAGCTTTACGCGCCTCGATACAAGCCTCAGCTCGAGCAGTCTCGCCTCAAATGCTTCAACGGTCCCGTCTTCCGTCGCAAGCAGCGCGCCTTCGTCAGCCCAGAAGCCTTTCGGCCCTGTTCAATCTACGCGTCTTCCAGCTCAGCTGCGCGGTGCACGCATACCACCTCAGCTGCGTCTCGCGATCAGCAACCAGGGCACCGGTCGACTGTCTCCCCTTCCCGTGCAAGGGGTCGGTCGCGAGTTCCTCGGTCTGCTCGAAGGCGAGTACCGGGAAAGCATTCGCGAGTACATGTACGAGATGGAGGTCCGTATGCGCGTTCTTTGCGCTTCTCCATGCTAATTGCTTGGAGCGCAGGACAAGACGCAAGCATCAGTCGAGCTCATCGATCTCCAGCCTGAGCTCGAGTGGCACATGCGCCCGTTCCTCGTCGACTTCTTGATCGAGATCCACCAGCAATGCCGTCTCCGACCAGAGACGCTCTACCTGACGATGAACATCGTTGATCGCTATGTATCTAAGCGCATCGTGCTCAAGAAGCACTATCAACTGGTGGGCTGCTCGGCTCTCTGGATCGCTGCAAAGTTCGAAGACGCCAAGGATCGTGTCCCGACCGTGCAAGAGCTGTCGAGCATGTGCTGCCGCGCTTACGACGAGAGCGCATTCATCCAGATGGAAGGCCACGTCCTCTCTACGATCGGCTGGGTGCTCGGACATCCGACTGCTGAGTCCTGGATCAGAATGGCCTGCGTGGCGGACAACACAGTCGAGGAACAGCGTATCCAGCACGTCGCTCGCTTCTTGCTTGAGACTACGCTCTATCACAAGGACTTCATCAGCTTCAAAGCGTCAGATCTAGCAGCAGCCGCTCTGATGCTCGCGCGCTTCATGTTCGACCGATATCGACGCGTAAGCCGGTATTCTGACCTTCCTCACGTCTTACTAATTAGCCACGTACTCAGGTTGAGGACGAGACCGAAGCCGTGCTAAGCGTTGCTTACCTGATGGATCTACAATTAGGCCAAGCACTCGACAGACTGTCTGCTACGCTCATCAAGAAGTATGCGCCTGGCCATTACTCTCGCTCGTCTACCTTTGTGCGCGAGTGGTTCCTTTCTGGTCGACGTTTCTCGCACCGAGGCTGGGCACAGGCACCCGAAGTCCTCATGCCGCGTCTGTCGCCCACGTTGCTTCGCTGCCCGGGATTAGCATCAGCATCAAGCGGATCCTGGTCTTCCGATGACGATGTTCCTCGCACGCCACAGTCGTCCGAGACGATCTTTGCGCAAGCAGATCCATTCAAGACAGCTGGCCCTCCTCCAAAAGCTGTGGGCTCGACGCGACCGGGCATCGTTCGATGGGAATCAGTACCCCATATGGTCTCGAGCTACGGCACTTGACCTCTACTCTCGCCCTTTCTTTCGACTTTCGTTTTCGAGAGTCAGCCCCTTTTTTTTGATACCAGTGTCTCCTTGCATACCGAAAGAGACTGGCAACGCATGCTTGTACGAGCGAACTTGGCAACGATCATCTGTAAGACCTCTACACGAAACACAGTGTACCACCCTCGCTCTCGCCCATCGCTGTCGCAAATCTCGCAAAGCCACAGAAGCAGAGCCTTGCAGATCTCGAGCGAATACCTAACGAGCTTGATACCCGCTTGAAGCAAGATCAGATCTGCAAAGACCCTCTTGATGTCTCCTCTAGAGCAGGGCTCCCCAGTGAGACGAGAGACGAACGCTCGATGCAAGTCATCGAAAGCAAGCTAGAGACAGCAAATGCATTACATGTTCTTTACAGTCTTTGCGCTCATAGCATCTGCACAAGTGTGAGCGCAGTCGGAAATGGTGACGAAGGAATTTGCTTACGCGATGGATGGTGGACTGATCTTGCTGAGTGACGAGCGGTCTGAGCGCTTGGGTATCTGCGACGAGCTTGCTGGATTGCTTTGCCGTCTGGGCGAGCAAGGCATCCCACCACTTGTACAAGAACGATTGGGCGATGAGCTTGAACCAGGGCGTGAAGGTCACGCTGGAATCCTTGAAAAAGTCTTCTAGCTCGGCCTTGGAGACCCATCGCGTATCTGCTACCTCATTTGGGTTCACTTCTAGCTCGACGTCTGCCGTGGCAAAGACGACATAGTCGACTGGACGTCAACATGCAGGTGTCAGCAGCTGGAAACTAGCTGCTGAAAGCGAGGCAGACGAACTTTCGTGTTCTCCCCAGAGACCGTCTGAAGGAGCGAGGTAGTGTATGCGCGTGATGAAGAGCAATTCGTCGAGATTGATCGAGTCAGGCTTGATGCCCAGCTCATGGTCTAGCTTCCTCCTCACAGCGCGACGTACGCCGACGACATCTTGCGCTTCCATCTCCTGCTTTATCGCCAGCGGATGGGAGCAGCAGGTATTGGTCCACATGAGCGGAAAGGTAATTTTCTCTTGTGCTCGCTGTTGTAGCAGCAGACGGCCATCTGACGGTCTGAAGAGGAAGCAAGAGAAAGCTCGGTGGAGTAGCGAGCGTGGCGGTAGGATGTTCTGCATGAGATGGCCTGAGGTATACGTCAAGTGAGCATGGCGCAGGCCTGAGCTCGAAAGGCAGTCGTACATGTTTTCTTGCTGTCCTCTCCTATCGGGTTGTCGTCCTTGTCGAGCACGATGAGGCGCTCCTCCATGAGTTTGATCTGCTCGGCATCGTACAGCGTCTCGTCGAACTTGTGCCCGTTCATGGCGAGTGAGACGGCGAGACAAAGAAAAGTCGTCTGACACGCGACAAGCTTGACACGACTCGACCCGACCAGCTACTCAGCCGACGGAGAGTGGACCCATGTGCAGCCACTGTACGTCCTCGATGGGTTTCTCCTCCGCACATCTGATGACGCAACATGATGGACAGATCAGGATGGTCAGACAGATATGCCGAGCCCCTCAGAGAGCTCTTTGCCTGCTCGACTGTCTGCGACCTGCCCTGGCAGCTGTGCAGACTCGTCGCCTGTCACACTCTCTAGCGACTGGATCGAGTGACTCGGCAGAACCTCTGATGGTGCTCAGCGAGCGACAGCAGGGCTCTGCTCGCACACACAGGGTTGATCCTCGCGTCATGTTGCAAAGACTCGCAGAGATCGCTCTGCCAGCAGACGAGCAACCCAAACGCAGAGCAGGCGATGCTGCTGAGCCACCACAGATTGTGTATGATCGTGCTATGCGGTCCATCTGGCGCGGCTTCCACATAGCCGGATGGAATGCGACCTCGTTTGATCACAATGTCGTCCGACGCTACCCGAGGCAGCACAAAGACTACGAAGCCGTCTGGCATTCCTGCATGACAGCTGGCTGGTGCAAGATACACGCGCTCGGCATGGCATCTCGTCTTCGTTTGGAAGTGCTCCAAGGATTGAGGACGATCGCAATCTGGCAATGCAAGCGCGCGCACACACAGCCCATGGCCCGCATGAGTACCAACCGCTGGAAAGCTTGTCGTGACATATTGCTCGAAGAAACGCTCCGTACAGACACAACAGATGAGAAGAGAAGACCCGGCAGTTCTCTCGCTCAGTGGGCTTGGCGAGAGGCACTAGTGCCCAGTCATCATGCTCGTCAACGCGTCTTCGAGATCCAAGATCTGCTCGTCCGCCGACTACAGGCCACGAGTGGGTCGGAGGAAAGAGTCAAGCTAGCGGGCAGTTTCTTCTCTGCCTTTATCGTCGCGCACTCGCTCGAGCCTACTTCGCCGCCACTGCCTTCTTTGCTGAAGACCTGGCTAGCCGCTACCAACGTGTCTCTCGATACATTGGTATCAGAGTCATGGCTCTGCGAGGCTTTCACAAAGACGGACAGTGCCACACTTGCTGCTCGTCGGAGGGCACTCGACTGGCTATGTCAGTTCAGTTTCGCCCAAACGTACACAGCGATCGGTCAGGCCGGTTGGCGAGCGAGATGTATCCTCTGGATACGCCGATCCGAACGAGCAAAGGCGCTGCATACATGGCAAGCACTCAGGTCGGCTAGCGACCTCAGCAAGCCCGACGGCTGGCTACTCACTCATTGGGAGGACGCTCCTGAACTCGACCTGCCTCCTTCTACGCAAGCAGAACATGGCGCAAGGACACACAGCCTCGACACAGCGCGCCTGACGCCGGAGGTAGTCGCAAGCTTCTTGGCTGCCTTTGTGCAGCTTGGCATGGTCGAAGAGGCAAGGTCACTCTGGCAGTTCATTCACGATCGAGGTCACAGACCGACTGCGACAGTCTGGTTGGCGCTCTTGGACAGTCATGCTCGCCGTCTCGATCCAGACGCGGCGCACGATACCTTTGATCGCATGAAGCGTTCTGGTATCGAGCCTGATGCTTCGGCCTGGGCTGCCCTCATCACTGCTTACTTTCGAGCTTCGGAAACCGAGACCGCAATGAAGTATATTGATGTCATGCTGGCTAATCAGACTTTGCTCGCTCGTTATCCCAACGGCATTCTACCTCGCGCTGCAATGAATCAGATCATAGGCGGTATGATGCATAGCCGAAGAACGACAGAGGCAATGGCTCTCATTGAACAAATGATTACTTCTGGCGCTCGTCTCGGCATCGATACGATCAACATCTTGCTAGACTACCATGCTCATAGGAAGACACCGAGCTTGCAGGGTATCGACGAGGTATTGCAACTCATGGCAAGGCACAAGCTTGAGCCTGACGTGAGGACTTACACCACTCTGATCGATGCTATGCTCTCGTCCGGGCAGCCTGAAGCCGTGCCCGGCTTGTGGAAGGCAATGTCAGATGCTAAAGTGACGCCCAATATTGCCACGATTACGACAGTTATCGATCATATGGCAAAGAGCGGAAGGCTTGAAGATCTTCGAGCGGCCGTCGCCATGCTCAGAGAGGCCGAAGCGACTGGCCTGCAGACCAACGAGATAACGTATACTTGTCTCATACAAGGCTTTCTCAAGCTTGCCCTAACTGCAGCACCTTCGGCGGATGCTCTCCGAGTATACCAAAGCTTCAAAATTGGTACGCTGCCTTCTGGCTCATCTGCGGACGGATCTGCATTTGCGAACAACCTCGGGCTCCTGGCAGCACAAGGACTGGTCGAACGAATGAGACGACGCAACATCGCACTCAACCGGATTGGCTACAACATGTTCATGTCTGCCTATCTCTCCCTCGGGAGTGAGTACGGCAAGGCGATGGCGCTACAGTTCTTCGATGAGATGAGAGCTCGTAGGGGGATCCACAGCGATGACGCCGTCGAGGGAGCCACAACGGGCCAGCTCCATGCCGATTCGTGGTTTACCATCTTGAACGGTCTGTGGACTATGGGCGCCAGCGATGATGCGCACAGACTGGTCGACATGCTCGCCGCAGACGGCTTCGAGATCCGCAGCGCGTCTCTTCATCGGCTCGTCAAGCTCATACGAGCCTAGACTAGACTTGAGTGTCAAGTATGGCATGTATGTCTGCATGCATCATTAGCGCTGTCCCGCTAGAGACGGTGATGACTGACTGTCGACAATGTCAAGATAAGCCTGCGTTGCAGGAGATTCGGGATATTCGTCTAAGAAGCTCTTGCCGAAATCGCAGCATTTGCCGATTCGAGGATCAAGGGGCACTTTACCGAGCAAGCGAAGATCCATGTCCTTTGCGAGCTTGTCTGCACCGCCTGTGCTGGGAATGAAGATATCGGATTGTCCGTGACAGCTCGGGCAGACAAAGCCAGACATGTTTTCGACGATGCCGAGGATATTGATGCCGACCTTTCGGCAGAAATCGATCTCCTTTCTCACGTCTTGCAGCGCTACTTCTTGGGGTGTTGTCACGATGACTGCACCGTCTATGCCTGACTCTTTGAGATACTGAACGATGGAGAGATGCTCGTCCGATGTGCCCGGTGGAGTATCGACGAGCAAGTAGTCCAACTCTCCCCAGTCTACATCTTTGAGGAATTGCTTGATGAGACCATTCTTCTTGGGCCCCCGCCAGATGACTGCATCGCTCGAGGAAGGCAGCATGAAGCCGATCGACATGACGCAAAGGTTGTCGAGCACGTAGAGTGGCGACCAGCCTGATGAGGTAGCATGCAGTCGAGCATCTTGCAGCCCTAGCATCAGTGGCAGACTAGGACCGCAGATGTCGATATCCATCATGCCGGTCTGTGCTAGCTTGATGAGCGCTGCTGGCCAGCACAACGAGGGGCACGCACTTGGACGGTTTCGTCTGCTGCGAGCGCCCAGGCAAGTCCGGTGGTGAACGTGCTCTTGCCCACACCTCCTTTGCCGCTCAGAACGAGGATCTTCCGTTTGACAGAGCTCATGCGGTCTTTGATGAGTGGCAAATCGACATCGGGTCCTTTGTTCGTGTTGGTAGCGCAGATATTCTGTCCGTAGCAATATCCGTCAGCGAAACGAAGTCTGCAGACGACATGGGACAGACCTGATTGGGACATCCGTCGCATGCTGAAGCTTTGCCGGCAGATTCAGACTCTGTGCCCTGTTCGGTCGCTTGATCAGCACAGGCATGAGTCAGCTCAAGGTCGGACTGACGGGACAGGCTTCGGGTGCGTCTGCTGGCTTGTCCGTCGGCAGGAGAGACGCAGTCGGTCGTGCCGCCACTTCATCCATCTTCATCGGCGCAGGCACAGCTGCCTGAGTCAACATCATGATCGTCTCTGATTCGCGCAACTTTTGACTTCGCGTCGACGACGGAGGGAGGTGCCATCGCCACGTCGACGGCCCGGCCTTTCGTCCTGCCCACAGCTCAGTGCTGCACCCTCCCACGATGGTGGAACAGGGAGCCTACCCTTGGGTCTCACTGACACCCGCCGCGACGGCCAACACGCTCTCGTTCCTGCGCGTTGTCATCCTGGCGACCATCGCAGGCGCAGCAGTTGCCAGCCGACTCTTTGCCGTCATTCGCTTCGAGTCCATCATCCACGAATTGTATGTCTTCTCTCAGTCGGCTTCCATGTGAACGCACTGAGGACTGTAAATGGTTGGTCAGCGATCCATGGTTCAATTTGCAAGTGCCTTGCGCTGTTCAGGCACGCGCTCAAGCTTATGGTGCCGCTACAGTCGTGCGACAAAGGTCCTCGCAGAGAAAGGCGTCTACGAGTTCTGGAATTGGTTCGATCCAACGGCATGGCAAGTCGGATGCCTCACGTCGGGAAACCGATAGTCTCATGCCAACCAGTTTATAGGTATCCGCTCGGTCGAGTAGTAGGAGGAACGATCTACCCCGGGCTGATGATCACGAGCGGCATCATCTTCAACGCGCTCAGGTGGCTCTCGGTCCCTGTCGACATTCGCGAAGTCTGCGTCATGCTGGCGCCTGGATTCTCTGGCCTGACAGCTTATTCGACCTATCTCTTCGGGCGCGAGGTCGGGCGTTCCAAAGACGGACAAGGGGGCGAAGGAACTGGATTGTGGGCAGCACTCTTCATTGGTATTGCGCCGGGTACACCAGTCGCCTCCATCGGCAAGGCTTACATGCTGACGGAAGGGCAGGATACATCTCGCGTTCCGTGGCAGGATCTTATGATAACGAAGCGATTGCTATCTTCATCCTCATGTTCACCTTTTACCTCTGGATCAAAGCACTCAAGGAAGGCTCGGCCTTCTACGGAGCTCTGACCGCTCTCTTCTACTTCTACATGGTTGCCGCATGGGGTGAGGCCATCTGCGCTCGTCTCGAATGCCGCTGACGTCGTCACAGGCGGCTATGCCTTCATTACCAACATGCTTCCGCTGCATGCCTTTGCATTGCTTTGCATGGGTCGCTTCTCCTCACGACTCTACGTGGCCTACTCTGCCTTTTACGCCATCGGAATCCTGGCTAGCATGCAAGTCCCCTTTGTCGGCTTTCAACCCATCAGAACATCCGAGCACATGGCTGCTCTCGGTGTATTTGGCTTGCTCCAGCTCGTTGCCTTTGCCGAACTCGTCAGAAGTCTCGTGCCATCTCAGCAATTCAAGTCGCTCTTGCGCGGCTCTCTCGTCGCTGCTGCTGCATTGGGTGCTGCTGCAATCGTCGGACTCACAAAGGGCGGCTATATCCAGCAATGGAATGGCAGATTCTATTCCCTCTTCGATACAGGCTATGCCAAGGTATGTTCATTCTTGCAAGCCAACGACCAATGCTGACGGTAGCACAGATCCATATTCCGATCATTGCGTCAGTCAGCGAACATCAGCCGACCGCCTGGCCAAGCTTCTTCTTCGATCTGCAAATGCTCATCTATCTCTTCCCTGCTGGCGTCTTCCTCTGCTTCAGAGAGCTCAGGGACGAGCACGTCTTCATCATCGTCTACGCCGTCTTTGCGAGCTACTTTGCAGGCGTCATGGTCAGATTGATGCTCACGCTAACACCCGTCGTCTGCGTCACTGCCGCAATGGCCGTCTCTTCCGTCTATACGGCTTATCTCGATCCTGCCGTGCCAGGCTCGCAAGTCGCTGCGACGGACGACTTGCCCTCTGCGCCATTGGTCGATCCGACCCTGATCACCGATAGCGATGAACCATCTGCAAAGACGAGCGCAGTCTCTGCGCCCGTCGGTGCGACCCAGCGCAAGAAATCAGCAGCTGCTGCCAAGATAGCCAAAGCTTCGAATGATATACCGCTCAAGACGAGCCGCTCGACCGGTCCCTACTCGCTCGACGTGCGCTTTGCAGTCTTGACCGTCTTCAGCGCACTGCTCGTCTCGTTCTGCCTACACTGCACTTTTGTCACTTCGTCTGCTTACTCTTCGCCCTCTGTCGTGCTGGCTTCGCACAACCAAGATGGCTCGACGAACATCATTGACGATTTCAGAGAGGCTTACTACTGGCTCAGACAAAATACTGCACCGGATGCGAAGATCATGAGTTGGTGGGACTATGGCTACCAGATTGCTGGGTTTGCAGACCGTACGACGCTCGTTGACAATAATACCTGGAACAACACTCAGTCGGTCGTCAATTCTTTTTTCCTATAGCTTGCGCGCTAACACTATGGACAGCATCGCGACGGTGGGCAAGGCCATGTCGTCGCGTGAAGAAGTCGCGTATCCTATTTTGCGCCAGCATGATGTCGATTACGTACTCATCGTCTTTGGCGGCCTCATTGGGTACTCTGGCGATGATATCAACAAATTCCTTTGGATGAGTGCGTAATGCCTTGCTGTTCCCGACAAGCCTGACATGTCCTACAGTCCGAATCTCGGAGGGAATCTGGCCCGAGGAGATCAAAGAGCAAGAATACTTTACCGCGCGGGGCGAGTACAAGGTCGATGACGATGCTTCGCCAGCGATGCGCAACAGTTTGATGTACAAGATGTCCTACTACAGGTGCTTTCTTAAGCCTTGCGAATAGGTGTGCGAGCTGACACACATGCACAGATTCAACGATCTGTACAATGGGCAGACGGCGATCGACAGAGTCAGACAAGCTCGGATGCCTTCCGTCGGGCCAGTCCTCGATTCTCTGGAAGAGGCCTACACATCCGGCAACTGGCTCGTGAGGATATATAAAGTCAAAGATGAGGATGCTCTTGGACGAACTCACTCGACTGCGAACGCATTCCACGCGGGCAAGCGAAGGAAGCGCGCAAAGGTGTCGAAGAGCAAGACAAAAAGGCGAGCATCCGCCTCTAGAGCATAGAATGCAAACAACATGAAATCTACCGAGACTCTTCGTATGCCAGCACACGCGAGAAATGAAACGGCTTTGAGTGAACGAGCGGAACTTCTGTCGCTTCGAGCGTCGACCGGTTGAGCGTGCAGAGTTGCTGGAGCTCGAGCTTGTTCTGCTTGCCTCTGTGCGTTGTTTTGAGCAAGCATCGCATGGTGAAAGTGTACTTTAGCGATTGCCGATCTGCGACTGGCTCTGTCAGATCCCAGATATGCACCTGTGACCCTCGCAACTTCCAGCGTCCGAATGATACACCCTTTGCTCTGAGGCCAAAATCGAGTCTTCTGACTACATCGTTGGGCGGCTCGGTGCTCAGCAAGGAGATGACTCTGCCGTCGCTATAGAAGCGCAGGAAACGATAGAACGTCACCAGATGAGTCGGCCTGACCCATACGTTCTCGCTCTCGCCCCTTCTGACATACGTGAGCACAGAGATGTAGGCTCCCTCTGTTCTTATTCGAGGCTGTTCGATGAACATCCGCCTATAATCTCCAGCATGGTGCTTCTTGACGACGGAGCCAGCAGAGTCTGAAGGGTCTATTTGAGGAGCTCTGAAGACGTCCAGGCAGGTCGCTCGCCAGATCGAGCTATCTAGGGTCAACAATCTCATCCGTCTCGAGACGAGTGCAAGCCGCTCAAGATTGGCAATGTCGGGCGCAAAGCCGACCTCGCGCGGCTCGACGAGCTTGATGCAGATGAGATGGATCATCTCTGGCGGAAGTCGCTTGATCGGGATGGGCTGATCGGTATCGGCAGGATGGAAGCTAATGTCGTCATCTACTGTGGCATCATCGCGCTGCTCGTGTGTCTCTTCTGCATGCACTCGCATTTGCAGCGGCAGATAGCTGTACTGCCCGTAAGACTTGAGCAGACGTCGCCGTAAGCGTGCTGTAGACGACGGATGGTTGACATCGTCTGTACTCGCCTGCTCGTAATCCGCTCCGACGGTGACGGTACGCGTAAAGTCGAACGCTAGCTCGTCCACTGGCTCCTCGTCCGATCGCGCACCCTCGTGTTCTGTAGTGTGTCCGTCCGCTTGTGATTCTATCTTGCGCTGATAGACTGCCATGATATCGGGATCACGCTTGAACGCCAATTTGTAGGCCGACAAGGCATCATTCATCCGGCCCTGACGCTCTGCAACGACTGCTTCTTCGTAGATCTCGAGTGCAGTCATCGATGCGTGGTCTGGTTCGAGCTCGGTGTGCACCTTCTGCTCTGGCGAGCTGGTGACGCTGACGGAGCGATCATGGTGAGTTGGTTGAGGCTCGAATGCACCTCGATGCTGTCTGATGTCCGAAGTGAGCGTCTTGCCTGCTCGCACTTCTTCCCGCCATTGACGGCGGAACCGTTCGAGCTCGTCTTCCTCGTTCATGCCGGGTTGCTCGTGAGGGTGTGGCCAATCGTGACGAGCAATCGAAAGCGAGATAGATGACAGTCACGTGACACACACGCTCAATGTTGCTCGCGGCAAGTGCAGACATTGTAGAGCCTCTGATCGTTGCAGGCTCACGCCCATCATGCCTTCGAGCAGCAGCAGCAGACCGCGAGCATCCATGCCAGCGTTCGCACAGCCCGAAGCGCGGGAAGAGCAACAAAAGGAGAACCATCGTCCTCATGGCTCAGGGACGAGCAAGAAACGCGCCAAATCGCTTGGAGGAGGTCCATCGCCCAACAAAGCTGCACGCAAGAGCGTTGTACGTCTCAGCAGGCTGAAAGTGGTCGTCACTCATGTGTATCGACGTCCAGATCCCTGGGCGGTCAATCCTTAAGCCGCGTCCGTCGAGCAATACTGGGCAATATGACGAAGATCTCACGTCAAGCTACAATCCGCGCATGTTCAGCAAGTCAAGCAATGTCATCTCGTATGCCGAGATGCAGCGCCAGGCAGATCAAGAGCGACTGCAACGCAATGCACAGCTTGCAGTCGCCAATGCGCAACAGGCAAAGGGGATGTCACTCGCGCGTCGGGTCAGCTTTGCTGCCAATGCAGACATCAGGCAAGTTGTCCGACTATGACGGTCGATCGATCAGGGTCTGAATGACGCTTGCAGGACGATAGAAGCAAATAGTGACATGTCCCTCGCTTCCACCGCGTCCGTCGCGTCACCGCCCCACACACAGAGCGCATCTGCAGCGCCAATTTCACGTGATGCAGAGAGCGAGAGCGAGGCGAGCATGGACATATCGAACGGCTCTGATCTTCCGGCATTGAACGCGCGGCTCAACGCACGCAGACCGAGCGAGATCTACTCTTCTGCCAGCGCCACTGCGACACCAAGCAGAAAGTATCAGATACCAGAGAACCTGCGCCCGACTGCCGCGCCGTATGTCAGCGCGATACCGCCTCGCCCAACCTTCGGGTCTGCGAATGTCTTCGCCCTTGATACCAGCATAGACATGTCTATGGCTTCTGCCGAAGGAAATCTCATGGACGAATCGATGATAATGCCAGATGAGAACATGACGGCAGCTTTCGATGCGACGACGCACAATCGTGCAACGCGGCTGACCACCTCCACTCCGACTGCCAATGTACTCAACCGACTGGCGCAAAGCCAGGCGCCTGCTCCTAGTCCTGGCGATCAGGAACAGGACATGTCATTGGCTACTGCTACAGACGACACTTCCGTCTCCCACAACAGTGCTACGAGCGGTGAAGTCAGCATGGATCTTGCAGACGACCATCAGACGGCCGCATTTGACTACCACATGCGCAACCGTCTCGGGACTGACTATCAGGCCCCCATCGCTGATGTCAGCACGAGCACGGCCGGACGGTCCTCTCGTCATAGCCAGATCAACGTTGCAGTGCATGAAGATAGCGATCGCACTGTCGAAATGAGTATGTCATCTTCCCATGCTCCTTCGCCACTGCCATCTGCTCAAAATCGAGGCGCTGCGAGCTTGGCCTTCTTGGATGATGCGGACGAAACACAAGCTTATGCCGATCTGTCCGATGCTGAGTCGACAGCCGACATGGAGCTCACAACAGCCTACGGAAGGATCCGCAATCGCGAATCGCTCCTGCCACGGCCGGCGCGTCCTTCCCTTGCAATCGGTGCGCGGCCTACCTCAACAGAGGTACAGCATCGGATATTTCAGCAGCATCAAGCGCGCGCCTCCCTTGCAAGTTCACCTCGTCGCACCATTCAAAAGACCGGTATCACTCCTCTTCCTTCTCCGCGACGCGTTGCTTCGCCTCTCAAGACGATCTCCACACCCAGAGCATCTTTGACACCCTTGCGAGCCTCTCAGAGTGCCTCGACTCCTGTAGCAGCTCAAGCCACCCTCGCAGTCAATCAGACGCCTACGCCAATGAGAGTCCCTCAGCAAGGCAATCAGCTCCAGCGCACGCCTTCTCGCAGCCAAGACGTTTTCTCTGCGCCTTCTAGTGCGATTAGACCTTTGGGCTACGCTCGGACGACGCCTACGAAAGCTAGCGCAGCGCCAGTTGAAGCTAGGCGTCAATCGCAGGTCACGATGCCGCCCGCCAGCCCGTCTCGTCGGCGGTCCATGGCAGGTGACGTCGACCTCGTGTCAGCGAGCGAAACAGTCCCCGTGGATGTCCAGGAGGAGCAGCAGGTGGGTCTAGGCAGCGAGCACGACGGTGAAATGAGGCTGATGAGGTATCACAGCCTGTCTTGACCGTCGATGATTTTTTCGAGATCACCGGGGTTCAATTCATGAGCGATATGATCGTTCCTGCCAGTCGCAAGTCTGCAGCATCCCCCAATCGTCCACGAGAGAGTAAGTCTTCCGTTCTTTGCCTCGAGCGAATATTAAATGAGATGGCGTAAAGGCTTTGGCAGCTCGCTACTTGCAGAACAGATCAAAGCCGCAGCATCTTCTGTCTTCTTCCTCGATACGTATAAGCATGTGCGTATCGTCGAGCATTGCCGGTCAATCTTGCTGATACTGGGATCAGATGGTCATGAAGCTGGGCGAACAACTCAAGGAGAATCGCGCGGCGCGTGAAGAAATAGATGAGGTTATCGAGCTCAGTCAACCTCGCATCTTTTCAGAATGGCTTCGTGCAGACGATGATAAACGTGCGGCCATCGAGAGCGAGCTCAAGCTGGTCAAGACATGGTGTCGCCTCGATGTGCGCAGCGATTGGTATAGCTTCAGAACGCAGCTCTTCCTGCAAGTCTGTGATAGCCTGCAGATCAATCTGGCTCAGCTTCGCCAAGTCAGTCAGATCCATACATGAGAGAAGCGAGCTCAGAGTACTTACCCAGGACCAAGCACAAGTAGCGAGCTGGGGCGCAAACGTGACGGAGCTGCTGCCGGATCTTCGTAGCGAGTATGGCAGACTGAAAGAAGAGCTTGTGCGGGAACAGGCTCGGCAGCGCGAGCTTGACGCATCAGACAAAGACGAACTCCATTCGTTGCATCTCGCCATCGCAGAGCAGGGGTATGTCATCGCGACTGTGCTCAAGCACGGCTGACGGGTACAACAGAGCGGCTTTGGAGGAGATTCAGAAAGACCATGCCGAAGTGCAGGGACAGCTGGAGAGACTGGAGTCGAAGAGCGCCGATATCGATGCAGAGATGTCGCATATGGAAAGCACGATAGCCAAAAGCACAAGCTACTGTGATCGCGTTCGCCGGTTCACGCAAACAGAAGTACGACGTCTCAAAGGTGCCCACACGGCCTCGTCAAAATTGCGATTACTCACGAGGTGCATCGCAGATGATTATGAGGCGCTCGAACGGATCACTGGCTGTAAGATTGTCGGCCTACGATCAGGCCAGATCAAACTGTGCTTGTGCGATGAGCTGCAAGTGACCCTAGATATATCGTCAAAGGGCGTCATCAAGCGCAAGCATGTCTACTGGCTGCGGGCGCCGTTACAGGAAGAGCAGTACAAGCGAGCGCAAACCAGCGATGCACTGCAAGATCGACCTGACCAACTCCTCGCGGCGACCCGTTTCCTCTTCGATCGTCTTCGTCTAGCCATCGAGGCTGATACCGAGACAAGGCCCTACGTGTGTCGTTCGCCAATTCCAATAGGCAAAGCTGACGTGCCAGCAGGCACTGATACGTCAGATAGTACTGATGTGGACAGCAGCTAGGCGATTGATCGAGGAGCTTCGTCTGCTTCAGTCTCGCTTCCCCATCAAGGTCATGGCGCTCAAGAAGCCCTCCAGAGGCAACGCGCCTTACCTTCGCACGACGACCACTGTCTTCTCGCAGCAGAATCCTGCTGGACCTGCCAGTCTACGGGTGGCATTCGAGATGACGGGTGAAGAAATTACTACGGGAGATGCAGATCATGCCGTCGAATCCATCAGTACGACTGTGGACGCCGTTTTCGGCTCTGTAGAGTGAGCCTCGTTTACTTCTTGCGGGGAGAAGACTAAAGGTCTGCTGGAAGCAGTGTGAAAGAACTGCAGTATCGGGTGCTCGAGCGAGTCACTTCTGGCGGTTCCCGCGCGCTGCTGGAAGCTTGTATGGAACTCGAGTGAATGCAATCAGCACTGTTGTAGCAACAAGATATACACTAGATCTTTCGGGGACGTTTGCGAGCAGCCGTGCGGGCTTGGTAGAATTTCTTGCCGCCACTCTGCGAACGCGCCTGCACTTCGAGGAACTTCTTCTTGGCGTACGTCTTTGCGTTCTCGTCCTGCACGAGCTGCTCGAGGAAGGTTCGCTTCTTCGGCATGGCAACAGGACCGCCAGTATTTGTCAAAGGCGTACGAGAGGTCGAAGGCAAGATGTGACCGAACTGAAAGATCTCTGGTAGCTTCTTTGCAGCCCGTTTGGACTCGCCACGCATGAATCGCTTGGGATCGAGCGCGTTGTGTAGCTGCATCGCTTGAATCTCTCGCTTGAGCTCGGGCGTCATCTCGGGAGCCGTCATGTCGAACCAGCCAGGACCAGCAGTCGGTCTCTTTAGCTGAGCAAACACATCAAAGGCATTCAGCTTTGTGCGACCCTACGATGGGCTCGGCTCTTCGTACCTTTGCCTTTTCGGCCGTCGTCAAGAGCTTCACCGGTCCTTCTCCCCACTTGTCACGCAGACGCACAGCCGGCATTTCTGACGGTTCTTCGATCGCCCTGCCTTTGCCTTTGACATCCAGCTGCTGTTCTGACGGATAGACGTCCGCCGAACTTGTCAGCGGTCTCAGCAAAGCCCGCAGACGTCGCCGTGCGATCTCTTTAGGATCGTCTGGTGAGTCTAAATGGAGTATATCGGCACTGAGATCCGTACGGCCCGACAGTGCAAGCGCAGGCTTCTTGGCGTATTTGGCCCTTGCACGCTCAAGGATCGCCTCTGCGTCTTCATCATCATCATCCGATGGATTTTTGCTGTCGTCAGAAGGGCTCGCTATCGATACAAGTCGTGGGACGAGCAGCAGATCCTCATCGAGAGATGTATCAAGCGTTGGTAATAAATCTTTTGGCCTGTCTGGCAGACCCGGCTGCGCCTCTTGCGGACTAGGCAGGCTTGTAGAAGCTTGCGAGTCAACAGTGGCGTTTTGCAGTCGGGCGCTGACTCTTCTTGGCTGCTGCATTGCCACGGAGTCTGCTCAAAGTTGGTTTTTGCTGTTTTGTCAAATCGACTTTGATCGCGTCAACTCACGCTCACGGTGATGCACTCACTGATGGTCGAAGGAATTCAAATTATTCATAGAGCCATACATGATCTAATCCCGACATCCATGTAGATCATGTAAGTCTTTCGTAGCGTATCGAGCACCGTGATGTTGCTCGGTATGGCACCCGCCGTCCAGAAGAGGGACCGACTTTGCGTTGGCGTCGCTGGAGGATATGCTCGACCAGCAGGGGCACCAACGTGGGCGGATCGTTGATGACTTCCCAGACGAGATGTCGTGCTTTCCAATGTCTCGAACAGAGTCGCAGAGCGGGAGCGATCTGTTCTGCCCGTGATGCCAGTGCAGGCTCGAGGAAAATGTCGTCAAGCACATCTTGGCAGCTCTTGATCGGCAAGGTACCGGTACACGCATCGATCTCGAAGTGCTCGCAGAGCATCTCCCATATATTCAATTTGGCCTTGCAGATCTGCTGAGACGTGATCGGTCAGCCGACGGCTAGTTTGCCTAAAGGCGTGACGAGCCAGAAGATCGTCTCTAGCCAGCCGATGTATCCCTTGTTCGCCCGTCTGGGACCTTCGCCAAAAGTACGCGAACTCCTCTCTGCTTCGGCTCGCGTCCAGAGGAGTACGTCGGCAGGAATAGTGAGCAAGTAAGGTGAGGGATCCGGCGAAGTCGCTCTGGGCATCGATTTCCATCTCTGGGATCTTGTCACGCGATCCGGCTCTGGCCGAATGCGCTTGGACGGCGAGAGACTCTTTCCAGAAGAGCAGAGCTGATCGTGCACCACGAGAGGTCGCTCAATCGGGGTGTGTGATGAGGAGGCCAGAAGCTGAGATGGGCTGTAAGACGATTGCGGAGGTGAAGCGGTATGACGGATCGAGACTGGCGAGATTGGATCCGCTGCATGGTTCTGCGACTGTCGAGTGGCATGACCATTCTCCTGCCCGTCCGCATGTGGCTCTTCGCAGCAAGCGCGGCCTCGGATGAGCTCATCGACCGTCGCGTCTCGCTCGCTCAATTGCTCGTGTAGTCTGACCAATTCTTCTGGAGGATCGCTTGCTGTTCACGCAACGCGACGATCGTCTTGCGGAGAACCGGAACCTTGGCTTGTTCTATGCGAGCAGTGTCTAGCTCCTCTCGTAGACGGGCAAGGGTCGCTTGTTGCACGATACGGCGCTCGCGCAAGAGCTTGTTGGACTCTTGTGTAGCTTGCAGATTGCGCCGCAGTAGCGCTTCTGTGACGCCTTGGAGTGCTTGATCGGGAGCTCTGCTGCTAGGCTCGGTAGACTCCTGCCTGGCACAGACTCCTCAGGCGTCACCGGTCTCGAGATAGTCAGCTCATCGAGCGCTGGGATGCCACGCTGTTGGAAGGACAGGTCGCCTTCGATCTGTTTGAGTCGACGGGAGAGTGCATCCATGCTGACATGGGCTGGTCCACTCGTGTCGATAGGATGCAATCGGGCCAGCTACACCCACCCTCGCACCCACTCACTCTGCTCAGCTCAGCTTGATGACGCGCTTGCCTTTGTCTCCGTCGACCGTCAGACCACGCTACCCAGCCAGAGGCTCGCATGGATCTGCAAGACACGCCGCCCATCACCAAGGCATACTTGATGTAGGCCTTCTCCCCGACGGTCGTACTCAGGAAAGCGTTGGCTAAGCAGCCAAGTGCAAGCAGTGCTTCCGTCGGTACTTCCATCGCAGTGGCACGTGTCACCCGAGCATCACCCTCCTCTCCCCCAGCGCTGATGAGCAGAGTGATGAGCAGCAATGCAACATCGTCAATGCCTTCCAGCTCTTCCACACCTACCGAGCTACGTTCGAGAGCGGACAGCTCTGGCGGCTGCTCACGACGTTTCTCTACTTTGGCAACCTCTCGCTCGACTTTTTCTTCCACATCTTCTTCTTGTCCGTCTCTCTTCTGCTCTCACCTGACATCCATAGGACTGATCTCCGTCTATCGGATCAGCATGAGATACAGCAAGATGATCGAAGAAAACGCGTTTCACGGTCGCAAAGCGGACTACCTCTGGATGCTCCTCATCTCAGCCACGCTCCTCCTCATCCTCTCCCCGCTCTCGCCCTCGCCCTTTCTGAGCTCGCCTCTCAGCTTCACGCTCGTCTATCTCTGGTCGAGACTCAACCCCAACGTCAGGCTCTCCCTCTTCGGTCTCATCACCATCACCGCGCCCTACTTGCCCTACGCGCTCGTCGCCTTTTCCTGGGTGCTCAGTAGCTCCTGGAACGGCGTCGTCGGAGACCTGTTGGGTATCGCAGTGGGACATACCTACTTCTTCCTCTCCCAGATCTGGAGCAAGGAGAGGAGTTCCAACAAGCGCAACTGGCTCGCCACGCCCACTCTACTGTCCGTCGCTTGCTTCACTCATCGTACCAGCCGCATCATGCTCATGTACAGACACGACAGGACGCGTCTGCTGGATGGACCCCAGGCCCTCGAGAGGCGAGACGACTAGACAGACGGGCATCACACGACCAGCGCTCGTCACCGCAGGGACGCATGGGTAGATTTTGGAATGATGTTGTTGTCAGATTGATGTACATCTTTTGACCAGTCTAGCACGAGTCTGCTGCTCGACTGCTGCATGATCGAACGACGACGATCGTCACCATCATCATATCCCTCTGCCTCGCCCACGAGCTCGCCCTCTGCTCCTGTCACCTCGTCCTCCTCGACCGCGTCCTCTCGCTTCCTCCTGTTCGCTCATGGCCATCATCAGCAACGCCAACGAGCAGCCGATCAGTGTAGAGAGGCGACCTTCTTCTTGTTCTTCTTTGGCTTCGGTCCATCGTCAATGAGCAGCGTGTCGAGCGGCAGTGAGTCTGGCAAGATGACATAACGAATATTGTTGCCCCTTATCGAGAGCGTGTCGAGCGATTGCGGTTCGTTGTTTTTCACGGTCATCTTGACCGCTTTGAGATGCATGTTCATCGCTACATCCACACCTGTTCGAGCCCGAACGATGATGAGCTCGGCCTCATTTCTGCGAACGAGTGCGCAGGGCGGAAGAAAGCGTGCCTGTGATCGTGCCGCCGACGGAGGTGCCGTTCTTGAGCTCGATCGAGACGGTCTCGTTGTTGAGCTTCATCAAGAAGCGAGTGAGCTGCATGCTTGCGGGTGCCCTTCCGGCCAGACGTATGACTCTGGCGAACTGGAAGCACGGCGAGCGCTGATACCATGAATACGTGTCACCCGCGCAGCTGTGACTAAACTTGAAAAACTCAAGCTCGGTGGCTGCAATTTGGCGAGTCGGCAAAAGAGAAGAAGTATCTTGAAGATTGGTCTGCCTTGCAAACACAAGGCTTAAATCGATCCGTCTCTCGATACTCTCACCGTCATCTCTGCCGGTCATCCGTCAGGTGCCAACGAAGAAGTCGATCAACTCGAAACACAAGCAAAGATGAAGTATCTCGCTGCTTACTTGCTCCTCAATGCCGGCGGCAACACGAGCCCCTCCAAGGGTGACATCACCTCTCTCCTCGAGACCGTCGGGTCAGTCTGCCACTCGTCTCTGCTCAACAACTCATCGGGGCTGACGTGTGTTGCGCTTGCTTTGCTGCTTCCTTGATGCTATCCAAAATTGGCCAATGAATCGGACAGGATCGAAGTCGAGTCTGGCCGATTGGATAGCCTCATGTCCGAGCTAGAAGGCAAGGATATCAACGAGCTCATCGCCAGCGGATCCTCCAAGCTCGCCTCAGTTCCTTCCGGAGGAGGCGGTGGTGCTGCTGCCGCTCCCGCTGCGGGTGGTGCGGCTGCAGGCGGCGCTGCTGCAGAAGAAAAGGCAGAGGAGAAGAAGGAGGAAGAGAAGGAAGAGTCTGATGACGACATGGCAAGTCACTCTCCTTCATCGCTGCACACAGTTTCCCTGACCAAGCTTTGCCATTACAGGGCTTCGGTCTGTTCGACTAGATTCCCACTGTCCTCTCTTTGCATGCTTGTACGAGCGACAACACTGCTCTTTGCCGGCGTGAGCGCTCTTGAGACCTTGCAATCTGTTCGGCTTGGCCGGCTTGGCTGAATACCAAAAGACGCGTCGCTTTGTCTCTTCGAAGTGAAGCGCATCGATGAGCTTGGCCGTCAATCGCTGTCTGCGCTTGTCGCAGCGACCTCGTCCCTTCTCGCGCAGCCTCTCGACCGCATCAGCGAGTAGTACGAGCACCATCAATGCAGACGAAGTTGCCCATTTTGCCAAATTATCTGCCAAATGGTGGGACGAACAAGGCGAATTTGCTCTGCTGCATCGTATGAACCCTGTCCGACTCGACTTTATGCGCCAATGGATCTCTCGATCTGAAGTACTGCCCGCCCGACGGTGGCTCACAGGACGGAGAGTGCTCGATGTGGGCTGCGGAGGCGGTTTGCTCTCTGAAGTACGACCCACACGCTGCTCCTTGGCTCTTCATCGCTGAGACAGATTTTTCGCAGAGCCTGACGAGGTTGGGAGCGAGGACGACGGGGATAGACGCAACGGCGGCCAATATCCTCATGGCATCTCTCCATGCCGCTCAAGATCCAGCGCTGCACTCCGCGACTCAATCGAAAGAGCCCAGTCTTACTTACCGCCATGCTGCCGCCGAGGATCTCGTTGACGAAGGCGCGATTTTTGATATCGTCTGTGCGATGGAGGTCATCGAGCATGTGGACGATCCAAGAGGGTTCCTCACTTCGCTCGCCCATCTCGTCAAGGTCAGTCCGTGCTCAACATCACCCTACTCGTGCTAACAGCGTGCAGCCTGGCGGTCACCTCCTGATGTCTACGATCTCAAGGACGCTGCTGGCTCGCTTACTGACCATCACCATTGCCGAATCACCCGTGCTAGGTTTCGTTTCGCCAGGCACGCATCACTATGACAAGTACATCAAACCAGACGAGCTGAATGCCTTCATCGCTGAGGACCTGAAATGGCAGCGCAACCAGTCATCAGCATGGACAGAGACCCGCGGTGTCATCTACAACCCTCTTCGGGGCTCATGGGTGCTCATGTCGCCAGACTCTCAAGCAAGCCAACTGGCGAACTACTTCTATGCCGCTCGAAAGCCCGCCTGATATGGATGCAAGATCAGTACAAGCTCTTCCATAAGCTGGCTGCCGAATCGTCATTAGCCGCCGAAGCTTTGGCAGCTCCGACAAGGATGCCTTGGATGTTCTTGTGCACCCTGCGCATCATCGTCAGCCTTCACGCTGACTGGCACCTCACGGGTGACGTACTGGCAGAGGTAGTCCACACTGCAAGCGGCGAGGGCGCGTGAGCAGAGGACACAGGTTTCGTAGCGAGAAAGACGTACTATGACATGGCATCGTTGTTCTGGTCTTCGACGAGCATGTTGCCGAACTCCATCTCGAGACCATCCATGTTTTGTCGCGCGATGAGCACGGGCAGATGCATGCCTTGTCTCCTGGCTTCGGCATGCTTGATCAGATTCCGTACTTGCTCAGACAGTCGCGTTGGCAGACGGGGCAAGACCGACTGCTCGCTGCCATAAGCATGATATCTCGTGTCAATATCGTGTACTGACCATGCGGATGTCCAAATCTTCGAGACTCTCCACACCATACAGATCAGTCAGAATCTGAGGTGAGACTGCGTGGCCGAGCCACAGGATCGCGACTTCGCCGTTCTCTGCAAGAGAGCCCGTTAGCCATGCACGCAGGCCGAAGGACCCGAGACTGACCAATGATGTAAGCACCATGAGGTACCAGTCTTGCATAGCTCGTTCGAATCAGCTCCGGCACGACGAGCTTGCCGGATTCGTCTGGAAAGCCCGCATCGGCTGGCAAATCATGTATGGACAGCATCCGGGGGTATAATAGCTCGACGAGATTGGTCACGCCGATCGATCGAAGCATCCGCATGTAGTACGCTCGCACGTCCGAAATCACTGCTCCTCCTGCGAGCGGGGAGCACGCTTCAGCATAGACAGCATGCTGAACGCGCCCGACTCGCCTTTGATGGCTTTGCTCTTTGTGAGAGCCATTGTATAGACCGGTAGTAGCTTGAACGACTCTGGCAAGATAAGCTGCCCAGGCGAGGTGGACGATGCACAATGCTTTCTGTAGGCGAGCAAGATCTTGACGCAAGTATCTGTGAGCTGTTCCCTGATGTCGCGCAAAGCTTTCGTTGCCGCATTGAACACGCCTATATGATGCGTCAACACCAGCCGGACTCAAAGAGGATTATACTGACATTCTTTCGCGACATAGGCAAGCGTGGTGTCCACATCGGCATAGCGGAAGACGTTTGCGAGCAGGCTCGTGATAGGTACAGACAGATTGTGACATCTGACGCGTCTTTGACCGGTCGCAGAGGTGTAGAGCACGGCACACTGGAAATGGGCGTCCTTTGACTCGTCTAGTCGACCACCTTCGTGCTGTATGAGCGCAGAAATGGTCTTGTCTGCGTCCAAGCAGCCAAATTCGAGATCGGTCACGTTGCGCTGGAAGAAATTGCCATGATGGTTTGCTACGCGCAGACCTGCCATGCCGATGTCAGCGAGTGTTCTATTTCGCAAGGTTTTCTACTGCGCACCATTTGAGCAACGTATGCGCATGGTTACCGAATAGCCTGTCTCGCGTTGAGCTATGCGCAGAACCTGCGCGCGTAATCTTGGACCATCTCTGACAGGATCAAATCGAGTGAAGAATTGCAGATCACCGCCCGTCAAGCCCGGCAGTACGCTGAGCGTAGCCACATCGATGTACTGACTAGGAAACAAGAAGAGGTTGATGCCGATTCCGCAATCTGCGCATTCTTCGCCGATCTGGCGATACCAAGGATCCTGAGGCGAGAAGAGCGCCTTCTCTTTGTCTGTTCCGTAGAGCTTCTGATCTTCTCTCGTCTTGAGAGCGCCGGGTCCGACTGTCGGCAAGATAGTTTGGAAGAGGGTGACTTGACCGCCAAAGCTCTTCAAGGCATGCAAGCTTGCTTGTATAGGTGCTCCTATCGCTGCCTCTACTGTTGCGGTCTGTGCGAATAGATCCGGTAAACTGTCGAGCAGGGCCGTGATGGCAGGACGTGATGCTTCCGGATCGACAAAGAAGCCTTGGTTGAGCGGCATAAAGATGTCATCGATGTCCGGCACGACGAGCATCTGAGGTTGTTCCAGTCCTTCCAACAAGTTGTAGAATTGTACTGCTCTGTCGAAAGTCATGATGGCTATCCTTGTGCCTGGCGCTAGACTCGTCTGCGCAGCTGCTTGTTGTTGATCAGCCGTGACCTCTCCATCCTCAGCGGCTCGCCCGTAAAACATCATCTTCAATGCTTCAGCTACTTCTCTGACCATTCCTGTCTTCATCGCATTCCAGCTGACGTCGATGGCAAAGATCATACGAATCGGTTCTGGTTGTCGTGGCGGCAGATCTTCGCTTGGCGCACCATTCTGTACCCAGTATTCTCTTGGTGCTACAAAGTCGATTGACCCTCTTGCTAGCTCTGCTCTCTCGTCTTGATCGACCCTCCGTCCAGACATGTCAAGATGAGCAAAGTATTCGGGCGGCACTGTCCATAGCAGAAGGTGAGCATGACGGAGACTGACTAGATGGAGTGCACTGACCAACGGTGGGAGCGCCGCAGAGGTTGCAGATGTACTTCCCGCCGCCTTCGATGAAGACACACCACGGGTTGATGTATCCGCGGCAGCCACTACATCTCGGAGGCCCTACTTCGCCAAAATCGACGAGGGGAACCTCGCCTTCTTCCACCTTCAAGCGCGCAAAGGGCTGCAAGACCATAGCTAATGGCATCTGAGCTGATTGAGCAATGTCGTCCGAGCTCGGAATTGAGTAGGTCGTCAGGCGCAGGAAACGAGGATTGCAGTTCCCTTGATCGATCGCGAGGAAATCTGTGCTGGAGAGAGGGACAGCTCCCCTGCCGGCAGTCAAGAAAGGCTCCTGTTCGAACAAGCGCTGATCTGCCGCTTGTACCGCTACGGGCGACGGTATCGAATTTGGATCGATCCGCGTTCTCGGACCGTTCAATCTCTGGCCTGCGGAATGCGGCGGCTGAGGTATCTGGGGCTGCAGCGGATCTTCCTGCTGCTGGTACACCGGCTCTTCATGCTGCATCGCCATGCCGGTCGGTTGCGGCCCGGGCGGCGGAGCGTTCGCGTAAGGGTGCTGCATGGACTGATTTGCGACAGGCGGTTGATGGACGGGCTGTTGCTGGAATTGCTGCTGTTGATATTGCTGCTGCTGTTGCTGCATCTGCTGTTGTCTCAGTTGTTGCTCAAAAGCTTGCTGACCGTATTGTTGTTGCGGCTCGGCTTGATCCTCTTGGACATGATAGGCTCTCTGAGATCGTTTAGTGCGCGCAGGTCCAGCCAACATATCATTCGCCTGTCCATTGGCTTTGTCAAGCCCGATACATAGCTTCATCCCATATCACGCACCGGATATTGTTGAGGTTCAGAAGTCGAAGCTATGCTCGTTTGTGCCATTGCGTTTGAAAGCTGCTGATTGACCACGTTGGCGCCATACAGCGGCTGCTGCACAGGCGACGGAGAGCGTGCTTGTACATGCTGGGGCGCGCCGAGGAAAGCGTTCTGACCTGGCTGAGCCGGGTAGCTAGGTTGCCTTGCGTTCATACCGTTCGACTGAGGTACACCCTGTGGAGGACGTGGAGGCTGTTGCTGTGTCCCCGTGGCACTCTGTGATGGCTGCATGGGCATGCCAGGTCGTTGCTGAGCCTGCATGGGCCGTTGCTGATTCTGGCTGGGAGGTCGAAAGGCCTGCTGGCCGGGCGCGAGTGACGGAGTAGCTTGCCGTTGCTGTGGCTGTCCTCTATTTCCTGGCGGCGGACTGACAACGCCCTGCGGTGGAGACATGGCTCCGTGACGCTGAGCATGCTGCCTCTGCCAGTCCTGTTGCGCCATCGTCGCCTACAGAGGCTTCGACTTGGGTGTTTGCTGCTTGTGACGATGCGCGCAGACGACGACGCGGCGAGAAGCGAGTGACACGTCGCACGCTGCCAACCGGCATCACCCTGGCGTTGCCTGATGAGTCTCGAGTGTGCAGCTTGTGCTAGGCTGGCCAGCAGAGCTACTCGAAGTATCACCAGATCCGTGTCGAGCATCGCCCAAGGGTCAAGCCGGTTGACGCCCTTTAGCTCTCAGTTGCCGCGCTTTGCATCGACAGCACCCGAGCAAAGACCATGGCTAGACGTGCACAAGCTACGACGTGATGCACTAGCGCAACCTCGCCCTCGTCGGATAGACCGCTCTCGTTTCACCACCATTGCGCCCGTCGTTCCTGCTAACCTGCACGGAAAGTCGACATCAACCGAGGATGTGCGCCTTGTGGCGGCGGATCGAGTGTCAGAGGACACTAGCACGAGCGATGCCGAGGCGAGAGACTCACTGTCCGTGTTCCAAGGCATCAAGCTGCCAGAGAGCAGCCTCGGACCCACCACGGCGATAGTATACAGGCCAATACGATCGCACTCTTTGCCAGAGCTCATACAGCTCTACAAGGGACTGACCAAGGCCAAGCTATCTGCTCTCATCACCCTCACGACCATGGCTGGCTATGCCATGTGTCCATTAGATCCCGGAGCGACCCATGCAGCCATGGAGACGTTCCTGACAGATACGCTCGCCCATCTGCCCATCGATATGGACCAGCTGGCATTAGCAGCTACAGCTTCGTCCGGCGGATCCCAACTATCGCTGCCCATCTTGTTGACTGCCAGTGTGGGTACAGCTCTCTGTTGCGCTTCTGCCAATACGTTCAACCAGCTTGTCGAAGTGCCTTACGATGCCCAGATGGCCCGCACACGCAACCGCGTTCTCGTCCGACGGCAGGTGACGCCCTTACACGCCTTCACGTTTGCTTCCTCGACTGCTCTGGCCGGCGTGGGCATGCTCTATCACTTTGTCAACCCTTTGACTGCATCGATCGGCTTGGCGAACATCATCTTGTATTCGTTCATCTACACGCCTCTCAAACGAGTGACGATCTTCAATACGTGGATCGGTGCAGTCGTAGGTGCTTTGCCGCCTCTGATGGGCTGGGCAGCATGTACGAATACGCTCGACCTCCTCACCCAGCCCGGTGCTTGGCTGCTCGCCCTGCTCGTCTTTGCGTGGCAATTCCCTCACTTCAACTCGCTCGCGTGGAACCTTCGAGCAGACTATGCGAAAGCAGGCTACAGGATGATGTCTGTCACCAATCCGGCTCTCAATGCGAGGGTCGCTCTGCGATATAGCATCGCATGCGTGCCCATCTGTCTCGGCTTACCCTACCTCGGGCTGACGAGTGCAGTCTTTGGCTACATGTCCTTCTTGCCGAACGGCTTGCTGATCTGGACGAGCTATCGCTTCTGGCGAAGAGTCAACGATCAGACTGCGCGAGAGCTCTTCTGGGCGTCGCTCGTCCACCTTCCTGCGCTATTGATCCTTATGATGCTGTGCAAACAAGGGAGCTCCGCGCAGACAGAGGAGTGAGCTGCAGCTGTCTCACTGCGGTATCTCACTGACGCTTGCGCAGATCATCATCAGTCTCGAGGAAGGACGCAGAGACCCCGAGTGTAGAGGCGTTAGAGTAGTCTAGCAATGTAGAGAAGCTGTTGATGCCTGATGCAAAGTAGTACAAACGGGGCTACGGATGTACAGGACACGTCGAACGTTTACAATTGCGCGCTGGGAGGGAGATCGCTCTACTTGAGGTTCAGATCGACCTGATACGACCACCGGCCCTCTGCCGATCCTTTTGCACTGGCTCTGTCATGTCAGCGTAATGCCAACTGAGTCAAGCAAGAAGACTGACGTGTCATCGAGCATGATCTCGTGACGTTTCTTGACATAGACCGTCTTGTCTGTGGTCTTCTGTCTGAGCTCGGGAATGGTTTGGGGCTCGATCGGCTTCTCGAGCAGCTCCGAAAGTTCTTCCACTGCTCGCTCCAGATCGCTCTGAAGGTCTTCGAAGATATGCGTGATGTTGTTGCGGGCGAGATAGAACCTATTTGCGAAGATGCATCAGCAATGTCAGCGCAAGGAGAGCCGGCCAAAGACGAACGCCATTGCATATGACCATTTGAGCGTCATACGGCATTCAGACAGGGTGTCGACAGCCTGTTTGAGGAATTGCACTTCGATCCAGGTGAGCGAAGTCGTCTTTTGCATCTCCTCCATCTTGCGTTCGATGCGTGCATAGACTTCCTTCTCGAGCTTTGCACTCTGCTCGTGATTGTTGAAGCGATTGAAGTACTGCACGCGACGGAGAGGATCAGCCTTGCCTGGGGAAAGCAGCCGAGCTAGTGTGAACACACATGCAGGTAACGTTCGAGCGATTGGCGATTCTTGCTGACCGCATCCTTGGTGGTATCGTCCTTCTCTTGGAAGCGGGAGCAATTGTACCATGATGTGCCATGAAGAGTCCAGTCACCCATGCAGACCCAGCAGAACTCATGTCGACATTTCTTGCAAGTCATGTGCTGCTCACATGCTCAGTCAAGCTTTATGGATCAGATGAGAGGATGATCTCACATTGCAACCGCCATTCTTCTCAATCGTCGCCTGGCACTTGGTGCACTCTTTCGTGTTGACGGCGAGCCAATTGCACGTTTCCGAGTCGTCCTCACATTTCTTCAGCCAGCGTTTGATGAGAGGACAGCAGCATGGCTGATGGTCCTCATCTCGTCCGCAGCCGAAGCAGAATCGATTGCCGCATCTGCAGGTGACGGATGGGACGACGGTGTCGAGCACTTTGCTCGGTACGTGACATTCGATAGCGTACTCGCAATTGGGGGCGGGACACCATCTGAGTGAGGAGCTTTCCTCGACATAGGATCGGTTGAGCAATCGCTTGTACCTGTTTCCACAGGCTGACATCTGAGCACTGTCACGTGCTCACGAAGAGAGCATGACGGACCTCTCTGCGTTCTGAGCGTCAACGAGAAGTGCGACTGTGTTTTCGTCAACGGCGGTCTTGCAGCTCGACTGCATGCACTGGATCCTCTTTGATTCGCCCTCACTGTGAGATCGCGAAGCTTGAGTATCATCAGCTGAAGACACGATAGTGACCTTACTTGATCTTGGAGATGAGATAGCAGGCGTAGCAGTCGCGACAGAATCGGTGGTTGCAGGACAGGGCGATCGTCTCCTTCGAGCTGTCATCGTCATAGCAGATTTCGCAGACGAAGCCTCGGATACGCTTGGGACGCGGCTGACGTCCGACTTCGAGACCGGCTTCGATGTTGCATTTCTCGGGCGATTCCATGTAGCGTTCGATGAGCTTGTCCTTGTTCCAGCCCCACTGCCTGAGCAGGATCGATGCTTCGGTGGGCTATATACCAGGGCATCATCAGCATGTCTCGAAGACATTAACGAGGCTGATCTACCTTTATGGCTAGAATGCTCGCAACGCTCTCTGCGATCTCGGACTGGGCGCGTTCGATATCCTGGATGGAGAGGATCTTAAAGTCGACTTGCCAAGAGGGACCTTCGCCCTTGTCGATCGTCTGTGCCACGCCACCGAATCCATCGTCCCCTTCGTCCACCGAAGATCCGTCGTCTGTTCGCGGCCGAGGTCATGAGAGGATTCCAAGCGAGATGAGGGCATGAAAAGGAACTGACCATAATCGACAACTGAACCCTCCTCATCGTCATCCATCATGAAGTCTTCCTCATCTACTGGCGAGTCCAACCCGTCCGAGCCACTGGCAGACATCTTCGAGTCAATGATGTGCCGCTAGATCGGATTTGAGGTGTTTGAGGCGACAGGCTCAGTTGGGCCTGTCTTGCAGGCTTAGGCACCGCAAAGGGGACCGTCGAGGACAGCTGGCGTAGCGAGTGGAGCTCAGCTCGCTCGAATCTCGCACAGCTCTGATTGAGCGTCCCTGGACGAGGCGTAGGCGTCGACGGGTTCCTGATAGCCGAGCTGAGGCCTCGTCGTGCTCTCCCGGGGCGAAACCTGGTGTCTCGCTCGCTGGGCTATCTACACAGACGTACGTATACGAGACTGGTCTTACAGAGCTGATGCGCCTCGACCAATGAAGATGCAGTCAGGCAGTTTTGCCGCCGCCGGCTCACTCAGCGTGGTCGAACGCGACTTGCACGTCACTCGCGCCGAAGGCAGCGGGCTGCCAGACAGTTCCGCCGATCCAGACGCATAAGTATGAGATGAATGACGCCATCGACAATAAGGGCGCAGTCTCTACGACTGCATCTACCGACACGGTCCCTCTTCATAACAACCAAAAGGCGTCTAAATTGCTTCAGCTACTCAGAGATCGTCCATTGCTCGCATCAGGCTCGGCTGCTTTTGATCGCTTGTTCGTTGCACCCGGTGGCCTAAGCGGCAGGCCTGTCATCGAGCTGGTCGGTCCACCGGGAGAGGGGAAGAGCAGAATCGCGCTCTCTATCGCTCTGCAGCGCTGTAAATCGGATTGCCAGACGAACCAGGTTGTTATCATTGACACAGAAGGCGCACTGACTCCTTCCGTCATCTTCTCTGCTGCACTTGCTCTTGCAAATGGCCATCGAGGTCGGCATCTGATCGCTTCACCGGCTGTGCAATGATTGACGCGCCAGGCTTTTGCAGAGGAAGCCATAAGCTGGACCAATCGCATCCATCTCTTGCGCTGTTTCGAGCGAGACCATTTCATTGCTACACTGCTCAACTTGTCCAACTGGCTCAAGCAGAACACCCAAGTCGGACTCGTCATCATCGATTCCGTCTCGGCTCCCCTGCGATTGAACATGTTCCCCACACTACCGGGTCTGGCCACCTCGAAACAGACCGACGAGGCTTCGCCCGCTGCTCAGCGTCATGCTCTCATGAGCTTGGTCTCACGTACACTAGCCCAGTTGACGACAAGTCAGGTCCAAGTCGTTGCGACGGCGCAGATGAAGAATCTCATTGCAGAATTTGACGGTATAAGGGACAAGATGAAAGACACAGCGACGCTCGTTCCACAGGCTGGCGAAGCCTGGCATCCACCCCAAGGTCTGGAGAGAATTGTCATCTTTGGACTTCACGACGGAACGAGATGTGCTCAGAACATGGGTACTGGCGTTCGAGTGACATATGAGACTACACGTTATGGCATCAGGTGAACAATAGAGCGTGGCAGCACAACAGATGACAACACTGAAGGACAGTATGAGGATGCTCAGCGGGACAGCTGTAGCGTCGTACGCGGTGGCGAAGGCGATAGATTGATTGCCGTCATCGAGATGGGCGAAGACATATTGCTGCCGAATCGTCTCAAGCTCGCACTCCTCCGGACTGGCGAAGCGGTGGGCGAAGTCCGCTTGTCGTCTTCGATCGAAGGAGGAGCTTCGGCAGCCGTGCGAGAATTCGATCGACATCGAGCTATCCATGAAGGTAAGCCATGGGTCGATACGCTCGAATCTCGTCCGTGACTAAATGTAAAATTCCGCCAGACGTTCGCCGGATTGTCGCAAGCTGCACAATCTGAAAAGTATTCAGTCTTGTCGCCTGAGATGTCTGTCGAAGTAGGCGCAGAGCTCTCGCCGCAGGAAGAGCGCCTGCTCTGCATTGCAAACGAACTTGCTTGCGTTTCCGAACGCTCAGAGGGTGTAAGAGCAGATGCAGAAGTCGACAGAGAGACCTGAGAGTGTTTTGCAGCCAGGTGTCTCGGCGGGGACCGTCTCCGTGGACAATCGCGATCCGAATCGTCTGGAGGTGGTCTGAAAGGCGGCACGACGCGTAGAGCGGCAAGATCGGACCAATTCGTCGTCTCGAAGAACGCATGCTTCTTGATATCGGCTGCGCCTGTGATCGATCCCAGACGATCCGCTGGATCTCTTGTGATGAGTGAATGGAGCAGATCGGTGGCTTCCGCGCTCAGTCCGGCTCTTGCGGGCAGTTTGAGCTCGCAGGCCATGATCAGCTCATACTTTTGCATCCCTGCACGATACGTCAGTCTGAGCCAGACGCAAGAGTAGAGGTACGCACTTGACTCGGCATAGAAGGGTGTATAGCCAAGCAGAGCCTCGTGGACAAAGACGCCGAACGCATAGAAGTCGACTGAGCGAGAATATCCGCGCTCGTCGAGGAGCATCTCCGGCGCGAGATAGTCTGCCGTTCCACAGAACGTCCTTGTCAATTCTGTGAGGCAAGTCTGATGAGCGAGATTGAGGTCTATGATGAGCAAGACATACCACCGGGAGCAATATCAGGTTTACTGAGACCAAAGTCACAAAGCGAAAGATGTCCGCTGGCGTCAAGCAGAATGTTTTCCGGCTTGAGATCTCTGTAGCAAATGCTCCGGTTGTGGAGATATTCTAGCGCGAGCAGGATCTCGCCAGCGTAGAATCTGACTCTTTCCTCGGTGAACCTGCCACCCTCTTGGGCGAGGTAGCGAAATAGTTCGCCGCCCGCTTTGTAGTCCATGATGAAGAAGAGCTGAGATTCTGACTGGAATGAGAACTTGAGGCCGACGAGGAAAGGCGAATCGATTGTACGCTGCAGTACTTTTCGTTCGGCCAAGACGTGCTCGATTGATTTTGAAGCAGCGATAGAGTCTTTTGAGAGCACTTTCATTGCATACATTCGCCCGGAATCGCGTTTCCTGACCCGATAGACTTGCCCAAAGGAGCCCTCGCCGATGCGCTGCCACCACACCCATCAGTACAGGCCAGTAGGGGACGTTTGCTCTGGCTGACCCTCAAGATATCGAAATCGTCCGCGCAGAGGCGACGCGAGGATTCTGACTCGTCAGACTCCATCTTAACGTAGATTTCGCCGAGCTTATGGTGAGGATCGCGAGTCCGCAGTCCGACCCATTGGTCGACATGATGAGTAGCGTCGAGTTCGGCCATCCCGATCAATTCGTCTGTTGCTCCTCTATCTCTCACTTGTATCCTGACTATCCTGTTTGCTCTCGTCTCGTGCACAATATCGAAGCTCTCGTCGTGCTGCCACTCGTAGTAACGTTTGAATGTGCTGTGCGTTATGCAGTCTGGCCCCGCGCCTTCTTGCTGCGCGTATGTGACAAAACAGTAGGGCCGGAGTGGCGTGTGACCGTCTGGGAATGCGAGCTCGCGAGCGGCAGGTACAGATACTCTCAGTGTGCGCCTCCGTCGATGTTCCCTGTCCCAAGCGGGCGAGGATGGGAAGGTTTGTAGCAAGGGTTGGGTGAATAGGGTGCTTGAGGTCGCTATTGGCCAACGCGAAGTAGATTGGGTCGAATCGCGCGAGCTTGAGCGTCTGTCGTCCGCTGATTGGGTATGACTGATTGATCTGATGAATGTCTTTGAGCTCTTGGATGTTGTGACAGGCTGGATGCGGTCTCGTGTGACCCGTCGGTTGGGCGATGCAGCGATAGATTGCTTGTGCGTCGACGATGAGGCTACAGGCTGCTCCTCTCGTTGTCTACAAGGGCTGCCATGGGGAACATCTGCCTGCGCGAGGCTCTGAGGCGGTCTCTGATCGATCTGAAGTGAAGTCAACAAGGTCGCGGCAACGGTGTCCGCATGAGCTTGCTCGCTTGTCGTGACGGCAGGATGGACGAGGTGAGGTGGTGTAGCGGATGCGGATGAGACCAAGTCAGATGTCATACGCTCCCATGCACTTGACGTTGCTTCAGGGCGTGCCCGTCTGACTGCTTGGCTGGACTCGCCCGTCGCCCGTCGCGCCCAACGTACGTACGACTTGCTGCTCACTGCAGCCAAAGTCCAGCGGCTGAGCAGCTACTGAACCTCCTCAGACCGAGCCCAAGCAGCTGCACTCCTTGCGCAGTAGACGGACGAACGGCGACAGGCTTGCTGCACGGTCGAGCACACCTCTGTGGCTCTAGACCGAGCCCGTGACCCGACAAGGTTCTCGCCTCCGATCGGTGTGTGTCGAGACTTGCCGCTCAGCTCACACTCCGTCTCAAAGTCATCATGCCGCACCGCGACGAGGCAAGCAGTATACTCGTGCAACACACGAGAGGTCTGATGAGACCGTGCAGCCCGAGAGATTGGTGCGAGGGGGTGCTGCTGAATTCAAATGGTCCGACGTTGCTGCTTCCGAGCACAGAGAGAATTATCTCGGTCATTCGGTCAAGTCCGTGCTCTGTCTGTCAACTTGCTCTGATGAGCTCACACACGGCCTCGCAGCGCACCGGCCGGTCGGTGGCAGAAGAACAAGGTACGCCTCGCTGACTGACTGACTGTGCTGCTTTTCTCATTCCTGCGAACCGCAAAGGACGTACACTGGTACAACAGAGACAAGGCGACCACTCAAGCCGAACGGGATGAGGAGATCAGGCAGGTCAAGCAAGCAGAGGAAGATGCACTTGCCGCTGCCTTGTGCGTGTATCATTCATTCCCATACGCGCCAATATTCACAGAGGAGGAGCAGAGGATTCCGACCTATTACTTCCTCGGCCAATGCGATACCCGTCACTGCACCCAAAGCGAGTGCCGAGACGGGCGAGAGCGAAGAGGAACGGAAAGCGCGCAAGGAAGCCCGGAGGGCAGAGAAAGAGCAACGACGGGCAGACAAAGAGGATCGTCGTGCGAACAGACGTGCTACCGATCGAAGACGATATGATAGTCGTAGCCCGCCCCGGAGATATGATGATGACCGTCGGAGAGATGATCGTAGCTCGAGACGAAGGAGCAGGTCACGATCGCCTGAGCGATCGAGGAGGAGGACACGCTCGCCAAGAGAACGCTACTGATCCTGTCTCTTCGCGTGTTGTTGTATCTGATGCATTGAAACGGTTCAACCCAACACACGGGAGAGCTTCTGCAAGCCATTGAGGAGCGAATCGCCCTGCTTGAGCGCTGCCTCGTAGTGCGCATTCTTCGTGTCCGAGCGAGTCGTCTCGACGACTCCGTTGACTTTGTCGATCGAAGCTCTCAGTCGACCTGCAGCAATGTATCTTGCGAGATCTCTGTACCGGCCATCAGCTTGACCAAGGTCTGACACAGCAGGGCGCGTACGCATCGAGAAAGTCTTCGGAAAGATTGAACGCTTTGCTGAGGTTCTGTAGCGTGACGGAGCGATAGCTTTCGAGCAGCTGCGCATAAGCCTTCAGACGTAACTCGCGGACGTAGTAGCGCGTGTGAAGGTAGAGGATCCGCGAGGTCTTGAGATGATGTTGCTCGACATCGGCTGTATCCCTTGACAAATGAGCCATCACAAAGAGAGGCTGTGCCATCGTGACATACCGAGAGATTGGAAGAATTGGGCGTAGTCGCAATCGTGCAGAGAACTTGCGAGATATCGCAAGTGGGGCGACTCGGGCAAGACCTGTATCACTTCGGGTGCATCGATAATCTGTGCAAGTACGATGCAGCAGCTGCACACAAGTGATCAAAGCAAAGCGGACGAACCTTTTTCTTGAGATCTTTACGGTCGAGCGTAAGTACGCCGACGATGATGCACAGTCGCACAAAGTCGTCGAGTGACATGAGCTCTACTGCGCCAAACGTCGACAAGGTATCGATGAGAAGCTGGCCGCCGGTCTTGAAATCGCGCAGCATGAGCAGATGAGTTCCTTCATATGCTTTCAGTCGATTCCTCCTGTCCCAATCTCCTCCTTCGTCTACGAGCCTGTCGTTCGGCCTCGTCATAAGCACTGGACAGCTTGATGGGAGGGGACGACGTACGCTTTTGCCTTGTCGATGTTGGCCTTGATGATCTTGTGGTCGGAGTGGAAGAATCCCAATCGGATCATGGCGAGCCGCATGTCGATTTTGGACCCGATGCCTGCTGTCTTTGCATACGCTGCTTCGTAGGCTTCGTTCGCTTCAGTCTGATGTCCCCCCGGCAGCGCTATCAGCGACATGAGCTGATCGAGCTCGAGTGCGACATGCCTTGTTGCCGATCTGGGCGAGATAGAGCGCTTTCGCCTTGAGTGCATCGACGACTTCCAGCTCTGCCCCGGGCACGAGCGCTTCGTCTACCTTTGCCTGCAACTTCTCTCGCTCTTCCTTGTTGGCCTTTTGCACTTCCTCCAACGAGACAGCTTGACGTAACTGGCTTGCGTAAGCGGGCAAACTGATGGGCGCAGGTGTTGTACTGCTCGAGCTGGACTCGGACGACTCGCCGAGGAGCTGTGAGAGGTAGGGACCCATGGCGTGAAGCTTGATGCCCTCTGTGAGCGTCCTGAGCGCCTCACCGTGGATCGAGTGCAGATGAGCTTGGGAGAGCACAAAGGTCGCCTGTGCGAGTGCCAGGTCGGGCACAGCGGGTAGTCCAGAGTCTGGATCGCCGCCATCTGCTGCAGGCTTGCTCGTCTGGCTCGTGCTTGCCATGACTGTCACCCTTGGATATCCGGCTCGACGGGGGCTGCGGCTGGCAGCTGGCAGACCGGCCGACGCGTCAAAAGTGCCAGCCAAAGCGCCAAATTGCCAAAGTCGGACAGGCTGCGCTCGCTTTGGCAGGCGGCACTGTCCACTGCTGCCTATCTGACAGTCTGGGATGCATCGCCGCTTGCGCTTGCACGACAGCGCGCTCAGTCCGAGCGAGTATGACGCCTACTCTGCCCTGTTGGAGGAGATTGACCTCAGGGAGTGCACATGCGAGGATATGACGGAGCTCATCGGCCAGCGCTTCCGCATCAATGCAGACCGACTCTCCGAGGCTCGTTCCACGTCCCACGACGGTTCGCTGCTCGAGCTCACAGGACGATGGCAGGTGATGGAACTGGTCGACGTTCAGGCGAGCGAGCGTGCGCAGGTGACCAACGGACTCCTTCTGGCTACTCTGCGCTTGCTAGCTCACGCGCCGACGTGCGATGTCCTCACAAAGGATCACACGTTCATACAGAGCAAGCCCCTCGTCCGGCGACCAAAGAACCCATTCCACAGACAATCCACCCCCACTCTGCCCAAAGCCTCACTCGTTCCCTCACCTGCAGATGCACGTAGCCAGCAGCGCAAATCCATAGACAGCAACCCCTTCAAGCGACAGCCTCCCCCGCTGCCCAAGAGGACCGTCAGCCATTCCGTTTCGAGCGGTTCACAGGCCGTAGACGAATCGAGCAGGCGGACTTCCATCGACATCATCTCTTCCAGCCCGGTCAGTCGACAATTCAGCAGAGCCGAATCCTCGCACAGTCATAGCTCGCTCGCGACTTCCACTTCCAGCGTTTCCTCCAGCAGCAGCAGCAGCAGCAGCAGCAGCGACGACGCAGGCGACCGAGACGATTTCCCAAGCTCGAGACTGACTGAATCGAGCCATATCGCGCCTACTGCCAGTCTGAGGAAGAATCCACCGCCACCCGTCCGGCTGCCCCGTGCTCAATCGATGGCCTACTCGCGCAATGGTTCAGATCGCAAACAGGAGACAGACACTCATTCGGCATCATCTGATCCCATCCCAAGAAGACCGCCACCCCCGCCTACACCTGCACTGGCTAAACCGACAAAGACTCTGCCAGGTCTAGCGCGATCTCGTACCGTCACTGCTCGTCCAGATCCGAACTCTCATTCCAGCACACTCCGTCGCGAGTCAATGTCCGGTTCGGTCAACTCGCTTCGACAGAATTCCGATAGTTTCAGACGCAGGATCGCATCGGAATCGACAAGAGGCGTAGAAGTGCTCAGCAAGGAGTTCGGCAGATTGGAAGAGCGATTCGGGAAGACCAAACCGACTTATCTTGCTCAGTCGAGAGAAGAGAAACGAGGTCTGGTGGCCAGGTCGCCTTCACCGCCTTCTACACTTGCTGCCAGACACACCTTTGAGCCCGAGGGAGAGGACGAAGTCGGCTGGACGCGATTAGGCTGACGTTCGACGATGCTCTCGAATGGCGCTCAAGACGTCCTTTCGGATATTGATGATGGGATCGATCTCTGGCAGACCTGTCACTCTGTGCATGGCAAGCGCTGCCAAGCTGAGATACGAATGGTAGATATCTGCCTCGCCTCCCTCGTCACGCCCTGCGCGCACAGGGCAGTACCGCGCTCACCTGAGTAATCGCCTGGCGACCGAGCAATCCCTCCTCTTCGTTCGTCTTGACAAGCTAGCAGCCAGGCCGTGTCTGCTCGTACATCGCCAACATCCTCGCCTAGGATCTGGACCGGCTATCAGTCGACACTCACTCGGACGAGAGGCGAGCTCACCTGCAAGCTGGCAGTCTGCCAGAAAGAGTAGCAAGCATCTGGCGGTTTGCCAGGTCGGCCCTCGAAGCCTGCCATACGGTCAGTCTGCCCTCTTTCAGCCAACGCCTCGCGCTGTTCCTCATCTGGCTCGACTTGGCGGCTCACACTCCACCGGATGAGACTGGCAGGATCGTCTATCTTGTGCAAGCTGTCTGCCATGGCAAGACTTGCAAGACAGCAATACGTCGTTCCGCCTTGGGGACATAGTCAGGCAAGTGCAGCTTGCGCAAGCTCCAGGAGGGCGGAGCGGACCTTGTGATTCTGCTCCCGGTACTTGGCCGAACGCGCCATCGAAGCCCTGCTTGGCCTTCAGTCTCATCTCGCTCTGTCAGACGATGCAAAGTTCTCACTCTACATCGCAGGAGATAGTGCACCAGACTATCTCGATCGATGCAAGACCAGTCGTCCAGCAGGGTAGCGATGGCGCAAGCACAGTAGCTGAACCTGACATCTCTCTCGTTCGAGCGCGGAAAAGGCGCAAAACTGCCATCTCTACCCTGACACGCTTTCACAAACGCGACTGCTCCTACTCGGTCGACGTGTGAGAGCGAAGTGTCGCCTAGCATGGCAAGAGAGAGCAAGGCAGTATAGGTCATTGCGAGATGAGACTCGTCTGATCCTGGAGCACCCCTGAAGCCGCCCGAAGAAGATTGCTGAGCGTAGATCCATGCAAGATACTCTGTTCTGCGCCGTTCCGGTAGCCGGGCGGAAGGAGATGGCTCGGAGAGAGCCCCCGAGAGGCTGAGGATACCTAGAGAGAAATATGCCAGCGACATGCGATTGCTGTCCTCGCCGATGTACTCCTGCGGGAGAAGGATGAGCGAGAAGAGCGCATGGCTGGCATGCTTGGCTGTGTGCAGCCCTGACTGTGCACCTGTCATCCAAGGCAAGCGGACAGTCGCGTCGCTTGCCTAGAGTTTGCGTCATCGTCCGACATCGACTGGCAGGCAAGATGGACAAGGATGTGCCAAAGGACTCACCGCAGGCCATGCTCAGAGAGGCAGAGAACGAAGCGGTCGCGAAACTGAAGCATGTCGAAGCTCAAGCGAGTTCGGTGATCACGAAAGTAGAAGAAGGAAAGATCGACACGATCGACTCCAACGCACGCTACTTGGCTTACCTTGCTCGATTACGACCCCTCCTCCTTCCTGCGACTCGCTACCTGGCTTATACGAGCGATGTGGGCGAAGCCTTTAGGCCCGTCGTCAATCCTACTGCCGTCAGAGCAGCCTATGGCATCTCATGGATGCGCGTCTTTCTATCGATCCTGCTCGGCCATGCGCTCAGAGCCGACATTGCAGGTACCTCGTCGGAGATGTAGCGTATGAAGGCTTCAGAGCCACAAAGGAGCGAGAGGCAAGAGCCGAGAAGAGGACCGCTCTGGACAGATTGACCGGACGAGGTATCGAGGATCTATCGGCAAGCACAGAGGTCGGCTTGCGAGTCGTCAAGAGGGCTACGTTCCAAGCTACAGCTTCGATGCTCTTTCCTGCTCTGACTATACAGTGAGCCCTGGATGGCTTTCATGCCTTGCTCCGACTGACAACGGGCGCACAGCACGACGGTGAAACAGTCTGGCCGATTGTTCAAGAACGCCAAGAGTCCTCGCGTCAGAGCTTGGGGACCCACAGTGCTAGGCTTGGCCGTCGTACCCGCGCTACCGTACATGTACGTCACGCTGCACACCAGCTCGACCGAGCTGAAGAGCCTGCCAGATTTGACGAACCGGTGGAGCATGGTGTCGACTTTATCTTCAACAAGATTGAGAAGATCGTCGTGGACAGCGCATCGAGTGCCGGCAAGAAGACAGAACTATGAGCCTCTGTATGATCTGTATTGCAACAACACGCCTTTCCCTAACTACATGCTCACCCTACGTACGTGAGCTGGTACAGTGATCATCGAGCGACTTGAGCCGAGTTGAAGCGATAGCCTCTTGACTGTATGAACTGGCTGTCGCGATCCGGGTACATACCTGCCAGTGCAAACTCGTCGTCGATGCACCATGTGAGGACGTTCATGCTCGGATCGATGACGATGATCGTCTGACACGGAATCTCTAGCCAATCTGCCTTTTCGAATGTCAATGGCTCGCTTCTGTCAGATTCCTACTACATGAGCACATGCACTCGCGCAGCAGGCAACACTGACGCTATCAAGACGATTCGTTCTCGCTTGTCCGACTTTGTCATCCTATAGTGCCCGCCTTGCTCGTATTCTTCGAATTGGCTTCCAGTACTGTAGTACAGACTAGCAGCCTCGTCGTGTCGGCTAGAGATGTATCGCGTAGCTACGACGCTCTGACCGTCGCTCACGCAGAAATTCATCAGGCTCGGTTCGGTGACGTTGGCTTCCTTTGCGAGTCTGTTGAGCGTCCAGATCGTCTCGAGCATGGCTTCTTTGAGCTTGGCATGCGGTATCGTGCCTGCATTGGGATCGATGTGGGCGTCGAGGCAATTGAGAAAGAGAGCAAAACTCCATTCGCTGTCTGTATTGCCCTGGGGCACTTCGTAATACCGATCTTTGAGCAGCATCTGGAGCGGCCGCTTGAGCTTCTGGAACTCGGCAATAGCCCCGTTATGCCTGTCGAAGCGCCCCCAGCTTGTCAGCGGCCTAGCTGACAAGAGCAATGCCACCGACATCCACAGTATCTGACCAAACTGGAAAGGATGACAGTTGTCTTCCGACAAACTGCCCGACGTGGAAGCTCTCACGTGCGCAAACACAAGACTGCTCTTGATCCTATCGGCCAGTCGGTGGAGATTCCTATTGGACCAAGCGGGCGTGATGGCTTGAAACACACAAGGAGGGTTGATACTGCTCGAAGGGGTTGGCACTTCGTCGTACCATCCTATGCCAAATCCGTCGGCATTGGTCGAGCCCGAGTCGAGACGAAGGCGGGCGTCGCTTGCTTGGGAAATGATAGAGTGACTCGGTCGCGTGATGAGGTGAGCGAGCAAGACGGGCTCGACACTCTTGAGCACGAGCAGTCTGCAATTGATCGTGCATGTCAGCAGTCGCAGCACTATGCAGAGCGAATCGCGTACCGACACATGCCCGCTCTGGAGTGGATTGGCTGCAGTTGCGCTGAGCAATTGCAACGACGCGGGAGCACATCTGTGCTTTCATCCGTATTTCAAGTAGCTCTCCTCCTCCTCCTCGCGACGACAAAACCGAAACTTGCCATCCTTTCCAGGCATCATGGTGGACTCGCCAATGAGCGCGAGCTTCACAAGCGCCGGAATCCTCAACATCGACGATCAGCGCATCAAGTCGATCAGACCTCTGATCCCTCCCCAAATTCTCGTCGAAGACTTTCCGCTCACCTTGGCAGCATGTGAGACCGTCATCAACGGTCGCAAAGGGGCAGAAGCGATCATCAAGGGAGACGATGATCGTTTATTAGTTATCGTGGGACCTTGCTCGGTACACGACGTCAAGGCAGCCTTGGAATATTGCGACTTGCTAAAAGTCTACGCTGCCGAAGCGAGACAAGATTTGCATATCCTCATGAGGTACCGTTGGATGGCATTAGCATCGTCCAGTGACTATGCTGATCGACTTCATGGCACAGAGTCTATTTTGAAAAGGTACAGTCCTTTGAAATGCCTTCGTTGCCAACGTGACTTATATACGCTCCGCAACAACTAGCCACGGACGACTGTGGGATGGAAAGGACTCATCAACGATCCACAACTCAACGGCTCTTTCCAGATCAACAAGGGCCTTCGTCTGGCGCGAGGGCTTCTGCTCGAGATCGTGCGTTGCACGTTGCCAACACGCGTCTCGTCGTTCTGACCGTCTCTCTTTGCAGGCGAGTTCTGGTTTACCCACTGCTGTGGAATTCCTAGACACAATCTCGCCGCAGTATATTGCCGATCTAGTCAGTTGGGGCGCTATTGGCGCGCGAAGTCTGTCTTGCTTTGCTTGACGCGCATCAGTCGCTGACAAGAGCCGCAGCCACCGAATCACAAGTGCATCGAGAATTAGGTCCGTCAATCGAGTTGCTGCTTAGTTCCAGACTAACGAGCGAATGGCAGCATCGGGACTGTCGACGCCTATCGGCTTCAAAAACGGCACAGACGGATCTGTCGACATTGCAGTCGACGCCATACGTGCTTCCCGAGAAGGCCACGTCTTTCTCTCCGTCAGCAAACAAGGTCTCAGCGCCATCGTCGAAACGAACGGCAATCCTTACTCTCATATCATCCTGCGTGGAGCCAATTTTGGGCCGAATTACGAGAAAGAGCACGTTGCTTCAACTGCTGCCAAACTAGCAAAGGCGGGGTTGCCCCAAAGGATCATGATCGACTGCAGTCATGGTAATAGCAAGAAGCAACATCCTCGTCAGATTATCGTGGCGGAAGACATCGTCGCTCAACTTAGCTCGCCGGAAACGGCGCAAAACATCCTGGGCGTCATGATCGAGTCCAATCTCGTTGAGGGTATGCTCGCTGTCAAGTCCTATGATCACGCGCTAATGAAGCAACGCAGGCAAGCAAAATATACCCGCAGAAGGTCCAACGGGGCTCAAATACGGACAGTCAGTCACAGACGCGTGCTTGAATTGGCAAGACACCGTCAAAGTGCTCGACAATCTCCGTCGCGGCGTCAACATTCGAAGACAGCTTCGTCAGACCAACGGCCACACGCAGGACCCAGAGGCGCTTCTAGCTAAGCATCGTCCGCAAGAGCAAGATTTCAATGATCTATCGCAGCTGAACAGATCCTGATCTTTGTGTACTACTTTGTAATGCAGCGCCTGCTTGCTGGTGTCAGATGAAGTCATCAAGCGACTCATCCAAATCATCGTAAAGTGTCTGCGGCCTCTGATCAGCAGCCGATCGAAATTGTATATCTGCTATCTGACTAACCCTGGGTCTGAAGGGCCAAGCTTGGAAAGCCTCGGTGAGATGGAGAAGATGCTCCGGCGTCATCTGACGCGGCAGCATATTGGGATCGTACACATGGCCAGCAGCTATCATCTTTTGCTCGAGTATACCAGCGCCCGCCGCAATCGAGCTGTGATCTCTTCAGCCTGACCCGCATGCAGCAACGAAATAGCATACGGCAATGACTTTGTCCAAGGGGTATTGATCGTCGAGAACAATCTTCTGGCGATATATTCGTATGCCTCCCATACTCCTTCTGATGTTATAAGCGGTTCTTTGAGAGGTCGCAGGATTGCAGCGGCATGTTCTGGACTGTCGGCTGTATCTGATAGCACAGCGCGACCGCGAACGGCCAAGCCTGGCTTCAAGAGCGTTGGCTTCTCGACGGAGCAGATACACCTCAGCTGAGCTGCCAATTTGTGGTAATTTGGATCTCCAGGTTTCGCTTCCATCCTCTGACGTGTCCAAAATGTCAGCCTGGACAATCGAAGAATGAATCACAGACGGACAGAGAGCGTTGAGCTAGCAAGGAGGACGCCGATGTCGATTCGACCGTACCGATAAAGCCACATCTTGCTGACGATACAATGCAAGGCAGACGAGACGAACTTTTCGCAGTAAATGTTTACAGGCAACTGAAGTGCCACAAATACGTTTGCCGGCTCGTCTGCAAGCGCGGTTCAGTGAAGCGCAGAGCTTCAGGAATGTTTCTGACCTGATTCCCAAGGCTTGGGATCAACGTTGGCAAGCAAGCCTTGCGATTCGATGGTATCGTAGCTGTCCCAGTTCAGTGGCAGGCTTGCCTGGTGATGCCATTTGTCAAATTTTTTCGCGCCCGCCTGCTCAGCGTCAGCGTCAGCTGTAGATTGATTGTAGAGTTGAGCTACGCACGAGAAGACCAGGCTGAAAAGTCGGCATAACTTCCATTGTGATCACTTTGCGAATGACTTCGTGTGGTAGCTTTGCAATCTCTCTTGCGAGTACGCCATGGCCTGTGTGAGCTCGTCAGCTAGCTGCCGAGAGATGGATATGAGCTCGTAGCTGACCAGCGCAAGGAACAATGACGGTCAGATCGCGACGAGAGGGCAGATCCCAGATCTTTATGAGTTGTCGAGCAGCAGCCTCGTCGGCTACCTGCAGGCGTCGAGCATGGTAGAGGGGTGAACGGATCGGGCGAGCCCTGGGTTTACCACTAGCAGCTACTGGTGACGCCGCACTCGAGCTTGCCCGAGGGATGCTCTTGCGTCTAGCTGAGGAGGACGTTGTCGCCGCATTGGACTTGAGGCGTGCACCGAGCAGAGGAAAAGCGAGGTGCCGTTGGCGAGGGCTACAAGCTGCATTGCGAAGGGTCAGAGCTCTTGGTACGCTCTTGTAAGCCAGGTCGAGCCATGTCATGCACTCGAGGTCGATGACGCAATCTGAGTTGTCCCTGTCGTGGTGGTCGCCAAGATTTATTGGACGACGTCGTCGATGCCGTCACACCATCGGGGCAAAGGCACAGCCGCCAAACCTCACAGAGTTGCGAGACAGTCCAAGGGCAAGGAGAGAGACAGGACGAGCTACAACACCGATTCGCAAGGCTCACTCTTGCCCCAAAGAGACGATCAAGGTACCTCATCCTACTGATCTGCTGATCTTGCTCACGCATGACGCACAGATGGTACGACACATAGTCTAGAGACAAGACCCAACTCATGCAAAGGCATCGCAGGAGAAGAGGAAGACGATCATGCAATCAGACGGCCAGCCTTTCCCATCGCCATGTGGGTCCGTTCTCGTCTTTCAGCGACGATAGCAGAGCTCAGTAGGCGTCCGCAGGACTTTGATCATTGTGATCCTCGAAAGTGCTCTGGCAAGAAGCTCGCTCGACTAGGCCTGATGCGCGAGCTCAGACTCGGCCAAAGATTCCACGGCATCGTCATGAGGCACGCGACGTGCGCTTTGGCCAGATCACGAAGCTGACGTACTGGGGCAGTCCCAAGGGCACTCGACCTGTATCACCTGCAGATAGAGATATCGTGATCGAGTCTGGCGTCGCTGTCGTCGAGTGCTCCTGGGCACGCCTCGATGAGATACCGTTTGGCAAGATCAGGTCGCCTCATGAGCGCTTATGTCAGTGTGGCCGCTGGTGGCCGTGCGCAGGCTGACACTGTCCCCAGTGCCGTATCTGATCGCCGCTAATCCTGTCAATTATGGCAAGCGTACGCTGCTCGCAGATCCGTGCTCAGGACGGTAATTGACACGAGCGTGCAGCTTTCAAATTGACCTGCCTCGAGGCGATAGCGGCAGCGCTGTACATTGTCGACTGTGTAGACGAAGCCGAGCTCTTGTTGAGCAAGTTCAGCTGGGGCCATTCGTTCTTCGAGATCAATGGGTAAGTCGTCAAAAGCTCCTGCTGCAGATGAATGACGAGACAGAACAGTCCGCTACTGCTACGATACAAGACATGTCGTTCGGCAGACGAGATCAGTGCCATGCAAGAGAATATCACGAGCGAGATAGAAGCAGAGGCAGCGCAGCGAAGTCAGTCGTCTGTTCTGTCATCACCCCGTCTCTGGTGCTCATGCAAGGTTGCAGAGTCAGAAAACGGTCAAGTCGGGCTAGAGGACGATCTGCTCGTTGCGAACCCTAATCATGCTGCTTCGGCATGGCGACCACATCGCGAGCTCGATCTCGACTCTAGCGATTCAGATCAGTCGGATAGCCGTGAAGAACCCCAAAGCATGGAACAACTTCATCCAGAAGAAACTGTGGACACGCTCGGGAACACGGTCTAGGCTTTTCAGACGCGCCTCTATTGACATTGTCGCTTTGCCGATCGGCTCAAATTCAGATGTCAATCACCCTCCCGCGTGTTTGCTGCGCCTTGTTTGCTTGGCTTGGGATTTGGAGTGACGCACTGTGTGAATTGCTGTGTTGGTCGCCATCATCGTCGAGGCTAGCGCAGAGCTAGCAAGGGCCCGTGCGTAGAGGAAACGCGTGTTGAGGGTCAGCAACAGAGCTTTGCGTTCCTTTGACCCGAAACAGGGGAGACAGCGGCTGGGCCCCTCACCATTCTGGTTCGCTCTACTGCCACCCGGTGACGACGTCCTGCCTGACGATCGTCTGCTCCAGTGACGCTCACATTGACTGTCATTACGCTCAGCAAGACTTCAAGACCAGTCTACATTGGTTTGGGACAGCCAAGCACAGCATCGGCGACTTTTTCAGGCCTTTGTTGGTGCTGCTCGTCTTTCGACCTCTGCTGTCGTCTGACTGCAATTTGCTGCAGCATCGATAAGGCAAGATGAGTGCAGACGGCGCCAACGTCAACAAGTATGTGTCGGGCCTGCATTTCACAGCCTTGGCTTACGTCGCTCCTTGCACAGGTCGACTCAGACATTCACGACCGCGCTCGTCAGTCTTTGCAAGCTGTACAGGCGCACATGGCTGATGATTGACATTGTCAGGTACTCAATGCGGCCGTCGCAGCAGTCGAAATCGGCATCTTTGCCGTCATCCATGCTCGCTTCAAGAAGATCTATCGTCCTCGAACGTACTTGCCCCTGCCGTCCAAGCGAACGACGACAACTTTGGCCGACAGTCCCATAGGATGGATCATGGCCGTCATCAAGGCAGATCCCAAGCAGATCATTCATCATAACGGGCTCGACGCGTACATGTTCGTGCGCTTCCTGCGCATGATGCTCTGGATCTTCGTACCCGCCTGGATTCTCACCTGGGTCATCCTCTTGCCCGTCAATGCTGCCAACTCGGGCGGCACCCAGCAAGGCATCAACAAGCTCACCTTTGGCAATATCGGCCTTGGTGCGCAAAACCGATACGCTGCTCATTTGATCATTCTCTATATCATTACCTGTAAGCTTCGCCACAACTTTCAGCGGTTCGCTGCGCTGACACACTGTGATGTCCAGTCTGGATCTTCTATCTGATCAAACAAGAGCTCGCTGCCTTTATCCCCCTGCGCCAAGAATTCCTTACATCTGCAGATCACAAGCGATTGGCCATGTCGCGCACCGTTCTGCTTACCGGCATTCCCAATGAGATGCTCACCGTCGAGAAGCTCACTCAAGTCTGTAGCTACCTGCCCGGCGGCGTCAAGCAGATCTGGATCAATCGCGATCTCAAGGAACTGCCGGATTTCTATGATCGTCGTCAGAAAGCCTGCCAGAAGCTCGAAGCGGCAGAGACGAAGCTCTGTAAGCTTGCTGTGCAGAACAAGACGAAGCAGGAGAAGAAAGCAGCAAAGGCTGCCAAGAAGTCTGGCGAGCCTGCACCCTCGAATGGCTCCGAATCTCACCCGATGACCAACATGAACGCTGATGTGGAAGCGGACGCATCGATGGCCGCCAAATACGTCGAGCAGAAGCAGAGACCGACGTGCCGACCTAATTCGAAAATCCCTTGCTTCGGCGAGAAGAAAGACACCATCGAATGGGCCCGCGAAGAAATTGAGCTCTGTGAACGCGAACTCAGCGAGCGTCGTCCGCATTGGGATGACTTCACGCCGAAATCGTCGGCATTCATCCAGTTCAACTCGCAGATGGCAGCTCATTTCTTCGCCCAATGCTTGGCTCACGAACTGCCGTTGCGTATGGCGGGACGTCACATCGAAGTCGACCGCGAAGATGTCATCTGGTCCACACTCAACATGAATCCATACGAGCAGAAGATCCGCTACGTTCTCTCGTGGACGATGACGATCGGTCTCATCATCCTCTGGGCTATCCCCGTTGCTTTCGTATCTGCCATCTCAAATGTCAGCCAGCTCTGTCAGAAGGCATCCTGGCTCAGTTGGCTTTGCTCGCTGCCCGTCCCTATCAATGGCATTATTCAAGGCATCCTTCCACCAGTAGCTTTGGCTGTTCTGTTCATGCTGCTGCCGATCGTCCTGCGATTCTTTGCCATCTTCGAAGGCATTCCCCTCCACTCGCTCGTTGAGGTATCTCTCATGAAGCGCTACTTCATGTTCCTTGTCATCCACGGTGTATGCTAGCTTCCAGATACGTATACATCAGCAGCTGACAGGTAGTACAGTTCCTCGTCGTCACAGTTGCGTCTGGCTTGATCAACGCACTGCCGTCTCTCGGCAGCAATCCCGGCGGTGTCGTGTCTCTGCTTGCCAATAAGTACGTTCGCGGGCCTTGATATGTGCTCGGAGATTCATCGTGCCTTTTGCGTAGGCTCCCCGGCGCCAGCGTCTTCTTCTTGACTTATATCGTGCGTCTGCAATATCCACGCAAGCGCAACCGCTGACTTTGGCGCAGGTCACTACAACGCTCTCTGGCGCAGCAGGCGCGCTATTGCAGATCGTTCCCTTGATCCTCTACTATGTCAAGGTCAAGTTCCTCGCCTCGACCCCGCGCAGCGTCTACGGTCTGCAATACTCGATGGGCAGCGTTCAGTTCGGCACGCTTTGGCCAAATCAATCGCTCCTCATGGTCATCGCGCTCGCCTACTCGATCATCGCTCCCCTCGTTAATGGCTTTATATCCCTCGGTTTCGCGTTCACCTGGTTTGTCTTCAGTCAGTGTCGCTTGCTTTTCTCGCTTCAATACATCTGACATGCCGAGCAGAGTACCTATTCATCTGGGTTTACGACATGCCGAACCACATGGAGACGGGCGGCCGCTACTTCCCTCTCGCTATCCATCACATCTTCGTTGGCGTACGCTCATCGTCAATTCCTACTGGCTCGCTGCTGACGCGCTCTGCAGCTTTACATCGAAGAGCTCTGCCTTACAGGCTTGTGGTTCCTAGCACGCAATGACACTGGCGGCGTGTCTGCAATTCCGGAAGCAATCTTTGCAATCATCCTAATCGTCATCACTGTTCTATATCACACTATCCTCTTCTCAGGCTATGGCCCGCTCATCAATTACCTGCCGCTCTCCCTAGGTGGCTCGATCGAAGAGACCGAGAAGCTCATCGCTTCAGAGACCCAACAAGGCTATTCGAGCGATACCTCGGGCAAGGCCACCGATTCCAAGCCTTCCGCATTCTCAAACGTCAATGGCGATAATAAGACAACACCGTTGCACGCCGGAGCGGAGAAGCGAAATGGCTCGATCAAGGCAGACTCCTACAAGAGCGATGCCGACGAAGAGACTACTCGAGCATTCGATCACCCTGCTGCTTGGGTCAGACAGACACCGCTCTGGATTCCTAATGACACTCTTGGCATCGGCAAAGCGGAGATCGCTGCTGCAAACAAGCTCGGTATCGCCGCTTCAAGCGAAGGCGCTACGATGGATGCCAATGGCAAGTGTCACGTCTCTCGTTCGCCTCCCGGCGAGACTTGGGAAGAAGTCGAGGAGCAGAAGCAGCCCGAGAAGGTGCGCATACCGGTGTCGTGCAATGAATTGAGCTAACACAACACCTGCAGGTTCCTAATCGATCATGAATAATATCCGCCGCTTCCTTTCTATATACGTGGTCCGCAATGTTGCAGTCTGTCAGCAATGCTATCAGTAGACACGACAATGCATTTCTCGGGTACAGCCATAGGTCTACAACAGATCTCAAACAGTCGTTAATGCGTGGATTGCTTTTCCATAGAATTTTCTGATGCTGTACTGGTCGGTGAAGCGCGGCCCCAATTTTCGTCAGTCTCGTGTGAGAGCGTGTAATCGACAATGAAGAAGGAGACAAGCACGCCGATGAGGGCCATAGGTACACATGACAACCAGATCACTCTGATTGATTTTGCGAACGCGTCCTGGACTTGTGACTTCAATGGCTCGACACTGCACGGCGATGTCAGCCTAGATCTTCCGTGAGACGCTAGACTTACAGAGTGGGGATGATGGGTATGCTTGCATACGCTAGGTCGCCTGCTGCGCCGCCGCCGTTCTGGACAAGCTGATCGAGGAACGCTTCTGGCAAAGTGACGGGCAGCCTTGAAGAAAGGACTGTCCCTCCTATGACTATGCCAATGGTCTGTCCGATGTTTCGAATGTAAGTGCTGAAGCACATTGCGTGTCCATGTAGAGAAGGCGGTAGTGGTGACATGACGGGGAATGTCACAGCGCTGTAAAGCATCCCTAGTCCTGCGCCAACGACCAATGGCAGTCCAATCCAAAGCGCCGGTCTAGCGTCGTATGAGAGTAGGTATAAGACACCTGCGCCTGTAGCTGCTAATGCCCACCCAATGACATTGAGCCACCGGTATTTGCCTTGAATCATGACGAGCAAGCCAGTAATAATTGCAAAAGGTGCGACGGTAAATGAAAGTGGGAAGATCTGGATGCCGGACCGGATAGGCGAAGATCCTTTTGCGGATTGGAAGTATACTGGAAGGTAGTAGACTAGTGCGAGCGTGATGATAGCGTGCAGAAATGTGGCCAAGAATCCAATGGCAGATGTGAGATTGCTCAGGATCTTGAATGGGACGACGGGTTCCTTGATGAAAGCTCTTTCGATGCCGATTGAGATGACGATGCCCACGAGACCGAGCACGAGCGGTAAGAGCGTCTGATATGATCGCCAAGGATACTGACCGCCGCCAAAGGTCAGGCCTACAACGAATGACGACGTCGAGGCGATGATACAAAGATTGCCGAACCAATCTACGCGCGATAGCTTTTCGCGGAATGTGCCTGCTGGTCTGCGAAGGTTCATGAAGCAGATGACTAGCAACGCAGCAAATCCGCAGATCGGTATGTTCATGTAGAAAATCCATCGCCAATTCCTTTCTGCGAGGGAGCCAGCTATGACGGGCGAGATGACTGAAGCGAGCGCCCATTCTGCTCCAAAGATGGCGAAGAAGATCCCTCGTTCGCTCAGGGGTGATAGATCGACAATGAGGATCTCGCTGATGGCGAGGATGCCACCGCCGCCGGCGCCTTGTAAAGTGCGAGCAGCGATAAGCATCGTCATGTTCTGACTCGCGCCACAGAGTGCCGACCCAGCAGCGAACAGAAAGATGGCAGTGAGATAGGCAGCTCTTCGACCGAAGATCTGAGCTAAGCCGCCCATCCACGGCTTCTCTGCATGTCAGCTCGCGAAACGCAAGAATGAAGTAGACTCACGATAAAGGCAGTGCTCGACAAAGCGTACGCAGAACCGACCCAAGTGTAGTTGTCAGACTGTAAATCTCTCACAATGGTTGGCAAAGCAGTGCTGATTGCTGTCAGATCGATGGCCGAGACAAAGACGGAGACCATAATGGACATGATGATCGCCCAGAAGCGGGCGTCTTTCTTCGTATTGACGCCCTCGACATGTGGCGTGATCTGACCGACCGCAATGGCATCGCTCGGCATGACGGAGATGATCTCTTCGTGTACGGTGCCGTCTCTGCGCTCCTCAGTGCGTATTGTCTTGATCGTCGGCGGACGACGGTGCGAGTGTGCATATTCTGAGCCTTTGAGATCAGGACTTCTTGAGCGGATGATATGATGCGGCAAGGTGATGTGGAGCGTATCGAGCGATGCTCGGGGTTCTGGCTCTTCTTGCTCCTGCACGGAAGCGAGGCCATCCGACGACAGACGATTGACGGAGGGCGGGGAGGATGAGCGCATGCTGCTCCTCGAACGACGTCGTTCTAGCATGACGGGCTTGCGTCTGAAGGAGTCCAATAAGCCCATTGCTCACGACAGTGTCCGTAGAAGATGGAGGACGAAGGGATGAAGCCTGTCTGTCTGCATGACACAAATGCAATCAATGTCTTGGGCACGGAACAAAAACCAAACTGCTCGTGATCGGAAACACGCGTTAAAACACAGCGCGCAAAGCGGCCTAGCCCAGCGCTAAGCTGCAGATCTGCGGCTCGCATAGCTTCCATTCATTAGCGTAACGTCTCGGAAACAGTTAATAGCTCTGCATCGGCAATGACTGCACCGATTGAGCAAAGGACGAGACGCCAATCTTCCCCAGACTGCCCGTTCTCGGGCTCAGAGTATATTAGGGCGACTCCCGAGTCGGCATCCTCGTTCGACGTCCTTGACCGCTCCTCCGACTCGCGCAGAGTAGCTACAGAATGTCTGCAGCGGAGATGAAGGCAGGCGATCTGCTCGCGCGTGACGCCGGATCGACCAAGGGATGTCGTCTTTATCGTCCGCTCAGTCGATTGGCTGGCATCGCGTGAGTTGCCTCGTCAAAATGTCGATTCGTATGCTCATCGAGCTCTGCGCTTTTCTGCTAGATGCTATTTTTACTACTCCGAGATCGAGATCAGTGGCCTCGAGCATTTGCCAGGCGATGGCATTCCCACCGTCGTTGCCGCAGCTCATCCTGCCCAGCACGTCGATGCTTTCCTCATCGTCGGCAGGATCCCCATCAGAGCCAGGTCATTCTTCCGTCCAATCGCACGAGACAAGGAGTTCAGAAATAAGTCTCTACTCGGTTGGTTCCTTGAATCTGGCGGCTGTCTGCCCATCATGCGCCAATCGGACTATGAAGGGCAGCAGATCGGCGCAGCCAACGCAAAGCTGAACAGCCGTCTTATCGAAGAGCTGGGCAACGGTCAAGCCATCTTGCTCAGTCCTGAGGGCAGAACGCTCTATCAGCCACATATGGCATCTCTAAAGACTGGCATCGCGAGGACGGTGTCTGACACACTCACAGCGCATCGCGATGAGCCAGATTGGAAGGTGGTCATCGCGAACGTGTCGCTCTGTTACCTGCACCGCGAACGTTTCCGTAGCAAGGTTCTGCTCCGGTTTAATGAACCTATCATCCTGACACCTCGCACACATCCTGAGCTCATATGCAATGCCGAGACGGGAAAGCTTGACGATTTCGCCGGCGTACGTGCGTTGACAGAACTCATGGGCACGCGCATCAAGGAGGGCATGCTCGACCTCGATACTTGGGACACAACTCGTCAGGCCATCATCGCGCGGTCAATCTTGCAGCCCTTGGACGCTCCGCGACCTTCCTTGTCAGACTATGTGACGCAAGCGCAAAATATCGGCCTAGCTATCATGGACGCTGACTTCTACCACGATTCCGAAAATTCGGAGAAGAGCAGTCAGACCGGCAAATCGACGCCCAGCTCACCTATCGTGCCCACACTGGGCAAGGACTCGTCGCGAATGATCATATCCTTTTCCGAAAAGTCGATCGAATCTAGCGAAGAGGGAAGAAAGTCGATGCTACCCGATCAGCTCCTTGTGCGTGCTCTCTGTCCTTGCTCGCAGCCAAGCTGATTGAGGTGCAGAACTATCTCAATCGTCTCGAGGCTTTCGGCATCAATGATCACGACCTAATGCATGTCGCCACACAGCACAGTATATGGCTCTTGCTTCAGCTGCTGGTCAGGATCATCGTCACGCCTGTCATCGGTGCATTCGCAATACCAGCAACGATCCTGCTCGCGCCGATGTTCTTGATGTGCAGCTACAGCTGCGGCAAGATGGCAAAGGGCCGACCAAACTCGGAAGGCGAAGACTGCGTGCGTTTGATGCAGTCACGCGTCAGGGTAAGCTGTCGCTGGCTACGTCTCGAACGAAGCTGACGATTGTCGCGCAGATATTGGCGGGTTTCGTGGGATTGATCGTGTCATGGTTTCTGTGCCTGATAGTCCTCGTCGTGGTCGCCGTCACAGTCGATAAAGCGCATTGGGTCTGGCCAATCCTGTTGGTCGTGCCCGTCCTGCAATTCCTCAGTATCAAAGTCATCGAATTTTTCTACGCTTCGACTCGTACAGGTCTTGTCTTCTGCTACATCCTCACATCGAGACTACGTGGTTCGTCTGCGATACCAGAAATGCAAGCTGCTCGTACACAGCTACATACACAACTCCAGGCGCTCGTCAAAGCCTCGCCCTATGCAGCAAAATGCACGACCACATCACAACCTCGAGGAAAGGTCTGGCTGCTTAGGGATGCAATCTACCGCGTAGCTATAGGCCGCCAGCCCGACTGGAGCGACTGCCTCAGTCTTCACGACCAAACACGATACAAGTGAGACTCCAATGACGACCATGCTAGCTTGGACTGTACACATGCAATCATTAGGTGCTTGACGCTTTTTGAGGTCCCCAGTTGTCCAGAGGATTAGTGGGATACATTGCGAGGCCAAGCTGACTCATCAAGACAGTGTGTGTCTGCGGGTTCTTGTCGAAATTGACATCTACTGAAGGCGCGCTAGCAGCTGGCAAAGCCGCGTCGCGCCCGTTGCTATTAGAGGGACCGGCGTTGTCTGCTTCAAGTGGCAGTGAATCGCTTGCGGCCCGCGCGGCCACTTCTTCGACGGTCTTGCAGCCTGCCAGGAGGATGCGCGCCGGATTGCCTTCCTTGATGTTGCTGAGCTTGACAGGATGAGTCTCGATCCATTTGCGAATGATGGCGAGTAAGAAACTTCGCGGTGCGTCTGTCTTGAGCGATCCAGACGCGCAGTGACTGCGAGATGCCGAGTAGCCTGCGTTCAAGACAGCATTGCTGAGGCAGACGTCACAATCAGCTCAGAGTACGTTTGCTCACCGGCAGACTTACACGACGGAATTGAGAGGTGGCGCGCTGCAGTGATACATGCTTGCCAGCTTGCTCGGCGAGAAGTAGAACGGCGCGTCCAATTCGGCTTGTGCCACTTTCAGCATGCCGAGCATTCGCGCCTTTGTGGCGTAATGGTCGCCAGATTGCTCAACGTGATCTATGACAGCAGTGACGAAGCTCTTGTCGTGAAGCCTGCCCATCCACATTGGACCGGCGACATGATAGGTCTGCTTGCACTGATCGCACGTCGAATTTGTAGGAGGACCCGTTGCCGTGCCAAATGACAGCTGAGGTGCGCTGCCTTCTTTTCTGGTAGGCCTGCTATGAATCCGTCCCATCGGTTGAAAGTTTGGCGACTGGCAATAATTGCAGACATAAACAAGCGCTGTCGTGCTCGCCAACTGCTTGACTTTGATAGGTCCGCTCGCAACGCGTACGAAGACGCGCAGATAGTAGTCAATGGACAGCGAGAGCACAGGTTCTATGTGACGCCCGTAGCGGGCAGCCGATGATGAGATTGCGTGAAGCACAAGTCGCAGCGCCTGGTACGATTTCAGCACGCATTCCCTTGGCAGCAGGCACGACTGACAACTTCATGCGAGTATTCGGCTCGGGTCGGAGAACCTCCGTATAGCGAGAAACTGGACACATGTGAGCGAGGCAACAAAAGTCCGCGTTTGACGCACGTCTTCTCGGGATACCCACAGCCAGCGAGAACAGCGAGGTCAGTACAAGTGATGCAGAGCAGGCCATGATCAGCAACTGCCTGTACTGCGGCATCGATGAAAGGCGCTGCGCTGCCATATGGATCCAGGTCGATGACGTTATAGTTTCTCGTCTGCCGTTCGGCGTACATGATCGTACAGCAGTCGCCCTGTGACACTCTGACTTTTGCCTGTGACTTGACAGACGACGCTGATGCTTCCGGGATCTCGGCTGCAATGGTTTCCGCGGTCGGCTGCGTTTTGATGGGCCACCGCTTTTCCGCATCGTCCGGATCGCTTAGCTCGTTAAAGTCGGCGTTCATCTGGATGAGCTTGACTGCTTTGGGGCTCAGATCGTTCGCTTGTACCCATCTGATTGTGCTTTGATCAGCCTATCGTGATAAAAGGGGGGGGGGGTTTTCCACATACTTGAGGAGAGGCAGCTCGCGTGCATAGCGTATTGAGCGGAGGCCAGAAGCAGCGAGAGCTTCAAAGGCGGTAAACTTGTACGAATTCGGGTTAGGCTGAGCGGACGCTGGAGCATCCTCAGCTCCCACGCCGTCAGGTTCGTCTGCTGCGGCCTCCTCAATGTCAGTCTGACGTGACTCGCCAGCGGCTATCTCGGTCGCGTCATTGTCAAGCTTGCGGCGCTTTCCTTGGGCGTTGTCGTCCGCATTAGCGCCATTACGTTGGCGCTTATAAGCGCGTCGTGAGGATGCCTTCTCATGGCGCTCTGCTGCACGAATGCGGCTCCAGGTATCGATGCAAGCCACCGAAAGGTCTCTGTTGTACTCCTGAATGGGATTGATGAAGACTTCCTGTTCCTCCTCGCACTTGACTCGACTGTTGATCTTGCTAGTCGATGCTACTGCTTCTCCCGAGGGTATCACGCTTGCTGGGGCGGCACGAGGCAGCAAAATGACAGTGGAGCCTTCACCATGGAGAATGTAATTTGGAGGACAAGCCCGGCTGCCGGGCTGGAGTAGTCCCTCTCTTTGGATGATGGCCACCTTGCCTGTCGTTGCCGACTTGTTCCTGCCCATCTTGATGATCTTGCTCCAGCTCGGAAAGCTCGCTCGCATCCGCTGGAGCAACCCGTCGCGCTCGTCATTTTTTGACATTGAAAATCCACGACGATCAAGCGAACAAGCTTGTCCTGACATCATCGATGGGCGCCAATGCAAGCCCGTCCTAGCTCCGACTACGGCGAAGACGATCTTGACCTATCTGCTCTCGACTGGGACGCGTACGCTCACTGCCAGCCAAGCAGAGAGGCACGATCGGTGTCCGGTCAGATTGAGATCGAATACGAGCGTGACGATCTCGAGCCGAAAAGCGACGTTCTGCTAGACTTGCTAGGGGAGACAGGTCCAGCGTCAGACATGGCACTGCAGGCCACCAAGGAGGGAGCGAGACGATCACTCTTTGAGCGGTTCAGATCAAGAGGCAGTTTAAGCGCTACTGACTTTTCCGGCCCGTCCTGGTGCGAATATGCCTTCATGTGAGATCACTGTACTGTATAAGCATTGTCAAGGTCTGATGCGCGCACGGCAGCTATGGCATGCTCGGAAAACGCTGGTTACCTGTCGCAGAACGTCCAACGTCTATCATCACCCAGCAAGGCAATACAGTCAAGATCGACCAAAAACAGACTGTGCGCCAACAAAAGTAGGACTCCATTCTGGCATGGCATAGCACACTGATGCATTCGCCTGTAGGATCCTTGATGCAGGCGTTGCGACTCATCTGAAGCTCGAACGGAAAGTTCACCCCGAAGTCGTCAAGATTGAAACGACGAGCAAAGTCGATGCGATCGCATTGAAATTATACAGACTTATCGCAGCACTAGATTCCCTGCTAAGAAATGGTCACACGCGCGAGTTCCCACTGTTCGGTCGGCTGGACAATTTCATCGTTCTTGGCGTGGCGGACGAGATCAAACGCGAACCAATCTTGAAACACACCACAAAGACTGGCACGAAGCGCAAGGGCAGGAGATCAGATTCGTCTGCACAGCAAGACAGGACGTTGCACCAGTTCTTCTCACTGCAAGCAAAGCCGGAGGACAAGCCTGCCGCGCCGCCTGTACCTACCCATCGCTGCCTACTGACAGATACCAAGACGCGCGCGAAGAGTACCGCGCTCCCGGCTGAGCCAATCAGAAAGGCGTCAGAAATGCAGCTCATGATTTATAAGAGGCTCTTCGACGAGCTCAGAGACGACAAGATGCCTTGGGACGACTACCTTGCACTGTTCAGGCTAGAGCGCGAGTCCGCCTTCAGTGAAGAATTTGGCAGAGACATGAACGCTCTGATTGGCTCTGCTGTCGAGACCGAAGCTCTCCAACGAGCAAAGACGCTAGGCGATCTCATCAATTGTATACGGATCTACTTTGGCCAGCTGGAGCCGATCGACCCAAAGCTGCAGCTCATCTACTGCTTGCGCCAGGCTCTGGATTCACCTGCCTCCAGTCCTGCTCCTGAGGAGCCGGAGATGCTAGCGAAACGACCTCGCACGAGAGCGCAAGCAGCGGAAGCGCAGCTCTCTTCCGCTGAACCACCCATCGCTAGGTCGAAAATGAGCACTTCGGTGGGCAAAGAGATTGGCCGTCATACATTCAAATACGACGCGGACAGACTGCAGGCGCTCCTGTGCGATAGAGGTCAATTCTGGCGGTCGGAGAGGGAACCGAGAGGCGTCAGTATCGAAGAAACGAGGAAATGTCACTATTGCGAGTTTTACAATGACTGCGAATGGCGCAATGCACAGGCAGAGAGACTGACTGCCGATATCAGGAGTGCGAAAGCCGAAGCTGAGCGCAAGAGAGCACAAGTCATCGCCGATGCGGCGCTCCAGAGGCAAACGGATGCAGAGACCCGGGCGGCAGAAGAGGCAATTCTGTTGGAGCATGAGCTGGTCCGCACGACCGCAGCAGCTGTATCGACTACGTGATTTTTTGTATGTTGCTCGACTGTGCACCATGTGTCGCACCTTCAATGTATCACTTGAACGCGTCTCGGTGACTTCGCGCTTAGCGATCGGGAAATTCGGACTTTGCCGGACGTTTGCCCGCCAGGGCGCGTTTGCCGTCCGATGCAGCAGATATTGACTTGGCTTGAAGCCTAATACAGGCAGGCTTGTCAAATGCCCGCCATCTCACCTGCTACCAGCCATCTTTGTCTCCCTCCTTCGCGGACTGTTGTGCAACTTTCCCACCACTGGCAAGTTGATGCAATCCAAGTACCAAGGCGACAAATGTACTGCCAGACCGACACTTATCAATGACCCTGGCCCGCCTCTGAGTCTGCCATGTGTCGCAGCATGGGGATCACGCGTCTCTCGTGAGA